CCCTCCCCTTCTCCAGCCCCCGCCGCACCTCCTCCCCCTCCTCCCCTCTCCCCCCTACAATCCTCAGTATGCAACCCCAGTCCCTGCGCAACCCTACACGCCAAACCCACCGCATTCCAACACCGATTCGGAAACGGCGTACTCTGCAACAACAGCGCCATCAACAGCAAACTCTGCACCACGCCCACATTGTGCATGTCGATAAAATCCAACCCCACAAACGCCTTGGCACGGTTGAAGAAGGTCTCGATGGCGGCTGCTTTGTCGGGCAGACTGAGGTCGGAGAACTGCGCGCCGAGGGCGAAGATGGTGTTCAGCGCGCAGTGGAAGACGATGGTGTGGGCGTCGGCGCCGGGGGTGCTGCCGAGGCCGAGGCCCGGGAGGGGGGTGTTGCTTGGGTTTGGGGGTTGGTGGTGTTGTTGGTTTTGGTGGGGGTTGGAGGGTTTGTGTTGTTGTTGTTGTTCGTGGGCTGGTCGCCAGAGGGTTTCGTAGGCGTGGAGGAAGGTCGGTTTGTCGAAGAGGGGGTACAGCCAGTAGACACGCTCCCAGAAGCGACTGAGCAAGTGGTCGGCTAGGTTACGTGGGGGCAGTGCGAACTTGTCGACTTGGGCGAATTGGGTGAAGGTATGCGGCTCGGAGCGGGCGAACGGAGCCAGGAAAGGTTGAGGTCCGTTGGAGAGGGTTCCATTCCCGGCGGCTGTGGACGTTGTACCGGTGCCTGTGCTGGCATTCCGTGGCCGGTGCGGCTTGACAGAGGTGTACGCTTCCTTCATAAACGATGCTGCTGATGAGCTCCCATAAAACTCGTTGGCTGCGTCAAAAGTCTGCGGCACGTCGTGCTCGGCGGTCACTGTCCCCATGGCCGTGACGCTGGCCGTCGACTCCGTCACGTCAAACCGCTCCCGTTCCGGCGACGCGACGACGGGGATGGGCGGCGGCCGGAGGGTGGTATTGGGGGAGGAGGAGGTGTGGTGGTGGTGGTGGGTTTGGACTGGGGGACTGGGGATGGTGAGGCTGGGGTCTGTTGGTCGACGGGGGCCGAGACCGGGGCCGGGACCGGGACCGGGAACTGCGCCGGGAAGCACGGGGGAGAGTGGAGACGGGCCCGGCCCGGGGATTTCCCCCTCGCTGCCGTCTCCGGAGTCCAGCGGGGGGATCGGGATGCCGTGGTCGGTGCATGTTTTTTCCAGTCGGCGGATCCGGTCATGCAACACCTTGATGTATCTAGTCCACAACCCAGTCAGCACTAAGCCACCGGAATCAAGCCGCCATGCCCTGGATAACTTGGATATTACTACTGCAGTGAAACAAGAAAAAGACAGAACAACTCACGCCTCGCTACTCGCCGTCCTCGCATTCTCCAGCGTATACACACAATGATGCATCGGCAACGACCGCCGCTGGCAAGTGGAGCAGATCGGCTTGGCCCCGTCGCATCGCGACTTGCGCTCGCGGCACGGCTCACACGCCAGCGGGATCTTCCTCCGCTTGCGCTGTTCCACTGCCCGCTCGCTCGATGCGCGTGCTGCAGACGCCATCACTTCATTGATGGTGTTTTACTCCGTACACAGTACACAGCTTACACAGCAGTCTCGGTCTCCGTTAGCTGTCAGGCATCGGAATCGAGCCGACAACAGGGCCTGGAGTGAGTCCGAAACTTGCAGGCGGGTCCTCTGCTTGGCTGTGTCAGATAGTGGTGTGTGTGTGACTGTGTGGTGGGTGGATGTGAGACGGAACAGTAGCGAAACAGAGAAAACAAAAGTGAAATTGGTGAGCTAGGGAGGCATGATCGGAAATGAGCCTCGTTTTGGGGTCGCAAATGGAATTCAGGCTACGGCACCCGCGCACTGCGAGGCCGCGTGTCGGGTTCGGCTTTGGAGATTCGTCGGCATCGACGGATGTTGGAGGTCGGAATGGTTCCGAACGGATCGGCGAGGTTCCGAGGAAGCGACAGGGATTGTGTTTTGCCACTTTTTTTCGCATCCCTGACGGGGGATGTTTTGGCTCGATCTGGGTTCTCTGTTCTTTGCCAAGCCAATCGAAATGCCGAATGCGCGAGGTTGGAACCGAGGGTTGAGGGAAGACGGTGCATTGTAGGAATGTTTTTTGAGAGGGTTTGGAATGAACATGAAGGCGGTGATTGTGCACGAAAGTGAGAACGAATTGGGACTATGATCACAGTCTGGCAGTCAACTTCAGGTCTTTAAATCTTATGAAAATGGCATGAGGTCACATGTAATGAATGCTTTGCTCAACACAGTGTAGCCTAAGTTGTAAAGGGCAGGGAACCTCACGTTGTTGAGATTGAATGATAGAAATGCGGTTCAATTATCAGTGTAGTCAAATTAGAGTCATGAGAAGTCTCATATCTCACTGAGCACAAATGACACGTGACTAACGCTGGCAATAAGTGTCAAAAGATGACCGGTTGTAAGACGCTTATCTGAACCGTTACCTCAAGCTCGTGTTGGTTGTCGTTAGACCGTTAACTACATAGGATGTCGAAGATAAGATTACAACGGACTTAGTTTCTTCTGTTCCTTAAACCATTTTTGGAAACCGGACAATCGGTACTAAAGACTCCTCGTAAAACTTAACTCTGTTTTGTTTACACAATCTAGAAAACGGGCAACTGGAAAATTAATCGGGCAATCGGCACCGAAAACTTTCCGTGAAACATGTCCGTGTTTTATTTACAAAATCTAGAAATCGGACAATCAGGAAAACGAACAATTCGCACCGAAAGTTTTCCGTCAAAGTTATATTTGTTTTGTTTTCAAATCCTGAAAACCGGGCAATTGGCACCAAGGAGTTTTAAACTTAAATTTTGAAAAACGGACGATTGGCACACAAGATTTTGCATGAAACTTAGCAATGTATTAATTAAGCCTTTCTTTGCTCCTCCTCTAATCTGCCCCCTAAAATCTCCGCTATAAAGCAATGCTAATAGCAACCGGCCTTAACTTTTGAACCCCGAATTACCTAAAACAGTAACTAACTCATCGCCCCAAAAAGAGACTCATCGCAGCAACCAAACCCCCTATCTTACCACCGCCAAACCCACCTAAGCCTTACTAATCCACAAATAAACCGTCTTCAACTCCCCCTCCACCCGTTCCACCCACCCCATATCCTTCACCGTCCGTCCCATCATCACCCCATCATCCCCCTTGACATGTTCCTTCCACCCCCACACCCCGCCTCCCTGCGGATACACCTCCCACATCTGATTCATCCCCGCCTCCGGGTTATCCGCCCCAAACCCAGCCAACAACTCGGCCATCGTCACGCTAGAGGGCACTTTCGCGGCGTGGAAAGGGATGTCGGTGTAGGAACCGGGTGTGAGGGTCCACGGCTGGGCAGAGCATTTGAGCACGATGATTTTGGCGTGCTCGGCCGGGAAGAAGTAGTTGAAGCCTGGTTCGGCGCCGGATCCGCCGGTGGAATTGATGTGGTTGGCGGCTGGGAAGTCCATGGTGTCGTCGTTGCCGAGGGGCAGGTCGGGGAGGTCTGGGAGGTAGTAGTTGTTGAGGTCGGCGGCGCTGTAGAGTTGGGCCGCTGCGGCTGCTGCGGCTAGGTTGGCTGCTGTTGTGGTGTTGTTTGCCGCGATGGTATAAGGAGGTGGAGCGGCGGCTGCCGCTAGGAAGAGCGGGTTGTAGTAGTACAACGGGTTCAGAGGGTTGGCCAGGCCGGCCAGTGGCATAGCGGGCATAGTGGGCATGCCATAGTTGAGGTAGGATGGTTGTGGCATGGCGGTGACAGTGCCAGGGGGCGGCAGGCCGAAGTCTAAGGGGGCCATGCCGGTGTAGTTGAATGCTGCCAAGGGGGGTGCGGGACCAGCGTCACGGCCAAAGTTGGGGTTGCTACCGGTGGGAAAGTTCATTTCAAAAATCGTGACCGGGGGTGTAGCGGTATAGATTGGGTCGAAACAGTGCTTGGTAATCTCTGTGTGTATGTGCGGCTGACGATTGTAAAGTCTCGGCAGACAGGCGCTTGAGATTGTATGCTGGTGGATTTGACTTGGTTGTGAAGAGGCTGTTGTGTGAACTTGAAGCTGGTGTGTGAGTGAGGAAGGATTAGGGGGTTGAGAGGTGGGTGGGAAGCGGCCTATATATACTTCTCGGCGCTGTGTTCAGATGGCAGCTAGGAAGGGGCCTGCTAAGGGCTGCTCGGGGCGAACACTGTGAAAACGCCTTCTGCCACGTCATCACCGGGGCCGCTTTATTACCATCTCGGACGATGAGACCGATCCGATGTAGTGGTGAAAGCGGGGGTGGCACGAGGGTAGAACATGAGGCCGTTTCGCGACGTGTCCTTGTAGTTGAGAACGGATAATTACGTACTTCGCTTTATACCGTCTTGGGCATGTGGCATTCTGTCAATGCGAGATCGCCGATTCGCTGGAAGCAAAGCTTTTCCGGGACGCCGGCTTCGTGGTGGGAAGAGATGATATATCACATCGCTTTATTCTCCCCACACGTGGACTAGCCCTGACGTCAGAAGCTGATGGCTCTGCCATGCCCCTGAGATCCCTCTATGCCATTGGCCATAGGCTACCCAAGAGATTGGATGTTCGCTCTCCCATGACCCCTGAATCGCTTTGTATCACCCAGACGTGGACTACAGTAGTTTTTAGATTGGTAGAAGGCATTCCCAGGATGCGTAGAATCACGTCACTCTCCTTGTATGTAGGCTAGACCTAAGCTTGAGAAACGTGGCCTTGCTATGATTCTTGAAAGCGCTTTGTTTACACCGCACCTCGACCACTCGAAATCGATGGTGCGGCTCTGCCATGATAGTACCACTGCTTTGTTACACTGCACGTGGGCTAGGCCTGAGATTCGGAGCCGATAGATTTCCATGACTCCTAAAATCGCTTTGTCTACACCACATGTGGGCTACGTGGTATCAGACGGTGACGTGTCTCCTATGATAACTGCAACCGCTTTGTTCGTAGAATATGGCGGGCTAAATCTAAGACCTAGAGCTATGATTGGGAGAGGAGGCTTTCCCATGATTCTTGAAACCGCTTTGTTTACACCACACGTGGACTACTTGGAATCGGACGGTGACGTCTCTATCATGATGACTGACACTGCTTTGTTTACGGCAAACGCGGATTATCTTCGAGATCGGAAGCTGACGACTTCCCTAAAACTCGTGGGGCTGCTTTGTAGACACCACGCGTGGGCTAACCCTAAGATGTAGAGCTATGATTGGGAGGCGAGGCTTTTCCATGGCGCCTTAAATCACTTTGTCTACATCACACGTGGACTACCTAGACTTAGACGGTGACGACTCTGCCATGACAGCTGCAGCCGCTGTGTTGAACCCAACCACGAATTATCCTCGAGATCGGAACCCAAGGGCTTCCCCATAACCCTCGAAAGCGCTTTGTAGATACCAGGCGTGGAACACTTGAAATCGGATGGTGGAGAGGTCCTGTGTGGCTTAAGACCACTTTGTTTAGAACACAGAGACGTAGCATTGGTATCGGGGTCTGATGACTCGCCTCTGGCATCTGGCATCGCTTTGTAACCACTGTCTGTAAACGGTCCTTAAGATTGGACGCTTACGCGTTACAGTAACTCCTGAGATTGCTTTGTTTACAACACGAAGACCTATCATGGAGATAGAAACTGCGTCACTCACCGATGGCACCTGAAATTTCTTTGTAACCACTGTATGTAAATGGTGCTCAATATCGGAGGCTGACGCGTTACTAGGACTTCTCAGATCGCTTTGTGTACGTACCATACCAATCAGAGTCAGAACCGAAAGATAAGGACTTTGCCACGGAATCTAGGTTTTCTTTGTTCCCCTACCCGTAAGCTAAACTCAACATCAGAAGCTGACGACTCTCCTGACGACGCTGTCTAGAGTTGAGATTGAGATTGACATATTGCACGACCTTGGTGTAGAGAAGACTCGGGAAGACAACACCTTGTATAAGCGCACGACGGGAACAACAAATTGTTCGACACCGTTTCCGGGCGGAGCATCGGTATCATTAGCTATGAAGTAGACAATGTTGACAGCAAGCTTTTCCGGTCCGGCTTCCCACTGAGCATTGATCTCATTAGTCGCTATCTCGGCGACCTGCTGCCGGCGGCTTTTAGCTCAGACTGGAACGGAAAGGCGGACAACGCCCGTCTTGAAGAGAAATTTCTGCCGTTCACAATTCACCAACCTTGATACGAAATTCAGTGTCAAAGCTGTGGAATGTAGTTGTGTGAACCGCCGGAATGCAAGGAACAGGCGTTGGAATGTTGACGCAGGAACCCCTGATTTGAGCTGAATTCGGAACCTGGAAACAGTGCCATTGGGCAATGAACCGGAGTGGTTCCGAACAAAGGTCCTTGAATGCTAGAAAACTGTCGTTTTATTCGGCCTCGGATATCAGGGGCAGAGCGAGCGCAAGCTTGTTGTTCGCTTGTTCTCGACTTGGGCGGTCTTGCATCTCGAGTGGCCCATTGTCAAGGGAATGACGTTGCAGGTTTACTCAGACGACAACACAATTTCATTTTCATTGTTACCTCTTGATCAGCGTGGGATATCTGTTGATACGCAGCCTATTTTAATGCAACAACCTGCATTTGTTCCTGGGCTGAGAGAACGTATGAGACCTTGCCACTATGTCAAAGATGGGAGTCTCCGAAGTAGTCGTCGTGTTCTCGTATTTACACTGTGCCTTTCCCAGCGAGTCTCGACGAGTCACCCCAACCTTGCTCTCGCTGAATGACCCTCACACTGTGTCCTTAACAATCAACGTCTCAAAGATTACCCCCTAATCCCCAACATCCTGCCCCACCAACCTAACCGCCGCCCCCGTCTTCACTCCCACCTCCCCCTCTCTCCTGGCCAACTTCCTCCTCTCCACCTCCCCTACCAACGTCTTCAAATACACCTCCGCCTGCACCGTGGCACTATACGCCTCCGCCGTCCAACTCCACGCATTCGTGCGTCCCGCATCGGCCCCAGCAGCCAACAACGTCCGCAACACCAGCAAATTCCCATTACTACTCGCAAAATGCAGCGCCGTGTTCCCATCCGCATCCGCCTGCGCCAGCGCGGCCCCCGCACCACCGGGGGCGTAGGTGAGTAAAATCTGCACTGCTGTGTCGTGCCCGTGCAGGCTGGCTTCCATGATGGCGTCGCGGCCGCGGATGTCCTGGCGCAGGATGCAGCGCGGGTTGTGCTCGCTGAGGAAGTGGACTACTTCGGTGTGGCCCGCGGCGGCGGCGAGCATGAGCGCGGTTTGGTGCTCGTCGTTGAGGGCTGGGCTGGGGCTGGACCTGTCGATGGTGTCGGATTCGTGGCCGAGGTCGACTAGTAAGCGGCAGATGGCGAGGTGGCCGAGGGAGGCGGCTAGGTGGAGGTTGGAGTTGGCGTTGCCGGTGAGGGAGAGGTCTGGGTTGTGCAGGAGGTGGGGGTGGGAGGTGAGGATGCGCTGGGCGAGGGAGGGGTCGTTGGCGTGGATGGCGCGCCGGAGGCGGATTGAGGGGTCGATCCTGGATGGTGTTAGTGCTGCATGGTTTTGTGAAGGTGAAAATCGATTACGGAGATGATGTTTGTCACGTTGTCATCCGACAATCTCATGGGAATAACATGGCGGTTACTTACATGGCTGCGGGGTTGGAGAGTGCAGTGGACAGCGTCACATTCGATTGAAGGTTGGCGTTGGACGCCAACGAGAGAAATATCAACCAAGCAGTTTCATTGTTGCGGCGCAGGTGATGTTGAAGGGAAGGGGCCACGAAGGGTCACGACGTGGATGGTGGGGCTTAGACGCGTGGAGCCCCGCAGTGGTTGCCGCGCGGCAGGAACCGTTGCACAGTGTAAGAACGGAGCAGAAGGCTTCCTAATTGGGCAATGCCATTGGACTTGCCTTCCCAACAACCATCAAAGGACCGAAACGTGGAAAGTGTTGCATTGATTAGCGGGAGCCGGGCCTGATTTATAGAATCAGCATTGTTTCTGATCTTTGAGATAATGACGGTCCGTCTTGATCCTTTGCCACTCATTTTGGTTGCTGTGGAAAGATGGAACTTGAAAGAATACTTCGGCAGATTGTTTCCGGCCCCCATGAGGCGTGGACAAAGGGACCGCCAACACAACGACCGCTACGCGCTGTTGGTCACAAGGAGACCGCCATGGAGGACAGGCCCGCCCGGTTCAGCTCAGACCTACCCCCGAGCCCGCGATCCGGATGACCTTTGTTCCAATGACAAGAGAAGCTCCTCGGGATAGTTAATGAACAAGTTGTTCAACAACGACCTCTTACAAAACTTCATTCAAAGCGGCGCGGCAGCACGACAAAGGATGCTCGATAGTGAAATGCTCGAGTAACACGGTAAGATCCCCGTCTGACTTTCTTAAAACACCCATCTGACCTTGGCCATTCTTCCTCGCAGGGGGACGCCTCTTGTTCGAGTACAGTTCGTGCCGGAACAGCACATTATTGAGCATCATGTGTTGCATCAAAAACTCTCCTGCCTCAGGCCTGGAATCGTCTGGGAAGAACACCAGTTCCAGGACCTCGCCAGTGCCCCTGAGGCTTCCGATGCGGCCCCGGCATCCGATCTCCGGAAGGAATGTCGCCCCAGCAAAGCCATGTACGCCTGACGAGCAGCCTTTTCCCACCGTCCGATCTCAAGGAGGCTGGAACAAACTTCCGGCCGAGCTGCACATTATGATTTACGACCGGATCTGGACACCACGGGACCTAACTTTGAAAAGCCGAACACTGTTCGACCCAGAACCAGACTGCGAACCACCATGTGACACCAACAGTCACTTTTGCAGCTCCCAAACGCCTCTTCGAGACAAAGACTGCATTGTCTTTGTACGCGAAAAACACGGTTTCCCCCTCGATCCTCTCGTTACACTACAGATCAACTATGAAAGCCGGGAGTACACCTTGCACCGTTACAAGGTGCTTCTCAAAGGGGAGTGTGGCCACGTACAATATTTCAACCCCAACTTGGATACACTCCATGTCAACCTGGACTACCACGCGCTGGAGCGCCCGAGCTGGCTCACCAGCGCCCCCCACCGACCGATAATTTCCACCATCACACAACTGGTGCTGAACGGAACACAGTTTACCAGCTGCACATGGGAGATGGTGCGGGACGTACTGACCGCGCAAGACTCGACTCATGGCGGCCAAGCCTGGGCAGATTATTTCCCCAATGTGAAGCGGATCGGGATGTCCTTTTTTATGCCAGGGACGACGTGGCACCACTTGTCAATATGCAGAGAGCCCAACTGTGGAAAACCGCCAATCCAGAGACCCTGCGAGTTTGACCATCTGGGTGAATTACCGAAAGAGTGGCATGTTCATGTCCCAAGGGTACAGGATTTGCGCATAGTGCGCGCGGTACCGGTAGCGCCAGAGCCGGTTGAACCACCGGCCCCAACGGAATCGTCGTCGTCAAACGGTTTATCGTCGTCAAATGATTCCTCGTCGACCGTTACTCAGACCTGGACGATGGATACGCCGTACATCCCTGGCACGGTCTATATTTTGCCCTGGGCCGCGCGGGAAGCGATGTCGGGAGTGGGAAGCGTCTAGTAGTTTCATGACTGTACTGCGAGATGGTGGCTCCCCAGTCACTTAATGAAACATGGAACAAAGGCGCGGAATCAGATTCGAGGATTGTAACGGGAAGGCTTCTGGATGGTCATGTATATATGAGAATGATAAGAAGGAACCAAGTGCTGGCACGCTGCAGGATATCATGAGAAATTCGCGTCTTAATATTGAACTGAGCTGCTCTTATAACCCAACGCCAAGCTTGCTCTGGGTTAATACTCACTGACTAGCCAAAACCTTTATTCGTATGTAGTTATCCCAAAACACCCCAATCCAAATGATCCTCAAAGCGCCGCCACAACACCGACAACAGCAACCACCGCAGCAGCCGCAGCACCCACAAACCCAGTCTCCCTCGGCACACCACCAGTCGACGTACGCGTCGTCTCGCTCGCGCCATTCCCACCATCACTGCCGGTCCCCGCACTTCCGCTACCACCAGTCTCACTCGCACCACCCCCCGTCTCCGTCGCAGTCCCCGACCCGGACCTCGTCACACCCGTACTCCCCCCCGTAGTACTAACACCATCATCATCATCCCCATTAAAAACAGCCACATACCCCAGCACCGCCTTCGTACAACTCTCCCCATCACTGACCACCAACGCCTCGGCCGCCGCACTATATTCCCCTCCACAACTGCTCGCCAAACTATGCGCCGCCGGCGCAATGCTCGAGATCCACGCCGACGCCTTCGACTGGTGTGTCGACCAAGCCGAGCTGAGCGACGCCGGCGGGACGCGGGTGGCGGTGCGACTGGGATCGCACAGCGTGGTCAGCGAGTCGTCGAGGTGCTGGTGGGAAGTTGGGTTCAAGGTGATGGCGTCGCTGAGGTACCAGCGGGCGAGGTCGATGTTGGTTTCGCGAGGGGCGGTGTCGGCCAGGGAGGCGTATTTGGTGGCGCATTCGATGACTTTGGAGACGGTGGCCGGGATGTAGCTGTTGTTGTCGTCGCTGTTGTCGTTGTCGTTATCGCCGTCGTCGTCGTCGTTGTCGTTGTCGTTGTCGTCTAGCCAGCTGGGGTTGCGGGGGTGGATGAAACGGGGCGCAGCTGGGTGGAGGATGGGGGCGGGTGTGATGGCTGCCGGGTGGGGAGCTGGGTTGGCGAGGGATAGGGTGACGCCGGCGAGGGCGGTGAGGAGGGCCGTGGTGTGCATCGTGATGGTGGTGATGTCACCGGTGTGTGGGTGTGAGTGTGAGAATGAGGTTGGCCCGGCTTATGAGTGTGGAAGAGAAACGACACACAAAACCCGGGTGGAATTGATGAGAAACGCAGAAAAGAGAAACAAAAAGAGCAAAAATCCTCACAGCTTCAACCGGCCAACACGTCGGCTTTCATAGTTATCGCGTCAGGACCTGGCGAGCCTGGTGAGGTGGCATGGACGTGTAATTTCCGCAGATCCCACGCGGAAGAACGGCCCAATCCGCGCGCTGCTTGCACCCCGCGATGGTGCTAATTTTACAGGCGCAAACAACCCAAGGGAGCGCTGGCAACAGGGGGGCAGTGCTTAAAAAAAAGAGTCCAGATCGGGCCAACGAAATGACACGGCAAACAGCAGGCATGACCCGCACAAGGCTCGGGAATACCGGCACGTTCGTTCCCTTGACAGTTGAATTGCCGCCCAAAACCGAGACATGGAAATGTAATGACTTCGTCCACGGCCAACTGCGTCGGTCACTCCGAAACATTCGTCCCCAAGAACATCGTAGACAGCGACAACGATCACAATCCAACTGCGAGATCCAACACCTCTAAAACAGCACCATCAAATTCCGACCACTTACTGTGTTACACGACACGTAATGGATTCAAACCCGCATGGCAGCTGAACATAAGCCCAGTCGCGAAGCCCCTTTTTGATTGACATATACGTCAGCACTCAAAGATCATCCCGTCTGTTACCGTCTTCAATTATCACAAGGTGTAGAAAAATGGGTTGACCCGGGAAATGCTTTTCAAGAGACCTTTTCAAGGGCGACTGCGTGTCTTAACTCCAAGGTCTGCATTTCATAGTAAGACATTGCTTACTATGGCAGGTTATTTATAACCATTCACCGTCACTGATCGGCGATGTGACATATGTGGGATCCTGACGCCAAAAGTTGCGACTTCAACCCCGCGACGGTTGACTGCAGTCTGCACAAGGGAGGCGGATCTGGTTGAGGGTTAGGGTTAGGCTCGAGGTGGAACTAACCGCTCAAGCACTGTTTGCACACATCTGTCACTGCAAATCCCCATTTCCGCGAATTTGCAGGCGCTCAGAGGTCTCCGTTGGCGGCGACGTGACCACAAACATGGTCGCCCTGGTTCGCTCGCTGGAGAGTGGAAGATTGAGGACTGTTTGAGGTTCACCGTTCCGTTGGATCCGAGTCGGATGACGGGGTGTAGATGGAGTTTTGCGGATGGGATACACCTTTCCTTGTGTCAGAGAGGCCGAAAAATAAGGGACTTGGCTTTCGGGGCCTTGGTTTGCTTGTTTGTTTCGAGAGATTTCCGTTGCGGCAGTTGAAGTTCGTTGTTATTGAGTACGCAGAGCCATCACGACACGATGCGACTTTCAACAGTGGGAATTGGGCAAGGTATCAAGATCATGACCTTTCTCTGTGTTACCAGATAACAGAATGCCACCAGCCCAAACTCCATAAGACCAAACAAACCCTAAAGCGCCTGCCCCGGCCCCGGCCTAGGATTCCTCAACCCCTTTTCCGAATCCCCCGACGGCCAAGCATCAGCCGAGTGAGCCGACCGTGCCTCCAACTCCGTCATAGGAATCGACACCTCATCAAACCCCTTATTCGGGTTCCTCCCCACCGCCAAATCACTATTCCCATGCGACTCCAACCTCTCAAAGTTCCCCTCTCCAACCATCGCACTCGTCGCCGTCCTTCCCGTCCCATTCCCCCTCCCTGTACCCCATCCCCTCGACATCCGATACTGACCCTCTCCACTCGACGGCATCCTCCTCGTCATCGGAATCCCCATCGCCCCCAAACACCTCTGCAACCACCCCTTCATCGCAGGCACACACGCCGCCAACACCCCCAACAACTGCTCCAGCACCGTAAACGTACTAATCGCGATCCCCTGCGCTAACACATCCATCACCTCCCCCTCGCCGTCCGAAGATGACGACCCCAAATCCCTTCCAATCACCCAGTTCTGCACCAACACCGTCTTCATCACACTAAAAACACTCGCCACCAACCCCATCCCCATCAACACACACACCAACACCCTCTCCCGCAACGGCCGCTGCAAAGTCCACAAAAACGCCACCGCCGGCGCCACAGACAACAACACATCCGTCGCAATATTAATCGAACTCCCCGTATTCGACACGGCCTTCATCGTCCCTGGCGCTACACACCCCCCACCTCCTCCCCCATTACCCCCTTCCCCGTCGCCGGCGGCGAAATTCGGATCCCACGCCGCCTCCAACGGCCGACACGCCAGAGCAAGCACAAACAGGGTATTCCCCACGCCGTAGAGTGTTTGAAGCGTGATGGTGGCCCAGAGGAAGACGCGCCAGAGGACGGGGGAGGCGGTGCGTTGGAAGATGCGGAGTAAGGTGAGGGCGATGGAGAGTTTGGTGCAGGTCATGGCGAGACCCCAGACGGCGATGGCGAGCCAGGCATTGCGGGCGATGGTGAGGGCATCGGGGAAGGGCAGGAGGCCGGGGGAGGAGGTACCTGAGGGGAGGAGGAGGGCGTAGTCTGTTATTGTGAGGGCCTGGGCGGTGTTAGTTGGTTAGTTGGGGGTGTTTGTGGGTGTGATACTGGAAAAAAAGAATGGACTTACGAAACCGGCGGTGATAAAGTAATCGTCGAGGCCGACGTGCCATGTTGGGCGTACCCGGTGGTAGATGCGGGTGGAAAACGCGACAAGACACAAAACGAGGAGGACGGTGTTGGCCCCGATGTAAACACGGGTGAGAAAGGCGGCTCGGTCGGAAATCGGCACGCCGATAGGCGGGCTTCCCGGATCTGGCCCAGCCATCGGCTCGGGATATTATTAGTATTAAGTAGCGATGTTAATAATATGACTGAGTCGTACAAGATGACGGCAAGCCGCAAAGAAGGCAGACAAAAATGATAAAGATGGAAGAAGCCAAGTCGAACGCGCGCGAGGGTATATCCCCCGTTAATTATAAAAATAACACTTCCCGTCCCAGCTGCTATCCTCCCTCTCTCTCTCGAGTCTTCCCCCCAGCAGCCGTTTCAAAGTCCCTTGCACTCCCCCCCGGTCTTTGACCTTTTGACAGAATTACCAACGATCTTTTTCCGTTAGTCGAGTGCGACGTAGGTTAAAAGCTTGCAGCTCCAGCCCGCCTCGGCGCTGCCGCTGCTTTGACATTTAATTACCACCGTCTCGTCTCGAGTCTGATCCCCCGGCTGAAAGGGGCGGACGGTAACCGGTTCCGGGCCCGGCCCTAACCAAACGGGAGAGGGCGGGATGGAAAAGGCGTGACCGCACAGACTTTAGGGACCTTCACCTCAACGCCACAGGGGTGTATTGGCGAGCACGGTTCCCCTGTACCCCGCTTTCCTATTCCGTGCAGAGTTTAGCGAAGCCTTCGAGAAACGGAATGTAAGCGATCGGGGGAAAAAGTTATTGGGAAATGAGGAGCGATCGCGGCTGAGATCCTCAGCGAGGTGGAGTATAGCGCAAGTGCCGACTGCTTTTTTTCGTTGACCCAAATTTCCCCTTCCCCAGATCGGCGGCTGGGATCGATCGGATGAACGAAGTTTGACACGCCGATCTTTGGGGTTCTGTCGCCAAAACAGGGTCGTTCGACGAAGCTCGTTGTGATTGTGTCATGGAGCCGGTCGTCTTCATGCCAAATGATGGATGGCGGCCCGAGCGACGGTACCGATATTGTGGCTGCGCCTATTCTGTCGGCCTGCCGAGAGCTCGAGGCTCAAGCCCAACACGTGCCTGCTAGGGTATCATTCAATCCTGGGCCGAAAGGGACCGGTGAGGCGCATCGGCAACAATTGTATTGACAAGCCACCGACCGGTAGAAAAGTGTATTTTTCTTTTAACGAAAATGAACAAAGAATATAGCCAAAAAGCTCACTGCCCACCTCCCCCATAGAGATTTAGTGGAACAGCTACGAACAACCCAGATGGACTTTTCTTTAGGTACCTACATGCCCCCTCCCTGAGTTGAACTCGCAGGAGACAAAAACCTAACTCGTACGAAAATACCGTCTTGAATTCAGGTCACAGCTGAGTTGTCTCTCAAGAATTAAAGATATTCCAAGATAATCATGCTTAATTCATTAATTGACTATCTCTGCCCCAAGGCTTAAGCGATCCGTACAACTGTCTATCATTACTCCATCTCTAACCGTCTATTCACCATCTTCCAACTTTCCTTGCAGAACTGCAATCTCACCCTTCCGAGGACACAACAAGGTCCCATCTCGCAATATGCGGCAAAGCCGCAAGTCCTCCGTCGTAACCCAGTCATGAGGGATAAAAAAGTGGCGTGTTATCGTCGCTGCGTCCTTTGTAGAGAGCAATCCGGGATCTCCTAGAAAGTGAGACAACAAGCTGGTACACACCCAAAGCTGGCGGTCGAGAAACAAAAACCGTCCGTCTGGCAGAATGCCGAGAGGATGTGCGGCGGCTTCGGATACAGTTGGTGAAATGGGCTGTGGTTGGATTGCGGTTGGTGGCAAGGAGTCCGAGTGGGTTGGTGTTTCGGCGTACATCGATGTTGTAGGCAGAATGGCGAAACCGTAATATCGGCGGTTCTGGCGTACGGTTGACGTCCGAAGGAGTAGATGGTGAGGGGAGTGACTGTCAAGAATGGCATCTAGGACTGTTGGAGAATCCGCACTGTCGGTCACTGCGTCAGGCACAGTGCCGGCCAAGCCCAATGGAATTTGATCTTTTGGCTCAAGGTCGTCCCAAGAATGTGTCGTGGCCAAGGAGGCCGAGAGGCGTAAAAGGCGGTCCGGTCGCGAGGGGTGTTGCTGCCATTTCGTGGGTTCTTCGGCACTTGGAGATTGACACTCCGCCACAACTCTTCTGTCTGGTATGCTCAAAATTTGGCACATCTTGACCCCGCAAATCAGGAGCCGAGAACCACTCTTGTCAAACAAAAGCTGGGTGGTTCGACCGCGTTGAGTCGATGCCTGCTTCTCCGCATACAAAATCTCTGTCGAGACGGCCCGGTCGTCTTCGTACTCCAAACGGACGCTCAGAACGACAACGCCACCGTCTAAGACCGAGTAAGCCAGTCGATCCTGTGTGTCGTCCCAGCAAAGGTGTTCTACTCTTCTTCTGGGCATGGCCTTGTCAACCTCTTGTTTTCGGTTGCTGACCGAATCAAAAATGTTAATGGAGCCGTCGTCGTTTGCGTGAGCAATGAGTAATCCGGCAAGAGTACGCCCACAGTCGATTGAAGTGCTGGCTGGGCGGCTTTCAACCTGACTCTCCGAGGCCGGGAGGGAAATTGGTGTCCTGGGAATGTCCACCGTATCAGACCAAAAGTCAGCGACAATGCTGTCCACGTCGGTAGTTTGTTCCTCCTCGGCGCCGGCTATTCGCAACAGACAATTCGGTTCCCAGATGTGGCAGTAAGCGCCACGTAAGTCGTATAGTCGGAGGCCATCTGGTGCGAATGCAATTTAATTGATGCGGTCTTCAGATTTGAGCTTGTAGAGAAGGGACATTGAGCCAAAGTCGTATATTTTCAAGGACCCTTCAACATCGGTTATGACGAATACCCGGCCATCGGGACTGCAAGATATCCCATTGGGGACAGCACCCGTGTCATCCTTGATCTCGCTGTACTCATCGGTGGCGTAATTCCATTTGTAGACCCTCCCGCAGATCCCGATGACTTCTGTTCCCGACGGATGCCAGACTACTTTGTTGTTCCCTGTGTCTGAGTTCATAAGACCTTGGCCGCGTTTGGTCTTGTAGTTGAATTGTGCTATCATCCTGGGGGGATCCACGGTCCATATCGAAAGGGGGGCCGAGGGGTAAGCCATAGCCATTTGAGCACAGTTCGCGTCAAATGCCACGCAAGACGGTGAACAGAACATTTCTGGCTCTTGAAGCAATGCCGGGCTCATCTGCACCCATGCAGCGGATGGTGCCACCTCTTCCGGGAAAAGCTGATAAACCCTCCTAGAATCGGAAACCATAGCGAGACTGTCGTCATCCCGAAACTTGAGCTCAATAGCTCGTTCCTGATTCGGATTCGAAACTGACGCTAACAACGACCAATCCTTAACTTTCCATAGCAATGTTTTGGAGACTGCATATGCCGCCATGAGCCCGCCAGAGTGGCTGAAAGCGAGCGCCCAAATACGTTCGTCTAAGCAAAAGCTTTTCTGTTCCTCGAGAACACCAGTGTCCCAGATGTTGATGGTCCCCCTGCGTTCATCGCTAGCCACCGCGAGGTGTAATTTGGAGGTGGCCAAGCGTAGGGCGCGTCCAGAACCCCCGGACACGCGGGCAATGCAGTCGTTCCATTCCTCATTTGAGATCCCGGAAACGGACAAGGTGGAGATTGGATTCTTGGAAAAGCTTTGATGAATAATCGAGGACGTCGGGCTAAGTGCGGGAATGTAATGATAGATGGCCGTTGGGGACTTTGAAAGAGGTCGGCCGAACTTTGGTGGAAGTTTCATCAGGTCCACTGCCCAAGTATCGAGGATGGAGATATGGGTCCGTCGATCCAACATGGGAAATTCTTTGTCATCTGCTTTTCTGCGTTTGCTTAGGTACACAGAAAGTCTCCTGGAGATGCCAAAAAGCTCCGAGAGTTGGCCAGTCATAGCGAGATATTGAATCCAAGCAAGCGGGTACGGGCCACTGAAGAATTTGACCAACGAGTCAAGAACGTCATCGGCCTCTGGGGAGCAATGCTCGAGATGCGTTGCCCATGAGGTAGCGGCATATGACACAAACCGAGGAATGTTGGACATCTTGAGCTTACGTCTCAGGCCCATATCGCAAAGCGTTGCCATACATCTCCTAAATAGTTCGTGGTTTCCGCTTTCCGCATCTAATCTGAACGGGAGGCGTTTTGTTCGCCACAAATATTCTCGGGCGGAGTGATGGACCAATGCTAATTGTCCTTGGGCATTGACGACGACTAATTGCCCGCACACTTGGTAAACGGCGTGGCTGATGTGTAGCATGGAACCGAATTGCTTGGGGTACAGCTCAACAAGGTCTTGCACCAAAATCGGGGTTCTGGCATACATAGCCCATATCAGGAGAATCTCAGAAAGCTCCTTGTCGATCTCGCGTCTTAGATTCAGGACCACGTCTGTCATACGATCGTATAATCCCCACATGCCGTCTGGCGTTGATTCGAGGACTTGTCGGATGCCGTCTTCATTGAGACATCGTACCACCCGTTTTGTGACCGAGGTAGCCCAGAGAAAGTTCCCTTGAGATCTTGACGTGATCTCGTCGATGGCTTTCGACTTGAACTCCTCTCCAGATGGCATGTTGTCGATCACTTTTGCCACCATTTGGCGAACATCGGCTTGAGTATCGGGCAATCTCATCTCCACGACTTCAATTGCCTGTCTGGCTAACTGAAATGCGTGACTGATGACGGCTAGTGGCCGGCTAAAGACTAGAATCCGGAGACGGCTGGTGAACTCCGAAACACGAGACAGGAGTTCAACGACATTTCCTGCCGATCCGGACTCATCAAGACCGTCAAGCACCCAATACACAGGTTTTGTTGTCTTGATCTTCGCAAACACCTTCACCACCAACCTCTCCCACACCGTCGAAGCGTCTGCATTGGAGAGCCTGACTCCTGCTTTTCCGAGCTCCGCTAAAGCGCTGCGATAATCGGGCACTTGGAGGGCAGTTTGGTACACAATGGACCGCACCATGTGGCTGACCGACTGTTTCGTTCGCTCTCCATGCTTGAAGAAGTAATAAGAGCAATCTTCACCCATTTCGAGAAGGCGTTCGATTGCAAAGGAACACATAATCGACTTCCCGCCACCCGGTTGGGCGTTCAACCACAGAATCTGGCTTGCGTCGGACTTTAGCCAGGCCACCACTTCCTCGCTCGTGAAAAAGCCTTCACAGGTCCCTTGTGTTCGTATTGAGCGGGCGCGGAGAAGATCCTCCTCCGAAATTCCCGTAACCCCCAACAGATGACCCAAATGCTCAAGATCGGGCTTTAAAGTTTCATCCTTCCGCAAAGAGACAGATTCCGCGATGCTGCGAATAGCCCCCATAACCGAGATATAGTTTGAGTCTCTGCGGCTGGTAAACTTACAGACATTATGATGATCTGCGTTGAGGGGGACTGGCGTCTCATTGTGGTACCCCAAGACGGCGGTCCGTTTGTCAATGATCATACGTGAAAGCAGGCCCCTGGAAGCGGCCAACGTCTCGTAAAATGAGAAGATCTGCAACGTGGAAGCGTGGTGGCGGAACAAGTCGCTCAGGTCGTCAATTGTTGGGCTTCCTCTGGTCAACTCCATAGCATAATCCATGGGCGAGTGGCCCAAAACAGAGTGGAATAAATGCCGGCTCCGAGGCTCAGCTCGGTTTCCTCGATGGGGAGTCGCGAGAAAGAGCACTCCCCTGATCATAGAGACCAAGTCTGCAAATTCATCTGTCTCGTAACCTTGAACGAGGGCCTTTTTGAACACCAGGCCACCCATCGAGTGAGCGACGATGATGATCGGGACCTGACCGAGCCGCTCAGTGGTCGTTTCGCCATGTTTCATTTGATGCAGAAGGTCTCCAGCAAAATTCTTGATTGAGAGGGATGAGGTGTCCGTCTTAGACGAGAAGTGCGTCTTGTAGCCGAACGACAAGATTCGAGCCGTCGGTATGAGTTGAGGAAGCCATAACTTTGGCCAGAGTTTGTGGAGGTCTCCATCGCGGCACCAGGTTCGTAAACTTGAGCCCCCCAGTCCGTGGATGAAAAGAATGTCGACGGTCCGTTTGGATGGTTTGTGGAGGACCACCAGCCCGAGAGGGTCATCTGTTCGGTCCTGGGATTGTTGGTGGCTATGAGGGGAAAAGAGTTGAGAGTGAACGTCGGATACGGCCGAGGCAAGCCGTGCAAGTCCAGGTCTCTCCGTCGCTCGTTTCAACCCTTGATACAAGAGTGACGGCTTTTTTTGTGTGTCCTCTTCAGCCGGCTCTACCTGAATCCTGGGACAACTCGAAGAATTTTGTACGCCATCGCTGACACATGATGCATGTGGAGATGGGGATTCGTCAAACTCCTCGTTCAAGCCTGCGCCCTTGTGAGGCCGAAAGCGCTCCCACTATGAATTAATCCGAATGGAGCCACCGTCAGCAAAAAGAGAAAAGAAAGAAAAAAAAAGAAAAAGAAGAAAAGAAGAGAGAAAAGAAAGAAGAGAAAAAAAGAAGAGAAATCAGACGAAAGCCAGGGCAGTGGATGAAATGTAGAATGGAGATCATTAGGGCCACAAGGATCTTTTAGTAGGGGGTTCTGTCTCTTACCATACTATAGTGTTGGATTTGGTCAAAGTCTGAAGTGACGAAGCTTGGTTGAGGTGGTTGCGTGACGCGTCTTCAAAATCCCAAAGATGCACGGCCTAGTCGGCAAGTCCATGGTCTGGGATGAACCAAGGAGATTTCTAGCATGGCATCTCTGCGATCGCTCCGTGGTGCAACTCTGTCAGCTCCTGCATATCCCTGGCCAAGATAACCTGTCATTGTCGCCGTGTAACCGCCCACATGTAGAAGCCCCACTCCCCCACCTCCATCCAGAATCACATCTTCTCACCGGCCAGCTCGTAGCCTCGTCACGGTCGAAGATAAGGGACTTGACGCTTGACGTACCGTTCTCCAGGCGTGGTATTTATCTTTAGAGGTACCCTCCCCTCAAGTCGACAACAGAAATGAAGGCACCCTGAGCCCGTTTACCGAATTTGTGTTGCGCTCTTGGCCAACAGTGAACACTGAGAAACCTTGTGCCTGATATAGAGGCATTAACCCTTCGTTTTGCCTTGAATTGCTCGCAATTGGCTCCTTTATCACTGTATTTTGAGTCCTCTTGAAGCGCCCATTCATCATGGCGTCAATGTCTGCAGCACCAAGAACGCAAACAAGGGGTACTCCCAGAACTGACAAGGAGGACTCGTTGGGCAACATACAGGAGGCAATCGCAGAAGAAGTATTAGAAAACGCTGCGGAGGTACCACCAGATGCATCGTTGGACGTGCCAGGTCAACCCAATGGCCCCAATGCACCCTCGCTCCAGCTCGTCCTTTCGGCGGCATCTGATCCGGAAATAATCAAGTGTGAGCCACTGAGTTCCCGAATGAATTCCCAATTCCGACTCTGCTTCGGTTAGAATGGTCACTAAAGGAGGTACCCTAATGGTTAGTACTTCCCGATGGAAGCAAGGTTCTCCGCATTGAGCCATGTGGTGTTTCGAGTTGGGCATCCACCGCCCGGTTCGAAACTGAGACCGCCAACGGGCAACGGCAAGATTACTTCCTTAAGGTAAGCAAACACCTAGGATGTTCGGAGGCTGTGAACAAAGTAAGATCCTTACTCACAAATACGGGAAACGCAGATACTAGACACGCAAGACGCCTATGACCGCGTGTACGGCGAATACATGTCCATGGCTGAAATTCACAAGACTCTCGCCAGCATTGCTCCAAAGCCTTATGGCTACGGCAAGTGCCACAACCAAGTTAAAAAGGAGGAGGGCACAACAAGCAACGCGCACTTCTTCCTCTGCGACTTTCTACAACTCGACACTGGGATGCCCAATCCCGTCCGTCTTAGTCAAACGCTTGCAAAGCTCCACAGGATTAGCGAGTCACCGACAGGGAAGTTTGGATTCCACTGCACTACGTTCGATGGCAAATTGCCGCTTACGACAACGTGGGAGAGTAGTTGGACAGCATTCTTCACCAGACTCATCAAAGACGTGTATCGGCTCGACACAGAGGTGAACGGAGTCTGGCCGGAGTTCGACAGTCTCATGGAAATTACCGTCGAAAAGTTGATCCCCCGCCTCCTTGACCCTCTTACGGCTAATGGTAGGACCATTAAGCCGTCCCTGATCCATGGAGATCTCTGGGAGTCTAACATTGGAACTGATCGCCACACGGGCGAGATCTACATTTACGACGCGTGTGCCTATTACGCTCACCACGAAAAAGAGATCGCGATATGGAGGTGTGAGCATCACAAGTTGGATAAAGATGGCTACATTGAGGAATACCTCAAGAACCTTCCAGAAAGCGAACCCAAGGGGGAGTTCAAGGACAGAGGGCTCCTATACTCCGTTGAGACTCTGTTAATGAACTCGGCCCACTACCCCGGATCGGACACCCGAAAGAAGGCCTTCGACGAGCTGCAATGGCTCATCAACAAGTACCAGAAAGATTGGTAAACGGTACTGGCCGTGGGTTGATTAGCAGTTGGTGGGATTGAAAAGCTTTTATCTCAATTAGTGTTCCAACCCCTGAAGGCGACGGCTGCACCTGCTTGTTGACGCTCCCGTAGTTACCATTTATCGACTATTAAACACATGCATGTACGCCTCGCACATATTTTCACCCACCTCTGAACGTTCTGCCTTCCTGTTCCCTCCCCCGCCGCCCTTCTCCATCGCCCATTGGAGACAATGGCCCACTGGCCACAACAACCATTACGTCCATCATGAATAGAATCGACCCAAGCCCCTGATTAGCTAAACGTAAGGCAAACACCGGTCTTTAATAAAACCTCATATTTTACCCTACGCCAATGAGCATTGAATCCCAAAGCTCTCCAACGAGGGAAACGAAAGCGGTGCCACAAACTCAAATTCGTGTTTGGCTAGTGTGCAGAACGTGACGATGAAAGCCCTTTCCCCCTGAAGCACCAGGTCTATACCGTATTAGAGAAATCCAACCCCTTCGAAGACAACGAAGCACCGCCACGAATACTCCCGTCCCCATATCGCTAGTTGAGGTTGAATCAGATGAGTAAAGTTTGATAGGCCGATCTTCGGCCTGTGCCGAAATGGTATCATTTGACCATGCTCGTTGCATGTGTGTCAATCGTCGTCTTCATGCTAATAGGTGGTGGATGGCGGCCCGAGCAACGACACCCATATTTTTGCTGCATCTATTCCGTCGACCTGGTGAAGGGCCGCCCGTGCGCCAATTTTGCGCGGGGAGCTTAGAACAAACCGTGTGTCTAACTATCACGGTACGAAGGGCGGCCCTTTGCGGTGACAGGCGACGAGTCTCGTTTCATCATGTTCACCTGACTGGAAAAGCGGAAGCGGCAAGTTGGTAGCGACGAGAGAAACCAGAAAGGGAAGGACCGGGCGGGGTGGAATTGTTGGGTGTTGACTATCCATGCCCGCGTTTCCGGTTTACCCGTCCCTGGATCTTTCCAAATTCCGTCGCGGTCGGACGCCAGTCTCGATGTTTTGTCCAACACGATGAGTGAGTGTGTTTCATTCTTCATTCATTTTGAGCCGCGTTCGGAATAACCTTAACGTTCTTCGCAAGGTGGATGTTTCAACTCCCGCACCCGCGATAGCGCAGATGGCGCCATCTCAACGCTGCGATGGCGATGAGGCAGACCCGAATGACAATTGGCTTCAGCAGCTCTTAGAGGCCCCGCAAATGCCAAGTTGAGCCCTGAAAATAGGCCGGTCCCTGGCATAATCTCCCCACTGGGCGGCCCTCCCCGCAAAATACTGCCGTAAGCACCCAGCCAAAGCTAAAGTTTATCTCGACTTCACACCGTCAGCATCACCACTTTTGCCGGCTTAACTTTGTTGGTGTTTTTTGCCGTCCGCTTGCTTCTCAGTTTCCTCCCAAGCGCGCCTGCCCTCGTTTCCCGTGCTACCCCTCACCGACCACTGCAAGACGGCTCTCGGCGCCCAGGTTGACCCGCACGCCGGCCCCCGCTTCCAGGTTGTGCAGTGGAGAGTGGAGTGACTTGAAGCCAACCAGAAGCGCTGAAGAGTCGGAAAGCGCGTCAAACGAACAATTGGATTTCTCAGCATCCTGGGATCGCGATCCGTGAGACACCCAGCCCTATGGAATTTGTCAGCTTGCTGGCACCGTGGGAGATGCTGTGGCGCAGGTCTCTCCCCTTTGTTGCGGTTTCTCAACGAGCAGTGTCACCGAGTCGGATTTTGGTGTGAGACGCAGGGCATAAGTTGCTCCTGGATTATTAATCCAGCTGGTGTCGAGTTGATTTTGCGGCTGGGCTTACGGCCGGAGACATTTACAACGGTGATGGGGTCGAGTAACAATTCGGGATATTGAGAGACAAAGATCAGCCTCACCGGGATTGAGACCCTCCATGGTTGCACCGAGTAGTTATGCCGGACACGGGAGCAGTGCGAATGCCGTTGATGGCAACCTGCGATGACAAACAAGCTCAGGCGTGCGTGCCTTCCTCGTCTCATCGATCGGATGGATCCGAGCCAGAGCTGAAGATCACACGTACATGAGTCCCCACCACCCCCGCTTCTGGGGTGAAGCTTGAGGATATAAAAGAAGCCGCCCCAACGTCCTTCCAAGTCACAATTTCGCCACCATCTTCATCCAGCACTCACAAACACCTCCATCAACCTCGACTCTTCACCAACCTACATCACCAGTTTCACAGACTCACACCCACCCAACCACCAACATGTCTCTCTCCATCTACGACGCCACCATCGGCACCAGCACCCGGGCCGTGCTCACGCTACTCGACCTCGTCAAGCTGGCCCAGGCCCACCCCAAGGGCGAGGCCCTCGCCTCGGCCCGCCTGGCCGACGACATGCTCCCGTTCACCACCCAGATCATCATCGTCACCAACTTCGCCAAGAAGTACGTTGAGCGCCTCGCTCGCCGCGAGCTGCCCGTGTGGGAGGACAACGAGACGACGCTGGAGCAGTGCGTCGCCCGCATCGAGAAGACGCTCGATCTGCTCAAGACCGTGTCGCGCGAGGACGTCGAGGGCGCGGCGGTCAACGAGGTCAACATCAAGATGGGCAAGGCCGGCAACGCGGATGTCACGACGAAGCAGTATGTGCTGGATTATGCTTTCCCCAACATCTATTTCCACCTCACGACCGCGTACGATATTCTGCGCAAGGAGGGCCTGGAGCTTGGAAAGGCTGTGTACATCCAGCAGTTTGTTAGCGAGTGGAACTTTAAGCAGTAGGAGGCTGGGACGGGATTTGCATGCTGGGACGGATTCGGAAATTCGGACATGGAGGCATTTAATTAGATGGAAATGAAAATGGCAAAAGTTTGAATTCCGTACCGCATGTTCTCTTTGTGCGATTTGTCATGAAGCCTGCTTGGTGCAGCTCTTAAGAGAAACCCAGGATCTGGTTCGCCTCAGCAACCGCCGCCTTTCCATTAACTGTGTCGTTCTGGGTGACGGGAAGCTCTTCCAGCGCAAGTGTCTGGACACCGGCTGGGGTACAATGCTTTTGGACGTACTCGTCCGTCGCCCGGCCGATATGTCTCGACTCACCCTCACCTCCAGGAAAGTCTGGGCCTGGCGTTCCCCGTAAAAACGCGTCCCGCTGACGAGCGGCATACTCGGCATTTCCTTTGGTCGTGGGACAGACGGGGATGTACAAGACGCTGGAGTCGCCCGTCCCGTTGTGTTTTCGATCCACCGCGTGGATGGCTGTGTGGGTAAAGTCAGTATCCACTATGAACTCAGGGGCTGGTGATGAACCTACTGTCACAATGCCACACGACATAATCCCCCGGCCTCACCTCCGGCACATGCACCATCGTCCGCTCCAGCTCCAAATGCGGATGCAATCCTTCCGGAAACTCCTGGCCACACCCCGGCACCGCACCCTGCAAATCACTCGTCATCTTTTCACCACCTGTAAACTCCCAATTCTCCTCCTCCAAAAATCCCCCTTTTCCCCATCCCCTTTCACTCCCTTCACCCTCTGGCAACCCCCTCCTCGCCCTAAAAAAAGGCCTCAACAACGCATAAACAGCCGTCTCCTTGACCAACGGATTAACCAACAACGTCCCCCTCCCCGGCCCAGACTCGCTCATAGCCAACCACCCCTGAAACATCCTAAACATGCTACACGCGCCTAAACCATTATACAAATCCGTCACTGCGCTGGCCCGTGCTGTCGCGTTGAACGGGTCGTATCCACCGCCTTTGCGCTGACCATCTTGACCGGATTGAGATAGAGGGGCGTCCCATTCCCCACGAAAAACGGCGTCATACACTCCATGGCCACCAGACGGGAAGAGATGACGGTTCCCGTAACCGAATTCTTCCCACCTCTCAACGCTGCCGCCGTCTTGGTGTGGGCCGAGAGCGAAGTGGGCGTCGCCTGGTTGGCGGATGCGGAGGCGGTCTGCGTAGGCGAGGGAGGTGTGGAGGGAGACGGATTGGGATTTTGGGGTCCCCCCAGAGCTAGAGCTAGAGTTGGGTTTAGGGTTTGTGGTTGCTGTTGGGGAGGTGTGCCAGAAGTTGGTCATGAGGGCGCGTTGGACGGTGAGGAGGTTGGGGTGGGTGCGGGCGCGGGTTTGCGTGGGGGACCAGTAGAGTTCGAAGACTTGGGGGTTTTCTTGGGGAAATCCTATTATGGATCAGTCGGGTCAGTCAGCCATGGTTGTTTTTTTATCTTGTTTTGTTAGGATGTTAGTAAAGCTGACCTCGCGTTTGCGGATTTTGCCGCACATACTCCTCAACCTCAAATTTATACGCCCTCGCCTCATCTTCAGGAATCACCCCCCTAATGACCGCCACACCCCTCTTCTCAATCTCTCCTTTCGCCTTCTTCAAATCCTCGTCAAAGTGACTGAAGCGCACTTCGGGAATGATAGACGGCCCCATCCGCGCCACGAGATTATTTTCCTTCCGCAGCACCGCAAGCAGCCGCTTCCAGCTTGCCACGACGGCATCCTCGTGGCCTTGGACCAGTCGCAGTTTGAGTTCGCGGAAGCGGTTCGGTAGGGGTTGGGAGGGACGGCCGGAGAGTGAAGCGAAGGAGTCGGAGATATCGCCTTCTGCTTTTGGGAGGTTGCTGGGGGTGGCGTCAAGAGATGCCATGGAGGCCATCGATGAGGCGTGACGGGTGTACTTCGGGGTAAGGAGAGGGGTGGTGGCTTTTGAAGAGATTCCACGATGGGAATGACGAGTGAGCTGTGAGAGCATACTCGGAGAATATCAATCAAAGGAGAAACCTCACAAACTCAATCTTGTAGTTGCAACGGTTGGGAGATCTCGAGAGTTAATTCCTGCAGGTCGGAACGTGTGTAACGGAACGGGGAGTCCAGGCAGGAGGATCGGTACGCTTAAAACCTTCTCTGAGCCCCGAGATACTTTCAAAATCCCCAGACTTCCCCATCATAGCTGCGCTTTCCATGCCGAAATCCTAGCACTATCCTCGTCCGTGCTGGCGGAAATGCCAAATCGGGAAGTATACACACTAAGATCGACGTCATATCTTCGGGTTTGCTTCTGATGGGCAACGAGTTTCTGCCCTCGGCCCGACTAAGGTCGAGTGGGGAAAATCTACGCAGATGAAAACAGGGTGGATGCGAATCACAATTGGCGAAATAAGTTCCACGGTGAACTCTTGTCCTCATTGCATTACACCTCGGCAGGCGGTGCAATATCTTTACATTGATACGGATACTCGTGCCAGGTGCCCACAGCCCCACCAGCTGTGAGCACCCGGCGGAGTGGCCGAAAGGGGAAACTCCGGATCGCCACCGACAGTTCCTTCGTTCCACAGCCCGACTCAATCCATCAAAGTCGGAGTCAACTGCAACACTTTTTGGGTTTCGGATGGAAGACGATTCCTCAAAGCGCCATTCTGTGTTACGAGACATCAATTTCATCCATGGCGGGCGGCACCCGCTCTAGCATTGGGCCCTCGGTCAAGTTTGTGGGACACGACGCCACTGGGCTTCCCGTGAAGCGCAAACAAGTTCATCAGGCATGTTTGCCCTGTCGGAAGCGGAAAGTCAGTTCAGTCTTAGCTTCTTCTTTACAGTTTTCTCCCGGCTAACGGAATAGAAACGCTGCCGCCATGTCGAGGACTCTGTACCCGATCCTCCGCAACAACCCTCGCAACAGGCCGAGGTCCCGACCAACGACGACGACGACGGAGATCGGAGCAGCCCTTCCCAGCCGGCCGCCGCAACCGATAGGGACACCTCCGACGCCGCAGCCCAGCTACTCCGCTTCTTCCACCACGGGGCGGACAAGTCCACCTCCGACAATGCCAAGAACCCCCCCGTCCCACGGCCACGACCCATGTCTCCGGAGCCACCATTCCTAGGAGATCTAAACCCCGAGGGCATTCTTGCTGAGGCTACCATGGCTCCATCGCAGAAACCTTCGCAAGCCGCTGAAGACGCAGAGCATCAAGTGCTAGGCTACTTACCACCGACTTCGCCGCGTCAGAGCAAGGGGACTTATAAACCCACAGAAACAGGAACAACGACGAGCGCATCCGGTTCAGCCGGACAGACATCCGGCCCATTCTTCTCACTCCCCCAGGGGGATGGCACCCGATTCACGATTCATGTGCAGGACACGGCCGGGCTCGTGGCCATCGCCCAGACCATTGCGAACCGCACGCTTGCCGACAAGGTCATGCCGTCAGCGGCAGCATGGGAAGCCATGAGAGACTTGTATCTCCGTAAAATCCACCCCATCTTCCCGATCTACGACAAGTCCGAATTGGTCAACCTTCCTAAAGACACCGCCCTGCGTGAACTTATCCAGGGCTCTGTATGTCTCGCTGCAGCAACCGACCCGGATGTCGGGCAGCTCTTAACGTTCAAGTCCCATGCCAACGGGGCTACCACCGACGCTATCGTGTCGTTTGACGAATACTCCCGCGAGATGGCCTGTTTCATCAACAAACGGCTTGTAGAGCTGCAGGAAAGCCGGCAGATCTCGCTCATCAATCAGATACAGGTCATGGGCCTCACCTGCTTCTACTGGCAGCCCGCGAACCCCATAGAACGGTTTGAGCCGCTCAACCTCTACGCCAAGCTGGCGAGCATTGTGCACACCCACGGTGTGCACGTTGGTGTTCTCGCGCGTTCGGCCGCGGACACGGGAGCGGGGCATGGGAGTCGGGTGTTCAAGTGTCTCTACGCGCTTGACCGGCTCATTGGCGCGATTTCGGCAAGGCCGCTGCTGTTCCACAACTTTGATCTGGTTCAGATTCCGCGGCCGGATGCTCAAGATCCGCCGATCTTCAGGTTATTCATGTCTTTGATCCAACTTCTGGACGAGGTCATCGAGATGTACCGCCCGCGGCCCAAGGTCAGCTTCGTGGACCTGCCTGTGTTTGAGCGCATGGCCATTGAAGCGGGCGCGCAGTGTGAACCGGAAAGCCTGTTGGGTTTGTACCCTCACTCACTCTCGTCTTACTTCAAAATATGTCATTAACCCGTGTATCAGTCACGCTCGAAGTACTCTATCACGCGATCGGCGTACTCTCGGTCCGCATGCCGCGCCACCGGTTCCGCACCGCACCAGAATGCGACACGCGCCTAGTCCCACCGACGCAGCATCTTCCACCCAGCAGCATGAACGCGCGGCGATCCCACTCGGCCGACCGCATCCTGGACGTCATCAACGACTACAAGCTTAGCCCGATGCCATTTGTACCATATGCCTCGACGCTGTCGCTGAGCGTCGCCTATCGCAAGTGGCGCTTCAGCCGGCTGCCCATGTTCCGGACCAGGGGAGGTGCGGATTTTAAGAAGGTGTTGCCGGTGGTTCAGCGGTTGGGGGCGATTTGGAGTAGTGCGCGCATTAATGGGCAGTTGGGGCAGGCGGTGATGTTGAAGTTGGATAGTAGTGAGGCGGACAGGCAGCGGAAGAAGGGTGATGCGGGCAAAAGGGGGCGGGATCAGTCTGTCTCTCAGACGAGAGCCAAACGAGCGTGCCGACCGAGAGACGTCGGCAGCAGTGCTCGCCCTGCTGGAAGCAGTAACCTAGCACCAGCACGCAACGCTCCCCAGGCCGCGGATCACACCAAGCCATGGCCTCAGACCACGCCGGAAACACACCTTCCTTCTCCAACAACAACCACCACTACCTCATCCACCGACCGGATACAACCGACATCGATGCCACAACAGCAACATATTCAACCGCTCCCACCGACCTGGACAGCGGCCTGGACGAGCGAGGCTCCAACTGCGCATCAAGCACTGCCCACATCTTACCAAACCTTTGCCCAAGCCACAGAGGACGAAGCCATCCCTCTCCCAGGGACCTGCGACCCAAGTATGGTGCCCGCCGAACCTCTGGCCTTAGCGCCACCACCAACCTCAACAATGACCACCACTCCGGCCACTGACAACACCAACAACAACGTCGCCAACCCCCCCATTGATGGCACCGAAACCGGACCTACTACAAATGCTACGAGTACAGCTCCGGCTTCAACGTCAACAAGTAAACATCATCAGGGCACCACCGCATGTGATGACACAGGCCTACTGGCAGTCGATGACCTGCTCATTGACGATGACGCGCTATTCTCAGCGTGGGACCCGCAGTTTGCGCAGTCGGTGGATTTTTCATTTTGCAGTATTTTGGATCCGGGGAACCCGTTTGCTTGGCCGGAGTATTGTGGGTATTCGGGGTGATTTTTCTATCTTTTAGGTATACTTAGCTAGGGTTGGATTGGAGTTGGGGTTAAGGTTGGGCTTTGTGGTTTTGGGTTTACAGTTAGTTTTTTGCATAACCCGAGGGTGCCTAGGTGCTGGTGTGGTTTGACTAAGGACAAGAAGCTCACATTTGTGGTGGTTGCGCGGCTTGGGCGTGAGGGCGGTGGCTGAGCTGGTTGATTCATGGAATGGAGAAGAGGATGTAACTGAGATGAGGAGGACATGGAATTGAGGGGTTCTTTGTTGAATTCTTTGGTATGCTGGGCGTTGTAAGCGTGGATATAGAGCTTCTAGACCATCTAGATGAGGCTTAGAGGCGGTTCGAGCTATCCCTTGGTATTTGAATTTGATGGGATTAATGACCGTTTTCTGACCTGGCGGTTCGATCTAGGCAACACAGGGAAAGTCCGAATCGGAAAGTAATCATTTGTACTGATTCCACCGCTTTGTAGCCCATATCTATAACGGGTCTCCTTCATGGCTAACGGTGTTGTTCACGATTACCCCAGCCGCACCCCTGCAAAATGTTGATGTTCTCTCGCCCGCTCTAATACCAGCAGTACATAACTCCCACGGATACGGCGCGCCCTGCACAATTCACAACAACCCCTGCGCTCAGCCAGGGAGGCAAACTTCCACGACCCGCTGTGCCAATAAATTCAATTTCTTTATCTTTGTGGCGTATCCTGATGCCTGCACGCCCAAATTCCGCCATACCACGTTTGGCCACTTATTTGTCTGCTCTGGGGCTTTGCTTTTGCCGTCTAAGACATGACGCGGGATTGCGAAATTCTAGAAATGTTTTTCTTGCTTCTTCGCATGCCTCACTCCGGCATGTTTTTTTTTCTCGTCTCCTTTTTGTCTCGGTAGGTACTCGAGCTTCATCCTCGGGCTTCCCTAACTAGTGGTTTTGGGATCACTTGCGCCAAACCTAGGAGATGATGAGGAACTCACTCCGTCGATCTCGCTTCACACCACTACTATTGATTTAGTCAATTCGAACAAGAACAAAAACACACCATGGACCAACCACTAACCATCGCCCGCCCCGTCGAATACCTCCTCTCCGGCATCGTCTCCACCTCCTCTATCATCACGCGCTTCATCCGCACCGTGCGTGTCGCCCACGCCGACCTGGCCGCCGTCACGCGCGACCTGTCCGACCTGCGCTTGGTGCTGGAATTGCTGAAGGAAGAGACTGGGATCCCACCCGCGCTGCAGGGCCAGATGCTCCTGGTGCTGGAGAGCTGTGGGAATGTGTTGATTCGGGTGGATAGCGTGTTGGCGCAGTGTTCGAGGCCGGAGGCGTGGGCTAGGGTCGGGAGGGGGGAGATGGAGGTTTGTCGGGAGGGATTGGGGAGCTTTAGGGAGGCGTTAGGGTTGGCTTTGGATGTGGTTGGTGTGTATGTTTATTTCTTTTCATTTTATCTGTTCCTCTTTTGCCCGTGACTTGATGTATTTTGTGGACGAGATCTCTTGCTGACTCGAGTAGAGACGGATTATCGGGGACTCCATACGTTGAGACGGTACGGGAAAAGATCGAGGCGGAAGGGAAGCGCCTGCGAGAACAGCAAACGACCAGGAGATCATGGCAACAGCACGACATGGCCACCCTGCTGATTGCGTATCTCGATGTCCTCCTGAGTTTCCTCGACGGTTCCCCCGCTGAGCTTGACAGCCAACAGACTCTCAATGCGCCGGCCCAAGACGAGGCATGGCCGCAAGGGAAGCAGAGCGTGGACTTGTCGTATTACACCGGGGAGTTCCCAGCTCCAGCATGCGACAGAAGCCGGTCTCCATGTCTGCCCGAATCACCCACGCTACCTGTGTTGTTCAACAACAACCCGTTTCCCGTACCCTCTAAACCGATTATATCACCCGTGATACGGCCAGCCTGGAAACGCAACAGCGCTGTGTCAGTGGCCAATTTGGAGTCGGAGTCACCGACGAGTGTTTACTCGGAGGATCGGTCTTCCCAAGCGAGAGACGGATATGTGTTGCATCACTCGCCCGTTCCGTCGCTTTCTTCAGAGTTGTCAAGACGGAGCAGCAGTCGGGTGTCAAATATGAGTGCCGCACTCGGCTTTTTTCCGTCACACAAAGCTGCTGCTGTTCGACTCAACAGTGTGGACAGTGAAACCCCGGACTCAGGCTCACCACCGCCAGAATACCGCCAGATTTGGACTTCGGCTCCCAGATATCCCCCGCCTAGCATACCTTTACCTACTGCCTGGCCTGAGCCGCCCGCCCGTCCTAGTCCACCTGTCCCCGAAACTCCACACCCAGAACCAGAAACCCGCGTAGAAATCGTCCCGAAACACTACCTAACCGACAAAAGCAAACCATCCGACATCCTCTACATCGACACCTCACCCATGTCCCGCTACTTAGCCACAAAACACAGCAACAAGCTCGTCAAAATCTGGTCCACGCACACCAACGCACTGCACACCACCATCAAGACAACTTCATACGTTCAGCCCCGGCCCCGGTCCCGCGAGTACTTTGTCCGCAGCCACGCGATCCTCTCAGAGCAGAACACCCTCATCGGCATCACCACCCATTTCGGCCTGACCCTCGAGATATGGGATTTCTCCAAACCCGGAACTGGCAACGCCAAAAAGGTCCAGACCATTGACGAAGCCCATCGCTGGGCTGCCAGTCCCCGAGATGCGGTGCACAACAACCACGCTGGTCTAGCTGTGTACCGTCCCAAGTATGATCGTATTGATTGTTTTTACTTCTCTCGTCATCCGGGAGCGAAAACACCGTTCTACTCCGACCCAAGCCTCGCGATCGAACTACTGAAGGCGAACCTGCCGTTTCTGCCCACATTCCCCGAACTCGCCTACAGTTCCGACCCGGATAATCCCATCCTCGTGGCTGCTGCCGGGCCCAGACCAGGCGACCCTCTCCGAGCGAACGGGACTATTCTCGTGGCCTGGCAGCTGAAGCCTGTCGCAACAGACAAACTCACACAGTCTCCAACAACCCCTCATACGCCTTCTTTGCCATTGCCGTCAACAAACGAGGACCGGCACAAACCATACCGCGTATGCGTCCCCGACCATCCAGCGCTGCGGACCGCGCTGCCGGCGTCTCTAGCCGTTCACGGGCACACAGCTGTATCGGTTTGGATTCCGGCGTCGAAGTCAGCCACAGATGTTAGTCACATAACCAACCGGGGCGGTAACAACAACAGTAACAGCAACAGAAACGGCTCGATTAGCAGCAACAGCAGCAAAACAACAACCCCCCACCGCACCTTCTCCCTCGCCAACTTCACCAAATCCCGCACCGCTCAGAAACTCCACACCCGCTATCATAACCACAACCACCACCCCTCCATAAGCACCAAACCCTTGATCTCCCGCCCGAACCCACAGATGCCCCCATTGCCGGTCCCAGCAGAAGGCACCGGCTCTGGTAAAAGTCCCACCAGTGCCGGTCTAGACGACGCAGCAGTACCACCAAGACTTCTGCTACTCTGGGACCTACCGACGAATACAACGCGGTTGTTTCCTATACCGGGGGGGAATGCACAGGTGGCTGTCGCGCCTGATTGTGGGCGGTTGGTTTATTATGATGCCAGGAATGATAAAGAAGGGGAAGTTGTTGTGCTGGATTTGAAGCTTAATTTGGGACCGGATAATGGACTGGATCAAGGTGGTGGTGTAAACGGGGGTAGGGATAATGGGGCTGGCAATGCGACTGGCAATACGACTGGAATCAATCGACACGGAATTGGAACTGCCAACGCAGCCATCCCGGAGACACCGGGGCAAGCCAAAGACGAGCGGGGAGTGAAATTAAAAGAACTATGGCGGTGGTCAGAACACTCTCACAACGACAAAGACCCACACCAGGACAACGGGTCAAGTCAGTTCGGCCAGCTCACCCCGTTCACCGACTCCGAGAGAACCCCGACCGGCCTTACGCACGGGACAAGCAACAGTACCAACACCAACAGCGCAGGGAAATCACCAACCGCCCTGGGCTTCTCGGCAGACAGGAAGATGTTGCTGGTTGGTGATACGAGTGGGAGTGTGGGGGTGTATGGAGTGGAGGATGTAAAACGGGAAGTTGGCGAGAACCGGGCAGTTGAAAATACGGGTAGTGAGACAGGAAGGACTAGGAGAGGAGTGTTTGAGCTGGGGGTTGGGAATGAAATTGCGTGGGTGGATGTTCTTGATCAGGAGATTGGGAGTGTTGGAAGGGCGGCGGGGAAGGTGAGGGTTGGGGGAATGTGGTAGATGGGTATCTAGGGATTGATGAGAAGGTTTGGTGCTAGGTGGTTTGTTTGAAGTTTGTGGTTTCTTTCTTCGACGTTTATGTTTTTTGGGTTCTCTCTCTGGGATACAGCTTGAGGCGGAATAAATCTCAACTAAGAACTTGCTGTCTTGCTCTACGATGCTACTCTCAATGCCAAGTCAAACGTCGTTCCACGCGGTGATGTGAACCCTAAAACAGACCGGCCTTTTCTCCGATCATCACTCCCTAGTGTACTCCCTTCCCCCCAAAATCCTCCCCGCCGCCTCCGCAAACTCAACAGCCATCTTCTTCCCCTCACTCACCTCCTCTTCCCCAATCCCCTGTACTCCCCCATCATCATCCCCCGGCGTATACTCCTCAACCGGCACGCCATCAATCACCGTATCAACCCCAGGCGCAACCTGGTACGTAGACCCCCCGATACTGATCTTGGTTGTGGGTTTCCCCCCGTTTACTTCGGCTGGTGCGCCGCCTGGGAGTATCACCACGCCGTGGCCGCCGATGGTAGTTCTTCGTGTTTTGGGGGGTTGGGAGCGCTGGGATGGGGGGGTTAGTGGGAGTGTAGGTTTGGGCGGTGGGCGGTGGGCTGTGGGGTTTGCGTACCTTGATGTGTTGTATGCTGTCAATGGGATGTGGTAAGCTGCTTGCTAGAGCCAGCAGGCTCAGGATGATCAGATGGGCGGTGATGAGGAACATGTTGTAGAGGGCACAACTACAACTCTAGTTGCGAACAGCAACCATTCCAATACGCCGGCAATCAAGAACTCAAGAGAATACTCCTTGTTTTCACCTTGAATAATATCCCAGCCCGAAACACAGACAAAACACACATCCCCCTTGCCGTGTATCTCCATCAAAACATAGGGTTAGGGTTAACATGGGCTTTTCGAAACAGCTGCCACTTCGAGATAAAACACGCGCCCCGGCAACCCAAAGCTGAAGGTAGAGTAGAGCTAATACATCTCGTGCACTCAAGAAATGGAAGCATCATCAGGGGGAAAGACTTCGTATTGTCTATCTATCTTGCCAGTGGTCGAGCCGTCAGCCCCTCCAGTCAAGCTAAGCTGTGATGAACGAGATCGACAGATTTAGTCGATCCACAAACACCGTAGCTTGAACCAGGCCGACGCTTCCACCACATATGTCCCCCCAAGAAAAAAAGTTTTTTTTTTGCTTTTCTGTTTTCTTTTTGGTTTTTGTTTTTACAGTACCCGTGACTCTTTCCCCAGCTACCTCAGCGCTCGATGACTCAGCGAAAAACCAAGTCCAACGTAGTGTTGTCGACGATGAGCGTAGTGGGTTGAAGAAGTCAACAAGTCGTCGCTGTTCATGGTGTTGGTGGTTTGTTTAGTAAGCTTTTCGGCATGTCAGGCCCCAAAAACGGTTGAAGCTGGGCCACAGGGCCACGCCGTGCTGCTGCTCGCCGGACAAAGGCTAAGGCAGCAAGCACAAGACGTTTTCCCGTCACAGTTCCTCCTCATATCCGTGTGTCGTGGTTTTGGCCGGGTGACCTGTCCCCACCGTGAGGTGACTGGCCGTCATCAACCCCAATCCTCCTCTTGCCACCAAATTTCTAACACCACCTCATCATCGCGCCTTGAAATTTTCTTCCCCCGTTAACCATGTAACAAGCCCCCATCTACCACCAGCCCGGGGTATCAATCGATCCGCAAAGCCCTGAACATTGAGTATTCGAAAGACCCCACAACGCCGTCCTCATCAACCCCACGGGAGCCCGTCCATCGAGTATCCTTAGGAACGCTCCATGGATCATGTAACGGCCAATTCCGCCTCGTTCGCCCTACATCTCAATCACCCAGAGAAATGCGCCCGACACCACACCTCGCCGGGTCAATGATATCAGAAAATGGAAAAAAAAGCGCGCTTATATCCGGTTCGTTCCCGCCCATCCATGCGCCGGTGACGATAAAGGACGGAAAATGGTATCCCGTATCATGGCCACAAAATATCCCGTGCCGAAAGCTCCGTCCCCGAAACGCCGTGTATATGATCCCCGATCCGCCTCATGACCCTGTTCCCGCCGTCGAAGGGAGCTCGTCCGCCCAATCCGCTGAGGTTCCCGGCCTCGCGCTTCTTTTCGTTTCCGTGCCTTTCGTGGATGTAAAAGAAAGAAATCAAGAACAGAATCATCCATTACTACCCTGAACCAGAGGTCGCGGTGTAGGTAGAACGTGAGTGACTCTGACTGCGGGCAGTTTTCGGCGCAGATTGATCGAAAAGAGAGAACCAGCTGCACCAGGTTGATACCACCTACCAGCCCCCCTGAGAACTTGAACGTCCAAGGCGCTGGCTTTGGGTAGAATAGATCACACCTGCCAACCATGATGCTAGCTGTTGGTACAGTGCAGGTCGATTGTATCGTGGTGTGAGGTGAGGTGTCGAAAATTAGGCGGTGGGCGAGTACATAACAAAAGTAAGATACAATCGATTCCGAGTTTTCGTGGTTGGCGATCGTTGTGAGCGCCGGGATCGAAAGAGTTAGAAGGCTGGACTTCCCCATCCAGGGAACCTTCCGGAAGGGATTTGAGACCACAAGGAAAAGAAAAAGAAGGAAGAAAAAGGGAATGGGGAAAAAATGACAAGACAATGGACATAATATGTACAATCAAGAAAGCCAACACAACTAGGGCGATTTCGTACTGATAACACAGCCCCCAACATCCCCGGATGCTGATGGGGGTTAGACTTCTTGTTGGGTGGGAGTGCTGGGCTGGGAGCCCTGGCGGCCACCACGCTGACCGCCGTAGTTTTGGCGACCGCCCTGGCCTTGGAAGCCACGGCCACGGCCTCCGCGGGAACCGTTTGAACCGCCTCGGCCACCCTGATATCCCCCACGGCCAGAACCGTTCTGGCGGTTACCCTGTCCTTGCCGGTCTCCGGACTGCAACCCCGGAGATGGCGATTGAATTGGCGGGCTCAGTGGCTGATCCTGCTGTTGGATGGCAGCGGGCCGAAAGTTCGAAATGGGGCGTGGGATGCTCTCCGGGTTATCGTAGACATAGAGGCTTTTGTCGATGGTCGCAGGAATCGGCTGAATCTCGGTTCCTAGGTCGCGCTCAATGTTGTACAGGTTGAAGCGATCGTCCCAGTTGATCAAGTTGATGGCCAAACCAAGATGCCCGTAGCGACCAGAGCGGCCGATACGATGGAGGTACGTCTCAGCGTTCTTGGGGAAATCGAAGTTGATAACGACGTTGACGGCCTGGATATCAATACCACGCGTGAGAAGGTCAGAGCAGACCAGGTTGCGGCAAACACCGTTGCGGAAGTCGTGGAAGACACGGTTGCGAGCCTGTTGGGCCATTTTGGCGTGACTGTAAAAGCAAGAGTAGCCAAGCTCCGTGATCTTCTTGGCCAGGAGCTCGACACGGTTGGTCGAGTTACAGAAGATGATGGACTGGTTGATCTGAAGCTTGGAGAAAAGGGTGTTCAGGCAGTGAACCTTCTGCTTCTCTTCGACGTAGGCGTAGTACTGCGTAATACCGCGCAGGGTCAGCTCGTCCATGAGATTGATCTCGTATGGACTGGACATGTTCTTGTCCGAGAAATCTTTGACGGAGATGGGAAATGTGGCGGAGAAGAGCATGACTTGGCGGTCCTTGGGGTGGAACCTCAGAAGCTGCTCGATGACGGGAGTGAACTCAATCGACAGCAGTTTGTCGGCCTCGTCCATGATGAACATGGGACATTCGCTTAGATCGGCCACCTGCTTGCCAGCCAAATCGAGGATTCTTCCGGGAGTTCCGACCACAATATGGACGGGATCCTGCAACCGGACGATATCGTCACGAAGCCCAGTGCCACCAGTTGTGACCATTACGTTGATTCCGAGGTGTTTTCCGAGTGTCTTGCAGACTTGGGATGTCTGCATTGCGAGTTCGCGAGTGGGGACGAGAATGAGGCATTGAATCTTGGAGACCTTGGGGTTGATCTTTTCCAGTGCCGGAATGACGAAAGCGGCGGTCTTGCCAGTGCCGTTCTTCGCGCGAGCCAAAATGTCGCGGCCGGTGAGCGCCACCGGTATGCTCTCTTCTTGGATGGGGGAGGGCTTTTCGAAGCCGGCCTCAAAGATGCCCATGAGGAGATCTCGCTTAAGGCCGAACTCCTCAAACTCTAGGCCTTTAGTGTTGGTTACATCCTGATCGCAAGGTGCACATTAGCAAAGGCGGTCAATACGCCAGTCGGTCTATTCACCACGCACCTCGGTCTGTTGCCTCGTATCCTTCGCCGGGAGCCTCAGGTTTGTCTTCCAATCTTCAGCGGTCGGAGACTCACTGTTCCTCGTTAGCCTAGGTTACACCTCAATGTCAAAAACTAAGCCATTAACGCACTCAAGGGTTGCCTCCTGCAGCTTGTCAACCAGGCTGTCTGTCATGGTGGCTGTGGTGGGTTATGTTGAGTTGTGGTATGAAGGGTACTGTGTGGGGGTCGCGCTGGAAGGTCCGCAGTCGACGTGCGGTGAGGTGGGTTGTGCGTTGTCGTTGTTGGAATTGGGAAGGTAGATCGCTCGCTCCGCCAGCTTGCACACAGAATCGGAAAAAAGATGTCTTCGAATTTTAGCCTGTTTGACCGGCCGGTGCGCAGGTTTCCAACCTTAAATGAGTGGCCGGTTAGAGGGAATCGCGAGACCGGTATAGAGGGGAGGAAGTCGTCAACGTCGTCGAAATAGGGTTGAGAATTGGTTCGGGTGGACAACGCCTGGTTTCACCAAGGGATCTGGTTGAGCGTGGGATATCGGCAGGTAAAATCGTGGAATCGAAACCTCTGTGGGGAGACGTTGCTTGGTTGGTAGTGGGAGTTTTGTAAATTTCTCGGTGCGCTGTGGGAGGGAATTCGAGTATTTCGTTGAGGGCAGCAACGGCGGGGAAGGTCCAGAGGGCTGAAGGAGCTTTTGCACGCCCCTGCCAAAAAGTTGCGGGAGCTTGAAAACGTCACGTGAGTGTGCCAAGACAAGACCACATCGGTGGACAACAGCGCCCGTGCGCCAAAATGTGGGGTTGACGTGGGGTGGCGCTGCATTGATCGATGCTTCACAGGGTTGTGCGGAGATGCATGACGACGGATCCAGGGACCTCATTCTTGTCCTCTGCAAATAGTCCGGACCACCCGCGAAGCCATCCAAATAGACCAGACCACCGGCCTCACTTCCACGCTCAAATAAACGGGCCGGCGTTATGTCGCTGGGCCTACCAAGGATGTTAGGCCCTATCTAAAACAATGCTTTGCAAAAACACAGCAGCAGCCCTGTCCCGTAACTGTGGCGCTGTACCGATACTCTGCTCACCATTCTCGCCTCCGCCAAGTCCATCGCGAGCTTCGTCCCGCAATGCCGGGCCCATCTGCTTGCAACAACGCCGGTCAAACGCTTCACTTCATGAGGGTCCGCGAGACCCGCCAGACCAGCATGGCGCATTGAGCTGGCCCGCATCAACCAATCCCACGCCATACCAAATCCTCGGGCTCCCGCGGCATGGCTCTTACAACAAAGCTCGATACTTTCAACTCGCGAAGCTCTATCACCCCGACCGCCACAGCAACACTTCTGACGACGGGATTCCACCTCAAACAAAGCTTGAACGGTACCGCCTTGTCGTGGCCGCAAACGAAATTTTGAGCGACCCTCACAAGCGGCGAATGTACGATGTCCACGGGTTAGGTTGGGGAGACGAAACAGATTCTTGGGCATCGAACCGCGACGTAAACCGCAACTGGAGGAGAGATGCAGGGAACGCGAGCATGAACGCTACCTGGGAAGACTGGGAGAGGTGGCGTAAGCAACGGAGTGGCTCGGACCAAAGACAGGAGGAAATATTCACGTCCAACATTGGATTTGTGGCTATCATTTCAGTCTTCATGATTGTCGCAACATGGGGCCAGATGACTAGGGCAGGAATGAGGTCAGCCACCTTTCTCGACAGACGTGATCAACAACACGCCAGCATTAGTAGGGAGTTACGGGAACGACGAGGCCAGAGGGAGCGCCTCGATCGGGAAGGTAGGGTTGAGAGCTTTCTACGGCAAAGAGAAGCGGAGAATTGGGGCTATGATCCCTCTCATGGGGACCTCTCAGTGTCCATAAGCACAAAGGTTCATGAATAGCTTGCCTTAGGTGTAAACATTAATCGCAGATTTTCCATTAACTCAGAACTATTTCCACATGGTCACCATCCTTACCAGAATAGCGAGAGGGTGTGTTTGTTCTACCAACCAGACAATAAGGGTCACAGAATGGTGTCCCCGAACAAAGTACGTCGGTGGTAGAGGGTGTCACCATCTTGCCAGAGTGCAGTCAAGAACAAAATGGGTACTGACACCTATTGTAGAACCGCGAGGTAACCAATGTTGAGACTGACAACTATAGGATAGCCGGCGCACTGTGAGCTAAAGCTGAGTCCCTAAGTCAGCAATATCAGGAAGTAGGTTGTGTCAAGTATCACGTGCTCATTCCAAGCTCCTCTTCGCGACGTTGAGATTAGCAACCACAGGATAGGTGGCATGCTTTGGGCTAAAGCTGAGTCTTGGTTTGAACGAGAGAAGGAGGTAGGTTTCGTCAAGCATCACGTGCCCCTTGGTTTGTTCCCATGGCTGCTTTGCGATGTTGAGGCAAGTACGGAATAAGCAGCACACTGTGGGCTGAAGTCGAACCTTGAACGTGAACAATGGAAGGAAGCAGGTTTTGTCAGGCATCATATGCCTCTTGATTTATTTTCATCGCTACTTTTACTTCCTTCCCAACTCTCCTTGCCTCTACTTTTGCAGTCGGTTGACCGAAAACACCACCATTTTCACCCGCGGTGCAAATCATCACCCGGCTTTCCCAATACATTCTGCTATCATCGTCGTTACAAGCTCGTTACGATTTCCAGCGCGGTTCTCGTTACGACTTCCGGCGTGGTTCTCGTTACTATTTCTAGCGTGATCCTCGTTAGGATCCTCGTCTCTATTTTCGGCACGATCCTCGTCACAATCCTCGGCGCGACCCTCGGCGTGGACAGCGTGAAATACACACAATGGCCTTACAAGAACTCTCTCGTTTGGGAGGCCCGAAGAAGCAGCGGACACTCGCTGAACTCTTCGCGGCCTGCCCGGGTGAAATCCAGGAGCAAATTTTGCTCCATTTCGTTCGCCATCCCCAGTTTCACGTTCTCAAAACTGCCTTCAGCCAATTCCGGACCAACGTGCCCTGGTCATTGAGATTCACCCCGGTCGTTAGGGCATTCGACAAGTCGGGATACCGACAGTATGATCACGTCGGCGAGATTAGGCCTTTCACGCGCCGCTCCATGCATATCGAGCAGAACAACCAACTTCGCCAAGGATACCATGACACACGTCTGCCCTTCATCATGCTCACCGTCCACGCCAACGGCCATGACGACCTCATTGTTTTGGAGCTTTCGGCGCGACCGACCAGGGCCCCACCCTCGTTCGACCCAACATCGGCCCTCGCCCTTCAGTTTGAGGGCTGGAGACTGATCCGAACATTTCCTCGCATTGAGAACTTGGCTTTCAAATGGTTCTACCATGGCCACTCTGCTTGCGCGGCCCAGGCGACCTTCAACTGCCGTCACCAAGGCAAAGAACACGCGGCCTGGAAAATGTGCCCGGCTCACCTGGCGCCATTTCTCCATTTCTTTCCGTCCTTGCGCCAGCTTCACTTCATTCTCGAGTTAGATAAAAGCAAGTGGACAAAGTTTGCCGTCGACACCTACATCAAGAACTACTTCACTACCAAGCGAGGTACGTACATTCACAAATGAATCTTGGACTCGTTCTCTTTCTCAAATCTCTGGTTTCTCGTTTGTTCGATTTCTATTCTTTCCGTCGTTATTCCTTGAGATCGCTCGATCTTCTGTCTTTCTCAAATCTTCGGTATCCCATTTGTTCGGTTTCTATTCCTTTTTCCCGTTTGTTCAGTTTCCATGTTTTCTGGCATTATTCCTTGTGATCGCCCGATCTTCCATCTTTCTCAAATCTCCGGTTTCCCGTTTGTTCGGTTTCCATTCTTTCCAGCATTATTCTTTGAGATCGCTCAGCTCTTCCTACCTACCCCTTCCATCTTTACAGAACGCTAACCAATCCGCCCGCACCTTCCCACCACAAACAGGCAAGCACATCGATCCCGACGGACGTCCAACCCGGCACTTCTACGGCACCGACACCCAATACATCCCAGTGTACAAAGAACTCCTCGTCCGTGTGAATGACGATGGCACCGAGTTCCTCGACCTCTGGCTCCGCGAGGTCGGACCCGTCGAAAACATGCTGGCTTGCCTACGTGAGGCATACAGAGCCGACCAGCCTGCTCTTCCCAATATGCTGCCTTGGGACCCGGAGGGCTGGCGCATGTTGCCGGGCAAGGAGAAGCGCGCCAAGGTTACATTTGGGATCCTGATTGCCGCGCCGGATGAGCAGTGCGTGGAGTGGGAGGGACAGGAGCGCGTGGACTTTGTTAGGTTGATGCGTGAGAGGGGGGTCTTTATTGAGTAGAGAGACTGTTTGGAGGCCTTGAGACTTGACTCGGCTTTACGGTGGTTATCTTTCGGGGTTCGTTTGGGACTGTTGGCCCGGATTTGCGGGTGTTATCTTTCAGGTTCATCTGGAGGCGTTGGCCCAGCTTTGCGGTGCTTTTCTTTCGGGTTCGCGAGATGCGCATTTGGCACACCTAGGACAGGCACTAATGCCTTTGGTTCTTTCAGGGCTATCTGATGATGGCCTTTGAATAAATGGGTGCTTTACAGGTAGATGATTGAATTCTATCTAAATTTCGAACCAAAACCGAGTGTGGAAACATTGAAAACATCTACAAGTAGCCGCCAGTCTCGTTCACCTATCTCCGGCTCTTGTCTTCCCAGAAAACTGCATTTTGACCACAGCAATTTGCTGCGCGTCAGAATTAAGTACATGACTGGTCAGCCTGTCAGGTATCGCAGGGCATGATTGGAATTATTCCGAAGCCTAGCCTCAGGCAAAGAGCCACGTGTTTGGCCACAGGCAAATGGTGCGGAATAGATGTACCAACAGGGGCGGAAACCCTACAGAACGGCCTTTCTCGGTTCATGGTTTGAGTCCAGCTTAACTCATTCTCCAGACCGTAATACTAAGTTCCGGTATCAAACTACGAATTGAAGGCTTTCAGGCAATCACAAATTTGCCAGAATAGGGCATACCAAGAGCATTCACTTCCCACAAAAATGATAAAAAAAGCTGAAATTCGAATGTAAGAAAAAGCGCAATTGTTGGCCTCCAAGGTGGCAAAAAGAATTCACAGGACACTACGTGCAGCAAAGAGCTCGGCAATATAGGCAAAACACGTGGCAGGTGACACAATCTGAAACGAATATTTCTATCTTCTACCACAGCTTTGCACCAGATCCATCTCTATGGCTCGTGGAAACCAGATATGCATATGCAGCTGCGCATCCAAGATAAGAAATGTGCCAAACGACCTTGAATGTTGAACAATTCCAAGTTTTTGAGCCTCACTTTCATCAGTGGCTGCAATGATTCACAGATTCAGGGGTCGCGTGGGCAACCCTGATTGGCTGGTTCCACCCAACCAAGTAAACAAATACCCCCGAAAACTGCCATCCCAGCCCAATGTGGGCCGTGGCGTTGCTGCCTGCCAACACATGATTTGCAAATGTCCAGCTAAATTGATTGGGGTTTTTTGTCTCGTTCCTGCCGTTTTCGAGTTTCCAAACCTTCTTTTTCGTTTTCCACCAGCTTCGGACGGGAATTATGGAGCAGAATTTGGATTTACCCATTGCGCTGCGGCGCACACGGCGCAGTCTGGGAGGCCAAAGCGTCCAGAAACCCCCAACAACAACATCAACAACAACATCAACGTCAACATCAACACGCGTAACCCCTAAAAAGGTCACACACAAACGAGATGCTCCCGTCTCGCAAACACCAAAATCTCGCAAACGACGCGTTAGATTCTCAGACCCAGGCCCTCAAACCACTCGGGATCACCATGCTAGCCCATCAACGGGCCTAACCCCCCTAATCAAGCGGACAACACTATCCAGCAGCAGCAAGACCCCGCGACGGCGTTCCACCCCAGCTCGATTCTGTCCCGGCAGCGGCAGCGGCAGCGGCAGGGGGCCAGGCCCCCTCAACCCCTTTAACACCCCAACCTCCCCCTTTAGCGGCGAAGTCCGATTTCTCCCCTTACGTCAGGTCCTAGACGGGCGTGTAAAACGCCGCATTCGACGGAATGGACTAAGCGAGGAGATGAACACCATTTCGGCAGAGAAGAGACGGCGGTCGGAGGAGGCGAAGGCGGAAGTGGAGAGGTTGAGGGCGGAGCTCGCGGAGAAGGATCAGGAGATTGAAAGGTTGCAGGATGAGACGGTTGTGTTGGATACGGAGAGGGTGTGGGATTTGGAGAGGCAGGTTGAGATGTTGAGGAGGGAGTTGGAGGGTCGGTCTGGAGGGGCGGGGGGTGACCGGACCGGAGGGTCTGAGGAGGAGGTGTTCACCGACTTTGACGACGATACGTACTTGCCGGACGGGCCCGAGGAGATGGTGTCGAGCACGCCACCACGGCGTATGCAGATGTCCTTCCAGACGTCGTTCCCCACGCCGCCTGCGACCAGCCCGGAGCCTGGGAAGATGATGTCATCACCACAGACGCCTTCACGACGGTTGTTATTCGACACGCCACGGTCGAGTCTGAGTATCGAAGTGGATCCTTGGGCTACGGAGAGGGAAGAACTGGAGGAGGAACTGGATTCGCTACGGCTTGAAGTCACCAAGTTGTCGGCCTCGCTAGAGACCTACACGACCTTGACAACCCGGTTATCCAACCATCTCCCACACCCACCCACGGAGAATTCTTCTACCCAAGAACCGACCGAAGAATTAGACCTCGAAACCCGTCTCACCACGGTCCTCCACAACCTCACCTCCCAAACAACCACCCTCTCCGAACTCACCACCTCTCTCCAAACCCTCGGCTTCCCCGGCTCCGACGCCTTCTCCATCCTCGACTCCCTCCGCACCGCCTTCCGCACCGCCCGCCTCGAACTCGAATACCTCTCCCCCGGCGAAAGCACCTTACCCCTCACCGGCTCCGGCGCAGCCCTCCTCACCCACCTCCTCACTCAACTCCGCACCTTATCCACCCAACACCGCGCGGCCACCGACGCCCTCGACGAGGCCCACGCCTCCCAGGTTTCTTTGCGGCAACAACTCAGCGCGCGTGCCTCGGCTATGGATACCCTCGCCGCGGAGCTGACCACCGCCCAACACGACCGTCAGCGGGCTGACGCTCGCGTGGCAGATCTCGAGCACCGGCTTACGAGGCTACGCACCGCGGCGCGCGCGTATGCTAGTGAGATTGTCGACCTCGAACAGCTGGTTCACCAGCTCGAAGACGAAATCGAAGACAAATCTACTACCATCACCGACCTCGACGGGAAACTGATCGCTGCCCTGACACAAACTGCCGCTCTCCAAGATGAAATCACTGCCCTGACTGCGACACACCAGCTAGAACTGGCCGATCGGGAGGGAGAAACGAAAAAGTTAGGGTCGGAACTGGATACGGCAAAGGGTGCGTTGGAGGAGATGAAAAGTGTGGTGGAGGAGTTGAGGAGGGAGAAGGACGAGTTGGGGGCCGTGAGGGCACGGGAGAGGAGGGGGGCCGTGGAGATGATGGGAAGGATGAGGGGGGAGTTGGAGAGGGTTATGGGGATTGTGAGGGAGGGGGAGGAGGTTTGGGGGGGTGATGGAGGTGAGCTATGAAGGGGAGGTGTAAAAGAGGTGGTATGATTGTGTTCAGTAATGGATGAGAGGAGGATCTTGGGGGGGTTTCTTGGGTGTTGGTTTTCTTGCTACTTTCGTTAACAACTAACTTTTGCTTTGTTCTTTTGGTTGGTTAGGATATTGCATTTGGATTGGAAGCATTTAGAATTGGAGTTGGGATTTGTGTTTCTTGACTACTTTGTACACTTGTTTGTCAACCTTTTTGTCAACTTGATCGTCCATGATTTTGTCTCGATTCCCATGATTTCATCCATCTCTCCATCTCCCATGTGTTCTTCCTCGAGTAACTTCTCAAATCCTAAGCAAAGTTCCAACCTGTATTCCATCTCTTGTTCAACGCGCCGTTCCATTCATTCGACTTTCCTCCACTAACTTCCTTCCTTCCTCCGCGTAACGACCTAGATCCAGTTATTCCACTCCAAAAGAAAAACCGGATACGGCCCCGTGCCATCCCTCTTCCACTCCACCGGATCCCCCTCAAACCCCAAAAACAAACTAAACATCGCTACCGTCTCCCACTCCTCCATCCACTTCCTCCTCAACTCCCTCACCCTCTCCACCGAAAACACCCCCGCCTGCGGCACCAGCCTAGCCTCCTCCACCTTCCCAACCCACCCGTCCTCAAACAAATCCAACATCACCGACTGCGCGTCCGCCAACAACCCATACACCCCCAACTCCATCGCCCCCTCCCGCGTGTCCAAAACACTCATCTGCCCCATCACCACCGGCCACGTGCTTTTCTTATACCCCCTCACCAGCCCCGTCCGCGGCACCTCCCAAAACGGCCGGTTATCCCCCTCCGCATCCGGCGCGTGAAAATGCTCCATATAATGAAACGTAAACCCAATCGTGAAGCTGTTTCCCCTGAACGCCTCACTCCCCAACGCCCCCCACAACCCCTTCCAAAACTCCCGGTTTTCATCGCGCTGGATGTCGCTATCGATGAGCAAGATGTCAGTTCTCGGATCCAACCACTCATCCCCCTTTCCCCCTCTCACCACCAACCACCCCAACCCAACCTCCCCTACCGCCCTCCTCCCACGCACCGAAACCTCCCTTGCCTCGGGACAGACAGACTCAATAACCCGGCGGGAGCGCAGGGCACAGTTGGAGAGAAAGGCGCGGAGGATTTGTTCGGTGAGGATGGAGTGGTGGTATTGGGAGAGGTGGGAGCGGAGTTGGACGTTGTTGTAGGCGGTGGTGAGGGTGCCGGTGCGGAGGATGCGGGTGGGGAGGGTGAGGGCCCAGATTTGGAGGCGGAGTTCGGGGGGGAGGAGGGGGAAGAGCGTGAAGATGCGGTTGGGTTCGGGTTGGTTGGGAGGAGCGGCGAGAGGGGGGGATTTGGTGAGGCGGAGGACGAGGAGGAGGCGGTTGAGGAGGTTGATGATGGTGTCCATTTTTGTGTTGGTTGTTGTGGTTGTTTGTTGTCTGGTTTTTGGTGTTCGGTTTGTTGTGGTGTTTGTTGTGTGAAGGTGGGAAAGGCTGGGAAGATCGCGGCGGGGGATCAGGAATCGCCCTCTAAATAGTTGGCGATTCATGGGGCCCAGTCTCGGCGGTGCTGGGCGCACAGCGGGAAAGAATGCATAGTCGCGTGTTCATGGTTGATACGAAGGGGTTGCGCGGGTAAAGGGATTGTGAAGTTTGGATCCGGGCCGGATCGTGGGATCTGGCGACGGGGGAAGGCCTGAACGGGTTGGATTTTGCGCGCTGCGTCGAGTTTTCACGTTGCGTCAGGTCTTCCCTTCAAGTCGGGTTTTACGTTGAGTCGGGGCTACACTTTGCGTCGAGGTTACACTTGTAGTCGGGTCTTTGCTTGGAGTCGAGTTTTCGCGTGAAGTCGAGTTTTACTTTAAGTCGAGTTTTACTTTGCGTCAGATTTTCACTGCCAGTCGGTTCTTTATATTAGGTCTGGTTTTCGCTCTGAGTCGGCCTGGTGCCTGGATGACAAAGGACCGACACTTGTAGCTTCGAGATATAACCCCAGATTCCCCAGATTCCAAAGATGGGGATTCTTGGTGTCGGAACATGGCGAATGGAAGTGGATGTGGACACGACAGTGGACGTGATTTTCCGAGCCGAAGCCAGGATCCTAGCAAAGGTATGATCTGCTGTGTCGGGGAACGTTTCTCAAATTCGGGCTAGCAACTCGGACACATCATCCTGGACACACTCTTGAAGGGTTAAGACGAACATCAAGAGTTCCAGGGTGAAGCCTCAAGACTCTTCGTGAAAAGTCCCGTACAGAACAGACGACGGATTCCGGGGCCTGATGTTCACATTGGGCAGTGGTCTCTCTGGTGAATGTTAGACTGCTTCGCTGGTCAGTTTCCAAAGACATACATCCTTCTCAATGTTGGCTCTTCAAAGGCCCTCACCTCTTTTTTACATGACCGCAGGGTTCACAATGTTCAAGATATCCCATTGACCCTGATTCTTGACGAATGATTCGACATTCTTTGTGACTGTCAGTCCTTTCACAGAACGCAGGTGCTTTACGGAACGACATTAATAGTCGGGAGCCCAAGAACCTCAGGACTATTTAATTACTACCCACTACCATGAGTTAGCATTAGAAGTGAACACATACAGCGCCAGGGTTATCTCTGAGCGCAAGGACCTTTTAATGATCAGAAAAGAGATAAGGGATATGTCTAGATGAAGAAAGCAAACGGGTTGATTAACTTACTGGTAAGTATCATTCACAAAGTCGAGCATGATAATTAGATTCGATCGAAATCAAAATGTCAAGCAAATTAAATTCGCAGAGAACTATAAACTTAAGTCAAGTCTTTGAGACTTAGCAATGCAGATTGTAAGTCTTACTAGGAACAATAGTCTCAAACCTACTTTCCATTTTATTTAAGCCCAGGGCAGAATTACTCGATTAGGCGATTGTCCCTCTGACTGCGGTTTTAGCTCATCGAGTCAAACTTGCAACCTATTATGCGAGGATAGTTGATATCACCACTTGATTCAACAACTCCCATCTACTCCACCGACCGCCATTTATTTAGGTACCTTAAGTAATTCAAAGGATCCCACCGGGACGTACGGGAATTTGGGGTCAACCTCAAGGCAAACGAAGGAAGGAGCGATGATGCGTTGAATTGTTGAATTGCACAGTGCATAGAGCAAGCGATACCCACACTGTGTTCCTGACGGACCCAGTTCTACCAACACAATAGTTCAGGTACCTTATAATTAGTAGTGCTCCAAAGAAAAGTTTGAGAAGGCTCCATCCCCGAGAGCCTGTCTTAGATTCGGGCTTGTCTTCACCCTGCAAACTCATCATACAACCAACTTGTTGATGAATATCGGTACCTTTCTTGGGCTCGCTGGCCAATTCCCATTGCCTCCAGCCCTGGCAACTGGCCAATAAATATCGAACCGCGTTCAGTTCCCCACTGAAAAGCAAGCCTCAAAATTTCAATCGCCCAACGTTTTAATTATCGGTCTGAAAAGTCAACAGGATTTCGCCCCGACACACAACTTCATCCACCAGACGATTTTATTTCCTCTGGATGGGTTTCAGAAATCCCTCCCCGTCAAGATTGCCTCCACGTCCATTAGAGCTGGCGACCTGGTCGTCTTTTAGGTGACTTCTTCGAAGTCAAATCACCACCCAACGGTGACGCGTGTTGGCGGCTTAATTATTTATTCAATCAAGGTCGCGCTATCAAGCGGTGGGATCCGCTAAGATGCATCACAAGATTGAGCCGATATATCTCTACGGCTTTGACTTCAACATTCAGAAGCGGCAGCGATTCAACCAGCAATGGGTGTGTGCGTTCCATACTGCCTGGTACACCAACGAACGCCATCCGTCATCGGATGCGAATGACGACCCCAGCAGGCGACGCGAGATCCGGTATGGCAACACTATCTACGTTCTTTTCCGGGCTCTTTTCCACCTCAGGAAATACTATGGCCCGGATCCCTTTTGGAGCGCCGTGAGCAGAGGTTTCAATACCAGCCCGACGATGGTGCGCGCGACTGTGGACATCCTCACTGAAGCCCGCCGGTCGCACCGTGACAAACCCTCGAATGATGTTTCCGACACGGCGCGCGCTGCCGATGAGTGGATCGACTTTCTCGATAATGAGGCCCGCTCGCGCTCGCAGAGTCTGGACCCAGCTATTCACAAGGAAGCCGAGCGTTTTTTCAAGAGCCAGGAAAAGCTGCACCTCAACGCCTCCAGGGTACCCGCTGTAGGCAGGTACCTGCCTCCGGAAGAGCACAACGCTCCCGACCGGTCTGAGGATCTACGAAATGGGTCTCGCAGCGGCCCATCTGGGCGCAAGCGGTCCGCGTCTCCTCCGGCCGGTCCGGCTCCCAAAGCCAGGCGCTTCGAAGGTGATAGCTGGAGGATGGCCTGGCCTGAGCCGGATAGGCACGGCGCTCTAGATGAGTTGCCTACTATCCAGTCGACTAGAAGTCCTCCGCGGCGAAGTGAGGCTGCTCAGCCAGGCCAACCGCAAGCGGCTCAAGTTCAACCACCCAAATCAAATTCAGCGGCTGGACCTACACGATCGTCAACGTTGACCAACCCGGCTCCTGCATCATCGTTCCTTCCCACCCCGAAGCGGGAGGAACTGTCGGAGACTCCAGGGCTTTCGGCACCAAAGGCGCCAATTGCTTTTAAGCTGGGTTCGTCGTCAAATGGGGCGGCGGGCACGAATCCGCCAACGTCGCCCTCGGGACCAAAGCAGCCTGTACCTGCACCTATACATCCAGCCCGGGCGCAGATGATATCGGATAAGAATGATGTGAAATCTCTACAAGCCCAGATTGAAAGCCTGCAAAAGCAACTCGTGGAAGCGAAGAGGGCAAAGCCAACTACTCCGGCTGCGCCAACTCCACCGAGCGCAACCAGCGAGCAGATGACAAAATTAACCCAAGAAATGGCGTCGGCAACCAATGCTGTTAGTACCATCATGGAATCCATGCACGCCGTCGTCGACAGGCTCGACTCTTTGCACGACGTCGTCACCTTGCTCACCACGGAGCAGAAAGAGTTGAAGAGCACTATCCCTCAGATTGCCAGCACGGCTGGCGACGGAGATCGCCCCGATATTAACAGCAGCAACGCAAACCTCGACGCGATCCTTGGCCCGATCCAAGTCATCGCCACAGCCGTTACCATACTGCAAACCCAGGTCGCGGATCTCCAATCCAACAACCCCCAAAACCCTCCCACAACCCTTTCCCATAGCCCAACCGACACCACCGCCCTCGAAACCCTCCTCGAATCCCAAACCACCCGCATTGACACCCTCACTCAGCACATCACTACCCTCCAGCGCCAGCACCTACAACTCCACCAAGCCCAGCAACAACAAGCCCGGCTGTCCTCCCCCAACAGCCCCCATCCACAGCCCCAAACCCTACCCCAGGTCGCGGCCGCGGCGGAGCGGGATCTCAAATATCACTTGGGCGCGATGGAGCGGTTGTACCACAGGCCTGGAACCAGCAAGGCCGTGAAGGAGGAGACGGAAAATTTGATGGCGACGCTCACTGAGGGTGCGATGGCAGCGCATAAATTCGGGAAGGGTTTGTGAGGAAAGGGGGTGGAAATGGGGTTGGGGACTGGGGGGTGTGCGTCATTCTTGCGGAGTTTCGGGTTAATTTTTATCGCTATTTCCTTTAATTTTCTGATCCATTTTTTTTCCTTTACAGATTATTTATACCTTTCAGGCAAGGGTGTTATACTAGGAGCTATCAACGGCGCCTAGAGATGATAAGAAGGCTGGAGAGCGCCAATGGTGGTTGCGAAGATGGGCGGGCGTTGCGTTGTGTTACGCAACAAGGGTGGAAACTCGATGCAACACCAGGGCAGGGCATCACTCATAATGTTGCCCAATGACAAAGGACACTCGGTTATTCTACATCAGCCCCCTATTTTGCGTGAGCATAATGGGAAGTTGTTAGTCAAGCCTTGACTTGACTAACATCATCGTACGCGTCCGGGGCGGGAAATAGTGCGCTACAGCCTCAGAAAAGCAAACTCCATCACATACACGCACCGCCTGCCCTTGCCTGTTTTTATCCAAACCATTTTAGGCACGGACAGGACACTTGCTAGAGAACTTGCGCAAGCCATCCAAACAACCGAACGGGGCTTGGGCATAAGGGTTGGGCATCGACCTAGGGTCCTTCGATCCCCTTGCTGGGGCCGCGTGACACAGAGTATCGTACCAGACACGCATCACCAAACTCCGGATTGGGAAACCGGATCAAAGGACACGGATGTATCACCAACAACAACTAGCGAGGGACTCGCCCGTCGCCGAGGCTTGGTGGCGGTGTGAAAGCCGCGCGGTGGGTGACATGGCAGCACGGCAGATGGGGAAAAGCAAGATTGCGTTGCGCAAGCCCAGCCATTGAAACGGTGTTTTTTTTTCTGTTTTTGCTCTTTTTTGGAAGTCCAAGAAATACGGGAAGGGGCGGTCTGGGCAATATCTTGCTCGGCGCGTAACGTTGGGCTAAGGGGGAAGTGGAGGGAAGGAAGGGGTTTGAGTGCCGCTGAGTCAGCATATGCATGCTGTGGGGGAAAGGAGAATGCCGAGAGAGGGGCCCCGCGGCTCCCGTCCCGCTCTGCACGCGAGATGATCGCGCGGCGGAGCTAGCTACGTAGCTTTTTTAGATCGTTACGCAATTGAGGCGTTGAGTTAACCTTGGTTGCGTTTGTGATACGGTCGTGCTTTGCGATGGGGTCGGTCGGGTAAATTAAATGAGGCAGCTCGGGGGTGAAAGCTTAATTATATATTTCCCGAGGCGGGCTCAACTATCACTCAGCGGATTGGTCGGTGAATCTGGGGACAGTTCACACACCTCCACGAATCCTACAGCACTTGTGGAATCCTACAGTACTTGTGGGTTATGCGCTTTGGGGATGCCTCATAAAATTGTGATTCGGGGATTTTAAACGTAAAAAAGTCTATCGTCATCGTTTTGGCCTCGCTTCAGGACCGCCCCAGCCGGTGAGGTGTACCTCGACGGGACTCCCACCATTGCGGACGATCACTAGATGGAAATCGACCTTGGCGGCGTCGATGCCCACGCCGGTGTCGTCGTCGACGGTCGAATCGTTCGATATTTGGTGCTCCGTCCACGCCGGGACAAAAGCAAAATCCCCCGGCCCAAGTTCATGACGTTCGGGCTCCTCTTTGTCCCCGCGCGGTTGGGAGAGAAGGGACCCCTTGCCTGAGACCGCGTAGATGATAGTTTCTTTGGGACCGTGGTTTTAGACGGGGGCAGGTCAATCTGGGGGGACGGAATCACCAACCAACCAACCCGCTGGATACGGCAGGAGGTTTGGGTTTAGGCGGAAAGGGGGTTGTGTAACGCAGAGGTAGTAGGTATAGGTATGTACACATACCTTGTTCGCCATGGTGGCGTACTGAAGTTGAGGAACCGGGTTTTACAACGAGCACTATTGGAGACACACGGCGGGTTTGCATGGGAGGAGTCATCTAATTAAAGTATACGGGGCAAGGGAATGGATGAGAGAGGGGACCAACCGGAGGTGCACATGCTGTCTGTCATGTTGACAACGGCATGTCTGCTGATGACTTTGACGCCCGTCGTCGTGGTCCCGCCGTTTTCTGATTCGATGGCGCGGGTTTCGGGCTCGGGGGGTAGGATGTCGGCCGCTTTGGTGACGGCGACGGATGTGGGTAGGATCATCGGTAGGATATCTTGGATCAGTGGGAGGAAGGACGCCATTCTGCGGAAATAGCCTTCGGTTTTGGGGGGCTGCATTCGTGGGCTGAGGTTGAGGGTGCACGTCACGGTCGTCGTTACCTGGATATGCGGCGTGCCGATCTGAACTCTGGGCGCTGGGCGAAGTAATTGTGACAACGGAAACACGACGCCGACCTGGGGCAGTTTTAGGTCCCAGGTTAGACTCTGGACTTGGCCGCGGGGCAAAGGCAGAGAGAGCGCTGTGTCGTTGGCTGTGGTGACAAGAAAATGCTTTTGATCTCTGGTAAATGTCGAGTCTTAGGAACTTGATAGCTGGTGCCAATTGTGCCGGTGAAAAACTTTTCTTCCTAGTGAGATGAGATGTTGATAGTCTGTGACGCGATGCTAAAGCCAAGCTTCAAGCTTCAGGGCCGGAGGCGCAGCCGGCCTGGGCCGAGAACGGATCACCGGGTCACTGTGGGGGCGGGCAATCGCTGTCAACGCGCGCCTTCCCTGGACCTTGTCGAAGATTAGTATACAGTGTGAGGAGCCGACATTCGGGAAATACATAGTACCCGTCCACGTAACCCAATTCACATACTCGGGCCCAAGAGGACAGAGAGCAAACATCTATTGTGATCAAGGTTAAGGAATGCATAGGTCTGTTGATGTATACTCCCTGAAGTGACCTTTGTTTGTGCAAAACCTTTCCGTCTAGGATGGGTTTCACACTGCATGCTGCATGTTGAGCGTGTGAGAATGGAGCTGGCTGACAGAGTGCACTGTGCGTGCTGAGGATACGCCAAGTGGGGTCGGGTGTTGTGCAGCGGAATTTATTCCCCACGCCCCGCGACTTTCGTCTCAAATCGGCTCCTGCATCGCCCGAATATCATGCGTGGCCATCACTCATCAGCGCCTCGCCAAATCACCGATCCACGCCGTCACACTTTCCCATACCTATCGGTATAGAAATACCTCCATTACCAGTTAATCTGAACTCTTTTCCTCATCACGCAGATGATCACGAGTGCACAATGGCAGCAACCGGCCATACCGACGAGGACCTAAGCTACCCCACGACCCCGCTTCAGGGCGACTCTCACCCAGCGGCGAATGAGACCCTGAAATTGTCGACCTTGGCGCTCCGCACCGCGTCGCAGAAACCCACCGCGTTAGACACCCCGCCGGAGACTCCATTAGACGATGATGTCGGGTCGACGACAAAAAATGGCAAGGGGAAAGAAGCGGCATTGGGTAGGTCCCGGATCGGTCTACTCTTTGTCTTTACCTGGGAAGCTAATCGCATGTGTTGGCTTAGAGCACGACGTCAACCCATTAATCCCATCACGTCTCACTGGACTCCCGGCGGAGCTTTTGGCCAGCATACTTCAGTACCTGGCCCCAACGGACTTGGCCAATATCGCAGGAACATGCCGTATAATGTACACCTATGCGGCCGACGAGCGACTTTGGAAGGCCCACGTACAGGAGAATGTTCCGTGCCAGCAAATCACATCCCCGTACCCATTTGAGACGTTCCAGGAGCTATATGCGGCCAGGGACCCGCATTGGTTCATCCCCAAGTACAAACTCTGGTTTGCCGACAACGGCCTGCCCGGACGCCTGATGGCGGTTCAGTACGACCAGCGCCGGGGCATGATCGAAGGCTTCCAGGTGGTTGCCCGGAATAAGAACACCAGTTTCCACACGTGGCATTCCAACGGCAACACCATCATCTCGGGCTTCAATCCGGATGTCAAGATCTACCATGATAACCCCATCCTCCGTCTCCCGGTAGTCGCGAGTGCCGAAAACACCAACGGTGATGGCCCCACAACCAGCAGCAGCGAGTCTGGCTCACAACACCAAAGGCCCAAAAGGGGCAACCGCTTCAAGCCTGAGTTTTACATGCCGACAACCGACCTAAGCGGCCTACAAAGCAGCTTCGCATTCGCCAAAAGACTGACGCCAGACGAGGTCGCTGCGCGCCTCAACCCACCCTTTCCTTACCGCAATGTCTGGCCCCCTCGATCTATCCCGAGCTCTGAACGCGTGATAGGCGCCGGTTTAGACCACCCTTCATCTCTCGACAGCCGCCGAGACCGCCCCGAGACGCGGGGGCAGGTGTGCCAACGCGCGTTCCGCATCCATAAGTGGCTCCATGTGAGCCCCATTGACAACCGCTTTAGTCTGTTTCCTGAACCTTTCGAGACTTGGCAGGGTCGGTTTCCTTCACGATTAACCCTCGCGCTCTACTATTGGCCTTATCACGCCCGAAACTAACATCTCAACTTATCTCAGGCACGCCACCCCACGCAGCTGGTGTTCCATCGAACACAACAACTGGCCTGTCTATGGCCAATTTGTTGTGGAATAACATCAGCACGATCATGTCGCATCGATTCGACGCTATTTCCGGCCAGTCGCCCGTGGCTGAGGACGTCTCAACTTACAGCACCATCGATCCGGAGCAGTACACTCCAACCGAGACGAAGCCTTTCCGCGGCATATGGGTCGGCGATTACGGCCTACACGGCCCCGAGTTTCTCTGGATCCACCAACCGGACGACGAGGACGAGTTTGTACCTCCCACCCGTTCCGATGGAGAGTCGGACGAAGACTTCGCCAAGCGCGAGCGTGACGCTGCCAGATACCGCGGCAGGTTAGAGGCGATCAAGCTCACAGGCGATGCCAACATTCCGCGCGGTGAACACTCGTTCATCGTGGAGGAACTGGGCGAGCAAGGCCTCGCGCGGATCGAGACCCACGCTCCGTTTGAGGGTGTCCGGGTGGTACGAAGCGAATGCCACATTGCTGATCATGGGTTTTCTAATGGTGAGTTGCCTATCACTTGCTTACCCATTCCCCTGCTGTATTCTGTTCGGACAGAGTAAGGGTGGCGGATAACTAACAGCGATTACAGCCCGACGCATCGGGGGAGAGTTGTTCTGCATCTCGCACGACAAGCTGGCGTACCACTGGATCGACCTGAACCACATCAGCTACTTTTACCGCGTGAATGTCGACAAGCTGATTGTCCCCTTATCTTCTAATCCCGCAACATAGCCTTCCATTGGAGCTCGGTTTATCCGTTTCTCGAAATAGAGATGAATAAATCGGGAATGTGTGCGGCCGAAAACCTTGGCTGCACCGGCCCGGTACTCAACTACTTGGCCGACCTCTCCGCTAATCTTTTGAGGGGATGATACCCGCATTTGGCCAACAGGCTAATAATGTTTCCCACTGGCACTGGCGTTTGTTGACATTAGCTTTGTCTTGTCTTTTTTTTTTTTTCGGTCCTGCTCCGCAGGTACGAGGAGCCACCCACCAAGGAGCAACCCGCCGAGGAGTAGCCCGCCTCTCGCTTTGAGCTACGATGATACTACTTGATATCTATCGGCAGGAGGATGTTTAACGGATTACGGAGTGTCACGGGACGGGAAGGTATGGAAACGGAACGGAACGGAGCATAGCCTGGGCGGTGGGCGGAACACTTGTCTGATCAACTTTGGCGGTGGGAGGTTGGGGCCTCCATGTCCCATGTTTTTTCTTCTCATATGTAACTAGCTACTACCCGAGCTACGCTACGCTGTCTTGCATTAGGCGATGGTCGCAGCTTTTGTAACAATTGTAATGTTTCTACCCCATAGTAACGTGCTGGTGGCGGACACCGGTGCTGTGGGTAATATATTGCCGTTTTCAAATCTTGGGTTTATTTGCTTAGGTGTTTGCTACAAACAGCCCGAAGATTAATTACCGACTCGCGGTGCCATAGTCAGAGTTGACCATGATGGAGTCAAGGGGAGCGGGAATGATGCGGAACCACCGGTAGGTTAAGATAGTTCAGGACTTGGATGCCCGTCTCCAACGTGTGGTGGTGAGAGAAGGGTAAGCTATAAACTATCCTTGGTAGAACCCTGAGAGGCCTGGTCAAGTGAAGGGCATGCGCATCCCTCACCAAGTTGACGACACCTGACAGTAACGCCGAGCGATGAACCCCTTATGAACAGGTGTGCCGTGTAACAGTGTTGGTCGCAATAACACTGCTGGGGAAGCATATAGTGAGTGAGTGACGCTCGTTGAGTTGTGTTGATTCATATTAAACCAGAGCCTACGTGACATTAATCTAGGCCAAGGAACAAAACAAAAGAAAGCCGTAGACAAGGCTTTTGCTTTCCACAGCCCCATCGCCGCTCATGCGAGCCAGAGCCAAGCAAAACAACACCACCAAGAACACCTCTTAACCCTAACCCAACACACAATCCACTCGCTCGGTACGCCAATTAACCACAGAGCAACACAGCAGAGACACAATAGCTCAGCACATTCACAGTCCCAGTAGCACCACGGTCAACGCCCGGCTAACTACGAACACCTCACTTCCCCTCTCCACTCCCAACACCACTCTTCCTCATCCCCTCCCCAACTTCATCCGCCTCCTTCCGGAATCCACACCCATATGTCTCCCCCGTCGACCAAGTCACCTGTTTTTGACCCCGCTGCTGCTGCTGCTCCTTCTTCACCGCCTCACCGTCCCCAACTCCACCGTTGCTGCTGCTGCTACCACCACCAGTCGTAGTACACCTTGGACAAATCCTCACCCGATGCCACGCCGTCGCAAGATTCCCACGCACATTATAAATCCCCCGATGCGATTCCGGCTGGGTGTTATACGCGTCATCCGTAGCCTTTACAACAAGGGTCGTGCACCGCTGCTGCTGGTGGTGGTGTTTCCGCCGTCGGACTTTCTGGTCATCACACTCCTCACTGCTCTCCTCTTTCTTCTCGGCCGCATCCGGGGTCGGCAGCGCCAAAGCAGGCAAGGCACCAACATACCGCCAGCGAGTCCAAGCCCAGGCCTTGTTGCCGTGGCAGGGGTTGTTGGGATCGGCGGTGCAGTCGTTGACGAGTTCGGCTTGGTCCCAGGTCTGGCCGCCGTCGAGGGAGACGTCGACGCGGCTGATGGCGCGGCCGCCGCCGGAGTAAGCATAACCCTGGGCCGCGACGGGTTCGTTGGCGGGGGTGGTGGAGGAGGTTGGGGAGGAGGTGATGCCGATTTTCTTGGGGAGGGCGGCTATGTCGACGGTGCGGGTGGTGCTGGAAGAGCACTTTGGTGACTGGGCTTGGTTCTGGGTGTTGTTGTTGCCCATCCAGGGTACGCGGCCGCGGCGCACGCAATCGCCGACCCAGACACCGGTGATGGCGCTGGTGACGGGCATTTCTTGGATCGATTTGGCGCGGTCCCAGTCCGGGTTGGCACCTTCGTTGGGGCCGAAGGCTTTGTAGTCGCGCCGCTGCCATTGGCTCGTGCTCTCTTCATCGGAGATCACGATCTTGCTGAGCCACTTGACGGAGCGTGCGGCGACATGGCCAGGAACGACAGCGCGCAGGGGGAAGCCGTGGTCGCGAGGGAGCGCCTCGCCGTTCATGCCAAAAGCGAGCAGCACATCGCCGCGTGGGTCGAGCGCTTTTGCGAGCGGGATGGACGCGCCGTAGGCTTCAAGCCCGGTGAACTGGACGTGCATGGCGTTGGCGTCGACTTGGTCTTCGTCCTGCGGGGGCGAGCGGTCCTTTCGTGTTGGCGAGGTAGGCTGGAGCACCTTGAGTCCCGCGTCAGCGAGGATATCAGAAAGCCGTACCCCTTCCCACTCGGCGTTGCTGATCGCCCCAACCCCCCACTGCAAGCCGTTCGTCTTCCCAGCATGTCGGGTCATGTCGTTTCGCCTGTTCCCGCTACATTGTAGCACTGCCGTGACCTTGTGTACCGGGAATTTCGACTTGAGGTCCTCCAAAGTGTACTGTTTCGTCTCGCCATCGGGGAGCTCAATGCTCAGCGTATGCTGCTCAGCCTTGGTCTCTTCCACCACTGGCACCCACATGTGATGCCGGACATAGAATAGTCCGTTCGGGGTATGAAATGCACGGTCGAGTTCCTCGTTTGGCGGTTCCGCATTCCGTGGCTTGGCCGTGTGGGTAATCAAGCGCGGGTCGCGAACTGGGTCGCTCACGAAGGGATCCTCGATCGTCTCTGTGGCCGGCCGGCCGTCGGGACCCAGATCCTCCACGTCGATGAACCCGATCAAATACTGTTGTAGGATCTCTCGAACATGCGGCGCCTTGTGGATGGTGAAGATGTTCCAGTACGGCTCAATGCTAGCCCCGGCTGCGCGGAGGATCACATCGCCACCGGGATGCGCGGCGACCCAGTCTGTGATGTTGTACACCTTGTCCTCATACGTAACCCACGGTTCTCCGGAAGAGGCACCGTGCTTTCGTATGTCAGAGAGGCGAAATCGAGGAAGAGAGGGGTCCCGCTCGTCCTTCGCGACCGCAGCTACCTCCTCTATCCTCGCGCCCTCATCGACAGACTGAGAATAGGCCAGCGCAGAGGCAACTAGGCCGCCCCCGACCAGCAATCCGAACGGAGCCGCCCTCGCCTGGACGGCCGGCCGATGGGGTTTCGAAAGCTTGACAGGGGGTGCCCGGGGAGCATCTTTCGGGGAGGGATGAGTGCCAGTGTGGACGCCGCGAGACCGAAGCCGACACTGCCGGCACATCGTCAACTCGGTGACATCCCGCCGACTAAGTTGGCGTAGGAGGGTGGTGGAAAGGTTTCTCGTTGCCCGGGTCGCCATGATGTGTGGTTGCCCAAAGATGGGCGAGCTCGATTCTTTGGAAGCTTATCGCCTTCAGTCCGATAGCTGCGACTCGCGTATGAAACCGAATTGGATAAGGAAGTTGGTTGGGTTTCGGGGCAAAGTCACTTAAGATCGCCCAAAAGTCAGGCCGCAACAGTAACACCGCAAAACGCCAACCTCAACAACTTGAAAGCTGAATGGTGACACAACAAGCCAGACACTCGATGCGCTTGGTGTGACGCGGCGCGAGATGATTTGGGGAGATTCAGCTCTCGCTCACAAAAAGATAAAAAAACAAAGGCAAACCAATGTCAGTCCCCAACCTGCAGCGCTCTGCTCACACCCGAAATCTTGTCTCGGAAGAAGAAAGAGGGAGCCATGGCTTCTTCGACGGCGTCCAGCCACGAGAACCAGTTTGGAAGGAGCTCCTGGACTTTGCCGTTGGGAGTGAGCAAGGGTTGGATGTGGGCTGTTTGGCGGTCTCCCGATGCTGGCCGTCACGGCAATCGGGGTGGATCTCTTTACGTCAGGGACCCGGGTACCCTGCAGGCTGGAACTGGCGCCGAGGCGCGGCACGTGGTCGCGACCTGCATAGTCGGTCAGCTGACCTCGCGATATTCTCCGTGGCTTGCCGGCCTTTGTGACTGCCAAGGAATGGCGGCCGACAGCTGGTGGCAGTTGGAGGCCAGGAGGGCAAGCCACCGATGGCCGCCGAGAACCGGAAGCTGCCTTCCATTTTGGGCTTATTTTCAACACCATCGCGGCTTCGGCTTCCACGGCACGGCACGAGAACTGCTGAACGATTCATATTTGCCTCAAGCACGCAATTTAAGGACCAAAAACCTAAAAATGATGAAAGACCGCGCAAAATCGATTTTTACCCAAGCTACCCACTCACTGACTGACTCATCGCCACCGATGCGTCAGAACTCAAAATGAAAAACTCGAACAAAAACAAAAACATCAGCCATGTATCCGTAACTACCTTATCGTTCCCACCCCGATCCCCGGATCTCCGATCCCGTACTCCACTTATGCCGAACCGATCCGGCCGAGACCCTCTCCGAACCCGAACGCCAACCGTTCCGTGCACCGCGATAGCGTAGGATTTTCCCATCCGGCTCATTTTTGCTTCCTTTCTCTCTCCTTCTATCGTTAGCTTAGCACTCCCCACTACGACCCGATGAGACCGTCCTAAGAAACCGCCTTCCGCTCTTGGTTCCGCACATGATCGACCACCACCACCAACCGAGGCGTCCGTCAAAACCACCGGCATCCTCCAAGCTTTCGGACTTCTGCAGAGCCGATTACTTCCCGTCATCCTTCTTCGCCTTCGCGTTCCCCTTCGCCTTAGGCTTCGGTTTCGGCTTCAACGTCTCAGCCGTCTTCTGCGCCGACGTCACCGCAGCCCGCCTCGGCACCCGACGTGTAGCCGGGGCCTTTTTGGGTGGGGACTCAGGCTTGGGAGAGGCTCTGGAAGTGGGAACTGGGGTCCGCGTAGTCTTAGTGGTGTTGGAGACTGGTACGGCCTTGGGCACCGGCACCGGCGCCGGCGCCGGCGCAGCTGCGGGCGCGGCGGTGGGGACGGGTGTAGGTGTGCGTGCGCGTACGGGAGCGGGAGCGGGAGAAGGTGTGGGAGAACGTGCGGGTGAGGAAGACTGGAACCACTCAGCAGGTGGGGAGGGGCGCGGGGGTTTCCTGTGGGGATGCGATAGTTTGGGCATGCTACGCGATGGGGTATCACTGTGGTTCGGGAGGTCGATCCCCTTGTCGGCCGTGGTCTTTGGCTTTGGCCTGCGTCCCGATCCTGCTGCTGCTGCTGTTGTTGTTGTTGTTGCTGCCGCTGATGGGTTGGGAGCGGGCTGGGCCGGGCGTGATGCCGGAGGTTGGGGTTGAGACCCAGGCGACGAGGTCCTGGGGCTTGCCGCAAGTTGCGATGGGGTTGCCCGCGGCCGGGTAGCCATCGACAACGAACCGGTCCCCGGGGCCGGTACGTCTGATTCTTCGTCGGACGAGTCGGGGATGATTTCTGAGGGTGCCTTGTCCGCTTTGGTAGGCTTCGCTAGCTCTGGCTTTGCTGTCCTGGCTGGCTTAGGTTGTCCGTCGCCTCGCCGTTGGGAGACCGGCCTGAACTCGCCTGTCGAGTCTCTGGAGTGGTTACTCGTGGGCGCCGATGAGAGGTCAGATGATTCTTCCGCCTCAGACTCTTCTTCGGATTCTTCCCGGCGCCGTCGCTTTACCCTTGGGCCTACCACTTCGATCTCCGGTCTGCTGTGTGTCAGTTCGACGAGGTCTATCGAATGGATAATGACTGGTCAAGGGGAAACTCACTTTTTCTGTGGACGCTTCCGCTTGTTGAGTTTTGGGGCTGGTTTCGCCTTTTCGGCCTTACTGGCCGCCGCACCCCGAGTCCTCGTCGCACCCGGATCTAGGCCATCTGCTTCGGCCACCATTGCCCGGAGGACCTCCATGTGCTTCTCCCGCATGTGCGCCATCCGCTCCCCAACGGACTGATTCGGCCGCTCGGGGGCGTCGCAAAAGTTGCACCGCCTTACCACGTGCCGTTCGTGAAGATGTCGTTGCAGACGGTCTAGCTCTCGCCGGGGAAACTTGGCCGGGCAGCCAAAATACGGGCATCGCTCCTCACGGTACAGGACGCTTTTACGCAGGTTTCTGTAATCCTGTTGCAGCTGGCGGACTTCGGACGGTGTCAGGACGGAGAGGGACACCCTTGGCACTGTGTTGTGGCCTAGGTTGAGGATATTGTGGGATGTTGTCGCCTCTGGAGTGGTCGGCGTGGTGGTCAGCTCCATGCCGAGGGGGTTGGCAGAGGCGAGTCTTTCACTGCGAGCCTGGGTGTTATTGTCGCCTGCGTTTGGATTTGTGTTGGAATTTGCGTTTGCGCTTGTGTTTACGTTTGCTGCTGCACTTGTGTTGGCGCCCGCGTTTGTCTCTGGCTCTGCAACAGTCCGGCCCGTCTTTGCCCCCTTTTTCGTCCCGCCCCGGGCTGTTTGGGCCATAGAGGCGCTAACTGCTTTGGTGGGTATTTTGTCGAGGAGCGACGACGCCGTGAGTTTGCCCGCTGTGACCTGCTGGATCCCTTCCGCTTCCGCGCTCCCTGGTGGAAGCCGCATCGGGAATCTCTCGAGCGCGTAAATGTCGGACAAGGGCCACGGCTGCACGTCCCACGGGTGCAGCCTCTGGAAGGCGTTGCCTTGCATCCGCCCCTCCATTTGGTAGTCGTAATGGCGTTGGTGGATGGGGATTTGATCGGGTGTCAGCGCAAAGTACAAGTGCTCTTTGGGTGTGGCGTAGATGTCTCGGTACCCAAAGGGCTGCTCGATCGTGGGGTTGCCGTATAAAAGAAGGGGGTGGCTCTCCCGCACGATCTCGCTGACCTGGACCTCCGGCTCAACAATCAGCTTGCACATGGCCTTCCACTCGGCTTCTCCGGTGTGTGGCCCAAGGACCAAGATTGGCTTATGGAAGTCCGGTATCGCATCAAGGGGACCAAGGTCCAACTCGTCGTCGTCCATTATGGGGTCCTCGTTCCGGCCCTGGGTAACGGCAATCCACGGGTTCCGAAGCCGGTCCGCCTCATCGGACCCATCGTCCTCAATCTCCTCCCGCGGCGGCAGACCTATTAGGTCCCTGGCGATGTCCCTGAACTCGGCGACCGTGCTCGTCTTCGGGTACCAACGCACGGGTTCTCGTGTTCGCTCCCGGTCGATGACAGTATACTCCGAATACACGGGATACAGCCCTATGAACTGCGGGTATTCCCCGAGCCCGTTGTGCTGTTTAGGCAACCCCGCACTTGGCTGCGACTCGAGCCACCTCTTCCAGGTGATCAAGTGCTGATAGACCTGCCTGAAGGCGTAGACCGAGGACGTCGAGCGGCTCAGACCCATCGACAGGACGGGCGCGTCCCCTCCTGTACCCTGCAGGGCAATGCGCTGTCCGGGTAAGTACACCTCGATACTGTCGAGCCTTTCGCAGGCAACAGACGAGATGGACTCCTCCACGAGCTTTACAATCCTGTCATGCGACCTGGCCGCGCTCTCCACCTCGTCATGGAGGATGTAATTGTCCTCATACCCCCCGGTTGCCCCGGCCATGAACAAGTGCCAGCGGTCACTGACCCCGGTCGCGTTCTCCGGCGCCGCCATCACCAGTAATTCCACCTCGTTCGGGCCGGAGGGAGACCATTGCCCCGCCCATTCTACCCACATCGCAAAAGGGCACACCAGGCCCCCATACATCCCCACCGTGCACTCGTCCATCGTAAACCACGCATCTGGGACCGCCGGCCGGCCCGGCCGTAATATGAGGCGACCCGGTGTCAGCACCCGGCATAAGTTCGCTACCCACGGCGCGTACTGGTTGGTAAATAGCAGCCAGCCGTCTTCGTCGCGTGGTACCCGGAGGTACGCCACATCTCTCGCATCGTCGGGGCGCTCCTCGACAGGGGGATCCAGGGATTTTGCCATCACCCGCAGCACCCGGTGCTCCAGCTGGGGCTCCCAGATCCACGGAATCGGATCGTCCGGGCCCGCCACAAACAGCACCTTGCACGCGCTGTCCTCGTCGTCATCCGGGGTGTCCAGCACGTTCTCACGGATGAACTTCCACGCCAGCGTGTCATGGCTGTAGTCGCCCGGCCCGGCCGCCCAGATGGTGATGCCGTTTTTGGTGGGGTTGCGCATGAACTCGGCCCGGAGCTGCGGGTCGCTGGCGTACGGCTTGCGCCTGTCGAAGAGGTATACCGTGTAGGCGACGCCGACGCGGTTGTCGAGACACAGCAGGCGGTCAACGGCGTCAACGAAGGTGCGTGGGAGGTCGGAGCGGAAGTAGACTTTACCCTGGTAGCCGTATAGGGGAACCCAGCGATAGGACAGCGCGGGGGTCTTGGTGTCCTTGCGAGTGGGCTGCTCGGGGTTTTTGCCATAGATCAGAGCGACGCTGCGCTGGGCTTGGTCGTCATCCCGTTTGTTTCGTTTACTTGTCGGCGGCTGCTTGGTTTTGTAATGGCGGCGGTTCTCCTTGCTCAGGACGCTCATTTGGTCGGCCTTGTTAAGAACTTCAGGCTCATCCCCCGGCGATGATGGGCCCACGGACACGGATCCGCCACGCAACGCAACAGGCCGCTGAGATGCGCCGTGCTCTCGCTCGCCGTATCGTCTCTGCAACTGCCGGATCTGTTGATCCAGATCTCTCTCTGCCACAAATCCATTGTCAGCCTTGTTTCCTGTCCAGTCCGTTCTCGACGTCCGATACTTACTCGAGTCGGTAAAATCTCTACCAGCGTATGTCCGATCCACATACTCAGCTAAGAACTCGAGCCCGGTTCTCTGAGTCCCGCCATTCGCCGGCTCATCTTCCTCCTCGGGCCCGTTTAGAGCAGCAACAGGCAGCCCAAACCACGCCATCGCCAGTCGCAACGCCACATCCCCACCCTTGTTTCCATCACCTTCCTCGCCATTCGCGGCGTTCGCGGCGTTCTCTGCTTTCAAAGCCTCCTGGAATTTCTTGGTCTGCATGAGCTCGATATACCTCCACCCATTCACCGCGCGAAGCCCAACTAGCGCGGTCTCGCCGTCCAAGCCGCGAGGAGCCCGAGCCACGCTGCCAATTGCCTGCTGAACTTCCACATCCTCTCCGTCATCATTACGACCGCCTCCACTGATTCCCTTCCCCTTTCCCCCCTGTCCGCCCCGTCTCACCAACAGCAAATCACGCTCAAACGCGGTGAAATGTTGCTCTACAATACCTTGCACCGTCTGGCCCGGATCCCGCAATAGCAGCCAGAAGGCGCGGTGCACAGCTGCGAACTCGGCGCTGGTGGGGTTAATCGCGAGGTCCCAGCGGGCATCAGTCGAGAGTGGGGTATGAAGGGGGTTTGCGAGGTTGACGGGGAGTGGGCCGCCATGGGATGCAGAGTCGTCGTCATCGTCATGTTCGCCGGAGTTGGCGGTACGCCGACGACTTTTGCGCTTCAGAAGGTCGGCGTCATCCTGATTGGTGCGTTTTCCTCTAACGGAGCTAGGGAGTAGGGAACTGAGGCCCCAAAAAGACATTTTGTGCGCCGGTGATATGGTCTACTGCTCGGTATTATTAATGGTGTAGTCTTTTCCTCAGGGGCAGGACATCGCCGTTGTCATCCAGAGTCGTCGGTGGCTTATGTCGAGAGAAGCAACCCGAGAGTTGCACTTGAGCCGTCAACACGGGGCATAAAGATGGGAAAAAAAGAAATCGGATGGTTGGGCGTTTCTGTTGACGCTCGCTGTCAACATAACAGGATAAGGAGACAAAGACGCTGGTTGTTGGAAATTTCAGAACTACATTCCAACTCAGCCACGCTCCCCTTTTCGTATGCCAGATTTCCATTGTTCTTTGTCCGTAACTGACGGATTAGACAGAAACTCCTGTTGCAAACGTAGATAAAGGGGAACAGCGGTATGCAAACGGACACTCATCCGACCAGCCACCCATCCATGGTGATGACAAGTCTGTTGGAGAGATTCCGGAACGAGAAACATTGTTCCCGTACGTCTAGGCCACTGGTAAGGACACCTTTGCCGGAGTCAAACTTCGCGATAGACAATCCTATACAAAGCTCCTCTACCTTGACAACACCCCAACCAAACACCCCGCTCTCTCCTATCAAGTTGGGCGTTTCAGAATGGAAGATCACGAAGGCAATAGCAACACGGTCCGAATGGTGTACGTACCTTGTAGGCCGCATTTTACGGTCCGCAGGGCAATGAGACACCGCGTCATGCAGGGTCGCAGATCCGGCCCCCCTATGCCTCGAGACCAATTGACGGACTCAGGCCCCACGATCTCGAGGCCTAGGTTTGTAGCCTAGCTTGTAATGACCACCAAGGCCGCCTGATATTCCCACCACCCCTTGAAGATCCCCTGGAGCCGACTCGAGCCCATGATGATCGATCGTCAGCCGAGCACCGATAAACAGGGAGCAGACCCAGTAAGCCAAATACGTAAAACTCGTGATACGGAGAATTCCTTCGTCGGCGCTTCACAGGCTCGGGTGTCGGGGAAATGTGTGGCTTGTCGAACAGCCCTTTCATGATTGGTGCTTGAGCCGCCTGCACAGGACATCCAGGGGGGTGTGAAGGACAAAGGAAGCGAGTGTGTGTAACTTTATCCCTGGTTGTACAATGTTGGCTCCGAGCACATGATTGAAGGAAGATACGAATGCTGTTGGTTTTCCTATACAGTGGAAAAAAGAAAGACAACAAGAAAAAGGGTGCGGAAGGCAAAGGGGGACAAATCGTGTTGGGGTGTAAGTTCCATTTGCGGAAGGAGTGCTTGCCCCACCTTCCCTTTGTGACATTTCTGGGAATATGAGTGGGTCTACTACGCACTAGCCACACACCCCGCTCATTAGCCACAAACAACCGCCACACCCCAATTTTCAGACCAAGAACACATGGATAGAGGAACACCCAAGCTTCCGTTCAAGCTCCAAGCTTGCCGAACGCCAATTGCTATCGAGATGGCGATGCCGCCCGGCACTTGAACTTCCCACGATGCGGCCGCCGATCCAGCGTCTCCAATTCCGGCCGGGCCTTCTCGACAATGTGTGCTGGCAATGCACGCACCGCGCGCTGCGCCAGGCCGACCGCACGTCAAACCCCGCGCGGAAGACCTTGTTTTCCTCGAAACCGACTCTCCCCCGCACATCTGCCAATGTCGCGCCTGCGCTACCGCGACACCGTTTCAAGGCCGGCTTCTTCCTCTCGAATACCCTCCTCGCCCGCACCAATGGCACTTCGGCCGTGGCCCCGGCTACCAATGGAGCAGTCCCCCGACTCTCCAATGCCGAAGTAACCTCGGCCGCATCCGACATCCCCTCCGACCCCTCTCTCCTTCCGCACCGCCGACGACAAGCCGCGCGACGCGATGCCCAAGCTCAACAGCAGAGCCACGATACCGCCTCCGCAGTAACAAACCCTAACTCCACAACTACGGCGGCTGCTCCCACAAACTCAATGGCCACGTCCCTCCCACCCGATGCGTCCTCTCGCCTAGCCGACACGGCCGCCCGCGCGCCTCCCACCTCACTCCGACGCACGCTCTCTTCACTCCTCTCCCTCTCCAAACCGCGACTCACCGTACTCGTCGTGCTCTCCGCCATGGTGCCCTACGCGCTCTACCCGGTTCCCGCCTTTCTAGCCTCTCCCGCCCTCGCATCATCCGCCCCATCCCTGTCCCCGCTGACTCTCCTTTTCCTTACCACGGGCACGACGCTGTGTTCCGCCGCCGCCAACGCGCTCAACATGCTGTACGAACCCGACACCGACGCCCGCATGAGCCGCACACGCACGCGCCCGCTAGTCCGCCGGCTTTTGAGCACCCGCGCTGCAGTCCTGTTTGCAGTCGGGTGTGCGGTCACAGGCACCGCTGCGCTGTATCTGGGCGTGAACCCCACTGTCGCGTTTTTGGGCGCTGCGAATATTGCGCTGTATGCAGGCGCGTACACCCCGCTGAAGCGCGTGTCAGCGTGGAATACATGGGTCGGGGCCATCGTAGGTGGGATCCCGCCCCTCATGGGCTGGGCTGCGGCTGCAGGGGAGAGCGCCACGGGCGACGGGACCTGGCGCGAACTCTTGTTTGCCAGCGATGGGTCGAGCCTGGGTGGCTGGCTTTTTGCCGGCTTGCTGTTTACCTGGCAGTTCCCGCATTTCATGCCCCTCTCGTGGGGCATTAGGGAGGAGTACAAGGCGGCTGGGCTGCGGATGCTGTGCTGGGTGAACCCGGCGCGTAACGCACGTGTTGCGCTGCGCTACAGCCTCGTGTTTGTCCCATTATGTCTGGGTCTATGCGCCGCCGGTGTTACCGAGTGGAGCTTTGCGGTCACCAGTCTTCCGGTGAACCTGTGGCTGGTGCGCGAGGCGGTCAAGTTTTGGCGCCACGAGGGACACAAGGGCAGTGCGAGGAGCCTGTTTTGGGCCAGTGTATGGCATTTGCCGGTGATCATGGTGTTGGCGCTCGTGCAGAAGAAAGGGATGTGGGCGAGGGTATGGCACAGTATCACGGGGTCGCCGGAGGAGGGTAATGATTTGGACGACGATGAAGACGATGAGGATGAGGACGAGGATGAAAAGGATCCCGAATGGATCGCCAGCCCCCGGGCCGGACCCACAGCCGGAAATGTGGGGCTACCGGAGAACCCACGGCGGTAAAATCCCCGGCCAAGTCCGGATGTTGTGTCGGTCCCATGTAACAACGAATGTACCACTTGAAAGGATGGAGTCGTACCCCATATATTTTATATTTTGCATGACACATGAGTTCCTGTTCGCAATCCGGAATTTACCATGCTCTGCCCCAAGCCACAGTTAAATCGATACGTGCCTACATACAAGCCCACCCACCTGTTACGGACGGCGACTCCGAGTCCATTGTCCCTCTGTCAGCCCTCGTTTTCATGCCGAGCTCCACACATTAGACCTTCCAGAACTCGACCCAGAACGGCAATCTGTCACGAGCGGAGCCTCATAAATGGAGGAGCCTGGGGGTCGGGGCACAATTCTTTAATCCACTTTCCGGCAGTTGCCTGGCTCGGCTTGGCATCGACATAACGTTAACTGCTGGAACAAACGGCCTCGAACACCGCCGATTCAAAAGCTTCAAACCGATCCAAAGAACTATGTAAACCCGCCGCCTGTCGATCTTTTGAGATTCAAAAGCTCAAATCATTTGTAAAAATACCCAGTAAAGGACTGAGCTGAAAATTGTTCCCCGATCTAACGTTGCAGTCCCTGATCCTCCACAATCCCACGTCTTGGCGAAGCAAGTCTATTGCGCCCGTTCCTGGAATCCATCCCAAAAATCCTCTAGAAATTGCGGGGATATGGTCTCGCGTATCGAAACGGAATTCAGGTGGTCGGGGAATTTATGATGTTGTTGAGATGCATCTAGGCATCGTTGAAGAACGTGGAGTTGTGAATAGGCAGGCTCAAGGCAGGCATTCAAGACGCAAATTAAGTGTAGTTATTGCATGTGGAGCTCAGTTTACGCACCACCAAAACACCAGAAAGAAACACTCGAACGAAACATCGTGTCTTCACCAAACCCGCCGGAGCAACAACACCAGTTTGGGGGCCAAAAGTTCCTCGTAGAAAAACCAATCAGACCCAAACCTCCCCTCCATCCAAACAATTAATTCCCGAATACGGCCCCCAAATCGCAATCCCACAATCCCACTCCCACACTTCCAAGCCCCAAACCCCTGGTCCACCCATTCTTACCGTGCCACTTACACAAAACCCACCACAACGGGTGGGTTCTTGTGTCCTTCGCCTATGTATCAAGAGCCGAAAGGCCGCAGCAGCCACCCAACAACACACAATCCCACGTGCAAAACTACCAGCATCTTCCCTGATTACATGCCGCAGCTGAGGCCGTGTGTACGTAGTAAAGTAAACAAAAACGTGGCTGGCTGGTAAAGGAGGGTAGCTGGGTTGGGGGAGCGCAGGGGGAGAGAGAGAGACAAAGTTTGAGTTTGTTCGCTGTGCCGCAAGACCAACAACACACCACACCCAAATTCCCCGCCAACCTCCTACCAACTTCCGACAGCCCCGATACTTGCTGTGCCGGCGCCTCGCATTTTATCTCTCAGCCTTATCTACGTGCACCCCCGGATTCTTTGAGGGTCTAGATGCAGTTTATGTGTGTGGGTAGGTGCGTCTTATTCAGCGAAAATGGAAAATTGCGGAACGGACGGTTTAAAGGTTATGGAATGCGGTATTATCCGTATGTTGATTAATTATTACGCTTAGGATGACTGTTATACTCATGTTGCCTATCGCACTGCGGATGCTGCAGGTGGGTTTGACGGTCCGACCTTAGGCTTCCCTTTCGTCATCTTGTTTGCGTTCATGTTCCGAAGAACAAATCGCACTTGGATATCCGTCGTACAGGAACGGAACCTGCCGAAGGTTAATTAAGTGATTTGAAGAAAAAGCCTCGAAGTTGAATCCAAACAAAACAGAAACCGGGTATCGAGTATTATGCGGCGCATGCTTCGTCAGTCCTGTTTCGGCCTTGTGACCCAACATGAGTGAGCTTTCCAAAACGCCAATGCTCGGCTATGCGTAAAACAAAGATGAGGTCAGAAACAAACGGGGAACAAGAGCCAGTAGCACAAGAACCGAGAAAAATCATGAGGCAGAGACTGGTATTATCCCAAAGGGGAAACCGAAAAAATAGAGGAAGAAAAAAGTAACAAGTCATTCCCCAAAAAGGAACCCCCAAAACTCCAATACGAACAAAAAAACCCGCATTGTTGGTAACAGAAGCTCGTGGCCTGTTCCACCAACAATCCAAACAACTCGAGCCGCCCACCCCGAAGCAAACCCCCAACCCCCAACGCCATGTTGCCCAACTGCCAAGAGGCATGAACTCCATCCAACGCCGTGATTTTGTTTGCCGCCCCCCCATTTCCCTTGGTTTCCTCGTAACGTGGCATGACATAACAATTGATGATACTGGCTGTGATGGGCCAGACACTCCTCCCCCTTCTACCCCCTAAGGTAGACTCAAACAAAGGAAAAAATGATGTGGTTGCGTATGCGTGTGTGGTGACGAGAAATTAAATGTAGCCAAAGGAGGGAAAGAAAATGCGGGCAAAGAGAGGACAAAGGGAAAAAATGTAGAAAACCCCCAGGGAAACAGATGCGATCCCGTGCCATGCATGCCATGCAACCGAACACCCAAACCCAAAAAAAAGATGACAAAAGGAAACGGAAGAAAAGTAAGCGAAGAAAATTGGTTCTTCAGCTTGCCTGTCCTCGATTAATGATGGCATCGATCCCCATATCCCCGACGCTCGGCAGGCGCCCGCCGTGTCCCATATACGGGCTCGTCCCTTGGCTGCCCGACCCCGACGACGACTGAACGCTACCACCGCTCCCGCCGGCCGCCTGTTGCTGAGCCTGGTGAGCTCCGGACTGTGACCCGCCCGCACCGCTGTACCCTCCCGCTGCTGTCCCCGTGCTCGACACACTGGTGCTGTACCCATGTCCGTGGTGGTACGCGCCGTACCCGGCATATGCCGCGGCTGCAGCCGGGTGCGGGTGTTGTTGCTGGTGGTGATGATGCGGGTTGTGGGCGTGTGCGTGGGGGTGGTGCATGCCTGGGAAGCCTGAACCGGTCGACCCGCCGGAGCTGCCGCCGGGTGTGGAGTGGGCGCCGGAGGTGGAACCGCCGGTTTCGGGAGAGGAGTAGGGTTGGTCGACGCCATCGACGTCGTCGACAGGGGTCAGGCAGCCGAGGGCACCGTCGGGGTCGTCGTAGGCGTTCAATGGTTGGCCGGATTCGAGGCGTTCGCGGCGGGCGAAGGCACGGGCGTGGGACTGGATGTTTTTGAGGCCGTTGGACATGCACTGTTGAGGAGAAAAGAGTTAGACGGGCGCCAAGGGGGGACAGTGGAAGGAAGGAGAGAGAGAGAGAAAACATACCTGCATCTCAACAACGTTCCACTTCTCACCACAGCGGGAGGCAAGCGGTTGCCAGATCTCCTTGCGCATGCTCATGTACTCCTTGCACAACCTCTCAAGCTTGCGGTTGTCGAAGTCGTTCTGCCCGCGGCGTTCCATCAACCGCTCGTGCCTCTTCCGGCATGCGTTGCCGGTCTTACCCGGGAACGCCTCTCGTTGGATCTGGTTCCAGTTCTTGCCCATCGCCCGCAGTGTCAGAAGTGTTCGGTCCTCCTCCTGGTTCCATGCTCCCGACGAGGCCCGGTGCTGTGTCGGCAAGCTGCCCCCTACGGGGCCACCCATCGTAGCGCCGGCTGTAGAGATCTGCAGAGGCGGAACGGCACTGACGGCGTACGGGTCGTAGCCCGGCATGGGTATCCCACCCGCGCCGGTGGAGAGGTCGCCATAGAATCCGGACAGCTGCCGGGGGTTCTGGTAGTAGGACATGGTGGGCGCAAGGGAAACCGGGATGTGTTGTTGGTAATGCTGGTGGCTCGGTGTCCGGGACAAGTCTGGCATGATACGTGGGTCGTCGCTTCAGCCGGTGTCTGTCTCTCTCTTTCCCTTTCTCTCTTCCGAGGGCAATTAGGTGCACAGGAGCGGAGGCGTAGTGTCGTGATCGACGGGAGTAATTCCCGGCCGTTGGTGTGTAAGTGATTAGTGGGTGTTCTTCCCTGAAGATCTGTTGATTGACAAACTCGTCGTCAAGCAAACGGCCCGGTTGAACGGTGAGGTCGGTGGTGGAGAATGCAATGTTTCGTATCAAACGAAAGGGCTGGCTAGCAGCCTGCAAAGGAGACGAGAGACAATTGGAATAATACGAAAGTGAAGGAAATCTATGAGAGACAACCAGGAAAGAGGGAAAGAGGAAAAAGTAGGTCGCGAGGCGGCGGGTCAAGGGGCTCGAGGACTGAGAAATTGGCTAAGAGGCCCGGCCGGAGACAAGAGGAGAGGCGGTCGACTTATAATATCTCCAGGCTCTGACCGAGACCCGGGCAAAAACAACGAGATCCCGTGAGTGGACGGCCGGATTTGGCGGCCCTGATCTGCGCAATGGGTCCGGTGAACAGAAGCGCACAGGACCGGGGTGGTAGATCTGAAACAAGCGTAGATGTGCAGAGAGAGCTTTGGTTGATGAAACTGAGCTCGTGTATCTGAAAGACCTCACGGGGGGACCAAGGGCCTCTGTCAGTGGCTGGCGAGTTTCGGGATGGCGTTTGTTTGAAGATGGGCGGCTACAAAGTTGGCCATCTGCTGGGTGGAGGGTACCGAAGGGCGGTTAAGAATCGACGGCCATGGGGGTCTAGCGCCGGGAACGAGGGGGGGTATCGGTAGCATCGATGGGGGCTTCGTCCGGAGCTCCACGCCGGCGCAACAATAACGGAAACATCTAACAGATCCAGGTCTGACGGTACCCGCACCCGCCGTGGGCCTTGAGAGAGAACTCACAGGCAGAGGGGGGAGAATGTGAGAGCCCACGCACTCGTTCGTACCCTGGCGCCATGCCAAGATCGAGGATCCCAACGGAGATCCAGTGCTCGCTTAAGACATGGTGCGGTACTGTGCCGCTACCTCGCCATGGCTCTGTGTTGCGCAGTCGCCGTGGGTACTGGGTACCGATGCAAGGTACCACGGCTCCACGGATCTCGAATGAGTTGATTGCCCAATGGGGTAACATGTGTTTGTGGAGTACAGAAGCGGGAAATGTCAAAAAATAGCACACCAGACGCCAGCCCAGCACTTTGGGCGGCTCGCTGGGTTTCTTAACCGCTGGCAGCCTCGCGCAAACCTGAAGCCTTGTCGCTCTCGCTCCACCCGATTGATCCGTTTGTCGGCGGCTCGATCCGAGGACGGCTTGTGCTTGGTTCGCTCGGTTTAGCGGGCGAATGAGGAGCATCTGGAAAAACAAAATGGAAGCAAACAGCAATGGAATATCCTCGATCAGAGGTACGGATACTCAAACATCGGCAGTGAGCCTCCGAGAAACAATTGCAGCCTTGTTCGTTCGTCATCCACGGCTGTGCGAAACAAAAAAAACCGACGCAATGGCAGAGAAACAGGTCGGCCGGCCGTTGGCGGGCTGGTGGTCAGGATCTGACCCAATCTGCAACTGGCCGTCGTGTGGTCAAGACCAGCTGCCGCCCATTCTGAGGCCCTCGGGAACCCGACAGTACGGAAGCCTCTCAAAAAAGGACACTGACAAACGCTCTACTGATCTCAAACACCCGAGAAAGCCCCTTACTCCCGCGCGACAGTGGCAGACAGACGGGCAAGCGTCTCGCGCCAGAGGTTCGGCGGCTGGAAATTGCAAAGGGGTAGCAGCGGGCGACATGGCAGCTCTTGGAAGCAACGTCGCAACGAGCAAAAATAAACAAACGCCGAGAGGGGATTGACAAATTCCGGACCGCAGGGCAAAAATAAAAAAGGTGCGTCGTTGACAAGGGCTTGCATTCTCGTCGTCCTTCAGGACGCGGGGTGCATGGATCTCGACGATCGCGGGCGGCAAGATGTGAGTCTCAGAGACCGGCAAGCGTTTCCACACTCAGTAAGTCGCTCGGCATCTGCTGGCTGGGTCCACAAAGATAAACATTCGAAAAAATGGCAGGGTGAGGAGGTCCGGTGAAAGATGGGATGAAACATGGCTTCCGCGTTGTTGGTTCCGTCGCGACAGAGCGACTGTCGGATTGGTTACAATGGGCTTGCGGAGGAAGATGGAAGTGAGGAAATGGTGCCAAGGTTGCAGTCAAAGAGGCGCGCGTTAAATTCTGGCACCCGCTGGTGTGGGGGCCGACGCCAAACAACACCTTCTCATTGGACAATTGAAGATATGGGTCCAGGCACAAGATGCACGGGTCCACTTGCGCTCAGGCCACATCCAACGAAATCAGGAGAAGTGACCTGGGGACGAGCTGGCTTAACAATTTTGGGTGGGGGTTCCACCAAAGCATGTTAGTTAGAATATTGAGCTGCGTGTGATTTCCCAGCTGCGTTGGGGTGTCGCGCCTGCCTTGCTCCAGCCCAACCGAGTAACCGCTTTCCGGATTTGAGCAACAACCACGAGACCCGGCCTCAGTTCATTTTCTCGGACAAGCAACGGGGTCTTTCCGGATTGTCATTTTTCCATCATGTAGCATCCCACAAACAGCCCCCATGGGATCCGATCACGACACGGCTCCCCGGGCATGTGCACCATGTCACGCTTGACGATTCCAAATTGTGCTTCCTCAGCGCCTCATCTCGTCCCTAATTTTTAGGTTTTCCAGGCCGGATGAGCTCATGAGCCCCGGAACTGCTAAGCTTCTTTCGGCTTGCGATGAGAGTAAATCTCAATTCTCTCCCCAGATGCGTCCATCCCCGCCGGCGCTAGGCGGCACGGGAGCCCGAAAAGCCACACCGATGTCACAAGTGAGTGAAATTGGCTAGTACCCCCGTTGCTTCGCCCGACACTACATTCCTCCGGCACTTGATACTTCAGCTTTTGACCGCCCCGGTGGCCCTCCTCGTCCTGTGCCCTCGCACCGGGACTACGGGACCGCTAAAGGACAAGACGGGAACCGGACGGTAACCTTCGTAGCGGATGGATGTAGCTGCAGTCCACGGTCGGGCCGGGTGGTCGTTTTGTTTCGAAACAACTCGAATCCGGCCCTAGCTCTGTTTTCGAGGATCTCCCTGATCCGTTTTGTGCATTGCGCCAATGACAAAGCGCTGCCGACGACTAACAGGAGGCCCGCGATTTCAGGCTGGGCTGCCGGAATCGAAGCCACCTACCTGCCCGAGCGAAGGCCGGCCAGAAAGCGCCAAGCCGGCCGCGACAAGACGTTACTCAAAGGTCCCCCTCATGTTGTTACGTCATTTGGGAGGTGTGTGGAATACATAGAATCCATCAACACCGCGGATTGTTATGAGCGCTTTCCGTCGTTCCTCCGATCACCCACGGGTAAGATTTACCCTAAAACGGCCCTGTTGGTTCGAGTTCAATTTTGGTGCCGCTTTCTCACGTGCTCAGCCCAGGAGTGCGCCGTTTACCATTCCGGATTTCCTCAAAATCCTTTAGCGGCTCAGCGTTACGTGATCGAACCAACACTTCTAGGTTCGATTTTTTATGACTCCACGGATTAATTGACCGCGGACACATTACGGAACATTAATTTCGTGCCCTCGGATTCGGGATCTGTAACGGCCGTAGATGGGGTTTTCGGACCAAATACCACCTTGGAACAAAGCGATGGTTGTCCATTACCGGCTTTTCTAGGCGCAGGCTCCGCTTCCCGGCCGGGACCCGGGACTTGAAGCCCCACTCTGCGCCGAGGCTCCGGTTGTCCCCCTCGGATCCCGTTGGGCAAGGCAGCGAGCGTGGAATTCCTTTCCGACGGGAAATTAGGCATATATCACCGTGACCGGAAGCCTGGCTCGACGGTTGGAACTTTAGCGAGGCCGTTTCTTTGCGTTGTGTTAGTCGTCAATCGTGGTTGTCTTGATCTTGCAGCCCAGCTCTCCTTTCTGCAGCCCCGAGACACACGCCTCTACGAGAAGACACGGAAACACTGGATCGGAGACATTCTAGGCGTTCTGCATGGCTGAGGCGACCTTTCAACTCTATTCTTGCCCCGATGCCGCATGAAAACCGTCATACAGCAATACAAGCGCAGGGTGGTGTAACTATCGGCCGCTGGGACCAACAACGGACCCTCGACTCGCCTAATCCAGCTCTTTGGTGCCCTTTCCGCGTGGAAAGCCACGCCTCCATGCTGCACATTGTGAGAAGGGGGGGCCGAGTCGTTGGCCCGGCGTAGCACGCCGCCGTCAAATGTGTTGCACTCGTCCACCGCTGGGCGCAATATGCACGTGGGAAGTATTTGCAGTAGCACAAAAGTGGCGATGGTCAGATTCGGGACATTCCCGATGGAGGTTCAACCGGCATGCTATGTAAGACCACGCCAAAATCCACGGATGGGAACCCTACGCGAGTCGGGTCTGTTCAAACTGCATTTGGGGGCCATTCCCCAGCGGTCACGGCCAAGTTTCAGATATCGTGTTTCGATATCAGGAACCAACGTCCCGGTTCGCACCTGCGTCTGAGTTCCATGACCTGCTGTGCAGGATTACTATGACTCGGCGAATAATCAAGGCAGGTTCCGAAAATCCGAACACAGCAAAAAGAAATACGTTCGACGCCAGCTTCATTGCTCTTGCTCGTCATCCCTCATGAGCATGCGCCGTGGGTAAAAGTATGGCCTTGATTATCTCATTTCGGGACCGACCACAGGGTGTTCCATGTCATCATCAATCGGCTTCATGCCAAGCACAAGCCAACCGCAACCAAGCGCCACCAACGGCCGGCATCGAAAAGCTTGGCTTTTTGTTGCTGCCTCTTATCCGCGATATGCGAGTTATTGTACTCCGTAGCGAACACTAATCCGACTACTCACGCACTCCCAGCACAAACAACAAACAAAATCGGATTCGCATTCTCATCACCTCCACTAGTCCCAGCTCAGGCACAAAATATTGTCCAACCCTTCCCTCGGTTCTGGAAAGAAGAGGAAGAAAAGGCCCGATGTCAAGCTTTCCCTTCCCGAGCCAGGAAGCCAGCCAATGTTGTTTTGGGTCATCAATGACCCCGCAATGGCGCCGGAACGGGAGCTGGCCCAATGGCTGAAGGCCGGGCCGAGCGATTGCATTCAGGCTAAAATGGGCACCCGGCTCTCGGCGTTTTGCACCCCATGTCCATGTCAACGGCAACCATGTCAACCCCAATTCTGACCTTCGCTTGCCTCGCCCGTCGAAGTTCCTTTTGGGGGTAATTTTTGGGGGAGATGGTTGGTGAATTCATGCGCGGAACTGCGTCCGGGACGTCCAGCAAGCGCGTTTCGAGCTGCAGCTTGGGCGGTGTTGGTGGTGTGGTCTTTTTTGGGACTCGCTTTCGGGGCTTTCTGCAGGCTGCTTGGCGAGAGCTGACAGCAAGCAGCACCGGGCCCGAAGAGAACAGCCGGTACCAGTGCCGATGTCTGGGCGATCGAGCTTGGTGTTTGTCGGCGGGTGGTGGCCGCGGGGAAAACGCCACTAAACCCAAGCTCCGAGCAGACTGCTCACTCAGTGCTGTGACAAACAGAAAAGTCCACGGGAATAGCGGCAGAGATATCTCGGCGTGTTCGGCGGATTACAGCTCGTTCAGCCCATTCCTTCCGTCAACAATTGGCCACTTTTCATCCCATTTGTCCCTCCGAGTTGGACTCTTCATCGCCGAGCGAGACCGCGTGCCAGTCATCCCAACATCCCAGGATGCTGTGTCGCGTCACGACGTCCACCACGCCTCCGGTGATCACAGGCCTGGTCGGGCCTGGCCAATGAAACCCTGTTCCCCACCGAGCCCACACTTGCATTCATCCACCCCATTTCATCCGGGGGTCCGGGAAAGGCTGTGGGTTTGTCGTGTTCTCTGGGTTTTTGCTCCGCTTTGCCCATGGGGAAAAGGCAAGAATGGAGGAATGTGCGGAGAAGGTCTCCGCGCGCCCCCCATAGACTCCTCGTGGGATTGGCGCGGTTGAAACCTTGGGGAAGCTCTCCGTGGCTCTTCTGTTGGTTTTCATTCCTCCTCTCGTCCATAGGAGAGAGACCCTCAGGATTTTTTTGATGGCGCGTTTCTACAATGCCTCCGGGGTCAGGCCGAGAACTTGCATCTCGGTGTTTCTAAGACGACAGTTTCTGGGAACGAAAGGGCCTTGACTGTGAGGGATCTCGGGAAATATGTGGATATATCCGGCTTTGTTCCGAGCTCATCCATTCATTCACGCTGTGAATACCATCAGTGTGGTACCGTTTCCCGGAGTTTAATGTACGCGTATGTGGAAGAGGGAGAACAAAGTAGAGTGCATGAGGTCAGGACGGAACCCAACCTGGGTGAAGCGAAGGCAATCATGCATCAACATGAGGTGTGGGTGTGACGGGGTCCAGGGTGGGAAATATGAGAGGGCAACACTCTCGGATTCGGGCGCGTGGCCGTTGTGGATTGCCACGGTCCTTCCCGGTGTGGTGTTGCAGGCTTCCATTCATCCACGCGCGTGGGAAGAAGGGCCATTGAGTGGATGAACCGGCAGCAGGGACAGGGGATCAGGGTACCCTCGAAGGAGGATAATACAGATTTGGGTTGATTGCTTGATTCCCCCGCGTCCGGATATCTTGCAGCAAGGTCCCGGGGCCCTCTGGAACTTTTCTGGTTCTTTTCCCTGGTCGTTTTTATACCCTTCTTTCCCCCCAAGTGAGGGTTCTCTTGTCTGTTTTTTGTTTCCCTTGTCTTGGATATCCCAAAGCGGCGACTCAACAACACCAACCCCGGGGATCACCAATACAGACGCCAATCCCGGTTTCCCCGACCTCGAGATACATTCTAGACCAACACACGAGAAACCGTCCTCGAGAAAACTCCAGTCACCATGGCCGGTGGCGGTACTGCCGGGACCGGCGTTTACGATGCCGCGCTACACAAGCGGCAGGCGATGATGGGGGCCAGTGGGCCGGCGGCGCTGGTCAAGAACCTCCGCGTCTTCTCGATCGCGGCGTTCGCCTGTATCGGTGGTGTGCTGTACGGGTACAACCAGGGCATGTTCTCGGGGGTCCTGGCCATGCCAGCGTTCAACCGCCGTACGTTTACCCCCCTAGATCTCGATATTCTCTACATCATGCTTCTTGAAATTGCCGGACACCTGAAGACTAACTCGCACGCGTTTTCGGCACGAAACAGACATGGGCGACTACACCCTGGACCAGACCAAGAAGGGCTGGCTGACGGCCATTCTGGAGCTGGGTGCCTGGCTCGGCACGCTGTTGTCGGGGTTCCTGGCTGAAGTCCTGTCTCGCAAGTACGGTGTGTTGGTGGCTTGCACCGTGTTTATCATTGGTGTCATTGTACAGGCGACGGCGGTCACTGGAGGCCCCAATGCGATTCTGGGCGGGCGTTTCGTGACGTGAGTTTCGCAAAGCATTCCAAAAAGAAGAAAAAAATAGTGGGAGAAGCTGACGTTCTGGATTACAGTGGTATGGGCGTGGGAAGTCTGGCCATGATCATCCCCATCTACAACTCCGAGGTGGCGCCCCCTGAGGTGCGCGGTGCGCTGGTTGCGCTGCAGCAGCTGGCCATTTGCTTCGGTATCTTGATCAGCTTCTGGATTGACTAGTACGTTTTTCTCTCTTCTTCTCAGCTCCGGATGTATGTTCGCCAATCACTAACTTACCACTCAACAGCGGCACGAACTACATCGGCGGTACAGGCGACGGCCAGACTGACGCAGCCTGGCTCGTCCCCATCTGCCTGCAGCTCGCTCCCGCGCTCCTTCTCTTCGTCGGCATGATCTTCATGCCCTTCTCGCCTCGCTGGCTGATCCATCACGGCCGCGAGGAGGAGGCCCGCAAGGTGTTGTCCAGCCTTCGCGGCATCGACCCCGACCACGAACTGCTAGAGATTGAGTTCCTCGAGATCAAGGCCCAGTCCTTGTTCGAGAAGCGCTCGATTGCCTTGCTCTTCCCTGAGCTGCAGGAACAGACCGTGTGGAACACGTTCAAGCTGCAGTTTGTGTCGATCAAGAAGCTGTTCCAAACCCGCGCTATGTTCAAGCGCGTGATTGTCGCGTCTGTGACCATGTTCTTCCAGCAGGTGCGTCCACCTTCTCTCCCTTGTCGCTTAGCCGAGTTAGGCTTCGAGCGAGACACACTGACACATCCCAGTGGACTGGCATCAACGCCGTTCTATACTACGCCCCCTTCATCTTCGAAGGCCTCGGCCTCGACCTGAACACGACTTCCCTCCTAGCCACCGGCGTCGTCGGCATCGTCATGTTCGTCGCCACCATCCCCGCCGTCCTCTGGATCGACAAGGTCGGCCGCAAGCCCGTGCTCACCATCGGCGCCATCGGCATGGCCACCTGCCACATCATCATCGCCGTGCTGATCGCCAAGAACATGGACCAGTGGGACACCCAGCGTGCCGCCGGCTGGGCCGCCGTGTGCATGGTCTGGCTCTTCGTCATCCACTTCGGCTACTCGTGGGGCCCTTGCGCCTGGATCATCGTTGCTGAGATCTGGCCCCTGAGCACCCGGCCGTATGGTGTCGCGCTCGGTGCGTCTAGCAACTGGATGAACAACTTTATTGTTGGCCAGGTCACCCCGGATATGCTCAAGGGTATTCCGTATGGTACCTACATCATCTTTGGTCTGCTGACCTACCTCGGTGCCGCGTTCATCTGGTTCTTTGTCCCTGAGACCAAGCGGTTGACTCTCGAGGAGATGGTAAGCTTTTTTTTTGTATCCCCCATGTACAAGATACTCTACTACAAGATACTAATACATGCTCGTAACAGGACGTTGTCTTCGGCTCCGAGGGCACCGCCGCCGCCGACTTCGAGCGCATGGCCACCATCAACCAGGAGATTGGCCTGACCCGTCTCCTGGGTACTGAGGGCGGTGTGGCGGCTGGGTCTAACTCGGATGTGGAGAAGCCGCGGGTTGACACCACGGCCGATGCTACTAAGGAGGTGTCGGTCTAAGGGGATGGGTGTACTGCGTGTGATTACTTAAGAGGGGTTTTTGAGGAAGGAGGGAGGGGGTTGGGTTCAATTTGTGTGGTGGGGGGGCTGGGGGGGGCAGTTACAAACATTATACCATTTTGGATTCTTGAATTTTATGTTAATTTAGTGGGTGTTCTGAAATATGTGAACTTTGGTATTGGTTGAGTTTTTGTCATGCTGGCTGAGTGAGTCGCTGAATTGATGACGCTTAATGTGACTCTGTTGTAAACGCCATGTAAGTAAACTACACTGCAAGCGCTTTGTCTCAATGCCATGGAGGTTGCTCAGTTGCTCGGTTTTCCATTTTCTATCCAGCCGCGTATCTTATTTTCTGTCATCTCTTAATTACCACAAACCCCGAATCTACATCAGTAACAATGCAGAACACCCCTTTCCTAATTCCGGATTAGCTCTACTTTTATTTATTTGTATTCATTCCCATATCTTGTATTACCTTACAAATTTAATGTATCTCCAAAACTAACCCACCAACCATCTTGGGTCAAGATTACTTGCTCACCTGGCTACTGACTAACTTTCTGTGGGTTTTCGTCGATTTATTTACCCACTCACCTCACACTCACTTATCAGTATGCTTGCCACCCCACCTAATTGCTTATTGTTCTTATTGTTGTTCACTTGCTTCCTCACTTTCCCACTTGTTGTTGTTTTTATTGTTGTCATCATTCACCTGCTTGCTTGTTTGCTTGCTGCCAGCCTACTAAAGCCAGCCAGCCAGCTCTCTCTCTCTCTCTCTCTTATGCGTACATAATAACGAGAAAAATAAAAGACCCAGAACAAAAACAAAAACAAGGACCGACTAAAACCAAACAAAACTCGAATATAAACATAAAAAGTAAACTCGAGCGGCAACCAACAACCAACTTCCCACAATCTGCAACCCGCAACCAACTAGCAACCAACCGCTACCCAGCCAGCAACCAGCTAACTAGACAGACATACAAAGATACAAGATACAACCCAGCCGGCCCCTCATCCCCAAATTCACCCACCATCCTATCCACCATCCTATCCACCATCCTATCCAGCGTCATATCCACCATCTTATCCTAAACCTGTCCAGGTTTTCCAGGCTGTCCGTCCGTCCCTCCAGGTTGTCTATGTCTGTTATTGCTACTACTGCTGCTGGTGCTGTTGTTGTTGTTGTTGTTGTTGTTGTTGGCATTGGTGTGTCCATCCATGTCTGTTGGCGTCTGTTGGCGTCTGTTGCCGGCTGCTGCTATTGCTCTACTCTTCCTAACCGAGCTTCTGCACCTAAATCTTCGTTATCCGCCCAAAAGGGCCCAAAACTGGTCGCTCTGAGGACAAGAAACCGCCCTCTTTGAACAACAACGAAAATGTCACAGTCTGGCATGTGTGGCTGAAGACTGTGGTGGTGGTGGCTAAACGCAACCAAGGATGGAGGCAAACTGCATCTGGGAGCGCACGGTCCAGTTTTCTCTGTATTTAGATAGACTTGGTGTATCCGTAGCTGCATCTTCTTTTCGTTTGGTCAACAACTTCAATCCAATCTTTTCTGCCTCTACGCTCTCACACTCAGGATCACTGTTCTGCTGCACCACCATTTCCATTTATGCCTACTCATAATTGTGATAGAAGATGAGAACCTATCATTATTACAAGGAGGCTAAGAACGCGATTCTCGGCCTGGCAGTTCATTTTTTATGGGGTCCAATTACAGGCCTAGGGCCATGCCTCTGCCAAGGCCCTGGTCATGAGCATGGGTAATGGGTACAGGCCCCGCGGGAGGCGGCTCTGGACTCGGTCTGGGAGTGGAGCCTGTTCCAGGTTGTGCGCGAACACCAGGGGACATTAGGATAACGTATAAGGAGCCCAGCTGAGGAACGCCCTTGCGTATTTCCCTCTTCTGTAAGCTTTCTCAACAACACAATAGAACGCCTATCTACATTCCGCCATAGGGCCAATTCCTTATAGCGATGCCCCATCCAAGATGGCGGGGAGCAGCAACGACAGGGCTCAAAGAATCATCGAAGAAGCACTTTTACGCCATTTGACGATAGACAGAAGCAAACACAAGCAACTCGTCCGCAACGTCATTAAACATGTATTTGCTGATGGCCACAATTCCCCCGCAGAGGAAGCCAAAAAAGGCTTCTTCCAACAACTAGACGCCAAAGCGCTCGTTGCTCTTGCGGTGCTTATCCGAGTAAGAGACATCCAGGGCAACTCCGTCTCTACTATCGAGAGGCTTTGCAAAAACTTCTGCCTCATCCCGACGACAAGTTGGTACAACGACCTTGATCTGTGGAAAACCACTCTTGACGTTGTCAGCAACAGCGCTCCATATCTACGGTTTCGCAAAGGTACAGGTTTCCCCTTCTACGCAACATCGCCGCTAATAAGGACATAGATATCGTTGATGCTATTCAGCAGGCGGAATCTCCTTGTCGATCCACGTTGTTACAATCCACGCCGGCGCAATCCACGCCGGCACAATCCACGCCGGCAACGCCATTCGGGGATGCGGATGTTAATTCGGGGCCTATTGAGGCATTTACATGCTGTTCTTGCAACGCGAAGTGGCCACAGAGAGGGATAGTTGCCTCCGAACCAGAGACTGGTAAGCTTGCCTAATACTATCTTCCCGTTCCTACTAATGTGCCAGCTTCCGCCGAGTCTGATCGTCCGTTCAAGCGACCCTGTACGATTGCCTCGCCTACAACGAGAAGTCCCCTCGCACCTGCTGCCGCCTCCACCGATATCACCAATATCCCCGCCCCAGTCGATGCTATAAAGACTCCAGCGCAGCCTTCACGCATGGGCGGGAGCTACGATCACGTCCTTGGAAAACGAAAGAGACCGGAGGATACACCGTCTACCACCTTTCGGGTGCCCTCTATATCATCCGATCTTAGTGTCGCTCCTCTATACCCTGAACTAGTCCAGGCCCCGTTCACATCCCTGAGCCAGGAACGGGATCCTGGCACCGAATATACGCCACCATCGCGAATACGCGGGGTACGAGCTGAGGGACTCAATGGGGTATAGATGAAGTAGAATGGGCGACGCTTTCCGGCCTCCGTCGCCGGCGCCGTTTACAGTCGTTACGGAGGCGGCCCCGATCCGGGAACGCGAACCAGTTTCAAGGCGGCAAAACTTCGGGCACAGCGTTAGCCTGTGCTTGCTGAGTCATTAATTGCAGTTGTACGAAAGCCAAGATTTTGCTAGCGCTGCTCTATACATTCAACACACACGTACTGTATGTGCATATGCATGTATGTATGTGTTTCCGTTGTTTGTGCCTGTGTGTGCTGCCTGCCTGTGCTGCCTGTGTGTGTACCCGACATAAAAAATGGACAGAAAAACACCCAACAAAGAAAAAGCGACATGGAAAAAGAGACAAAAGCGCTCCCATCATTCATGCTTCTCAATCAACCAATCAATCAATCCCACACTGTCCTTACAGTAAGTACTTCACCTCCACACCACACTCGGCCGGGGTCTCACCGTCCCATTCCCATTTACACTCCCCGTCCCCGTCCCATTTCCACCACTACTGCCACCTGCATTGTTACTCATAACACCCCCACCAGCAAGTCCACTAATGGTAATCCTCCTAGCCTTACCACCAACACCCATCCCCTCCGCTCCTCCAGAAACAGACGGAGGACTACCCCCAGCCAATCTCATACTCCCTCCAGCACTCCCACTCCCACTACCATTCCCAGCACCAACCCCCCCAACGATATTCATCCTCCTCGCCTGTCCCTGCGTCAACCCCCCCTTCCCACTCCCCCCACCAATCATACCCGCCCCGGACCTCGACCCAGAACCAGAAGACAACGGTGACGAACCCGCTCCCACGCCTACCCCAGAAGCAGGACCCGCTCTCGAAGGCGGCGAACAAGCAATCGGTCTCGGGGGGGACCTTTTCCCTCCCCTCTCCGCACTCAACCGTCTATGTCTCGAGATCCCAGCCCCACTGGAGACACTCGCCCCGGCACTGACGCCAGCGCCAAGACCGGAATAACTCGCCGATGCGCGCCGGTGCGCACCGCCACCAGCGGCATAGCCGGCCGCACTGGAGAGTCCAGAGATGGAGCCAATGGAGGACACCCTACGTCCTGCAGCGGCGTGGTGGTGACTGGTGGCGGATGAGAGGGAGGTGTTGCTGTGGAGGGAGAGGCGGTCGCTGCGACGTTTGGCGAGGTGTAGGGCGGAGCGGATTTTGAGGGGGTCGAGTTCGGAGTCGGAGCCTCCGGAGCCGTAGGAGACGCGGGGGAGACGGGAGGAGGGGGAGGGGGAGAGGCGGCGGGGGGGTTCGTTTTCGTTGTTGTTGGGGGTGAGGTTTGGTGAGGTGGTTTCGTGGAGGGGGGAGAGCATCATGCTGTTGTTGTTGTGAACAGAAGTAGGTTTGGGACTGCCGTTGGCACTGACGGACGGTGGCGAGAGGGAGTTAGTCACTCGGCTCACGGGCAGGGAGCGCAACGGCGAGGGGCGGTCTTGGTTTTGGGGCTTTGGGGAGCTGGTCAGTCTCAGGGACAGGGTCGGTGGGACTGGCGAGCCATGGACTGAATCGTTGTGGTTCTGTTGTTGGGACGAGGGCCGGCTTTTCGAGAGAAACCCAGCCTGGAATCGGTTGTTCGGCTTGCTGAAAGCCAGCGATGACACTTCAGGGGCGGCAGGCAACGTTGGGCTCGAGCTGTGCTGTTGCGGGGAGTCGACGTGATTGAGATACGAGGGGACAGGCGGCCTGGCAGGGAGTGTCCGCTCTGGCGAAGGAGGCGATGGTTCCTGGGGCGAGGGGAACTTCTTGGGCGTCTTCTCAAAGTCGGCCAGCGTGCCCTGCTCGCTCTCGTCATCGCGCCATCGCACGCCGCCCTTCTTCTTGACGGGGGTAAACGAGATGACCTTGCGGCCGTTAGCCGTCCTTCGCCGCCTAGGTGACGCCTTTACAGGGGACGCCGCGGCTTGTTCTTGCACTGCGGCCAAGAAAGCGGGTTGCGGGATGGGCTTCTTCGGGGTCGTGCCCACCGACTTCTTCCGCTTGGGCGTGCCCCGCTTCGTCGGCGGGAACAGCTCCACGGGCATCATGGATCCGTCAGGCTTGACGACGTGCGAGGCGGCCGAGTAGCCCGTCTCGAGCAGCCGGCTGATCATGGTCTTGGCATGGGCCACGGCCTCCTGCTCGCTCATGTTCAGTGTCTCGGACATGGACGACAGCATCTCGAACTGCGCGCCCAGGAGCACTTGGACAACCGCCGCGTCACCGGCCTTGTCCTGCTCCAGCACCTCGCGGTATGCGTCGCGCATGAAGCTGGCCTTGAGCATCTCCACCTCGCGCGCCAGCGTGTCTCGCTCCGAGCCGTCAACGGGCTCCTCACCCGCCGGCTGCAGCATCGAGAGGCTGTGGTTCAACGCTGTATCGAGGTGGCGCTCCCAGTTAAATTTCTCAAGCCGCTGGTGGATGTGGTGCCGGCTGCTCTCGAGTTCCATAAGGATGCCGTGAGCCGTCTTGCGCATGGCCACCAGGTTCGCGGGCACGGCGTCTTCATCACCCCGGGCATCACACACCGAGTCGAAGGCCGCAATCCACGCCGACAGCAGTCCAATGCGCCGCTCAATGGCCTTACGCTTCTTCATCATGTTCGTCTTCTCCAGTCGCTCGGCCGACGCATTCTCGTACGCGGCCCGCAGTCGCACGATGCCCTCGCGCACCACCGCGTCGCGCTTGTCCATCTGCTTGCGGAACTTAGCAAACGCGGTCTTCTCGGCGTCCTTCTGTTGCGCCTTGAGCTCCTTGATGAGCGCCATCTGCTCGTCGATCTTGACGAGGAAATCCTTGACGTGGCGGTTGACGTTGAACACATTGCGCGTGACTTTCGTCTGGATGTTCTTGGCCCGGTTCGCATACCGGAGCGTGTTCTGCGTCTCGTCAAAATGCTCGCTCGACGGGCTCACGCACACAATCATGACCGTCTTGCAGTTGCCGCCCAGCGAGAACTTGAGCAGTCGCGTCAGCTTGCTGTTGCGGTACGGAACGTGGTTCCTCTTCCTAGGATCGCACAGCGCGTTGATGCAGCTGCCCAGCGCCAGCAGCGACTTGTTGATGTTGGCCCCTTCTAGTAGCCGCTCGCCTCGGTTCTTGGTCGCGCTGGCCCGCTCGCTGCCCGCCAAATCGATAATGCTCAGCGTCGCCATCGTGTGCGGCTCGTTGACGTCCGCGTTGCGGTCCTTCTGCGCGATGTTGATTTGCAGCACCGCGTGCGACCGCGACGACACTGCGTTGGCCGCCGTCGGCGACACCGTCCGGTACTCGTTGCCCTGTACAATCATGTCCATGACCTCCTGGACGTCCTTCGGGTGGTGGCTCGTCAGCCCGGCCACCGTCACCGCCTGGTTCGAGTCCTCCCGCAGCATCAGGCCCTGCTTACTACCCCCGGGCACCAACAAGTCGCGGATCGTCTCGTTGTAGATCTCCAGATATGACAGCGACACCTCAGTGACCTTCTCATCGCTGCGCTCGTTGATTTTCTCGAACAACTCCTGCATCGTCAGGAAGATTATACCAGGGTGCTGGGAGGTACCCGTGATCGTGTGTGTCTTGCCGCACCCCGTCGCGCCGTAGGCAAACACCGTGGCATTGTAACCGTCGAGGATGCTATCCAGCAGATTCTTGGTCGTCGCCTCGTACACATCGCTCTGCGTCGCTGTTTGGTCGAAGATGCGGTCGAATGCGAAAACTTGGTCCTTGACTTTCTTGCCAGCGGCCGGAACAACGGATCGGGTGAACTTTTGGACCGGGTTGTCCTCGGGCGGGTCGAAAACCCTAAGCGTGTCAGTGTTAGCACCAGGCGCTGCAGCGTGCATGTATCCAGGAATTGTAGCTTCGGAGGAAACCTACAGGCAGCGGTCGTCCACCACCTTGATGACCGACCGAATTCCGCGCTGGTTTAGCTTGGGAGCGGGGGCTGCGGCGAGCGAGCCATCGCCGAGAAAGAGAGTGGTGTCGTCGGTTCGGACGCTGCTGCAGTCAGTATCTGTCGCGGGGTAGATCCGCAATTGGCTGGGCTCACAGTTGGGCCGCTTCTCTTATGGTGAACGGCCGCACTCGAACTACAGGCAAAAGGTCAAAGGTCAGTACAAAATAAAAAATACCGGACTTGAAAGACTCGAAGCGACATTCGTACCTGCGACGGTAATAGAAGAAGCGTTCGGGTCCATGGTGTTCTCTGTTCGCCAAGTCCCCATGCAAGGAGACAGAGCGAGCAATCCGAAGGGCAAGCGGGCGACTCGACAAAAATCAAACGAGGTCTTTCACTCTTTGCTCTCCGCCGTGCCGGTTGACAATTGGATAGTTATTCGGATTCGAAGAAAATGCGCAAGGATGCGAGGATAGTAGTGTCTGGCGACAAAAAAGGAGTAAAAAGCGAGGGTTAAGAAAAAAGGGCACAAAAAAAAGGAGGGGAGAACGAAGCTGTCGCAGATGACTGTTTGAAGAAATGAATGAAGGTCGGTGGCCGTCGTGTCCTGGTGTCCTGGGCTTGTTAGTGTCCGCGACTTCGAGAAACAAGTCTCCCTGCGCGTGGAAGGAAGGGAAAAGGCAACGGAAATGACGTTGCTGGCTCGAATGATGGATCTCTCTCCTGCAATTTCTCGCCGCGGATTGGTGCAGCCACTGTTGACTGTTTGTGGCCTGTTCACGTTTCCCGAGCGACGTGAAAAGTGGGGTCCCCCGCTGTTCCTGGCATTGTTTGAACCAGCTGGCCCAGACCCACCGTGAGATGAACTGGTTTGCTCCACAGAAAGGTCCTGGTCTTGGCGCCAACGACACAGACCTTTGGCAGCGTTCTTGACATCACCTTGTCGGCACCTCGTCTTGCTAGTGTACCTCTGCACCTTTGGTACAGGAGAAGCCAGGATCTACACTTACAACATCAAGCCTCTACGGTACCACGAAATGGAGGTATGATGTACGTTACGCATTCCCGAGCGGACGGGACGCCGACAGGGCCCCCATTCCGAGGCAAGCGGCTTCTATATAGCGCGCTTGTTCACCCATGGATAGGCACAGCTGAAAGAGACCACCGACCGGAACATAGGTGAAAACAAGTTGAGTTTATATAATCCCTTACGGCGCGTGTTCTCCGGCTCCAGACCCTGAATTTGCAACCGGAACGCCTCCTTCAAGAGGCCTATGGTTATGGTAATCGAGCTCAAGGGAATGCCGGTGCTGTACGAGGGAAAAGATGGCGCCTGTTGGAGGAAGTATGAGACCCCAAGACGGGAGCCTTTTTCCCACAATATCTAGCTTCTTGAGTGGTAAAAGGGGCTTACGGGCGTGTGTGCTTTTACTTCACTCCTTCTGCCAACCTACCGACAAATTGTGTGCCTCTCGAATGAGCAAAGTCCAGACTCGCTTTCTTCTTAGTCTATCTAGTTTTAGGCAGAGCCACAAGCCTTTATCACCTTCCCACCGATCCCCCTTCTCGGCCTGAGACAAACGAATGACACGACATAAGCCCACCAGAAAGTCAAGCTTCCAGCGCCTGAGCATTCCATGGACACCGGCGTGGGGTACAGTATCCTCCGAAGCAAGCTATCAAGCACCTCCTCCCCGTCTTCCCGGGTCTCGCCGCCAAAAGGCAGCAAAAAGGAAGGCAGGTCTATGCCGCGGCTTTTTGCTAACCTCCCGCTCCAATTTATCCAGCGCGTGCTTCCTTCGGCATTCAAAGCAGCGGCTGGGATAGCTAGTCACGATGACCTCGCTGTTTTTGGTCAAAACGCATGAACCGTAGACGTCCTTTTTCCGGAAATCGCGCGCATTGCATGAGTACGGCCTAGGAGTGGGACGTGGGTCGGAGTGGGGACATTTGCTGTAGACCTGGCGCTGCCATTGGCACATGATGTCGATTATATTTAGTCCAGGGTGTGTGTTGGGGTGGCTGGCCTGTGGTGGACTGGTTGTGTCGGAAGGGTTGCGGGCGATAGGTGTATGTTGGTGGTGTTTCTCTCGGCCGGAACTAGAAGCGCAGGTTTCCTTTTGTTACTCTGAAGCAGCAGAGTGATGAGATGTTCGGAAATGGGTTCACAGAGTTAAAGTCAGTCGGAGACGGAGTGGTGGTGAAAGTGTGTCGAGCTTCGTTCAGCATCATCAAGCCCGTGTCAACGGAGTGCCTTAATATCTTACTTTTGTCCTCCTTTCTCTCCCCTCTTTGTTCCCACCTACGCTGGCAGTCTCCTAGGGGGCGGCGCCGAGCTACATCAAACGAACCCAAGGCCTCAACCAATGAGAATGCAATAGCTCGTCCTCTAGTTGGCCGGTCTCCGGCGGCCCCGGACAGGCGTACCCGAAACACAAGGGACCCTAAATGGCCTGTAAATCGGCTTGCTCGCCAACATTGAGAGGGTGAGGAGGGATGAAAGCCGGATCGTGGGCACGGTCCGAACCCCTGACGGCCCTGAAGACCCTAACACTCAGATGACGGACCGGCCATTCGTGGACCAGCGGGTGTGGCCGGGCCGGTGATGCTTCTGCCAGTGTTGGGACACGAAACCAACAGTCTGGCCGAAGCTACACTGGCCCCTTACACCATCCCACGCGGGAGGGAGCCTTGGAGCAGATGCCTTCAGAACCACGGACTTGGCCAGTTGGCAGTTTGAAGCCAGGCCGATAACCGCACTGGAGTGGTACTAACAGAGTTTCATGTTCACCGTGGTTGGGTAAGGGCGATTCTTCCAACCTATGAGCCGTACGTAGTTATCGGGGCTTCGGCAACCACTCTTTCGTTCTGGGCCAACAACCCCGACCAAACTTCAAGATCAAGTTACGACGGGGGCCGTGTGGTTGGGGGCGGTTGGGTTAGGGCCGCCGGCCAACACCATTTTGGGACGGTAGCATCGGGGGCCATGTTGGGTGCGGCACTCTAGCTTTGGATCATCCAACGTCCCAACATACAATGTCCCAACCTCGATTGTTCAGAGGGTGCTAAGTTTCCATTCGCTAATCGGCGAAGAGCCGACAGTTGCCTGTGGAGGCTGTACAGCTTGGGTAAGGTTACCAGTCCAAACGTCGCCCTGAAAACTCGCGAGGCACGAAACCGCCAAACTTAATGGAACTATTTAAACTCTTGAAAACAAAAACCCCTTCATTCGTGAGAAATTACGTCCCGAACCCTGGAGTCCTCATCGAGAGTTCTGAATTGGCCGGTCGCTTCTTGATGGTGTTGAGTGGTAACCAAGCTGCTCGGCACGGGATGATTGTACTTTAGAAAGGATGAGAGATGGGACGAGGTGGCCAGGTGTACGGCCCGGAAGGTATTGAATCCGAGGTCACAAGATTCCTTCCGCACTCGCCAAGCAGCAAATACCAGTATCGCGGTGCGAGGTAGGCGACGGCATAAAGCTGGGGTACGCCAAAATGATAATGGGCAATACACCCTGCTGTGCAAGGAAAGAAATGAAAATGAGGGGGCAGAGATAGAGCCAAGGGAATGAGGGGGGAGAAAAGTCAAGATTCCAGCCAACAGCTGGGTTTCAGTCTGTACTTGTGGGGCGAGCTCCCCAACCTTCTGCAATCAGCCAATCGGAATTGGTGTAGAGCACCAGGATTTCCTAATTGAGCGCCATGCCACGGCCAACCTGCCCCACAACGTGGACATCGACTTTCACGAAAGGCTTGCAAATAACCACAACTTTGACAACTTTGAACAACAATCTCGCTGGAGCCAGCAATATAAGCATGAGATACATGGTGGTTCTCTTTTTGAACGGTCTTGTCTTATTCATTTTAACAAACTACCAACTTTCCACTGACCCTCTCGATCGCTGTATCATTTTTTAATTTTTGAACTAAACTTTTATGTCATCTTAAATTCAGAAGAAGAAACCCTAAACACACAGTTTTAAATAAACTCTAAACGACAGAACGGTACAACCTCGTAGGCACAAACACTCATCAAATCAACTCGTCATTAACAACTACAATTACCCCTTATATCCAGCCATACTCACTCCAATCCTCCCCCCGCATCAATCCCTCCTAACCAACACCCTCCAACTACTAAACAGCACTAACCCCCTCCCTCCTCCCAACCACATCCCCATCCCCCCCCACCAAGAAACTCACCGGCGGCCCCAAATAACTCGGCCTAACCCCTCCCAAATCCACCACCACCTTCTGCACCACCAACCCCGGCAACAGCGCCCACACCCTCAACTTATATGCCCCCTCCCTCTCCACCGCAAACCGACTGGTCGTATAATTCCCCGTCCGCCCCCACACCCCGTCCGCCACAGCCCCCTACCACCCCGCGGGCATGTTCCCGCCGACTGTCGCGCCGACGGGTTGGACGTGGGTTACTGCAACCTGGGACGTATCGGGAGTGTCGGCGGGGAAGAGGGAGATGGCGTATTCGAGCGGGGTGGCGTCGCCGAGGTAGTTGAGCCCCGGGGAAAGGTAGAGGGTGATGTTGGCTGCGGTGGTGTTGGTGAAGAGGTAGAGGTCGTATTCGAGGGCCGGGGCGGTGGTGAGGGTGAGTTTTTCGGTGTTGAGGGGGATCAGGCCGACGCCGGTGTCGGTGCGGCCGTAGTTGGTGAAGGTGTGGTAGGTTGGTTTGGTGGTGGTGTTGGTGGATTTGGACGAGGAGGAGGAGGAGGAGGACGGCGGGATGATGGTGCTGTATTTGGCCGCGGGAAACGCGACGTGGCCGTCGGACTCGACGAACCCCTTGGTGAATGACTTCGGCACAGACCGCGCGCGTACCGGGACGAGAACGTGCGGGTCGCTGAAGCCGTACTTGTCGAACTTGCGGCATGTCGTGACGTTGACAGTTACCGTGCCATCAAACCCAGCCGGAACAGCGGCCCAGTCAACAGACACCAGCACGCGGGTGTCGGCGCTGTCGGGCCCGAGAGTCCCCTTGGCCGGGTCCAGCTTGAGCCAAGGGTGGTTGGCCGCCAGCGACCAGTCGCAGTCCTCGACGCCGCGTGAGAAGACGTCGATGTACCGTGTGGCCGGGCCGTAGGGCTCGAGGATGGGCAGGGAGAGGTCGTTGGCGCTGTTGCCGTGCCACCGGTCGTCGCCTTTGACTGTCGCGTTGGACCCTTCGACGCCGATGCCGATTTGTCCGGCGAGCGCAGCGAATTCGGTTTGGACATGCACCATGGCGGGGAGGGTGTTGCGCATGGGCTGCTGCCAGTAGCCGGAGTAGCCGAGATGGGTTTCTGGGGGTGCCAGTCAGTCAGTCGGTTCGCTACGGGAACAAAAAGGGGTAAGAGCGGGACAAGAGCTTACGGTCCATGAAGTGCTTCCACTTTCCATCCAACAGAGCATCCCAACGACGGGTGAGGTTGGCATCAGCCGCCGAGTACTTCAACACGTCTTGGATCACCTTGTTGGCCGAGTTGCGCCCCTGACCAGCAAACAGCAAGTTCCGAGCACCGCCAATATTGATCTGCTGCACAATTTGACCAGCCATGGCCGGGTGTAAGACCGTCTGGAAGAAGGCCGCCTGGGTATTCGCCGGCAGCTTGTCATAAATCCCCTGCGCCTTCTCGACCAAATCCGCCCACTGCGCTAGCACGGCATCGGCCTCGTTGTAGTTGATAACCGAGTACGACGACGGTTCGATCAGCTCGTACTTGCGGCGCGCCGCATACATGCCATACTGCAGCAGCACGTCAGCAATCTCCCCGGCGTACTTCGCCCCAAACTCCCGCGCGGCCCACGCCTCGGCCCAATCCGCTGTGCTCTCGATATCCCAGCGCTTAGCGTCGTAGGCCAGATCCAGGAAATGGCTAATCGGCACCTCAAGCGCCTTCATATCGCCCACATTAACAATCCACACGCGGTCGGCGCCCCGGGCGTACGCTAGATGCATCTGCTCCGTCGTCTTGGCCAGCTGGATGGTATTGATCCACTTGTAATCGCGCGGGTCACCGACGTAGTCGAAGTGGTAATAAATCCCGGCACCTCCAGCGCGATCAGTCTCATTCCGCAGCGGCAGCCGCCGCACATTGCCCCAGTTGTCGTCCGCCCACAGCAGTGTCACATCATCAGGCACCTGCAGCCCAGCAAAGATGTAGCTCATCACCTCCTTGTACAAACACCACAGCTGCGGCACCGTGCTGATGTCCTTCACCCCGAGCCCCGTCGAGATGATCTCCCGCTGGTTCTTAACCAACACCTCCAACATCTCAACAATATACTCTACCCCCAACCCCTCAATCGCCGTGTCCCCCGTGCCGCGCATACCCATAGTCCACAGGGAATTCCGCGCATACGGCTTAGCGCGCTGCACGCCGTAGCGGAAATAGTCGTCGATGGTTTTGTTGTTGAGGTTGTACGCCCAGGGGCCTTGGTAGAAGTGGCCGAACTCGTTTTGCGCGCGCATCAGGGGTTCTGTGTGGGAGGAGCCGATGACGACTTCGAAGGCGTCGGCGAGCGGCTGGTTGGCGGGGTCGTCCACTTCGAACATGGTCGCCCAGACTGCCGGCCAGAGGTAGTTGGCGCGTAAGCGCAGGACGACTTCGAAGATGAGGCTGTAGAAGGCGGGACCGTAGCCTGGGCCGTAGGGCGTGTCTTGCCAGTGGGTGCTAGAGAGCCGGTTAGTATGTCTTATCTCTCAACGAGTCAACCCGAAACCGAAGTCAAGACCATGGAAAAAAACAACGTACGCAACCCAGTTCGTCAAAGCCGGCTGCTCATCATTCAGAAAGAATCCACGGTACTTCACCGACGGCGGGCCCTGCACCTTCTTCTTCTTCGTCACATAAAGCTTCTCGCTCTTCTGCACCGGCGTATCAGTCCAAAAATACCACGGGCTGACCCCAATCTGCTCGCTAACATCATAAATCCCAAAGATCGTCCCGCGCGGGTCGCTGCCCGCGATCACAAGCGCCTTCTTGACACCCGCGACAGGGTGCTCGATCACCTGGCTGGTGAACGATTCCCACTTGCCCTTGACCCCAGACACGTCGAGCGCGTGGGACGAGACGAGCTTGTCGATGACGGTTGAGTGGCCGATGGTGCCTGCGATGATGACGACGTTTGCGGAGTCGTAGGGCGAGTACTTGGGGCCGGTGAAGTGGGCGGTGCCCGTGGTTGAGTACTGAACTGGTCTTAGCACAACTCCTCCACTCTCATCAGATCACAACCCCTTAAAGAAGTGGTGATCTCATGGTATGAACCGTACTCACCATAGTATTATTCGTATTATCCACCGGCTCATACTCATACCTCGCCGCCTCTACCACCTTTCCCTTCATCCCATTACTCAACGTCAAGTTCGTGCCAGTAACCCGGCCAAAATCGACCGCCAAATCGCCCGCCGCGCGGATGACGCCCCAGTACTCGTTCTCCGCCACCAGAATCTGGCCGGCCTTGTTGGGGCCGGCCCCCGCCAGCTGCAGCACCGATCCGTGGCTGCTCGTCGATATGATCTTTTCTTGGCCTAGGGCGGTGGCCACTGAGCTGAAGGCTAGCCAGAGGGCTGCCTTCACGCCCAGGCCAAGGGGATGCATTGTGTTGTCTTTGGTGTTGTCGTTGTTGCCGTTGTTGCCGTTGTTGTTGTTACACACAAGAAACGTACCTACACGCACTCACGCAACGGCGCTGGTCTCACAATTGGTAGTCCGCGACGACAACAAACGCGGAAAGACAGGCTCGTGAGAGCGAGTGCGAGTGCAGATCTTTGCCTTGATAATTATAACCACTATCCAGCTCCCCGGGTATGCAAGGAACATTCCGCCCGTGCACCCCCCCTCCCTCTCTCCCCCAGGAACCGTGGCAGCCATGAGGGAAATGGGCCCGGTTGCAAGGAATCCAAGGCCTCGCGTTGGTGGAAAAACTTAACTGGGACCCCGCGGAAGAGAGAGAATAGCCTCATAGCTTCCGCCATCGCTAGCTTCGCTACCAAAACGCAGGCTGGGAAGTGAGTGGGAACGGGACAGGCGCGTTGTTGGCCCTTCTTGGGTCTCCTCCGGGGAAAAAAAGGGTTTGTGTTGCAGCGCCAGGAACGCATGCCAAGGATTGGGGAAGTTGGATTTGGAGATGGAGCTGGGGGAGCTTCGTTTACCCAGCTCTCGCGAACGCCACTTGGTGAAGAAAAGTAACAGTCGGGCGGACGGATAAACTCGCGTGAGCGGAACTCGAGGAAATAAAGCTCGTAGCGAGCCCGAAGCTGAGATTATGGAAGAAGGTCCTTGAGTTCTATTGACAACTGATGGGCTCCTAATTACACTTCGAGTCGAGAAGCTGAAGCGCTTGAGAGGGACGATGTACCCCACAGCAACATCCCCCACAGAAATCGATGACCATCGCAAAGAAGGAAAGAGCAGTCCTCTCTGGCGAACCCGCCCTAACAAAAACATTAATGACGGTACCTGTGGCAAACTGCGGGTGTACTATGTATACATACCTTAAAGCAACATGCCATCTCCCACATAAAGCAAAAACAACACGCCCACAACTGAGAGCGAAACCTCTCAACGAAACCCCCAATCACTCCCCGAGTCCCCAGATACAATACAAACCAACAAACGAATCCAATGCGGAAACCATCTCATCCTCCGCATTCCCCGCATTGCCCTTGCCCATTCTTGGGGGACGAGGGGGAACAAGGGGAGCGCTGACCGGCTATTTAGCCGAGAGGACGATCCACAACTCGGCTTCCTAACCTTGACACTAGCGCTTGGTGCTTTGCCCTTCTTGGAAATGCAGGGCGCGACGCCACGCGAGATGGAAGTTCTCGAAGGTTTTGGGTTCTTCGGCTGGGAAGCGAAGGTGGATGGGGGGTGAGAAAAGAGTTTGTCGCTGGCGAGAGATCCAACCCCCCGCGACCTTGCGTCAACCCCCCCCGCCATCTACAGTCCTGCGAGACGATATTCGGAAGTTCTGGAAGTGTTTGAGATTGAGGTTGAGGGGAGGGAACGAGCCTGCGAGATGGGAAACGAATGGACTGCTGCGGTTTGTTCCGTTGCGGTCTCTAATAAACTAACGTCGTTTCCCTTTCTTTGTACAGGAGAGCTTGGGGAAGGATTGGAGGGGAGAATAGTTGACTGGGCTCGTCCACGTCAAGGACTGCTACTCTGTATGTCGTCTTCATTTTTTTTTTATTCGGTTCTTCTCTCTTGAGTTTGTGTCACAAAGGATCAACATAGACAAACATATAATGGAGCAAATAAAACAACTATAAGTAAGCATTTGATAAAACCAATAAAACAGGCACTTGTTTCTGAAAATCTGTTCTCTCCAACGTCAACGTCACAAACCAAGCAAGGAGGTCACGCCCTACGAGACGTCAACCCAAGGGGTTTGGGATACGGGCCTAAAAGGTACGGGCCTAAAAGGGCGTTTATCAAATGTTGACCGTCGACACGATCACCACGTCCGGGTTTCCCAAAATGGGAAACTCTTTCCCCAACGTAACGCCCCGAATCGGTTGCTCGTGTGAACGCATCCTTTGATTAAGCTCTCAAAGAGGGGTTGGATGACGATGGGAATAAAATAGAGATTTGTTGTAGAGGAGGTACGATCACCGTTGGGTTAAGTTCATCTGTTTACCTTAGATAACTAAGTAAACTCGCCTGAAGGGTCTCAAACGTCGCGACTCGCCCGATGCGAGCGCCCAGCATTTTCTAATCTTTTGTGTACACAAGCACACCTAAGTAAGGTAGTTAAGTACTTCCTCCCAACCCCTCGATCACTTCCCGCTGCATCGTACAACCCGACCCAAAGCCCCTCCACAGCTCGAGCCCTTCCCCATTACCACGGTTCAGCAAAGCCCCTCCAACACCCTCACCCAATCCCCCCCTCATTAAGCCGCCGCACCCTCAACCCACCGATACCGCGGCAACAGCGCCATCTTCTCCTCCGGACTAACCTCCGTATCCCCATACACCATCCTCGACCCCTTCTTCCTCTTCTCCCCAGCTCCACCCGTCTCTTCTCCCGGCCCCTTCCCAGCCGCCGCCGACACCGACGGCCGCACGCCCGCCTCAGCCAACCGAATCATCTGATCAATATCATCCCCACCAGCCCCGCCACGGGCCGCATTCGCCACCAACTCGTCGACTGTCGACGGCGCGCCGCCGGGATATCCTGGAGGGGGCACGCCTCCGGCGGCACCGTTGTAGTAGTACGGCGGCGGGGCTCCGCCGGCTGCGCCTGCTGCTGCGGAGCCGCTCGGGGGACGAGCGGGCAGAGGGAAGGGAGCGGTTGTGCCGGCTGGGGGGGCGCCTGGTGGGAAGGCGGTCGTGGCTGGGTAGCCTTGTGCGGGCGGGTAGGGGTAGCCTGCTTGTGGAGGAGGGAATGCGGGTGTCTGGTTTGGGAGTTGTGAGTTGTGAGTGCGCTGACGCAGGAAGGTAGTAGGAGAATAGAGAGGGACAGGGTAAACTTACGGCTTGTGCTGGACTCTGGTTCTCGGCTGGAGCAGCCGTAGCCGGCGTGCCGTTGATGCCAGCGGCCTTTTGCGCGGCAACCCTTGCGCGGTGCTCGGCTAACCTCTTTTTGAGCTCCTCGGGTGTCTCGTACTTCAACTTCTTCGTCGGGCCCTGGCCTCCTGATAGGCCCCGTGGGGGGTTTCCTGTCGCGGCTTGACGCTCGGCTTGGGCGGTGTAGAAGTTTTGGATGATGCGCTGGTGGTGCTGTTGGATAATATCCTCGGGAACACCTTCCATACCGAAGATTTCGATATCGAGTCCTTGTCGGTTAGGGAGCGCATTCTCGACTGTTGTGAGGTTTTCCTTGTGGACTTGGTTCATGTGCACGGAGAGACCTAGAATGCGCAAAAATGTCAGCCATCATGGTCGGGTTTGATAGAAGGAAGGCTGGCGCGTGACGGCGTACCTCCCGCCGTGTTCAATCGCTTGCCACATCGGTCACATTTGAAGTGTTTCGCCTTCTGATGCGAGATGAGAAGCTTTAGATCTTCAAAATCACGTTCACCTATCACAGTATTAGCCTAATTCGGACGCGTGCAAGCTCTGATGAACCAACAGTAGTAGCACCACGGTCGAGTCAAAAGCTCCTCGACGTCGGGGTGACCGCGCTTCTTCTTGCCCATCTTGAATCGGTCGCGGAGTCGGCGAAAATAAACGGTTGGAAACGTGCAATATTCGAATTGGCGCAAATATCGAGTGATATCGCGGGATGGACGAATTCCGAGATGGCGGGGATGGATTTCGCGGCGGTTGCTCGAGCAATGGGAATCTTTGGTGTTGACGGTCGAGCTGCGAAATGTTCAGCCTCTCGGTGGCACGGTGCGCCACAGCGACAGCCTTGCGCTGAGAGTGGGCCCTATGCCCCTACCCGGTTAGGTATCATATATCGCATACATGCATTACTTTCCTTCCCTAACCGGAATAAGGAATTGTCAAGTTCTCAATCAACTCTCACGACGCGGCGCGGGCTCTTCCTTGAACGATTTCGCGAGCCCGCCCCGTCTCCCGTTCCGCAACCGCAACACAAGCAGCCTGGGCTGAGATATTGCTCGCCCCGGCGGGGCTGTGATACTACCAGCCGAATTGAACTTTCCGACCTCGCCAAAGTCCAGGACTTCCACCAGGCACCCGTATCAGTATCTGCGTTGGTGAATCACCTACCATGTTTTAGGCAGCCGGGGTAGAGCGTCACAACACCCAAAGATCATGGAAAAACAGATGTCCCGAAAAAGCGACAAGTTACGAATATCGCTTTGCCTTTCGTAAACGCCGCGGTCGTAGCCCTGTATTCGTACGCTTCTTCTAACAATCCGCTTGGCCTTTTGGTCCTGAGGCCCCGGGCGACGGCAATTCATGAATTCCGAATTCCGCCAAAACCATGCTATGGTATAGGTGTTTACCATGCGGAGTTGTTAACTCCGACGCCACTCTTGAAGCATTAAGGTTGGAGAGTTAAAGTTCATGCAAAATCCCCGCGCGGATGTTGGTGGCTTTGTCATCAGGAGACGTTATCGGAACCAATCCGACACACGGAGCCTCCATTACACTAGGAAGAAAGAGGGAAATCCCGTCATTCGAAATCACTGCCAAGGTTTAAGGGAGATCCGCGAGCGAAGGATTCAGGTACTCGCACTCGGTCGCAACCTGGGGGCTGACGATTGATAATCGAGGCGCTTATCAGATTGCCCGGTGCTGTGCGGAAGTTACAACGTTTCTGAAGCTGGTTAGTGGTACAGACAGAGGTAATGTATTACAAATTTTGGCCCCCAATTCGACGCCGTGGACTTGCATCCATGTCGATAGTCGGCTACACCAGAACTCCGTTGGTGACGATGTCGAAGCTACCGTAATTAACATGTCCCGCGTCCGAGCGGACCTGGTCCAACCAATTGCCGAGCATCATCATCGTCTTTGAGGGGGACAGGCTGTTGTACGAAACTTGTCTCTCAGGCGCAAGGGGTTAGCAAGATGAGGTGAGCAGTTGTGCCCCGCCTTCCTTCTCGTGGGAGCTCTACCATTCCACGCAATCACGCCAGACTTGCAACATATCACACAGGTTGGTTGTACAGAATGGCATATAAACGCCCATCTCCCCCTCACTTCACTATGGGTTTCCTCTCAACCAACAACCATCTTCACTCAATCGAATCTCAATCATCTTTCCAGACCCAAACAACAAACCATCGACCTCACCAAGCCCACTAGTAACCCACTAGATCTCATCAAAATGACTACCATCAAAACCGTCGCCGTCCTCGGAGTATGTCCCACTCACCCCTCTTTCTTCGCGAACTTCTCATACTAACCACCTCCCCCAGGCCACCGGCAACCTGGGCCCCGCCCTCGTCCAAGCCCTCCACGACGCCAACTTCACAGTAACCGCCATCACCCGCGCCAACTCCTCCAACCCCACCCCCAGCACATTCCCCTCCGACGTCACCGTCAAATCAGTAGACTACACCTCCCCCGAGGCGCTCCGCGCCGCGTTCACCGGGCAAGACGCTGTCGTGTCCGCCGTCGCCACCCCGGCGCTGGGCATCCAGATCGCGGCGATCGATGCGGCTGTTGCGGCGGGCGTGAAGAGGTTTATCCCCAGCGAGTATGGGGTTGATACTCGCCAGGCGGTGGGCACGACGGTGGGAAACATTTTGGCGAAGAAGATTGAGGTGGTGGAGTATTTGCAGGAGGTTGTGAAGAAAGGGACGGCTCCGGGGTTTAGTTGGACGGGGTTGTCGACGGGGTTGTTTTTGGATTGGGTGAGTTTCTTTTCTGGATCTGGGCACTTAGTTATGGAATGGGCCCCGCGGGTGGGTTATGAGTGAGGCATCAGCTAACGATGAAAAACAGGGCTTCGACTTCAACGGCCTCGGCGTGATCGACCTCAAGGAGAAAAAAGCCACCATCATCGACTCCGGCAACGAAAAGTTCTACACCAGCACACTCTCCCACATCGGCCGCTCCGTGGCCGGTATCCTGCTGCACCCCGACGAGACAGCCAACAAGTACCTCGCCACGGCGTCGCACAATTTCTCGCAGAACGAGCTCCTGGCCGTTGTCGAAGAGCTGACGGGGACCAAATTTGCCGTCATCCACGAGAAGTCGGAGGATCTGACTAGAGTGGGACTGGAGAAGCTTGCGGCGGGTGAGCCGATTGCGTTTATCTACTTTTTGCGGACGTGGAACGGGACGGATGGTATTGGACATGGCTTGACGGAGGAGGAGAGTGATAATGCGCTGGTTGGGGTGCCGTATGAGGATACCAAGGCTGAGGTGCAGCGCTGGCTGGAGCGGGCGGGTGCTGGCGTGTCGACGGTTAATAAGAGGGAGTCTTACGAGTAGCTTGTATCTTGCAGTCTCGCCTCGTTTAGTACCGAGCAACAGAATTGAAGTGTGAGAACAAACAATATGGTCAATTTATACACATTCGCGCAGTGAGTACTGAGTATCGTGATGAGAAAATTGGCCCCTTAAATTTGAGCTTTATATACAGGCCTGCACTGTCGAAAAAAGAAGAATGCGACCTTTTATGTTTTGTTTTATATACATCTCTTAAGTCGTAACGCCTCTCCTTATAGCAGCCCCCCATAATCCCCGCACACACCCCTTACGAAGCCAGCGTCAACACACCCGGGCGGTACGGCAGCTTGTCGTAGTCCGCGTTGGCGTTGGGGTCACGGCCCTGGTACAGCAGCTGCAGCGAGCAAGGGTCGACCTCGAACTTCTCGTTCTGGCTGGCACGCACCAGCTCACCGTGGCTGATATCGTTGGTCCAGGTGGCGCCCGAGTTGGCCTTACCCGCAAAGGGGCTGCTCTCGGTAGCAGCGTTGGGAGTCCACTCGCCGTCGAGGCTGCTGGCGGTGAAAGACCGGAAGAAGCGTCCCCCGGAGCCCATGGCCTCGACCAACATCAAGTACTGGTCGGCGCCCTGGACCTTGTAGACCTGCACGGCCTCGAACAGGTTGTTGGTGGAGTCCGACATGACGGTGACGAACTCGGTGCCGAAGCTGCCGGGGAAGTTGCCGATGGGCATGCTGGCGCGGTAGATGGAGCCGTTGTCGCCGCAGAAGAAGAGGTACATGTTGGTGTCGTCGCCGATGACGGTCTGGTCGATGGCGCCCGTGGACGAGCCGGAGATCTTGCCCTCGAACAGCGGCTTCGCGTCCGACCAGCTGTTGGCGTCGGTCGGGTCGTTGGAGGTCTTGTAGGAGAAGGTGGTTGGGCCCCACTGGTAGGCCAGGATCCAGACGTTCCCGGGCTCGAAGAAGAAGATGGTGGGGGCGACGGTGCCCTGGGGGAGACCCGTTTGCGTGGCCGAGGCCATCTCGCTCCAGTCGCCGAAAGGGCTGAAGACCATGGAGCCGTAGTTGGACTGGTCGTGGGTGGAGGCGTAGACGAGGTGCTGGCCGTTGTAGGGGGACACCGAAAAGTCCTTGAGGGCGACCCATCCGTTCTTGGGCTCGACCAGGGCGTCGCTGGAAGTCCACTTGTACGAGGTGGGCAGCGCGCACTGGCCGGCGACGGACGCCGCCGAGGCGAGGAGCACGACACCGGAGCGCTTGGTGACCTTCATGGTGGTGGTGGAGGATAAACGTTGGTGGGTTTGTTTTTGTTTTGTTTGTTGGTGTGGAAATCCCCAGGCTCAAGCTGTAACGTCTTCTGTCTCACAAGAGAGCTGGGTAGGTTAGAGAAACGGGATGCAGATCCCCTTTATAGATCGTTAATGCCATGGCCAGGTCATAGCATAGGATGCCCCGATCCGGTTGGTTCTGTCCTCCGGAAGCAGGGCGCCCGTATCGTTCGGACAGGTGCCGAACGGAGTAGCCGGCGCACATGACAGAACCATGACAGAACCACCAAGAGGTAACCCCCCCCCCCGACTGGTCGACATAATCCCACCAGTATGCTGCAATTCCGCACAGGCAAACGAGGCAAAAACCTCGAAACCGGCTGGGCACGGTAGGGGTCCCAAACAATGCCCCGGATTTTGGGCCCCGGATTCGTGGTAGTCTGGCGCAAGTCTGGGTAAGAATCCCGGGTCGTGCTGCTGATCGTCTCCCTGATCGTCACGAAACTTAATTTATCCACGGGGACTTCCTACTGGCGCGCTTCGACTCCATTTCCTCCACAAAACACAAAACCAAGCAAAACCCGGGCCCTGCGCAGAATAGGGAACAGGTTCGCCGCGTTGCGCTGCGCAGGAGGAAGCCGGAGCTGTTCCGACCTGATTATGTCCGTCGTGAACTCGTAGTCGCCGGTTATTGAGGCTTCGGCTCTTGTCGTTGTTTCAGCGTCCCGTTTGGGTTTGGGGCGTGTTTTTTTCTCGGCTCCGGCCCATGCACTGCGACCGTTTCCCGTCAATTGCCGCACGCGGGGAAGCACGCAGAACACGCGGCTCTTTCAAGCCACTCGGCAGAGTCCTTTCCATTGGAGCGGCTAGGGGGCAGCTGGCGTGGACTGTACATATGGTAGTAGGCAGTCCTTCACTTGATACGAATATGTAGAACCACCACAGATCCTCGCGCTTGGAGACTGCACACTGGACGCTGAGTGGAGGAAGTCGTGTGTTCTGACTTCCGTGCAAGCGTTCGAGTCGGCATGATGATTGATAGTTAAATAGTTGCTTTCAGCAAAGATCTGCTCGAAACAACGACTGCTCTCTCTTCTGTCGAGCAATGCCGGGAAACCGGGTTACAGCCTGAGTTCGAACTGGCCCGTTCAGTTTATAATTATACCAGACCCACACAGTTCTCTGAACACAACCGATCGCAATCCGATGCACTCTTAACTAGTGAATGTAGACTGCCCGTGTGTTGACAACAATACACACCAGAGTCCCATCATCGTGGTCCCTAACTCGAGACAGAATTAATATATAAAAAATGAAGAGAGAGAACCAAGGATATTTTAGGCCTTTGCAGCGCCCCTTCTTTTCCACCGAACCGTTTCTCCTTCCCGTTCCGTTCCCAAGCTCTTGTTTGCTTGTCAGTCCCGACTCCAAGGAATATGATACAAGCGAATGATAGTGCCAAGGAGGAGTAACAACAGAGAAAAAAACGAAGACAACGAAGAATATAACAGTAGAAGCAAAAAAAAAAACAATAAAAATAAGATTACTGCAAACCACCTCCTCTCACCCGCTTAGAGAAATGAACCAGCCTCCGTATGCCCGATCCACCCCCAAACAATTTTAGAGCAGGACACCACAATAAACTCGACGATCCGTAACCCTCAGCACTTCGGCTTGCGTCACCTAAACGAAATACGTTTTTTCCGTTGTGCCTTTGTTTCCATTTCTCATTCATCTCGGTCCATCCGACCATTACACCATTATAAATAGGGCACGATAGAACAGAGCCCGACACGCGACGCGACGCAACACCGGCCGATGCTCTTCCGCCTCCTTACATGAACTCCTTTCCCTTGCGGGCTAGGATCCGGATATTATTGATCAGCCCGTCCACCAGTTCCACGTATTGGTGCGGTTGGCCTTCCATTGCCTTCCGTCCTTGATCGATAATAGGCGTTGGGTCGATCTCTACCTCAAGTTCATGCTCCTTTTCTGTGCGCTGGGTGTTCTGTATCAAGTTAGTTAGTTGGGGTGATCTTCTTGGGACCTTAAAAGGGAAGCGGAGTGGTGTGTGTTGTGGGTTGTGGGGGAACTCACTGTCACCCCTGTTACGCTCTGCGTTACCTGGGTCAAATCAATTTGATAAAACCCGTGCTTATAGCTCAAACGGTCCTTTGTTCTGTCAGGAACAGGCGGGCGATTGGTCGACCCAGCCATGCGCTCGAGCTCCTCGATCGGCCCATCCCAGTCCATTTCCAAGTTGATACTGATACGGCAGTCGAGCGGCGAGTCCGGGAAATGGATACTCAGGTCCGCAATGCGCGCCTTGACAATCTTTGCAATTGGCTTCTTGGTCTTTTGGTCGTACGTGACGCGTACCTTGACCGCATGGCCCTTCGCAGCGATAGGTTTGGCAACGCACACAGGCAGATGGCGATCGCGCACCGACGCGGGGATCTCGAAGAACTTGTCAATTTCGTGACGGTGGCGGTAGTCGATGGGCAGCCGCGGCCTCGGTAGGGTTGCGTGCGCGGCCTTGTTGCCGGGATGCGTCTGTTGGACGAGCTGGTTAAGGTATTCGTTGTATGCTTTGTGCTGAGCTTCTGTCATGCTCGACCGGAACCCAAGCCAATTCCCGCTCTCGTTGAGCACGCACTCGGACCGGACGGGGAGCTCGACCCGTTGATTCGTGTTCTTGTCGACCAGTAACCCGAGTTTCGCTTCCACTTCAAACTTGACTTCCCGAAATTGGATTTCACGCAGGTCCTCGTTGAGAATGACATACTTAAACAAGAAATCGGCCACCTCTTTGCTGAACGGCTCCTGCGGAACCGAGTTGGTGATACTTGGCTCCCAGGGCCCCAACAAGCCCCATTGGGTCGCGGCATCCGGCGGTACACTGGGTGCCGGTGTGATGGGAGCTGGGTTTCGTTTCTCTTCAGGTGACGTTTGCCGGCTTTGTGGTCGCTCTGGCCGGGGCGGTGGCCGGTCTGGCTGACGGTCCGACTTTCCATTGACCTGTGGACCGGAATGTGGGACCGGGTGGTAAAGGATGTTGTTTGGATGCGCTGGTGTTTTATCACGGAGCGATGCCGCCCATCCCGGAGTTGTTGGGTACACCTTTCGCTTCTTCGTAGCCTTGGTTGAAGAGGCCGTTGCATTCTGAGCCAACGTGCTGTTAGCACTAGGCATGGCTGGCCGCCCGTCTTGATTCTCAAATGGAGGTGGTCGCACCTCTCGTTTTTCAAGCTCGTCCGGTTGCAAATCTCGGTCGCCGAGTTTTCGTTTGGCTGGTGTTGAGGCGCGTTCTGGGACCGCGGGCGTAGAATGGTTTTGGCTGGGGTATGGGGCTAGCTCGGGAATAGAGGTCTCGGGGTGCCCGGCGCTACTTGGCAAACTAGGGACTCGTGTTTTCGGGCTCACACTAAGGCTTCGTTCTCGATCACGAGGTTGCTGCTGCTGCTGTTGCTGCTGTTGCTGCTGTGGTTGCGGTTGCTTCTGTTGTTGCTGCTGCTGTTGCTGTTGTTGTTGTTGTTGTTGTTGTTGTTGCTGCTGCTGCTGCTGTTGCTGCTGCTGTTGTTGCAAATGCCGCTGTTGTATTTGTGTCGGGTCCTGGCTGTGCGAATCATGTATGCTGTGAATGCTGTGAGTGCTGGCGTGCCTCGGAAGCGATGGGGGAGGCGGCGGCGGCGGTGATGTTTGCATGGTCGGGTGGGCGCCAGGCACCGGGGCGCGTTGCTGGTACGGGCTAGACGGTCCGTAGCCTCCGGTATGGGTCGGGCGAGCTGATAGCGGACCGGCTCCGCCGGGAGTTGGTGGTTGTGATGTCTGTCGTTGGTACGGGTCGGGTTGTTGAAGAGGACGTGGAGCGGCCACGGGGCTTCCTTGAGCAAACGATGCGCCGTATGGCGCGGTCTGACTATGTGCGGAAGTGGGCGTCGGCGTCGACTGCATCGATTGGGCTCGGTGGAGATAAGGTTGATTGCCTCCGGGGGTCGTAATCGGAGATGTCTGAGGAATGTGAGATCCCTGCATGTACGGGCTAACGACGGGTTGGCCGGCTACCACCACCGGAGCAGACGCCTGAGAATAGCTATCGCGGTGATATGGGCCCGAGGGAGGGTATTGATGTCGCTGAACAGGGCTTGCAGGGTTCGCCTGGGGTGGGAAAGGGTAGCCGCCGGCGCTGCTCATCGAGGCGGTCGGAGTATGTCGGTATGGGGACGGGGCCGGGCCAATATTGACACCTGGCGATCGTGGGTCGTTTGACGGGTGTTGGTGAAGGTGCGGCGGCGCTCGGGTGGGATACCCGCCGGCGGGAGGAGCTTGGAAGGGCGGTGGAGACGCGAACGCGCCGGATGGGTGATGGTGCGCGCCATAATCCTGGGATACATGTCGGCCAGGGGATGGCTGGGTCTGACTGTAGTCGCGGAATGATTGCGGTGGGTTGGCCTGGACCGGCGTCGACGGAAGCGGGGGCTGTTGCGCGGGTTGTTGCGGAGCCGGCGCCGTTGGCGGTTTGCTCGGGCGGGAGGCCGAGGGGCCATTATCGTTAAGCATGCCCCGGAGATCCATCTTCACCACTTCTTCTTCCAATCGGCATCCAATTTCTTTCGGTTTCTTGTACTGGGTCTCTGGTGCAAGGTGGTGCGCAACCGGCTAATTATTGATTCGGCGCAGTGGACCTCGCGTGTATCATAAAATGAAGTGTCGGGCCTGCCCACGGTGCGTCGAGCCCAATGTGGTTGTCGCGGGGGAATACGCGACGGCGTCGTGGTGGAATTAACTCGATGTTCTTTGGTGGGTTGCGACAACGGCGTCACATCGTCAAATCAAGCTGTCGGACGGGAAGAACGAAACCACTGTCGACTCGAACCGGCGCTGATTTCTCCCATATCAGATGCAGAATGGGTTAATGGCGCTTTGAAATGCAGGGCCCGATAAACAGTGGTCCGATGCGCTGCACACGCGACGATATCATCATGACAGCAGGCGCATGGGGGGGAAAGGAAGTTGCAGAGCTAGCGGGAAAAGGCTGAAGTGTGCGCCAGATGATGGATGCGACAGACAGGGTGGATTCCTGTTCGGTCCTGCCTGCCCGAATTTGGGACGCGCATGTGCTTGGCTACCACTCCAACGGCAATTGCTCGAAGGCTGCTGCAACTGCCCCAAAGTACCTCACGGCCCAACAATGGGGTGTCTTCCGCATGCGGATGCGGTTCTCAACAATAGTTGCAACCCCTCAATTCTCCGGCATTCAATCGCGCGGGATGGCAGCCAGCTCCTACGCAATCGCAACAAGCTCAGCCCCAGAACGGAACGTTTGGCAAGGGATGCAGTTTGGCGTCGTGTGTAACGGGGTACAAGAGGCTCAGAGCCCCGAAGCCCGAAAAATGGCCGGAAAGGCTAGCCTGGCCCCAACAAACAAAGAACGTGCCAAGACTTCAACTAGAAAGCAACCTCCAATCCACCACAACTTCGGGATTTGGTATCACGGAATCTGAGACACGAGGGCCTGGTAAAACTCCCCGAGGACATAAATTGATTGCCCTGTGAAAAATAAAGGTAGTTGACGCTTCAACTAAACAGCAGGACGAAGTAGGCCTACACATTCTGGTTGTATGTGATAGATTGCTGTCCCCATCCAATTTGATACTACATAGTATAAACCCCAAGGGACCTGCTCTTCTTAACAGTAATGTTAGTACGATGAATCGAGAGATCATTCAGGGGAAGATACAGATCGGTGGAGGGGAGTTGAATGAAACTTAAAAAGCACTGCTCCAACGCTAGTGCACGGACCACGTCATGATGGGGAACCGGGAGAGCTTTACGGCAGGTGATTGGCCAGTCTGGCGCCCCAGCCGCAAGGCAGGAGTTTCCTGACGTGGACGAGCTGGGCGAGCTTGGGGCGTTGTTTCGGAGCCTGGGCTGGCCACCGGCGCTTTCTAAACACTTCCAAGCCCTCAACGCCGCGCCTGACCCAACATCACATCAACGCAGCCTTGACCAGCCCAAACTCCTGGGTAACCCTCCAACCGTCGGCCATTTCGGTTCTGCTTGAAGTTAACATCATTAAGAGACGAAGCGAGCGATCGATTCTCATCCAACCCAACGCCGACGATTTCTGCCGCGCCCGCTGCTCATCGCCCCACCCCGCGACGATGCCGGGTCTCGTGTCCGCGACCGGCGTACTGGGCTTCTTGTCCGACGAGGAGCCGGAGCTCAAGGTTTTTGCGCTAAAGACCTTGAACGATGACATCGATACAGTTTGGACCGAGGTCGCGGGGGCGCTGAGCCAAATGTAAGGATTGTAGGGTTCCTTGACCAACTTTACACCAGCTAATCTCACCCCGCAGTGAGGCCCTGTTCGAGGACGAGAGCTTCCCGGAGCGCCGGCTCGCTGCCCTCGTGCTCGCCAAGGTCTATTTCCACCTCCAGGCTTACAATGAGAGCATGACTTTTGCCCTGGCCGCTGGGCCTCTCTTCAAGCTTGACGCACCCGGCGAGTTCGAGGAAACCATTGTTTCCAAATGCGTCGACCAATACATCGCCGTCTCCTCGTCGCGCCACACCCCATCGAAGGTGTCCAAGAACGATATTGCTCTGCCGGCCTTGGCGACGACATTTGGCAGCGGTTCTCTCGACGGATCGGCCCTGATCTCGCCCACGACGCCGTTCTCTCAGTCCACCCTGCCGTCCAAGTCACTCCTCTCGCGTGACTCTGTCGACAACACCATCCTCGACCCGACCTTCCAGCCCACCAAAGAGGGCCGGTCCTCTTCGGTCGCCCAGATAACCGACAACACTACATGGTCTGCTTTGGAACAGGTCATCGAGCGGCTCTTCGAGAGCTGCCTTGTTGAGGGCAAGTACCGACAGGTGGTCGGTATTGCAGTAGAGGCGAAGAACCTGGACGTTCTCCGCCGCGTTATCAAGCGGGCCAGTGAGGAGGGGAAGCGCGACAAGTCCAAAGCGCAAGAGGGCGGCCAGGGGCCGGCCGAGGAGTTAATGGACTATGCTCTGAGCATCTGCATGGACATTGTCCAGGAACGCGGACTCCGCACCGAGATTCTGCGCCTTATCCTCGACCTACTCAACGATATTCCGAACCCCGATTACTTCTCTATTGCCAGATGCGTAGTTTACCTTGATTCGGACGAGGAGGCGTCTTCGTTACTTCTCCAACTCATCACCAAGGGCGATAACAATGCGATTGCCATTGCCTACCAAATTGCATTCGATCTCTACGACAACGGCACGCAGGAATTCCTGGCCAAGGTAATCAAGTCTCTACCTTCTGGCGAGCCTCCCAAGAAACCCGAGGCGCCGAAACCGAGCGAGGACGCCACCGAATCCGAGCCGCTCCTCGAGAATGAAGAAGAAGCGGAGGACGACGAGGGTGAGGAGCTGCCTGAGGAGGTGGCCAAGGTCTACAGGAATATCCGGTCTATCCTGAACGGCAGCACAACCATCAAGTTGAACCTGGAGTTCCTCTACCGCAACAACCATACCGACCTCAGCATCCTTAACAAAGTCCGGGATAGCCTCGAGGCCCGCAACTCGATTTTCCACACTGCCGTCACCTTCTGCAACGCCTTCATGAACGCGGGAACAACCCACGACAAGTTCTTCCGCGACAATCTCGAGTGGCTGGGCAAGGCCGTCAACTGGTCCAAATTCACGGCCACTGCGGCGCTCGGTGTTATCCATCGTGGTAACATCAGCCAGTCCCGCAAGCTCCTCGAGCCTTACCTCCCCAAGCAAGGAGGTGTGTCGAGTGGTTCCATTTTCAGCCAGGGTGGTGCTCTGTATGCTTACGGCCTGATTCACGCCAACCACGGCGCAGATGCGCTTGAGTACCTCCGGACTATGTTCAACGCTGCGGACGAGGAGGTCATTCAACACGGAGGCGCTCTTGGCCTTGGTCTTGCCGGCATGGCTTGCGGCGACGAGCAAATCTACGAGGAGCTGATCAAGGTCCTGTTTGCGGATGAAGCCCTCAACGGTGAAGCAGTTGGTCTGTCTGTCGGCCTCATCATGCTGGGCACGGGCAACGCGACAGCTCTAGAGGCGTTGTTCACCTACGCTCACGAAACTAGCCACGAGAAGATTGTGCGCGGTTGCGCCCTCGGCATGGCGCTCATTATGTATGGGCGACAGGAGGGCGCCGACGGCATGATCGATGGCTTGCTGAACGATCCTGATCCGACTCTGCGGTATGGCGGTATTCTGACCGTGGCTCTGGCGTACTGTGGAACCGGGAGCAACAAGGCCGTCCGTAAGCTCCTTCACTCTGCCGTCAGCGATGTCAACGATGATGTCCGCCGCATTGCCGTCATGAGTCTCGGTTTCATTCTGTTCCGCAAGCCTGGCAGTGTGCCTCGCATGGTCGAGCTGCTTGCCGAGTCGTACAACCCTCACGTCCGTTATGGTTCCGCGATGGCCCTCGGCATTGCGTGCGCCGGCACCGGTCTGGATGAGGCAATCGACCTTCTCGAGCCGATGATGAAGGACCCGACCGACTTTGTCCGCCAAGGCGCGCTGATCGCCCTGTCCATGATTATGGTTCAGCAAAACGAGACCATGAACCCCAAGGTGACAGCCATTCGCAAGACGCTGAAGAAGGTGGTCGGCGACCGGCACGAGGATGCCATGACCAAGTTCGGCGCTGCGCTTGCGCTGGGTATTCTGGATGCTGGTGGCCGGAACTGCACCATCGGCCTCCAGACCCAGACCGGCAACCTCAACATGGCAGGTATTGTCGGCATGGTGGTGTTCACGCAGTACTGGTATTGGTTCCCGTTCACCCACTTCCTGTCGCTCAGCTTCGCTCCTACGTCGATCATTGGTCTCGACCACGACCTGGAGATGCCGAGCATCAAGTTCCACTGCGCCACCCGGCCGAGCCTGTTCGACTATCCGCCCGAGCAAGAAGTGAAGGTGGAGGAGGGCCCTGCCTTGGTCTCCACGGCCATTCTATCTACGACGGCCCAGGCCAAGCGCCGTGCGCAAAAGAAGGAGCGTGCGCAGCGCCGGGAGAGCATGGACATTGACACGCCTACCGTTAGCAAGACACCGGCTCCGGCGGGGGATAAGATGGATGTGGATGAGGAGAAGAAGCCGAAGGAGGAGTCCAAGGAAAAGGAGAGCGATGCGGCGACGGAGAAGGAGGGCTCGGCCGTTCCGGAGGGCAAGAAGAAGCCCGAGAAGGAGAAGGTCGGCTACGAGATTGAGAACATGTCCCGCGTTCTCCCCGGCCAGCTCAAGTACCTCAGCTTCCCGGCTGGGCGGTACAAGCCGGTCAAGAAGGTAAGTCAATGAGCTAACCAGGAAGCTTTCTTGTCATTTGATTAGCAACTAACATGAATCACAGCCTACTGGCGGCCCGGTTCTTCTCGACGACACGCAGCCCGACGAGCCCAAGGAACTGATCGAAGAAAAGCTCAAGAAGGCCACTACAGAACGGGCGCCCGTTGCGACTGCCACGACCGGCGCGACGCCCCGTAATGCGGCGCAGTCGCTCCTGTCGAACTGGTCCTCCCGGGCGATGGCCGGCGGCGCCGGTGGTGTGCCAGAGATTAGCGACCTGCTCCAGCTTGGGCTGGGCGGTCAGGACGGACGCTCTGCTGCGAGGACGAGTGGTGCAGCCGCGGCAGCTGGTGTGCTGACTGCTGTGGATGAGGACAACGAGGGGGATGAGGAGGCACCGGTCCCGGAGGACTTTGAGTACTTCACTGATGGCGGTGAAGACGATGAGTAGGGGTCTGATAGACGGGAAGTGTATAGTAGTGGTGTAATATGTTGCTGGTGGTGACTAGACCTTGGACCTGTTGCCTCATATGGGTGTTCCTTGTTAAAGCGGGTATGCAGTAATGGGGGTTGTGTGTATGTGGGGGTTGTGGGGTGAGTGCGTCTGATGATCCCCACAATCCTGAACTCGAACGTCATCGATCCGAGCGTGCAAGTTCGGTAGAAACAACGGACCAGGTGCCTGATGACCTAACACACCGTCTCAAGGCTGGGTATTTCATGCCTTTCTTGATCCTTTTGAGACGGGATCAGTTCACTTTTCAAGATTCTTAGACGTTTCTAGACTTGCCTGTTTATTTTCACAAATTTCTTTTACATCCGTCTAAATTCCCACATTATCAAGATCTCCATAAAAACACCAACAGTCCAAAACTACTTACCCACAACAAAAAACAACCCCCAACCACCACACCCTTACCCACCATTCCTTCACCCATCAACTCCCCCCCAAAAGTAACCATGGCAGACAAATACCTCCTCCGCGTAACCGCCGGTCCCACCTACGACATATCCACCCACGTCGAAGTCCCCGTCAACTCCCCCGGCCCTTCATCATCATCATCGGCACCAGAGACGGGATCAGTACGAATAACAAGCAACTTAATCGAAGCAGACCTGTGTGTGCGCATAAACAAGTACCGGGGCTTACCGCGCGGGGCATCGAGTAGTTCGGTCTATTTTGAGACGGAACCGCATAAGAGTAATGGGGATCAGTATTCGATTGCTGTGCGGTTTACGTTGTTGGAGCCGAATACAGAGTTGGCTGCTCCTGGTGTAAAGGAGGGGGGTGGTGTAAAAGAGGGGGGCCTGGCTGGTGGGAAGGAGGGTCGTGGGGGGAAGGTTGGTGAGCTCGGTGAGGGGAAAGGGGGTGATCGGCTTGTGGGAGAAGGAAAGGAAGAAGGGGAAGAAGGGGAAGAAGGGGAAGGGACACCGAAGGAGACAGCGAAGAAAGGGGAGGTTGAAGCTGGAGGAGCTGAAGACGGAGCTGAAGATGGAGAAGCCAAAGCAGGTAATGAAGAGGCAGAAGAGAAAAGAAAAGGCATCCCCGGCCCCGACCTCCAATGGGGCAACGACTTCGACCACCCGATCCGCTCGCGTCTCCCCCCCGGCTTCAACACCGCCCTCAACATCGTCAAATGGTGGATCGACCCCGGTCTCGACGGCAATCCCTACGCCGACCACCCCTACCTCTACGGCCCCGCGCTCAGTTCCTTCAATACCATCCATGTCGGCCCCGGGGAGGATGACCCGGCCAGGGGGGGGCTGTGGTTTGAGGAGGGGGGGGATGAGGAAGGGATGGCGTGGAGGGAGAAGGTGGGTGCTCCGGGAGAGGGGAAGGCGAGGATGAAGTGGGCGTTGAAGGAGGGGAGTAAGGAGGGGTGGACGTGGGAGTTTGGACGGGTGTATGGGGTGGATTTTTTTAATCCGTATGTGGACTTTGGGGAGTTGGCGTTGAGGTTGCCGGGGTTTAATTTGCCGGTTATCAAGTATTGGGATGGGCAGGGTTTGAGGTATTTTCCCCTTCTTTTACTTTCCCCTTATCCCCCGTTAACTTACCTATTTCCCCCTTTCCTACCACACTTTCACTCTGCTGCGCATCTCCCCAAACATCGTCTCACACCCTCCCAGAACCCCCCCCAAACGCTCACACCAGCTCAGATACGTCCTCCGCCACCGAACCACAGGCCAAGTCTACCTCGTCGTGCTCTTCACGCTGCACCTAGCCGAGGACATCAACGAGGACGGGACGCTCAAGCCAGCCGCGCTGGAAGCTTTGGCGCAGTCGTCTGGCGGTCAGGGGATGCTAGAGGGGGAAAAGGGGCTGCTACCTGTCAGACGGGGAGGGGATGAGTCGGAGGTGGATTTGGAGCCGGATGAGGAGGATTTTGATGAGGAGCAGGCGTTGGGGGAGGCTAGGAGGAAGTTGTCTGGGATGGATGTTGCGGGGGGCGTTGAGACGAGGGAGGATGATGTGGATTGAGTCATTAAATGTGGATTAGGGTATTAGATGGGTGTATGTGTATTTTTGTTGGATGTGATCGAGCATTCCATAATGCTCCGATAGAGACCTGGCGTCTAACGCTGTTCTACTTGTCTACTATGCAAGAAGTTACAGAAAGCAACGCTATGACCAATACGCACGGCAATGCTACCCGATAATATGTTGCTGATCGATGTCAGATACCGATATCAGATACCGATCGATGCAGAATCTCATGATCCAAGTTGCTATCCCCAGTTAGCATCCCCCCTAGTAATTCAACAAGAGAAATATGGGGTATGAAGGAAAAAAAAAAAAAAAACTCACACTCGCAAAAGGACTCCTAGCCCTAATCCTCCCCCCCCAAAAAACCAACACCCACGGCACCACCGTCAACCCCGCCGCAATCCCCCCCAACACCGCTCCCGCCCTGGCCTCCCCCAAACGCCGAAACAGCGGCCCCGTAACGAGCGGGAACGCGCCGCCCAGCACATTCCGACAAAACGACTGGGCCGCCAGGGCCGAGGAGGCGTATTTATGGTAGGTATCGGCGAAGTAGTTGAAGACGGCGAGATAGATAGACAGAATACCCATGGTGGCCAAGACCATGCCGATGGCTGGGCCGATCCAGTGGGTGTCCGGGCGGGAAGTGAAGCCGAAGATGAAGAGGCCGATGGGGAGGAAGGTGCTGGTGAGACAGGTAAAGTAGAGGCGGGATTCGGGGGAGGTGACGGGGAAACGCTCGCGGAGGAGGCGCCAGATGCGGTCGGATAGACAGAGGGTCGTCGGTTGTGAGGAGGAGGGGGAGGTCTTGGTGTTGCTGCAGCATGAGTCGGAGATGTCGTCATTATTATTGTTATTGCTGCTGCTGCTGTTGTTGTTGTTGCTGCTGTTGTTGTTGTTGCTGCTGTTGTTGTTGTTGCTGCTGCTGCTGCTGCTGCTGTTGTTGTTGTTGTTGTTGTTGTTGTTGTTGTTGTTGTTGCTGTTATTCTCGTGGTTAAGACTAGTCTCCGAATCCGCATCAGGCCCAGCCCACTTCGGATGCCTCAACAAACTCTCCTGCCACACGCCAATAGCCGTAGCAAGCACAGCCGCAATGATCAAGGCCACAAAAATGTAACCAGACTTCTCCAGCGACCAACCATACACAGTCTGGTAGACATATGGAATAGACCCAAAGGTGAGATAAAGAATCCCCCAAGCAAAAGCCACCCAAAGCGAGAAGAAAAACACAACAGGCTCGGTAAACAGCAGATGGAACGGCCGCGATATGGACGTCCCAATCATCTTGCTGAGCGATGCCCGTTCCTCGTCTTCTTTGACTATCCATCGGATCCGGCGGAGGTTGGCGGTTGTTCGTTGTTGTTGTTGTCCCGTGTTGAAACCCGACTGTTTCTCCTCATCCCCGCTACCATTCCCATCCTGTTCTCCCACGTTGCCCCCTTCCCCTTCGTCAACCTCCCAAACCCCAAAATACCCCTCCCCCTCCAACGCCTCATACCACCGATTCAACGCCCCGGCCTTCCTCGACAACAACACGGACCCCCTACTCTCCCTGAAAAAAACCACCACCGCCACCATCATAACCCCACACATCACCACCTGATGCCAAAAAATCCACTTCCACTTCCCCCCTCCTCCCTCCTCCTCTGCCTCCCTTCCCATCCTCTCGGTCATCACAGCCCCCACCAACGGCCCCAACCCCGTCCCGGCCAGCACACTCCCACTAAAAACCGCCATCGGCATATTCCTCCCCTTCGCATCCCACATATCCGCAATCACGCCCCCCACCATGGTACTGAACACCGATGCGCCGGCCCCGACCAAAAACCTCGCCACTAACATCCCCGCCAGGTTCGTCACTACAGCACATACCGCCTGAAACACCACGTACACGATCCCGGCGGCCACGAAGACGGGGTACCGCCCGTTCATCTCGGAGAGGGGGGCGAGGACCATGGGGGTGAATGCGAAGCCGAGGCAGAAGGTGGTGATGCCGGTGAGGACGGCTTCGATGGGCGGGTGGGAGGAGAGGGAGGCTTGGATGAGGTGTTGGGGCGGGGAGTAGGAACCGGCTGTGTAGGCGGTTAGGAAGGTGGCGATGCAGGAGAGGGCCAGGAGGAGGTGTTTGCGGGGGGAGGGCCAGGTTTGAGGGTTGCTGAAGGGGGTGAGGTCTGGTGCTGGGGGGGAAGGGGGTTGGTGGGCGTGGGTCGAGATGGTGGTGTTGGCGGTTGGGAGGGGGGTGGTGAAGGTTAGGTAGAGGGTGGTGATTTCGGTTGTGGTGGTTGGTCCGGTGATGGTTGGTTGTGGTGGTGGTGGTGATAGTTGTGATGATGGTGATAGTTGTGATGGTGGTGATAGTTGTGATGGTGGTGATGGTGATGGTGATGATGACGGGAGTGCTGATGTGCTGACTTGGGACGAAACAGGTGCCGGCATTTGATCAGGACCATCTTCGGTAATATGCCCCGTTGCTGGATGGCGGGTGTCGTCGTGCGGTTCGGCCATGTTCGGGTCGTGGTCACCGCTCTTGGTGTTATCGATGCTAGATCTGGGTGAAGTAGCCGAAATCCGCAAAAGAGTGATGATGATGCCCGCGAGTAAGGAACAGAAGCGTTAAGCTCTACTGTCCTTGCTCGATAGTTGGTAGCTCTGGCCACCTAAGAGAGAAAACGAGGTTGGTCCCGAAGAAATGACACTCGTTGACCCAAACTTCCTTGGCGGTACAAAGCAGAACAGAGAAGAGAACGGAAAAAGAGACCCAAGCATCGCTCGGAGATGGGACTAACGACACCAAAAGAGGTGGTGTCGGTGGACACAGCACAGTGCGGGCTCTTGGCAAGCGAGCGTGCGGCGAAACCGCATGCTGGGCGGGACCCCCGTTGGATCAACCCGACAAGACCGGCCGGCAGAGTCTTGGATGCAGAATCTGCAGAGTCACGGTTATCTGCTGGGCCTGGGAAGTGAGATCTGCATGGTCAGATCCCTTCGGTGCTGTCTCCGGACTCGAAGGGCGATAACTTGCATAGTAGAGCGGAACTCGGGCCGTTGGATTTAATTCCAGTTTAAATCAACAAAGAATTATGAAATTATCTGATCTTCTTCGCCCATCTGCATTTCCAGTTCCTGACCTCATTCTTACGGCCGATCCCCCCCTCGCTGCTTCCCGATCGGATGCATGTCTTACCCATTGCCCGATAAAGAAGAAGCCATGCTTGGAAAAGCTGAAGGAACAAAACGATTTGAGCTCCAGCAATGGCGTCAACGGCCGTTGCCAACCGCCTGCCGGTTTCGCCGTTTCGGAGCTGGAGCGGGGCCGTGCCCACGCACATTTAAACCCGATTATTGCCAGCACCACCCAGGGCAGGTTTGGGGCACAACTGGCCAATCAGAACGCCGACATTTGTGCAGCGCACAACCCTGCGTGCTCTGACTTGCAGACCTTTTTATTTCCGCCAGCCATTGCCGTGCCGAGCCTCTAGCTCGCTGCATCTCCAAAACAACAAATGCGCCGTACCGTATGCCATGAGAGTTGAACACAGTACGGTCCGAGGGTCCCTCGAAGCAACAGGACCTGCACCTGCACTCTGTCCGAAGAACCTCGCTGATCGATACCGGAGCTCTTCTTTATTTCCGGGACGAATCCTCTTCGGGGCCATATCGCGGTGAGAGGTTGGAGAATAGCTCCTCTCGGTTCTTCGCGCCGCGACTCAAGGGCTAAATCCGACCAACTCCGACCGAGACTGATTCGAGGTCGACATGGCTCGCTATAGCCAAAAAAACCGGCAGGCCAAGTCCCCGGATAACCTCCTTTACTACAAAAGTGAAAAAAGATCAAAAAGAATAAACTAAAAAAAGTGAAAAAAGGCAAAAAAGAATAAATTTAGAAAGTGAAAAAAGACAAAAAAGAGTAACTAAATCGATCAAAATTTACCAAGATTTGATAGATTGTTAATGGATTGGACTTGAGCTATCTGTTCGACTGTGCCGTTTTTTTTAGCCACAGCGAGCATGGGCATTAATGTTAGGGAGCACACACCGGCGACACGGCATTCGGCACTCAGGGAAAGAGAGTTTGCTGTGTTTTTGCCCTATCTCCGGCATACAGTCCCGTGGCACACCGCACAAGCAGTCTGTCTCATCTGTGGAAACACTCTCGACTGATCCTGGATGGGGTAAAGACAAACAACAAGCGAGTATCACAGAACAGCGTTGTTCCAAACAAGGTGAAGATGCGCTAACGTTAAACATCACAACTAACTACTTCGTACCCTCGACCTTTTGTAGACCGTCCACCCCTTAGTAACCACCACAACCAAATCACATCAGCCCCCTACGACAAAACCGGAGCACCAGCAGCCCACGGCGCCCAGCTCGCCACATCCACCGTAGCACTGCTAACATCCACCTCCGGCGGCGCATCACCACCCAACAAAAAGTGGTTAATAAACGCATTCAGATCCTGCGTCTGACTGCTGGGAAACTGACAATGATTATGGCCCCCCACCAGCGAAAACCCCATGTTATTCGGCACCCCATACGCCTTATAAATCGCCCTCCCCGCGCGCATCGCCCCCGTCGTCGACACCGGCCCCAACCAGTCAATATCATTCTCCAACGCAATCAGCCCCCGCGGCACAATCATCGCCGCCAGGAAATGGTGATCACTCGGCTGCTTCGCCAACGTATTCACATACGGATCCAAGTTCTTCGAAAACCACGGGTTCTCCCCGACCAACTCCGCCGCCGTCTGGATATTCGCCCCCGCTGCATGCTGCGACTCGCTGATCCGCCACGACGCCGCGCCGCCTGACCCGGACTCCTGGGGGATTGTCAACGCGATGCGCTCCACCAGCGCACCGACGATAAACGCGCCCTTGCCGTTGCGCGAGCAACCCGTGACACCCAGCTTGGTGGTGTCGATACCCGATTTCTCGGCTGTGACTTTCTCCAGCCCATCAATCAGCCGATCAACCCCCCACGCCCAGGCCGTGAGGGACCCCGCGGAGTGGCTAGCACCAAAAAGATCGTAAAACTTCCCCTTTCCGCGGGAGCCACTGCCCTGCTGCTGGCCAAACTCGTCATTATTAAAAGTAATAGTAGCCACATTACTCGGAATCGGGATCGATGCACCACCGATACCAATGATCGCGGGAAACGGACCGGTACCAGAAGGTTTCTTGATCGACGCCGAAAAAGTCGTGGATTTGCCTCCCACGGTGACGGTTACGCTGATTCCCGTGCCGCTGAGGGTGGCGTCGAGGGAGTCGGGCGGGCCGGGGTAGGTGCCGAGTTCGTATTGTTGCATGATTTTGGAGATTTCGGCTTTGCGGCAGTCGAAGTCGGCTTTGGTGGTGATGGCTGTGCCGGAGGAGGTGGTGAAGGGGGAGGGGAGCTTGGCGTCGTTGATTTCGGGGTAGGTGTCGGATACCGAGCAGGTGTCCTGGCGGGTGAAGATGCTGTCGCCGCTGTGGGCGGGCGCGGCGAGGGTGAAGGCCGCGCTGGCGACCAGGAGGGCGGAGGCGAGATGGACCATGTTGGCTGTGGCTGTGGTTGTGCGTGAGGGTTGTAAGTGGAAGAGATGATGGATGGACGCGTTGGAGGTTGGAAGTTGCAAGTCAACCAAGAACGGTCAGGTCAGCTACAGATGGCTGGCTGTCTGTCTGTTGAGACCCCCTTTCTTGACCTCCCGACCGCCGATCCTCCAGCCCGTTCTTATACTCGAACAACAAGACTGCAGAAGCCGCCTCGTCCCGTGGAGGTCCCGCGAAGGAGGGGGTACACCTGCATCTCGCCCCGGCTCTATCCAGAGCCGTAGCCATAGCCATCTGGCGCGCTCAATGATCCCCGTCCCGGCCGCGTGCCTCTCCTCCGACCGATATTAACCAGGGGGTCGACTTCATATCGGAGAGTTCCAACAATAGCCAACTCCTGGTTACTTTCATACCTGAAGAGCCAAGCTAGCGCCACTTTAGGGCCGTTGAATCCTGGATCTGGAGAGCAGGCGGACGGTATCCGGAGGTCCCTTTGGGCAATTTGGGTGATTGGCGTTGCCAGGCTGGGCGTCCAAAAATCCCCGAACTGTAGTTGCAGTCGTCGGTCGTGCGGTCGTGATGCTAAGACTTACACTAGTTAGTGCGGTGTAAGAGGCTGCAAGAGGCTGAGGAGATTTCGGATAATATGGGTATTTGCCGAGCCCCATCGCTGATCCGGCCACGACGGCCACGGCTGGGACCTCTTTCGGGATGCACTCTGGGTCCCGATTGGCACGGCCCATGGGAGACTGCCGAATCCAGCACGGCAGTGTGGTCCCGCGACCGAGCCCCAGGGCCGGTTGGCGTTGTTCGCTGAAGGCGTGTGCTTCTTTTGGGATTCTTGGTTGTTTCTGCCGCTTCGTGCCCCTGGATTTTTGGAGTGTGCTGATCGCTGATAGGTGGAATAATTATATATTAAATCCCAGCCCTTCATCTGATGATGTCAAGCGGAGGTTTTTCCATGTCATTTGGAGATGGGTCAATTCTCCGGGATCAGATTGGGTTGCCGCGCGCATTGCAGGTCGCTACCAAACTGGCACGACTTAAGAGTCTCTCACATGGGCACGAAGGCGACACCAAGAATCGCGGTAATATATCCACATCCAAAGTCAAGCATTAGCTTCACCGACACCGTGTAAACGCGAAAACGAGAACTCTAACCACATATTCTGTAACGGCCATGACTAGATCCGAAAGAAACCTCCGGAGCACCCACGCCCGCGGTCTCGTGATCGACGTTCACGCCAAGCATCAGACCCTGATTCGGGCTCATCGTGGCATTCAAGGCATTCAACCTCCCGGCAATTGTGACATTGGAACCCACATCGGAGAGTTTACGGCGTTCCCCAGGCCAGGAGGCAAATCTATCCCCAGGGTAACCTTGTACACTGTTATGTACCTTTCCAAGAGGTGCACAGGTTGGTCATCTAAAGACCTAGCGATTCATCCTCGTCGGTCACAGGGAGCTAATACACCATGAGTGAACGGGACCGGTCAAACGGATGGATCATTGCTGATTAAATGCCAAGTATAGGTGTGATGCCTGACACAAATCCTCCGACAACCGAAAGAAAAATCTAAAAAAAAAATTTAAAAAAAAGAAACGCTTCAAACAACACCAACAATGCCCCGCTTCCCGCTTCCCAACTCCCAAACCCAGACCCCCCCCTTCAACCCCCCAACTCATCACCGATGCCCCCAACCCTGCGTCACCGGCGACTCCCCGCCATACACCGGACTCGTCCCCAACTCCCCCCTCCTCCCATCCCCCCCCTGCAACTCATACGACGCGACCTCACTCCCCAACTCATGCTTAACCATCCCCCCGTCCAACTGCGCATAATACACCGGCGCCGGCACTTCCACTCCCGTCCCCGCTCCCGTCCCAGCCGCAGCCGCCGCCCTAGCCTCCGCCTCCCTCCGCCTCTGCTCCTCCATATCCCAAGCCCACTGCTCGGCGATCCCAGAAGTCTGTGATGCTCGGTACAATTTCCATCCGAGAAAGGCCACGGCTGCGAGGAGTAGGGCACCGATGGCTGCGCCGACGCCTATGCCTGCTTGCGCGCCGGTGGATAGGCCTGTGCTGGATGGGGTTTGGTCGGAGAGGGTGCCGGAGGAGGTTGTGTGAGGGCCGACGGCGCCTGCTGTGGCGTCGGCTGCGTTGGGGTTGGTGCTAATGGCTAATGTTGCGGGGGGGTGGGTTCCTGTTTCGTGGGACTGGGATGAGGCGCCCGTGCCGGTGGCGGATGGGCTGGTGGTGGTCTTGGTCCCGGTGGAGGAGGAGGAGGAGGAGGAGGAGGAGGAGGAAAGGGGCGCGATGACGTCGTAGCGGTTGTTGTCTTTGTCCCAGACGGCCCAGGTGTCGTAGGGCGCGGGGCGGAGGATGAATTGGGAGCTTTGTTGGGCGCAGCAGTCGGACGCGCCGACGCAGCAGAAGGAGGGGGAGGGGTTGGAGAGGCTGGTGCAGAGGGAGAGGTCGGCGCCGTTGGTTAGGTTGTCTGGAGGTGTTAGTTTCCTGGGTGTAAGTGGGTGACCGTTTGCTCAACGTGACACAAGGAGGTTTCGCGAGACACATGTTTTGTTTAACGTGACACAGGGGTTTAAACGTTATAACTCCCCGGTAAACGGGTGTAACACTGTAAAGTACACTCACTTGCGATGCAGTACTGCGGACAATCTGGCGACGTCCAAGTCGGATCGGTACACGACCCCCGGGCATACCGGCCCTTTGGCGACAGGCAGAGCTTATTCGCGAGACACTGGTTGGCGAGAACATCGCCGGCGCAACACGGGCTGTGCTCGGCGTCGGTGTCACAGGGGTGGTCGCCTTTGGCTATGCTGCCGTCGGGGTAGTAGCATGTCTTTTGTTGTTGTGCTGCACAGGGCTGGAGAAGTGCGGCGACGAACGCCCAGGAGAGCGCGGAACGGGCGGATCGCATGGTCGCGGTTTTTTTTTTTTTTGGTTTTTCTTTCTTCACTCTTCAGTCGCGCCGATGGCGCTGAGGTAGGTTGGCCGCTTCTGATGTTGAAGCACTCGGATTATTGAAGAAGGAGACCGACCGACCTACGAGAACAGACGAGAAGGAAAAAGGACAAAAAACACCAGAGATCTCGAGCGGAAAACCATCATCTCCGCGCCCCGACAGGGCTGGTTTTGGCCCCCAACCGGTTGTTTCGCTTGCGTCTTAGACCGTGATGAGGTTGTATTTCAACATTGTTTGCGATCGTGGATTCGTCCAAACTACCGCGGCGTTGGCGCTTGGGGCGAGGAGCTGCAGCTCTGATTGGCTGACACGTGCCCCGGTCCGCGCGCTTGCAGGGGGTGTTATGCAGACCCCTGAAAGCTTGTCACTAGCGAATTAGGTAATCACGCTGCCACGGTCCCGTTGCTGAATTTCGGATTTTAACTTCCTCTGAGCTGGCGACGCATGAGAGGATGGGCGTGAGGGTGCGGCGCGGCAGGTGAGTAATTACCATATCGTACACAGTCAACTGAGTCACTCTTGTTAATCCTCGCGATAGTGATTAAAACTAGATATAAATATTCATCCGGAATACCAGACCACAAACTTGACCGTTCTTGACCCTCGGACCCTCCAAACGTTCAACTTGGAACCCTTGATAGAAGGAAGGAGCTGAGACAACAATGGACTTGGCGCGTGGCGAGGGCCGGACGGTCGCGGCTATCGTGTATGACTGGGAGGCCCGCTTGCTGTGGCCAAAAAAAACGGCACACTCAAACAGATAGCTCAAGTCCATCCATTTACATTCGGTCAAATCTTGGTAAATTTTGATTGATTTACCTTTTTTTGTCTTTTTTCACTTTCTAGATTTATTCTTTTTGGTCCTTTTTCAGTTTTGTAGCAAAGTAAGTTATCCAGGGACTTGGTCTGCCGTTTTTTTTTAGCCACAGCAAGGCCCGCAAGACTCCTGCCCGTGGCCCGTACTCGATGTCACGCTGGTTGGCGAATTACATACTTAGTATCGAGGGTGACCCTCGACAAAATGAAGGCGACCGCAGTATCCTTTATCCTTCTCGGCACCAAGTCGGCGAACGGTGGGGTGCTATGCTAGCCGGTGCCTTGCATTCAATCCAGAGCACATCCCGCTCCTGTGGCAGCTGTGGGCGCTGGCCAGGGGGGATATGCTCCCACGCGTGTTAAACCTGGTTTTCCCCTGTTTTTTGCTCGGGGTCGCCGGAAACCTTATCAAGGGCCACGATCCGGCTGTACGCGACCTCGGTGTTGTGCCAGAAGTGGCGTTGATCCATGGTGTTTGGGTTGGAAGTAGAGAGGGGGTGTCGTGGGAAGCTTATCCTAGAGCAAAAGATAGAGGCAGACTCGGCAGAGAATGTGAAGGGCGTTGCGAGAGGTGTACGAGATCAAGTTGCTGAAATGTGCGAGGTGTGATGCTGACTGGGGACTCGTTAATGTCTGTAAGCTGAAGTTGAGGTCTGATATTGACTTGAGACTTACTCGGCGGCAGGTTGCCGGCCTCTACAGGTTTCTTGGCTCCGGCTACGACCGCTTCCTTGCCTGCCTCCTGTGCCTTCTTTCGTACCTCATGTTGACAAGCAGGGCGGTTGTTTGGCTGAGAAGGAAGGAAGAGGAGGGTGTAGTGGGGGCGTTGGGCTGGGTTGTGAAACGGGGCGCTGCTTTTGCCTGGGCCCTGGTTGGGTTGGCGTGCCAAAGAATGAGCATTATTGTCGTGTTTGGGGGTAGCAGGGAAGCAGAAGGGGTTATTCCACCGTGAGTGAAACAAAGTGTTCCTTCTTCGCATCTTCGCTGTACATTTCAGGAAGCTTCGCTTGTGGCGCATTGACCCTTAGTCCCTCGCTCTTACCCTCAGAAGACCAGTTTTTGATCTAGAGCTTGGATATAAATTGAGGTGGAAGCTAGACCTAGTCTCAGAAGACAGAGGAGGAGTCAGGACCTTGTGGAATCAACAGATTGTATTTAGCATTGGTGAGGTACCAGTTTCAGGAGTAGAACTAAGGTTAGGTAGGGTTTAACTTTTTCTGGAACACAGATTTGTTTTGAGGGTTAGGGTTGCCACGCGCGGGTACGTTCTCTGTGTTGAATAACTGGGTACGTTACACCAAATTACACAGTGCTCAGTCTCAAAATGGGGGTAAGGCATGTTGGTGAGCCGCTCTAACTCCCGCTGAAGATGGAAGAGATACTTAGCCGGCCAATCTAGTAACGTACCGTGCTTTTTATAGCTGGCTGACGAATAACCAGAGAGCATTGTCCATCGATTGCCATAGCTTGACAAAACCAGAATTTCTTCATTTTCACGAACTGTCATAAGTAGCAAACAGAAACTCACAACCAGACACTAACACAGCGCGTCTCCCGTATCAAACAACCCCCCCACCCTCCAATCTCCTCAACGCATCCTCCCTCCGACCCTCCACCCCCTTCCTCTCTTTCCCTTTCCCCTTCCCCTTCCCATCTCTCTTCTCTCTCTCACCCCCCTCCCAAACTCCACCCCCAACCAACCCCGCAAACTTCCCCCCAACCCTCCCAACCAACTCCTCATACCCCCCCTCTTCCACCACCACCCCGTCCTCCACCATCACCACCCGATCTGCTAACCGCATCATCTCTTTGCTGTGTGTAATCACCACTACTGCTACGCCATCATCATCCCCATGTGTATCACCACCAGCACCACCGGTATAACCATCGGTACGACCATAAATATCACCATCGGTATGACCACCACTGCCAGTATGAGAGTTACGGTCCACAAGCCCTCTCAAAACCCCCCTAACTCCCCTCGCACTCTCCCCATCCAACGCACTAGTCGGTTCATCCATAACCAGCAACTTTGGCCTCCTCACCAGCGCTCGTGCGATACAGATCCTCTGGGCTTGGCCCCCTGATACGTTGGCTACTGCTCCTCCTCCTGTAATAACCTCCCCTGTTCTACCCTCTCCACTCTCACCCTGGCTATCTCCACCTTCACCTTCACCTTCACCAGAAGCTGGAGTGCTTCCATCTTCCCGAGTTAGACTACCCCCGCCTTCCCCAGAATGAGAGGGGGGGGTACTTCCGCCCAAAATAGTATCATACCCCCCCTCCAACCCAATCACAAACTCATGAATCCCCGCCATCCTCGCCGCCCAATGCAAATTAGCTTCGTCATGGTATAGCTGGTCGGTTTCCGGCAGGCCGTAGAGGATGTTTTGCCGGATGGTAGTCGGAAAAAGGAAGGGGGTTTGCGGGACGTAGGCTATATGGCTGCGGAGGGAGGGGGTGTGGAGGAAGGAGGGGGGGTGGGAGGCGTAGGTTAGGGGGTGGTCGGTTGTGGGATGTTCTGCAATGGGGGAGATCGAGTTGTTGTTTTTGTCCTTGTTGTTGTGGTTGTTGTCAGGGGGAGAAGAGAAGAAAGGGTTAGGGTTGGCTGTGGTGTCCGCTGGTAAAGGATCGTAGAGTCTTAGTAGCAGACTCGCAATCGTCGACTTGCCACACCCTGACGCGCCCACAATGGCTGTACACTCCCCCGCGCGAACTTGCAGGTTCACATTCCTCAGTACCTGCCTCTGCGGCGTCCCCGGCGTCCCCGGGTAAGCGAACCGCAAGTTGCTCATTCGCACCGGCAACGGCGTAGCCAACCTCTTCCCCCCTTTTGCCTCGTGGCTCGCGGTGTAGGATAAGTTAGCGAAATACAGCATCTGCACGGCCATCGTCTTGGCTGCGGCGATCTGCGGGATGTTGCCTAGCATGCCGACCGATGTCCCCAGAGAAAAAAGAAGCAGATTCATGACCCGGACGACGTCGACGACGCTGACTAGCCCCTGACTCAGAATCCGCGCGCCATACCAAAACACCAGCGCGGCCACGAAGAAGGAGACAGATTGGTGCAGACCGTAGAAGACGCCCACCCGCCCGGCCCTCTTCAACCCCACGCGCAGCGTCGCCTTCGCCGCAGCAGCATGTTTCCCCCGAAAGTGGGATTCGAGCGTCAACGCCCTGATAACGCCCATATTCCCCAGCACTTCCCCCATCACAGCTCCCGTGCCTGTAGATACGGCATCTTCACACTTCCCCTCCCATGTCTCACTCACGCGCGCGTTCAGCCTTGCCGCGGCGAATGCTACGGGCACACCGGCGAGCGTGACGAGGGTTAGATCCCAGCGGATGAGTAGCGCCCAGGCCAGGGCTGAGATAATCATTGTTATGACGACCAGCACAATGGGGAGGAAGAGACAGACGAGTTTGCGCATCTCTTCTGCGTTGTGGTTGAGACATTGAGTGATGCGCGCCGGGGAGTGATTGCTGGAGGAGAACCAGGACTTGGGCTGACTTAGAATGCGGGAGAGGGCTTCGGCGCGGAGGGTGTTGGTCCATTGTTGGGCGGTGAGGGAGAGGAGGTAGTAGGCGGAAAAGGTGGAGGTTGCGTCGATGAGGGCGATGGTGGAGAGGATGGCGGCGTATTTGGATGTTTGGGCCTGGGAAGATCCGGTAGGGGGGGCCCAGAATTGGTTGAGGAGGTTGGCGAAAAAGTAGGAAAAGACGGGCGTGCTGAGGGCCATGAGGAGGCAGGAGAGCAGGCCGAGGGTGAATTGCAGGCGGCCGGTTGCGTCGAGGGTGGGCCAGACGGTGCGGAGGATGGTGAGGAGGGAGGGGAGTTGTTCTGTCGGGCTCTTGGTCGTCTTGGTTTTGGTGCTGTTCTTGTTGGCCTTAGCCGGACGCTCGAGAAAGAAGTTCTCCAACGACTCCATCGCAACCTGGCTCTCCACGTCCATACCCTTCTGCCGCAGCGCCTGGCGTGCGTTGGGAGTCCTACTCCGCTGCACGTCCAGTCCGCGCTGGGCAATCACTTGGATACTGGGCACCCGACTCGACCTGCCATTTCCTGAATTCCCAACTGCTGCGCTATGCGAGGACCGTCGGGGAACTGGTTTGCCCTCAACGGATGTGGAAACACGCCGGTCCCGGTACGATGCAGACCGTCCCAGTGGCGTGGCCATGATGTTGGGTTCGGCCATGAACGAGAACCGCCCGAGGAGCCCGACAGACACACTTCTGTTGTTGACCAGACTGCCGCGCAGGAACTGGCCGTACTGCGCTTCCTCAACCGGATCGACATAGCAATCCCCATCGACATCCTCTTCCACCTCAGAATCGGACCCCCACTCAACCCGGCTTTTCCCATCATTCCCCCCACTCTCCAAAACCCTAAACACCCCCCCAACCTCCTGCGCAACCACCCCCCTCTCCCCCTCCTGCACCACCCTCCCCTCCTTCATCACATAAATATACTCCCCCTCCTCAATCCCCCCAACATCATGCGTCACAACAATCGTCGTCTTGCCCCGTCTCCAAAGCCGAATGGCCTCCATCACCAGTGCACTGCTCACCGGGTCTAGCGCACTCGTGATTTCGTCTAGTATTAACACTGGTGGATCTCGTAACCGTGCACGCGCGAGGGCTAGGCGCTGTTTTTGGCCGCCGCTGAGGTTATGGCCCCCCGAAGAGCCGGAGGAGGTGAGGTGGGTGTGGATGCCATCGGGGAGGCTGGCGATGGTTGATTGAAGCAGGGCCATGCTAGCTGCTTCGTGAACCGACGCCGCAGAGACGGTGTCCGGGTCGAGAGCGCCGAGAGCGATGTTGTCGAAGAAAGTGGCGTCGAAGAGGGAGCTGGATTGTTGGATGAGAGTGACGTTTTGGCGCAGCCAGGTCAGGTCGAGGGAGGTGAGGGGACGATCGTCGAGGGTGATAAGGCCGCTACGGGGGTCGTGGAGGCGGATGAGGAGGTTGCCGAGGGTGCTTTTGCCCGAGCCGCTGGCGCCGACTATGAAGGTGGGACGGCCGGGGGGGAAGTGGAAGGTGGATGGGTGGATGGTGGGTTTGTTGGGGGGGTTGGAGGGGTAGGTGAAGCTGATCTGTGGTGTTGTTAGTTAGTATGTTCGTTATAAAGAAAACGAAGGAAGAAAAGAACTTACATCACGCATCACAACCTCCCCCCTACACCCCTCCGGCCTAACCCACCCCCCCATCCTCTGCTCCCCCTCTTCCCCCTCCCTAGCCAACCCCCTTAACCACCTCCCCGCCGCCATCCCCTTCGCAATAACCAACCAATGCGGCCCAAACCCCCCCACCGCCTGAAACGCATTCAACGCTGCATAGAACGTCGTCAACCCATCCCCCGCTGTCATCTCCCCAGCGCGAACCAGAAACACGGCAAAATAAAACCCCAACACAAACAACATCACCATCCACAGCTTCACATACCCCATCTGTGCACAGTTGCAGAGGACCTGTCGCAGGTAGTGGCGCGCGGAGCGGCGGATGGCCGCGTTGAACTGGAAGGTTTCGTAGTCGGCGGCGTTGTATACTTTGACGAGGTCGATGGCGGTCGTCGCGGCGGTGACTTGTTTCGCGGCCTGGGCGAGTTCGCGCTTTTGGGCGGCGATGGCCGGGTCGAGGAGGCGGGCGAGGGTGTAGAGGATGAGGGCGGAGGGGATGGCTGTGGAGAGCATGACGAGGGTGAGTTTGTAGGAGTAAGCGAAGGCGACGGAGAGACAGGCGAGGAAGATGAAGACGTCGGTGGTGAGGTGGCCAAGGGTTTGGGAGGTGGCTGTTTGCAGGTCGTGGGTTTGGCTGTGATATTTTAGGTTTATTAGCCTGACCCCTTTCAAAGTAAACAAACAACAAAATGCTGTACAAAAAGAGACTTACGCAGCAACACCAGCCGCCAACCCCCCCACCCCCTCCTCCCGTCCCTCCAAACACCCCATCCTCATCCCCAACACCGCCGCAAACACCCTCTCCCTAACCTCCCGTGCCCTCATTTCCCCGCCAGTCACCCAACACATCACATCCACCGTCGAAGCCACCCACATCCCCACTCCTAGCACACACATCCACACCGACCACTGCCCAATCTCCCCTAGAAACTCATCGCTAGACAATGTGCCGGCCCCGAAAGACGTGACGACTTGGAAGAACTTGCCTAGGAACACGGCGTAGGCTGTGCGGCCTGCGGCGACGAGGGCGGAGGTGGTTAGAGAGAGGAGGAGGAGGGGGATGTGCTGGCGTGGGGTGAAGGTGAAGAGGTGGAGGAAGGTGGATTTTGACGTTGACAAAGCGGATGAGCGGGCTGTCTCCTGATGAGTGGGTTTCGAGAGATTGTCGAGGTTGATGATGCTGTGGCCGTCTTGGTTTGAGGAATGGTCAGATGACGTGGATCCTTTGGTTGGCCAGGAGCCGGGTCTTTGGTTTGAGGCAGAGGCCATGATGCTTTGCTGTGGTGGTCTTCTTCTTGACGTTTAGGATCTGTGTGGACCTGAGAGTCAATAGTATAAGTTAACGTAGGAAGCGGTAAAGATCGTTAGAGATAGATCAAAAGAGTAGTTGCAGTCAAGTCATGGCAACGAGATGTTGAGTAAAAGATTGTGGATGGATTCGACGGACTGGAAAAAGCTCCAGGACCGAACAATCCTCCTTCGCGACCCCCGGTAATACCAAGGGATCCATTTTACAAAATTCTCGGACTCGAACATATTTAGGGTGGTAACCGCTCTCGTCGGCGAGGCTGGCACCTTTGTTCCGTGGTTAGTATTATTCTCCAAACCGGCGGGGCCGAATGGGGGAGAACAATACTAAGGCCTGAACGTGGCTGAACAACCCATTCCAGAAGCCGCATGGAAACCGCATCGGCCACATCCGCCACGCCAAAGTATTGGTAGCCAAAAAAAGTAAAAACGGCATGTTATTTGTTTTTTAGAGGAAAAAAATAAAAATCTCATGCACTAGACTTGGCCGCCTTCTCTTTTTGGGCCTGCTCGTATATCCAGTCGTTCAGCCCCGCCTTGTTTCTGGAAAAGCGTCAGTAACACAACGTCCGAAATCTATCGCGAGGGGGGGCGCAAACACCACGCACCGAGCAATCTCTACGGCGTAAAACTGCATCCTAGGCACTACAACCAACCATTAGCATTTTTTCCACTCCCTGCCTTCATCCACCACCTCCTCCCTGGTGGTATGCACACGCACCGAAAATGGTCTCCTCCTGGCCGTACTCCGACTTCGCGTTTGTCCGCAACATCGTGCCAAAGTTGTAGTCGTCCACCTTCTTTTCGTACACCATCATGAAGTCGCGCCATCGCTGCTTGCCCTCTTTGCTCTTCATCTTGTCCTCGTCGATCGTCTCGGCCGGGTCGAACTCGGGGAAGTCCTTTTGGAGGTGCTCGAGGATGTCATTGTCGATTTTGGTCAGGCGCAGTGATGAGCCCTTGACGCGCTCCAGGATGGCCCAGTATGTCTGCATGTGCTGCACCACCTTGACGGCGAACTGCTTCTCGATCTGGGGAGCGTTAGTTGGAACTGCGCCTGTCGAAAGGATGAGAACGGGTGGCCGAGGCATAGGGAGCGCACATCTTCGAGGTTGTCTGCCTCTTCGGCATTGAAGTTGGCGGGGGCCTGAGGTTGCGCCATCGTGATGGCTCTTGGTGGAATGCGATTCTTGGGCGAGCAAGCTTGCGACAAAAGTCACGGAGCAGCTGCTCGAGGTGCGCTTAAAGCTCTCCTTGCCTGGAGCCGAATGCCTGCATGGTGGGGTGATTTTTGGCGGGGTTGTTTTTTTGCGGTTGACCCACCTAGCCGCCAAGCTGGAAATTGCAAACCCTAACCCTCAATATCAAAATGCCCAGGGTGATGAATGAATGGCTTGTTTTCCATCTTCAAAGGGAAAGTGCAATGTCCCAATCTGAGACAGTTACCAGATTGAAACATTCCCCAGCAACGGCTGACTGACCCGGTGCTTTGGTTCCCCCCGTGGCCGTTGCACAGTCCGGGATCCCTCTTTGTTAACAGGTTTCAAGGGTGTTTTCGCGCTCACTTTTGACACCAGTGACAACTGCACCACTGTGCACCACCACTATTCATCTCTGGTGCCTTCATAAACCCACAAGGCTCACAACACAGAACAGCCACATAATGCCAACAGATCACTACGAGCTTAGCTGGTTCTTACCCCTGCCAAGCCACGTTGGGAAAATGAAACGAAAATCAACATTTCGGCCAACCGCCTGCTGAGCGGCCTCCAAAGAAAGGTGGTACCTTGATCCCGCCACAGTCAGTTCCCGCCTTCCCGACTGCGCGTGTCATTGTACCCCATTGTTGGCAACTGCCAACAACATCCAAGACCGCAGGCCGGTGCAATGCGCTATTTGGGAGCCGAAATCCGGGACCCTTAATCCCCGGGCTTTCAATGTCGACAACAATGAACCTCTCAGTTTAACCACATGCGTTCCCGGTCCCGGTTTACCCACGTACAACCTAACACCACCATCATCACCGCATATTTATATTTGTATCTACAGCCTCATCTTGGTGAGTTACCTTCATTGCTCGTCGTCAGCCGAACGTGCCCCACTAAGCTGCTATTATTACTAGGTCTTCCACCAGGATGCACAGCCCAGAAAAACGACCGCTAAGGCGGTTCTCCAGAAAGACCAAAACGAAAATATCCCGGCCAGTGCAAGTCCCGGATTTGCCTGATGCCCTCGGCGTTTTGGAGACAGCCAATGATGAACCAGATTCTACCTTGGATCCTCAACGGCTTCGAGTGGTGTGCACCGCACCAGGGAATCCTCAGGTCAAATATGGCCTCTTTTCACGACCCCTCTCTCACACTTCTAGCCTGAAAGCTACAGTGCCACTCCACTCTGGGCTGGGAGACTACGCTCTTACTTCCTCAAGTACCGCCAGTTCCCAACCCCCATTGCACGTCATGTCACGGGACATTCACACCTCAAGATCACAACGGCGACCCAGTACTCAAGCCGTGAGTGTCGACCAACCTCCGTGGGATCGTATTACCGAGCTAGTCTGGAACAGTACCGTCCTCGACAGAGAAACCAAGGAGAAAGAAGAAGGTGTCATCTTCGAGAATGTTCTCGCACGTTTGAAAGACATGGCGGCAGCGGACGAGGCCCGAGCTGCTCCCACCGGGGACGTCCCACCGAGTGGAAACAATATGGCCTTACTCGCCGTTCCGATGGGCGACGGGAAAGGCCGACGCAACACCCACAGCCGGATTTTGATGGCGAAGACGGCTCGAAATGCCGCGGACAAACGGTACTTTGGTCTCCCAGCTCACATTCGATTCCGCATCATGAAGTATCTCTTGCATGCTCACAACCCCGACGATAAGCCCATCCGCATGAACAACCCAATCGACCTGTGCGAAGCCTGGCCTGTCAACAAAATCAAGGATCGGACGAAGGAATGGATCAGCGAGCACTTCGATAGCCTAGAGTCTGTTCTCTACTCCCTCAGCAACTACATCTCCACCTGCTCCGCCATGCGAGCGGATGTCCTCGCCGCGCTCTTTCTCACTCGCAGATTCCACGTTGTCTACTCGCCTTATGTGAGCGGGAAGATCCACTACAGTGCGATCAAGTACATGGACCGGTATGGGCACCTCATGGCCTCTATCGCCGTCGAGGTCGACTTTACGAAGCTAGCTGGTAGCTATCAACCGGCAGGTGCCGACCTCGATGCTGCCCAGAGTATGAAGGGCGTGGTGTCACACCTCAAACACTTCATCGACCGCCAGAAAATGCGGCCAGAAGGCGTCCCTCTCCGAGACCTGCGAGTTCTCGTCCGTCGGTATTACGGCTTTCGCCCATATCGACCTACTTCTCCACGGCCGAAGTCAAAGTCCCCAGCGGGTTCACGGCCATCCACCCCGGAATCTACCTCCACATCAATATCTTTCCACTCGTCAAAACCCGTACCATACACCCCAGATTCTCTCGTGGCTGACGTCCTCGCCCCTCTCTCGGCCCTGGGATCATGCGTCCAGTCCCTCACCATCACCGGCGCACCGCAGGATGTTGCGACTGGGTTGGTGCTTGCGCTACAGAAGGACATCAACAAACCCCAGCAGACCGACACACCCCCCCACAACCCTAACAGCCCAGATGACAGCCAAGCCCAAACCCAAGAGCCGCCTGCTCCAACCATCGACACCAGCCAGAGCTCCAACACCCCCCGTCTCATAAACATCATATACCGTCTCCCAGCCCGAGAATATCCGTCCCTCCCAGGCCACCGAGCCCTCGTCACATGTGCCACCATCGCCGGCAAATGTGTCTGCGACGACAGCAAAACAAAAAGTCACAACGGCTCAGGGACGCAAGTTGTCGCGGTCGAAGGAGTGGAGAGAGAGAAAGGAGTGAGCGGTAACAGATGGCGGGTGGTGGGCGGTGCTTCGCTACATTCTGCTTCATGGCAGCAGGGGCACTATGATGAAGAGGGAGAGGGAGATGGGGGAGAGGATAAGATGCCGAAGCGGTCGCTGTCGAATAGGTTTGGGCTGTTACCGCTGCGATTGAGTAGTAGGAGGAGGGGTGGGGGGGAGCTGGGACGGGATCATCGACGGGTTGTGTCAATACCGAAACTGGAAGTCGTTGGAGACGGGGACGGTGAACCAGACCCTAACATCTCACCAAATAACGAATGGGACGAAGGTGTGGGCGAGAAGATTGATGTGGAGAAGCGCCCGGGGCAGGATGGTGCTGAAAGGGCTGAAATGGGTGAGGGGGGGCGGGGTCAGGGGCCGCAGGATGCCGTTAGTGCGGATAGTGGTCAAGAGGTTATTGCCAAGAAAGTGGAGGAGAGCAGGCATAGGGGGAGGGAGTTGGCTAGGTCGATTAAGCGGAAGCTTGCTAGTGGGGGGAAACAGGGGCTGTTTGGGCATTATCAGATTTGAGGGGCCGCGTTGGGTTGGGTTGCGCTGGGTTGAGTTTGAGGGTGGGGATGAGCTTGGCGTGAGCTTGGGTTGGGGTTGAGCCTGGGTTTGAGGTTTGGTTCGAGCTCGGGGTTGAGCCTCAGTTAGAGCTTGGTTGAGCTTGGGTTTGGGCTTCAGTTCAAGCTTGGGGTGAGCTTGGGTCTAAGCCTGGGTCCAAAGCTTAGGTGTGAACTGGGTTCGAGCTTAGGGTTGAGGTCGAGCTTCAGTTTGGGATTCGGGTTGAGTTTCAGGCTGGGTTTGGGCGTGGAATTGGGAGACAGAGACAGGGTTATAGACGGGGTAGGTGGTTGGTTGGCTGGTATTATGCGTGCCATGAATTAGATATTGCAGCGTATCGGTAGTAATTCAGCGGATACCGGAGACTTGTTTGATGGTAATTAGTTTAATGGGGGGAGAAACGGGATTGGGTGACTGTTTCTTGGGTTTGATCACTTGAGGTGCTGAGAGTTTGTGCGTTCATACGGGCTATTCATACTCCGGGCTGCTGTGTAGATACCTTGTGAGTAGTAGTGAGCTCAAATTTCCCGGGTGTTACCAGCAAGGCTGTGGATGCTTGAAGTAGCTGTAGAGCTGGCATCTAATGATTTTAGAATCGGGACCGGCGTAGGAATTGGGACCACACGCTTACTACAAGGACTTGATATCCGTTGATGGATCTTCCTACAGGCGTCCTGATATTGTTTTCACACGCGTGTACGCTGTTTTGATTTATTTTCAAGAGTTCAAAGCTTAGAGGCAGAGCTAGAAGTACCCCTGGACGAGATACTTCCGAACTATCCAACTCTGCTAGCTTGCTATTTACCATGTTGTCCTGTCCTTCCTCCACAAAGCCTCCACATTAACACTTCTTAGTAGCATTAGCCGGACACTTGCGCCCATCAAGCTCCGGATCCGTAGGCGACACGACCACCCCCGTCTTCGGCTTACCCCCGTCACAATACTGCGTGCACCCATTCAACTCGCCATCACCCCCCTGGATCTTCAACACCGTGCTGAACCCTTCATTGCCCTTCGTCGCATCACACGACGCCGCATACTGCTCGTCGTTTGCTCCATTGGTACTACACTTCCCATTTTCATCACCTATCGAACTCGGGTACTCGATGCTGAAGACCGGTTTCCCGCCCGCTGGGGTGGAACTGGCGATGTACGCTTGGAAATCCTTGCAAAACGGCGTGTCCTCGGCGTCGTTGAGCGATTTGCAGTCCTCCAGCACGGCAAAATCCAGGATCTCGCTCAGCTGGTCGACAAGGCCCGGCGCGTTCTTTTGGCCGATCAGTAAGGAATGGCCGCGGGCGGTGGTCAGGCTGTGGGCGTGGGCAGCGAGCTCGGTGACGAAGGAGACGTAGTCGGATTCGGCGAGCGACCAGCCGGTTCCTTCGTTGGCTGGGGTGTCGGGGTCTTCGTCGCGGACGTAGCCGTCGATGTTGTCTGGGTCGACGGCGTCGCAGCCGAGGGTGTTGGCGAGCGTGATGCGCGCTTTCATCCAGTCGCGCGCGGTTTGGTTCTTGATGTTGACCCAGCGCTCGTCGGAGAATTCGGGTTCTGAAGGGTCGTAGATGTTGCCGAGCAGGCCGCTGGCTTCCCATTTGGCGTAGTCGCAGTCGCTTACTTGGGCTAGGCCCGCGTTGAAGTAGCAGATGAGGAGGGTGTCGGGGTTGTTGGACTGTGAGGGGGTTAGGAATGGTTCTTGTGGGCTGCTCTGTCTGGTATCGGTTCATCCTAGAGGATGTGAGGAATCAATTACCTTGAGGTGGTTTACAATCTCAGGCGTCCTCGCGACATGGTAAAGGTCGAGATCCCAAACTACCGCATCGGTGGGGTTCACAGGCTTTGAAATGTCGAGGGTATTTTGGATGATAATCTGCCACTTGACTCCCGGTTTGAAGTTGTCCGGGACACTGACTTGAGCCAGGCCTGCCTGAGCAGACAGGCCAGCGGTGAGAACGTGAGCGGCGCGCTTCATGATTGACGATCCGAGTTGGTAGCCGGGAATGTGCTGCGACATGGCGAACGAGAGCCCAGAGCCAGCGGCTCCAACCCACGCGATATATACTCGGTCGGCGCAAAAGATGCTTCCCGCACAATGTTGGTTCTTGTTTCACAAAAAGACCGCGTAGGGTGACCAGATCCTTCTGAACCTGCCTGACGACGCGCCTCAAATTAGAAGGATCGTAAGCTCTTGGCATGGCGGCCTCCCCTTAACGAGCCGGCGTGTTTATTTTCGGCTCCGCCACCGTCACGCGCTAAATCCAAGCCAATGCGTTAACCAAAATCAAGAAGGTATAAAAGCCTGTAGTTTCTTACTGGCTCAATTTTTTTGTCTCGATTCAGGAATTGGGCAGTCGGCGCCCGTGAGAGTTCCCTTACTCATAGCTTTGACCCTGGTCGATATGATGACTCGGGGGGTTGCGACGGCGAAACTCGGCAAAATTATGGAAGGATTGCATTTGACAAATCGAAAATGCTCGGTGTTGGACCGTAGTCTACCAAACAGGGAGAACAAAACTTTGCTTCCTCGGACTTCACCTCGCCAGTCACAAAGCGAAACAAGTCCTATGACCTCTAATGGGAGGTCTAGAATGATCGATCCGGGTCATCCGACAACTCAGTTATTGACATCCTCGCATTTGAAAGTCAGCAAGCAGTAAGAGTGCGGAGAAAGAAAGGAAAAAGACAAAAAGCTCGACGCCCACAGGCCCCTTCCCGAAGGAAGGTTCAGTGGACGGCTACGAAAACCCACGGGAGGATTTTACTTGTGACCGGCCCGGGAGTTGAACCCGGGCCGCGGTATAACGGGTATGTTGTCGATACCCGCGCCCCCCAAATGCGCCATCCGCAAGGTCAAGCATTTGCTGGATGGGAGGGCTGTTGGGAAAAAACAGTCGAAGGGTGGGTTATAAAGGTTTGGCAGGGGATCTATGCGGGAAGGAAGGAAGGTGTGAGCTGTGCCGCAGTGCTGCACTGTGTGGTAGGAATCCTCAGTTCTAGAAACTTAACCTTGATTTATTCAAGACTTGTTTGAGGCAGTTTGGATGACATGCTGACGTTATTTCGCCGTCTTTGAGCAGGTGGTAACACACCTTATTAAGATAATAGTATCAAAGAGCGACAATTTCGGTTTCACGTTTACCTATTGGTGTCTTCGGACTTCGCACCGCCAAGTCTGACAGCCGCAATGAATCAGGTGTCGCGGGGACCGCCAAAGAATCACCTTTGATTTTTTCTTGTATTTTGGGGATACTGAGGGGCTGCTTTTGCCTGGTTGGGTTGGCGTGCCAAAGAATGAGCGTTACCTATTGTCGTGTTTAGGGGTCACAGCGAGGGGTTAGAGTGAGTTTGCGTGTGTTGACGTTGAACCAACTATTACAGTACGGTGATGTAATAACTAAAAACCGGCTATAAATGTGCGAGCTGGTCTGAGCTACTTCGTACTGAGATCAATTAAATCCCAGAGTCGGCTCCAAAAATCACGACCCAGCTGATTGCGATCGGAACGATTTCCACATCAAACACCGTACCGCTACGATGGGATCAACTACCGTCATCCGCGGGTTCAAAGTCTCCGTCGTAACATTCGATGCCTTCCTTAATGCCAACAACGTTTACGAGACGTGGGGAGGACCGCCCTTCTACCAAGACCATCCAGACCAGGACCCTATTTCCAGGTTGCTCTTCGCCAAGATCTCCCAGTACGACTCGAATGCCGATAAGAATAAGTTTCGCGTCCTCATCCCGTCTATTCGGGGTGCTGAGTAATCTAACACTGCATATGTCGCCTATACATGGGCCGCAGTGCGGGCACACCGCGAGCTTAAGATGGACGAGGACCTGCCGGACGAGGTTCCGAAGGGCTTTGAGGAGCTGCGGCAGGAGATTCTGGCGTACGGGAAAGACGTTGATGATGAGGGCAAGATTGCAAACGAGGAAGAGCTAGGGATATATAGCAATATTGCAGACGAGGGAAAGCTAGGGATATATATGGTAGTCACTTATGATATTCGCGGCGATTACGGCATCGAGCTGGATCGTTCCGACGGCTTGTTGTAAATACCATGGATGGTTGCGTGCATAAAGAAAAGGCGAACCAGCGAGACACTCCAACAAAGCGCAAGAGATGGAACAAAGGGGGGAACGTCAACACTGTCGAGGCGGTCTCTCGCGCAACTTCCTGGCTGGGAAAGCTATCCCGACTCGTTTACGGAGACAGTCGAGATCCTCCAAGACAACGCAGCGGGTCGGTGGGGTTCTGCATCACCGGAAAGCTTACAAAGTTCCAGGCATGATTGAAGTCAAGCTCTTTAAGCGCGCAGCCGACTCCACGAGTATTCGATGCAAGAAGGGGGGGATTGATGGATGGGAGCGAATCGCAGAGCCTTGATCGGGACGACGGCGTGAAACGGTGGCGCGAATGGATGTGATCCGGACTTAGTTCGGGATTTCATTACATAATGCCAACACAATTATGAGGCAGGAACGACTCGAACGAGCGAAGATTCCAAACAGCTCGAACCATTTAAACCAATCGGAACCAGCTAGTGATTCCAAACCAGTAATGATTCCAAACCACTGAACTGTTGATGAATTACTTCACTGCCGTAGACCGTGGAAGCGGCAATTAGTAACATAGGTATCACGCAATTTAGAGTTTTAGAGTTTTCGACGTTCATTCAGTTCAATGCAAACTAGTATTTAACCTAGCTACAGTCCGTACAATATGGTCCTCGACTTCACTTACTTCAATCAGGACATTACCCTCCAACTTGCTTCAGTCTGCACAACACTCCCCCATTCGAAGAACATTCACTCTTCACACCATCCATCCACCGCATCATGGCTGCCCCTCAGGTATGGGAAGTATTTTTGAAGTGTGTCTTGGTAACCGCTGACACGCAATAGTTCACCCTTTACACCGACTCTGCCTCACAGTGGGCTTATGTTGCGCATCTCGCCATTGACGAGAAGGGATACGCGCCCAGCGAATACGAAGCTAAGCAAGTGGGCCTCCGTAAGTGAAGATGCGTAAACAAATATCCAGAGTCTATTCCTAACATATGGCTGTAGTCGATGGCGAAAATTTCTCTCCCTCATACGTCAAAATCAACCCCAACGGCACCATTCCATCCCTAACCTCAGCTTCTCTCGAAAAGCCTCTGATTGAAAGCGCGGACATTGCGAAATTCGTGGACGCCAATCGACCCAGCGGCCCTTCCTTATTCCCAACGGATCCCGCGCAGCTTGCCAAGGTCGAGGAGCTCATCGCGCATGTTCATCAGGACAAACTCTCAACGAACCTCGTCCTTCTCCAGGCCGGTGATGCGCAAGAATTGGAGGCGAAGAAAGCAAGCATCGTGAACGATTTCCTTGGAAGTCGCCAGGAAAAACTCGTCAAGTACGGTGCCGCGAACCCGGACGTGCCGTTATATGCTATGCGCACGCCCGTCAACGGACACATCCATGGTCTCTACACTGCCTCGGAAATCGGACCCGAACATGAAGAGTTCTTCAACGTTACGGAGCAGGGCTACCAGGACTACGCAGCGGGGCTGAGGGAACTCGATTCCATGCTGGTGCTGCCCTTCGCAGCTGGCGATCAGGTTACTGCTGCGGATGTGCACATTGTGCCTTGGTTGGCTCATGCCATGTGGGCTGCTGGTGGGGAAGGGGTTGCCGAGTTTGAACCTCTCAGGACTCGAATCAGGAAATCTGTCCCCGATTTTGAGTTTGGTGAGAAGACCAAGACGTGGTGGGCTAATATCTCGGCGAGGGAGAGCTTCAAGAAGAATTATCCCAGCTTGCACTAACTTAAGTTAGCTCGCTGTGGCCAAAAAAGCGGCGGTCTAAAACGGATAGCTAGGTACCTTAAGTCCAATCCATCGATCGAATCTGACGAGATTGTGATTGATTTACTCTTTTTTGTCTTCTTTTACTTTTTTGATTCATTCTTTTTGGTCTTTTTTCACTTTTGTAAAAAAGTAACCAAGCTATCCATGGATCTGGTCTGCCGCTTTTTTGGCCACGGCGAGGTTACCTAGGTAGTAAGTATCCGCATGGTTCGAAGTTCTGGGCAACCATGTTTTAACGGTGGAGGTCATATCGGCGAGTGTGGGCTAGAAAAAGGGGCATGTGAGGTACACTACCTACCAATACACCGTTTGTTAACCCTGATTTTGAGTTCCAGATATGTCTCTAACATTTTATCGCAACAAGGGTATCGAGCGGAGAGAGATAATTTACAACACCTCCCCATATCTAATCATACAACCAACCAACCCTTTTCCCAACTTCAGGACCTCCCAGCCTCCCACCTCCCACACCACTACCTAGTTAGTTAACAACCCCCCTCGCCCTCCTAACCTCCCCCTCCACAACCCCCAACCCAGTAACCCTCTTCACCACACTCTCCGCCAACCCACACGGCACCGCCGCCGCCATCCTCGCCAGCGCTGCGCTTTCCCCCTTCCAAATCTCGAGCGGCGGGCCCGACGACTGCAAGAGTAATGCCACGACCTCGGTAGCCCATTCCTCTGGCGACACACCCCGCTCGACAAGATTGGCTTGGCTCATCATGTGTTCGACGGAGGGGCGGGTCGAGGGGGGGAAGATGCTGTGGGGTGGGAGGCGGTCGCCTTGAGGTTCTAGGGGGTCGTTAATGGTGGTGGTATTGGTGGTGGTGCCACGGTTGAAATTACTGTTGGCGATGAGGTTTGTTTTTACGCCTGCTGTCTTGAGATCGACGACGCGGATGTCGAATGGCGCGAGTTCCATGCGCAGGGTGGAGGTGAGCATAGCTAGGGCGGCTTTGGAGGCGTTGTAGATGCCTTGGAAGGGGAGGGCAGTGACGGAGCCGACGGAGGTGTGGTTGGCGATGATGGGTTGGAATTTGGGGTCGGGATTGTTGGTTGAACGGAGGATCAAGGGAAGAAAGGCCTGGGTGACGGCGATTTGGGCCCAGACGTTGACATCAAAGAGTTCGCGGGCGGCGGGGAGTGAGACGTCGGCCACGGGCATGGTGTAGTTGGCTGCTGCGTTGTTGATTAGGATGTCGAGGCCTTTTGAAGGAGGGAGGGCTGCTGTGACGGCTGAGACTGCGGATTCGATGGATGCGGGCGAGGTGATGTCGAGAGGTAGGGTCTCAATGCCTTGTTCTGAGAGCGCTTGGAGTTTGGAAGAGTTTCTTGCTGTGGCGAAGACATGGTGGCCGGATTTGTGGAAGGCCACGGCGAGCGCCGCACCCATACCGCCCGGAGAGCAGCCGGTGATCAAAATTGTGAGCCTTTGAGGAGGAGACATGGTCACGGCGCGACTCGTAGAAAATCAGCTACTCGAGATGTGTGGTGTGTAATTCATTTTTCAGCCCCCGTGAATTCCATGCTGTCACTCCCTATTTATCCGCCACAGAGTTTGCTGTTGATGGCCATTGTTAGTGTTAGGCTGCTGTGGTCGTCAGCTGCTTGGCACGGCTGTGTTTACGCATCTGGCTGCAACCTAAGAGGATCGGGGCATCGGGGAATGCTTCATGTCCGAGCCGAATGCGATAGTGCCAATCAAAAGTTGGGCGCTGGAGAAGAGAAAGTGGGCCAATTTTCAGAGAAGACAAATGGCTTTTGTTGCACCAAATGAAGACCCCTTTATCCTGTGACATAGGCATCGTCGACCTTTTCTTTGGGGTTGCGCACTACGAAACATCCGTGTTCTTTGCTTACCTAACCGCTCGTCCACCGCTCTGGGTTCACCGAGTCACTTCGCTCTCTGATCGGTGGGCACAGTGGTTATTGATGTCATTGTCGTCCTTGAGCACTTTTCCCTCGAGCTTTGTTCACTGAGGTACCCCCTCTCCCACCGGGCGTCGTATAAAACAACCCTGGTCCACTTAGACTTTCGAGCCTCTCTCTCCCAACTTAGAAACCCTGTCTTGTACGACTTGCTCGAGGTCGGTATCTGGCAGCATATATAGCCGAAATGATCCCTTATTGTGAGCTTTCTCAAATGCATGTACCACTTTGAGTAGTGTATGTTCCGCAAACCTCCTGGAATAAAAGTAGATTGGGTACCTAAAGTCACGTTAATAGCAATTCGGCTGTTGGTTACATCCTGTCAAACCTGGGTATAGCAAATGAACTGGAAAACTCACGGGATCCCCGGGCCCACGGTGATGAGATCGCCATTGGCATTTCTCTGGATGGCCTTGTCAGGAGGGTAAAACCCGAGAGGGAAGGACAGAATGGGCGACCGCTCAAGACTTGCGAAGGTAACAGGAATGGCGGAGCAAGTTGGCGTCGCTAGGACATCAAGTTGATGCCTGTCCATAGCACCTTTCATACCACCCTCCCTGTTGATAAAATCACAAAGTGTCTCTACCCCCTTGAACTCCTGGGATTCGCGATCGATGGAAAGCGAGAACTCGAAGCTCTCAACGTCGTGGTTTTGGAAAATCCTCTCTGGGATCCTTCTTGGTCAATTCAGTGATGTCCTGTAATGTTTGTAACCCAAGAGGATTGGTTGCGAGCGTCTTGAGATATGCTTCGATGCTGGGCGCGAGGTCTCCATGGGTTATCATTCGACGCTGATACGGTGTTATCGCCTTCCAGCCCTCCTCGGCTAGCAATCCGACGTCCTGGACGATCTCAGCTCCAAGATTCTTCAGTTTCGAAAGCGCCACCTCAAAGCTGTTGGCTTCCTTGGGTTCGATCTGGCCGATTGCCGTGGTCGGGACGCCAATCCTGATCCCATGCAGATCAGTCCCGGCGCAGGCGGCCGTGTAGTCAGGGATCTTGTCAAAGGGGATTTCGTTTGTGAGAGGATCTCGGTCACTCTTACCGGCCGCGACGCTGAGGATGGTTGCGCTATCTTTGACATTCCTGGTAAACACTCCTATTGCGTCAACTCGGTCCGAGCCTGGCATTGTCCCATCACGGGATATCAAACCCGGTGATGACTTCAGGCCGACCAGGCTTGCCTTGCCGGTTGGGTGGCAAACGCTGCCATTTGTCTACAAGGACATGTTATCAGTTCGGCACGTCATTGCACAAAACAAAAAGCAGATGCGGTGGGCTCGTTTGTATGTACCTCGGTCCCAATCCCAGCGAAGCACAATCCCAGACTAGTCGCGACTGCAGAACCCGTGCTGCTCCCTGATGCCTTCATGTTGGGATAAAAGGCGCCGGTACACTGGCCACGGCGAGCGTTCCAGCCCGACGGTGCATTTGTCCACCTGTAGTTTGCCCACTCGGAAAAGGCCGCCTTTCCCAATAGTACACATCCGGCCCGGCGAAGATTGGCCGCCACGGTTGACTCGTTGGCCAGTTTGGCGCCCAGAAGGATAAAGGACCCGGCGGTCGCCTCCATCTCGTCTAGGGTCACGATATTGTCTTTGAGGAGGATGGGCACGCCGTGGAGTGGTCTTCCAGGCGATAGATTGTTAATAGGGTTGAGGTCAAGACCGTGTAGAGGGGGAGGGATAGGATAGGGTCACCCGAAGTTACTTACCCTCGCCTCCCGGTCGTTCTGACCTCGGAATCTAGCGACTGCGCGATTGCCTCGGCGTCAGGATTGATCTCGATGATGGACCGGAAGTGGTCGTCCACCTCGTCGATTCGTTTACGGTATGCTGTGACCAAATCGACCACCGTAAACCTGCCATTGTCGAGTCCGGCCTCGATGTCGTCGAGGGTGATGTCGAGCAGCGACGGAAGGATTGTTCCCGGAGAGGGCGCTGGGGCTAGCTGCCTCATTAGCGAAGACTACACGCAGATGATGCGCTGACAATACTGACCTCTCCAAACCGCGGGTGTAGACAGTGATGCCATCGCTATTAACAACCCAAGCCGTCAACGATGTCTGATCAAAACCCCATAGAAAGGCGGGTCTGTCATCTGGCTGTGATGCCGTTGGTCATGTTCCGGGCATACTAACGTTAGCGCGGCAAGAAACGGAAGCTGTGCGTTCGGCCTGTTGGTGACGACCAACACACAGTGCTGCCTGCGGGAGTACCTCGGGGGGCGGGTCTCATGCCCTCGCCAAATTCTCCCACAACGCAATAATGCGAACAACCTGAACTCAAACTCTTGCCAATTTTACAAATTGGGAACCTCGCGACTCGGGACGATCGCAGAGTTGTCATGGAAGGTTGGTCGAAACCGCTTATTCGATGACAAAGCATACCTAGCGGACTCTTTATCATTGACAGTTTCCCCGGGTTCCCATTTTGATAGTCCTCACTCACACCAACGTGCCAACCAAGGTAATCGGCACAAGGCAAGGAGGAGTTCAGTACTCCGAGCGTCTCGCCGTCCGGGTTGTTGTCCTTTCACCCAAGGGTGAGGTCGCTCTTGTCAAAGCGAATCGAGACAATTACTACAAGCTACCCGGCGGTGGGATCGAGAGCGGAGAGGATCATGGAAAGGCCGCTGAAAGGGAGGTGCTGGAAGAGACCGGCTGCCACGTCTTGGTGAAACCCGGATGTTTCGCTACCACGGAGGAGTTCCGCAACGACCTGCACCAGATCTCTTACTGCTACCGAGCTACCTTGCTTGACGGTCACCAGCCCGGAAATCCGGAACTGACAGAGGAAGAGGTATCGGATGGCTTGAAACATGAGTGGGTTCCGGTCGAGAAAGCGCTGCAGACCATGGAAAATGTGGAACCTACCTCTAAGTTGGGGCGTTACATCAAGGAACGAGACCTGTTTCTCTTGACTGAGTTTCTCAAGTCCATCCAGTAACCTATAGCGGTGGCGATTTACTTTGGTACAAAATTACATGCCCCCTATATCAGCTGGTAATTAGGTTTGGATTATAGAACTATGCTTTGTCGCGATCCCCGCGCTTTATGATAAGTCCGTTGAGCGGACTAATTCGTCATCTCCCACACGGAAGACGGATACAAGATACCTTATATAACTAGACGTTCATATTTTGTCTCTATTTCCTCTCTTCTTGCAAGTAATTTGATATGTTGTACTCGTTTGCACTCTCCAAAGTCTCGTACCCGCTCTTTCATTATGCTAGATCAAAATTGATTACCGCCCTATCAAGGACTGACCCTGGGTTTATTCCACTATGCTATCACTGAGAGGCACATCAACAACTAGATTATCCCGCAGTTGTTGAAGCTGAACGGCGGTCAAGATTCTTGACTCCAAAACTCTCCTCTCCAACCCCCCATTACGTCCCGCCCGCTCTAGAAACGCTTGCATAGCCTCTTTCCTATCTCGATGTCAGTTACAGCATCACAAACAAAATCCAACGTCCGAAACTTCACCGACGTACCTAGCACTGAAAAAGCTCTCCTCCTCTTTAGTAATCCCCGGCCCGTTAGGTCGTATTTCCTGGATAATCTGCGCTACCTTCTCCTGAATCCCAAGCGCTGTCAGGGCGTATTCTTGTGCGACGACCACGTTTTCTACACCACAGAGGCTCAAAATGAGAGCACAAATTACGCCGGTTCTGTCTTTGCCCAGGGAGCAGTGGATGAGCGTCGGCTCAAGGCGGGAGGGTTTAGGTGTGGCGAGATGTTGGAGGATGGTTTTCAAGGGTTGGTATGGGTTTTGGGGTGAAGTAGCGGCATCTAAGACTTGTTCGTAATACTCAAAAAACCCCTGATTCAGTTAGTCAGAGGGCCGAGTAAACCAGGGCACGGGGGTCGGCTAGCGTGCCTCGATACTCCCATTCCTCAGATTCCGATCCCGGCGAGCACGCTGGCCACTTGTCACATCGGCGTCGGTAAAGACAGCGGTTTGGACCCTCGGAATTTCCTCCCAGGCCCAAACTTTTCCCCAGCCCTTTTCCACACTCTCTCCGATTTCCGTGGTCGATCGAAGGTCGACGATTCGGGAGACCCGAAGCTGCTGTAACTCAGACAGGCCTCGAGTTGTGATTTTTGACGGGTCTGCCGACCGATACAGAATTCCCTCCCTAACCGCTTTTTTGGCCTGGCCAGCGAGTGGGTAGCCACCGAAGTCGCGGAAATTGTAGAGACCATCAACGTCGATGAATGGTGGTGAGGGGACGGGTTGCAACGAAGATATCTGTACTTTGTGGGGCTCGAAATGGCCCTCGGGCTGGCCGCAGAGTGGACAAGTCTCATCCATCGTGAAGATGATAAGAGTATATTGAACCCCTCAATAGCCCTATGCGTGTTTTCAAATCGCAGGATATGAACGTGACCTGGTTGGTATGAGGTGTTGAAGGAAAGTCGCACAAATAACAAATTGCTCTCTAAAGATAACAGGGCTGCAAAAAGCAATAAGACGAGCAGGGTAGTACTACTAATAAATAGGAGCGATAGGTGGTTAGAGTTTTGCTGCAGCCGCCCAAAACTGGAGACAGGTCACTTGCGTTGCGGCAGTGCATCTCGTGGTTCTCCAAGCCGACTAGGTATCACGACCAACAACCGAACCACCCAACCAACAGTCCAGGTCGCCTCCACCTTCACCTGGACAGCTTGTGCGTGAGGATTTCGCCTGCTGCCTTGCGATCGGCAAGTTGCTTGATGCCGTTGGCGCATGGTAAACACTGCTGCCCGGGGCCAGGGTGATGTCTGCATATATACAGTGTCTATACGTATTATTCCTACGGTGCGGGAGTAAGGGGTTAAGGGGCTCGCTGTGGGCAAAAAAAGCGGCACACCAAGATCCTGGATAGGTACCTAGGTAACTTACTTTTCTGCAAAAGTGAAAAAAGATTAACAAGAATAAATAAAAACAATGGAAGAAGGAAGAAATGTATTGGACTGAGGGTATCCGTTTTGGTCTGCCGCTTTTTTTGGCCACACCGAGGGGGGTTAGGGTTAGATCGCTCCCATCTTCACTGAACTTGACGCAGTTGCGAACTCCTGGGTTATTGTATTAAATACTGTCTCCATTCGAGAGGTCACGGTTGTATGTACAAGTGTTACCTAGGAATCAAAGCTGGAAAATGGGTGGCACAGAACGTTGGCTAGCGTGAGAGGTAGAGCTGAGTCCCTCCGTCAGGCCTATCATTCATCCACAACGGGTTCTGCAACGGGTTCCAAACTCCTAAACGCCCTCAGAGTCTTCGCACTACTCAAAACCCGCCTTAAATACCGGTCGTAGTTCCACCCCAGTCCCTCCGCAGCCAGAAGACTGAGGTTTGCCTGGTCGTCACGTCCTGGTCGGCCCGGGCCCGTCACGTTCTGTCGAGTGAATGAAAGTTAGCGCCATTTAACAGCCCTCTATCCGAACGGTAAGAAAGGGCGTAACAAACCGGCTTCATGTTCACATCAAACAGCGCAAACTCCGAGCCCGGCTCATCTCTCCGCCGGCGAACATCTATACGTATCGGCCCGGCCACGCGAAGCAGCTCAGCTGCACGCTTGCACTCGTCCATGGCTCGCACATAGGTCGGATCCCGCTCAACCTCCTCGCGGGGTACCACACGCGAGTTTGCCGTGACGGCGACAATCCCACTGTAAGGCGCGACGCCATCAGCGTGGTTGAAGCGCCGAACGATGGGGAGCGCGCGGTAGCCTTTGTCCGTGCCGTCTTCGCCAACCTCATTGTTGTCGTAGCTGTTGATATCATCATTTCCCACCACCGGTGGAAGCACCGTCACCGTTGCCTCCTCGCCCGCAAGAAACTTCTCCACCAACACCGCGGGCGACTCCTTCCACAACCCCTCAACATGAGCCATCCACTCCTCCTTACCCCGACACACCTTTACCCCATGACTACCCCTCCCCCGGATCGGCTTAGCCACCACCGGAAACGTCACCTCCCCCTGCGCCACCAACCTCTCCAACTCCCCAACCCCTTCCTCCTCCCTCACCACCCACGACCGCGGCAGCGTAAACTTAAACCCCTTGGTCCGTCGCAACCACTCCGCCGTCCACGCTTTATCATCATACTTCCCTAGCGTCAGCGGGCCCTGCCCGACGACACGTATCCGGTCCAGACCAAACTCGGCAGCGATTCGCGAAGAGGTTTGCAGCGGGTGGGAGGCGAACAGCACGGTGTTGGCCCAGATATGGGTGGCGCCGCGGGAGAGGGCGTCGAGGATGCCGGCTTCCGTGTCTGGGAAGCTCCAGGCTGACTCGAGGGTGGGGTCGAGGGAGTCGGGGCCGGGTGTGGGAGTTATGAGGTCGATTGGGGGGTGGGAGGGGGAGGATTGGAGGGTGTAGGCGATGTCGGCGCTGGAGTCGCGGTAGCCTGGGAGGGAAGGGGTGAGTTGGGAGGTACTGGATACTTGTAATTGGTGTAATTTGGTGTTGATGATATCAAAAGGACTCGAGGAGTGGGGTTTAGGGGAGGTAATGGGCATCGGAGTTGAGTTCGAGGGTTAAGAAAGGAAAGAGCAGGTACCATTCGGTTTCTTGGGCTTGCGGATGCCATTGACGGGTGGTGGGTCGAGTTCTTGGTACAAGACGGCGACTCGAAGAGGACTTGAGGTGGTCGTTGCGGTGGTGAGAGAGCGCCTGCACGCTCTCCACACGGAACGAGTTATAGAAGCCATGGCACGCAGGATGTCCTAACAACCTGATTTACGTGTTATTTCTATTCTATTTTATACTTTTTTCTAACAACGTCAAACGACGAAGTCCTTCGTATGTCCGAGGTAAAGCCATGAAAGCTGACTAAAGTTAGCCCCGACCCCCCTGCCTGCGTTTTCAGGTACCCCACATTAGGTATCTGATGCCGGCACCCCTGGGGTAGAAATGCCTTGCGGTGGCTAAAAAAGCGACAGGCCGCGGACAAAAGAGAAAAAAGACAAGAATAAATCAAAAAAGTGAAAAAGAGGAAAAAGAATAAATTAAAAGGCGAAAGAAGAGGAAAAGGGGTAAAGAGTACCAAAAACACAAATCAAGAAAGTGAAAGAAGGCAAAAGAGTAAATCGTAGCTTAACACAGGATTTCAAGTAACAATAGTAGAACTAGATAGATATTAAGCTTGTAGGCAGCTATTCTAGTTATAATCGCCAAAATCTGTCAAGATTTGATCGACTGTTGACGAATTGGACTCAAGCTAACTATCTGTTTTGGTCTCCCGATTTTTTTGGTGACAGCGAGGGCGCTTGGGTTGTGCGTGCATCTCCTTCGCACCACCCCAATGATTCCCAACAACAGAGCCAGCTGGGCTTAATGATATAATTAATTCACTAAAATGTTCAGACCGTTTAAAGATGTGTTATGGTTCCGAGGGTCAACCGGAAGCACCTCCCTTGCGCATCAGCAGTCTGAGATCCAGAGATAAGGCTGTTCAGTGGGGGGCATTTGGTGGAAAGGCCCGTGCCCAGGTGGGCCTATAAAAACTCCTTGTTACCCTGTAGGCAGGTGCGCGTCACCTTGGTGGAACCCGAAACCTCTCCTCTCTAACAATAGCAAGTGTTCTCAATCCGTAGATAGATTTCCGTAGGCGCCGACCTGCACCGCTCTACGTGCCTTTACAGCTAGACCCAAAATGACACCCAAACCACCCCCACCGCGCATCCCTACGGCAGCGGAGACGCTCAAGCACCCGGCATTCCGGACAGCCATATGGAGGCTCAAGCCGGATCGCAAGGGATTGGCTGCGGTAGGAAACGGCCGGGGCGGGCCGTTCAGGATCTCATGGGAGATCCATGGCGTTGGCCCCATCAAAGTTGTGGTATGTTTCTGATCCTGTGACCTTTCACGGTTTCGCCCACCCATGATGTATTAGAATGCTTCATGCATCTCAACACTAACCCCACCTCTCCTCCTTCCTCAGCTCATCATGGGCCTGGGCGCTCTCAAATCCGCCTGGCAGCGCCAAACTCTCCACTTCGGCCACGAGCGGCGCGACGAGTACTCCGTCCTGCTGTTCGACAACCGCGGCGTCGGCGAAAGTGACAAGCCCTTCATGCGGTACAGCACCAGCGAAATGGCTCTAGACATCGCCGAGCTCCTCGCCGACCCTGCTGTCGGTTGGCTGCCTTCCTTCCCCCTCCCGTCTTCCCCGTCCGACCCGCCCGCGGCCCGCACCCTGCATGTCGTCGGGACCTCGATGGGCGGGATGATCGCGCAGGAGCTGGCCGTGCTCATCCCACACTCACTTGCCTCTCTGTCGCTGATAGGCACGGCGGCGGCTGTGGAGAACACGACGACGTTTACGGAGAATATCATGAAGATTGCCTCGATGATTCTACCTAAGGGGGGAGATCGCTCGATGGCGGATGCGACGCGATCGATCTTTGCGCATGAGTGGATCAGCCTGCCAGACGACGTCCACTTGCCCGACCCGGCCACCACGCCCGGGTGCTTGCCACCGTTTGCCGATAGTCTCTCATCGACGGAGGGCACGGGGGGCAATGATGACAAGTACCTCCGGTTCGATACCAACGCGCAGCGGTTCGTGGCGCAGGAACTGCACAAGCAGATGGACCCGGCGGGTGGGCGGTTCAAGCTGAAGGGGTTTATCCTGCAGCTGATTGCGGCGGGGTGGCATCGGAAGAGTCCGGAGCAGTTGGCCGCGATGGCGGATGCGGTCGGCCGGGAACGGATTTTGATCATGCATGGGGTCGAGGACGGGATGATTACGATTCCGCATGGGCATAAGCTGATTGACTATGTTAAGCCGGAGAAGGGGTTGGTGCTGGAGGGGCTAGGTCATGCGCCGCTGCTGGAGAGATGGAAGTGGTTTCATGAGTTGTTGACGGAGCACTTTTTGGCAGGGGAGAAGTTGAGTGGGCGGGGATAGATGGAAATGATGGGAGAGGGAGGAGTATGAGGGAGGGCAAGTGTATAATTTTGTTAACGGCACAGGCGTGTTTAGTCGGCTACTTTGTTGGCGGCTCTTTTTTAGCTCGCGGGTTTTCATTATCGGTTAGCAAGCATCATCATAACGGATGGCGGGAACACGGTTTATGGATGAAAGGGATATTGGGAATATAAACGGCTCTTAATGTTTTACAGGCATTGTTTTGACGTGGTATCGTGCTTTTCGGCCGATAGTTCACACTTCCTTGGTTTCCTTGTTATGATCAATATCGCCCCTCAACCCCTTTCACTCTCATCTCCTCCCAAGTTAGAGCATCGTAAATCCAACCCCACTCGAAACCCCTTCCTCTAGTTGGTTTTTCTTGTTCACCCCACCATGAATCGGGTTTGCCTTGTAGTTGAACAAGTAATAATGGAGCTGCCCGTCGCCCGGCCCAAACTTTTGTTGCTCCAGGAACAGTGAGTTGTCCATCAGCGAGAGGGCGTTGAAGACATCAAAGTTGTGCCGCTTAGCGAAGATCAACGCGTCGGCGATGAGCGCATTGAGCCTAGCCCCGAGTGCCGCCCGGTCATCAGGAGCGGTGAAGGCCACGTCGCTGGCGTAATAAAAGAGGTAAGCGGCGCGGATAGATGAGTATTTTTGCGACTGGATGACGGAGGATTCGAGGCAGTAGAAGGAGAAAAAGTCGGTGATTTTGCCGTCGTTGTTCTATACGGGGTTAGCAAACCTGATCTGGGGGGAGCAAAGACCTAGATTGGATAGCGAGCGTACCTCTACGACGTAGGACCAGATGACCTGCTCTCCAGGTGCGTCCTTCTTATGAAGTAGCCAGTGGTCAATTTCATCCTTGTTCCACACCGGTGTCAAGTCGAACCGCTTCAGATAACGGGTGAGAAGATCGTGTACGGCATCCAAGTCCTTTGCCTCCATCTCACGAAGCCCACGCGTCGACGTGAGGTCAGGCACATTGTACCTGCGGGCTTGGTACGCCGGTTTGCTGTTGGGTGGACAGGGGCTGAACCCAACCTCATAGAGCTTCATCCAGTTCAGGGCGCGGTGATAATACCGGCAGGTGCTGACTGGGCGGGGCAGCACAATCCCGCCGGTGTAGATGGCCTGCCACGTGCCCTCGAGGTTGATACGCCGCGTAATCTCCTTGATGAGGACCGGCGCGAGCCGCTTGCCACGGAGCTTCTTGTGGATGCAGAGGAAGTTTACTTCCGAGCTCTTAAACACGTTGTCGCGTACCCTCATCTCGGTGGGGATGGCCGAGATGAAGGCACAGAGCGTGTTGCCGCTGCGAATACCTACGTGCCACTCTTTCCTCCAACCTGGGGAGAGCAGGGACCTATAAAAGCGGTGTCAGCATTCCCAGTCCGAATCAAATACACCCCTGCGGGAATTAACTTACCACTTCAAAAGCGAGTTCGAGTACTTGAACCGGAACATGGCCTCGTCGTCCTCGACATAGTGGCCATACAACAGCTTCTCCACCTCTTCAAGCTCCGCATCATTCGTCAAATCCATAGTAACCCAGCGGAACTGCTCCAGAGCCAACGAGATCGGCTCTGTCGCAATTTCCTCAACCTTCTGGATCCTTAACGGCCCTTCCTCGATCAACTTGGGCTCCTCCTCACCAAACTGCGGCACAGGTTGAGTGCTCCAAAACTTGTATGACGCCATATCTTTCCTGTTCTTCCCGCTGCTCGCCAGCCCTGTCATAATATCCTGGAGCTTGAGCTTCTTGAAGGCTTCGATCGCGCTCGACGTTGTATCCGAAGACCCCTCGCCGGCATTGCCGCCAAGCAGCTCGTTGGCTAAGGCCGGGTTGAGAGCGATGAACTCGCTAATTTGCTGCGGTGTCAAGGTATCGAGAGCTTTCTTCACATCCGGCTCGGATTGTGCCCCGCCTCGGCCGAGAGCGTCGGAGAGTGCTTGCTTGACCTTCTTCTTCTTGCTCTTCTTCTTTTTCTTCTTTGCTGCTCCCTCTGCGTTTCCACCCGCCGCTGTTTGCGCAGGAGTATCTTCCCCAGCTTCCGATCCGGACTCGTCCTCCGACTCTACAGCTTGCTTCTCAGTTTGGTCGGCTGCCGCGTCGGCGGCCTCGAGAGCTGCAGCCTCCTTGGCCGGGTCGACCTGTTTCGATTCTTCGGACATCGTGGGCGTGTGTCGGGCCGTGGGCCGGAGAAAGGGGTGTTGTCGTTCGAGTGCCGAAATGACGCGCTCTGATTAAGTACAGCTTCCAGGAAGATATGTACACGATCCAGGAGTGATTCTACCCCGTGAGTTAACCTTGAGACAGATCACGTTCGAGAGTTGGTGTTGGCTACGGGCGACAGCGGCGTGGAGTGGGGTCATTTGGAGCTCGTCGCGGGGTTCAAAGCTGATCGCTGCCGCCAAGAATAAAATAAAGTGGGGCATCCTCGTGCCTTGCAGACAACACACTCGACAACGCTACAGGTTGGTGCTCGACTTCCATGATAATTCAATGGTAATGGTGTTGTCCTCGCACCTTATTATCAGAAAGGTTCTGGGCTATTGCTCCCAAGAGAACGGTCTGGCGCTTACGTTGTGAGTTGGCGTTCAAGTGCTGCCAAATAAAAAGGAATTCCAATTCTGTAAAATACAAACTAGTTTATCAAGCCCGTATTGACTCGCCGTGTCCGGCGTTTTAGAAGGTATCTCGTTTCTATAAATACACCTTGATCCTCGCATTCTCGGAACAGATATTTCACGTCAATGGAGGGTCACTCTCATCCAACCTAAATGACCTCATCACAGCCAACAAGACAGGCGTGTATGTCAAGACCGAATTGTGCCCTAGGATCGTCAGTTCTCCGGTCGTGAGGCAGTTATAGAGAAAGGGGCTTGGAAACTTACCTCCATGAGGGAATAGCTCCTGCCGCACAACCACATCCCCCTCCTGCCATGTCGACACAAACGCATGCTTCCCTTTCACTAAAGTTCGTTTCTCCTTTTCCACCTTAAACTGATCCCACTCCGTCCCAACGTCTCCCAACCCTTCTACCGCGGCCCGAAACAATTTGTCATCCTCATGAGACGGAATATCCCAATCATTCTTGGCATGAACCATACTCAACCTCAACCTCCCACCCCTCGCCTTCACCCCCTTGACAATCTCCCTCCACCGCGCCGCGCTCTCCCAAGTATCCACCACCCGCCCCATCACTTGGTTCAGCAGCCACGGCCACATAGTCAGCGGCCGCAGAACCGGCACCCAGCCTGCAATAGCGTACCCGCTCAACATATCCGGCAAAGAACTGAACCCTGCCACAAGTACCACGCCTGCAAAATCCCAATCCTCATTGAGGGTGAAATGTTCCGTCGCGGCAGCGGCCACGGCGGTGCCTAGGCTGTGGCCAAGCAATACGATGCGGGAGGGTGGGATACCTGCGGTGTGCACGGCCCAATGGATGGCGGCTTCGGCATCGAGGATCAGGCCTTGCTCGGTGGGCGTGCCGGTGCTGAGGCCGAAGCCGCGATAGTCAAGGGCGAGGAGGTGGTAGGGAGAGTGCGATGTAAGGGAGCGGTAGTGCTCTGGGCGATAGCCTTGGGTTAGTTGCGCGGCGTTGCCGTGGACTGTCATTGTCAGGGTAAGATTATGTCGCAACCAAGGGTGATAACGACTGTCATGCTTTACTCACAGGAGATGATTAGCTTCGCATTTGGGTTGTCGCGTAGGAGACGGAAACCCGCGGTGGTCGTGGGGTCAGCAACGACACCTGTTGGTTGGGACGCAAGCTCCGTTTCATGCTGGGCGTAGACAGATAGGGGGAGAATGTGCCACGCATAGAGGTTTTGACTGTCCGCAGTCTCGAGATAGAAGGGGGTTACTTGATTTTCTAGCGGGGTTTTAGCGAGAAGGTTATACGCAAATATCTGGGAGTGGACAGACTCACTTGCAAATCCCCATTGCTCCGGCTCATTGATGTTCCCCCACCACAAGGTGTGTATCTTGTGGGCGTACAGGAAACTGAGAAGAAACGACCCACAATTAGTCGAGCTGAGACGAAACATGGGAACATTACCAAAGCGGAAATATGGAAACCCTACTTTCGTTGTACATATGGGATGGCGGTCAATCCGATAAACAGTCCATACAACGCCAATGGCACGCCAACGACAAGACTCGGCACTAAGTAGGAGGCCGGGTTGGCCATCTTGGATGATGGTTTTCTCGCAGGTTTGGACTTGGACATTGCAGATTCTACCCGGAGGCCATTAAGCCGAGAAACATCAACACTGTTTCATCATCCGGCAACCGACTATTTCCATCCGAGAATTGTAACGGAATTAAGGTGCAGGATCAGGGAATTAATCCCAAGTCCGCCGAGCACGGGTGACGTTGGAAATGTGGGGCACAGTGGATTCTTTGTAGGTTACGAATTTAACGCGCAGCCGCGTCGAAGCAAGGGCATATTTGTTAGTCCGCCTCTGGCCCGCCTCAGAGTCCAGGAACGGATCCCTGACTTTTCATGGCAGTGATTCCTCGTTTAAATTTGGGCTGCTTATTCATGTTCATATGCTTGGTAGAATCTGAAGAACAATAACCCGAAGTATTGTACACTCGAGGTTTTGGTCCGGGCGTATTGTGCAAAGTTGTCATTGAAGCAATACTTACAATAACACCCCCTGGGAACAAATCCACCCCAAGCTATCGTCAGCGTGCGCCGGGAACTTTCCACACAACCTGGTCTTAAAGAATAGGTAGGTCTTTTGGTCGGATCATTCGCAATGCAAACCGCCTGAACATTGCAGGCGAAGCTTGGCAAGAACCTCCAATCAGCGGCATTTCCCGGCGCAACAGGGATCATTTAGCGCGTCCGAACTGACGCCAGGGCCCATCCATTTTCTTTTAGGTCCCCGGCTCTTCTTCCCCAAGCATTTCGCAACAAGCAGGAGCTTCCACTTGCAAACTTGCAACCAAGCCTGGGGCCAAGTCGTGTGCTCACATCGACCACGTTTCCAGGCCCCAACAACACTCCGGGTTCTTTTCGTTACACTACCTACTTGGGTTCTCTCGCTGCTTCTGGCACCCGCTACAACGCCCATGAATAAATATATGACGATCCGTCGCTCGCTTCGCACATCTGCTCCGGCCGGCTGTCGCAATGGAGAGAAAGAGGAAACTTCCGGCTCGCGCGGCCGCAAGGGCTGAGCAGGCCGCAAAGAGGAGGACTATGACTCCGCCGCAGAGATCCGTAACCCCAGCGCCAGCACCGACACCGGTCCCCGAGCCCGAACCGACTCCTATCGAAGAACCGCCAGCACCTCTTCCCAAGACTATCAGCGCCGGCAAGCCGCTGCCGACGGTGGATTCTCCCCAGCCCGACGACCTCTCCTTACACGACTTTCAAACGGTTACTGAGAGGTATGTGCTCTCCTGCGCGCCTGTTTTAAGGATCTGGTCTTCGCGAGAAGAACAAGAGACACTCTGTGACTAACGCTCGACAGTGGTGTTCTTTCCGAGTCCTTGTCCCGATCACGTTCAAAGTGGACGATGGAGGGAACATTCGAGAAGTACTGGACCAAGCCGATCAAGAAGAGAGGACAGATCATTGAAGAGCCGAACAACCCTCCCAAGGAAAGCATGGTTAAAATCGGCCAAGTGACTATTACCGTGGAGCCACACGTCTTCGAAGCGACAATGTATGCCGTCAAAGATCCGAAGCCGCATCCTCCCCCGACCCCAGAGCGACCCGTTATGCAATATGGCCCCCCGAACGGATCAATGCCTCCCCCGCCTACACCGCAACCAAAAGCGATGGCACCGACCACCGTGCCCGCATCACCTTCGGGACGCTCGTCAACCCCGTCGCTACCCCAAGCCCCCGGCCGATCCCCCATTTTGGTCGATACGAAACCGCCATTTGGGAATATCCCAGCACCCGCACAAGCACCGGCACCATCAGTAGCGCAGCCAAGCGCTGGTCAATCTACCCCAGACCCAATACACACGCCGCATACGGGAAGGCCAATGGTCTCCCCTCGAGGTATGGAAGCGGTTCTCTCACCGGCGACAACAACCCCGACGGTCGCCCACAACTCCCCGGGCCCCCACGCACCGCCCCCCAAGGTAACACCCCCGCCAAACCATCAACCCCCGCCCAACACAACAACCGCAGGTTTTGTGGCGCCCTACCCAAGGCCCGGAACCTCAGGCACCAATAGCGCGCCCCAAAATGGGACACCCACAACGCCCGCAGGGGCAGCAGCCAAGCCAGGCGGAGCATTGCCCGATCCCATCATTCTTATGCTGGCTGAAAGGGCTGGGACAGACCCCCAACTACGCGATCTTATGAAACGTGTTGCTGTGGGCGACGCCGCGAAGCATGAGCTCGAGCGTTTCCAGGCAGTTATTGACGCTCTAACCGCTGAGAGCAAGCGGAATGGAAACACCTCTGGGCCATCTGCAGATCGGCTGCTGGTGGATGGCAAGACTGTCCGGTACTTTGCGGATGAAGTTCGGGCGATCCTGGACATTGTGCTCTCGTCGAACCCAAATCAAACCTCGGCAGACCTCCGTCCGCCTGTGGGAAGTGACACCTTAGTTGTGACGCTGGTCAAAGCAGCCCTGGACGACCACAAGCTCCGGGACATGGTGCGACGGATCGCCGAGAACAGGACACAGTTTTCGGACGCCACAGATCTCAAAGCTATCCTGGATCGGCTCCGGACACAAATTCTCAAGGACAAGGAGCGCCAACAAACCCAATCGCCGGTCCCGCCTTCACCGTCAATGTCCCGGCCCCAGGGGGTCCCGAATGGACATGCTGCGCCGTCTCCCACCACCCACCAATCTCCGGTGCCTCAAACCGCGCTCCGGTCTAAGGGGCCACCCCCACCTCCCCCGAAACCTGATATCTCTGCTGTTGTCTTCGAGTTCACAGGTGGGAATGGGGACCGCTATCTATTCCCCAAATTCAGCCTGCTTGAGTATGTGCCTGTATCTTCAGGCCAGCAGGTCATTGCGTCCTTCTTGATCGTGCGCAAGGGGAGTAAAGCAGAATACCCTATGGCAGATCCCGACCTCGATTACTACCAACCCCTTACTGTCCGCCTCTTCACCCCTGTCGGGCGGCACCTAGAGAACCTCGCCCGGGTCGTGGCGCCACCCGACGAGGTACGCCGTTACATGGATGATATCATGCACAACATGACCAGAGCCGAGTACATTCTATTAGCCATGAGGCTGCCTAGGAGAGATGGTACAGAAGATGAAGCAAATGACAATGGTCGTGACAGCAAACCGGTCAACGGCGGGCTTACCAAGGAGAAGGAGAACGGGTCAGAGACGCTTCGGAAAACGGGTTTACCGCCTCCTAGTGTGTTGTGGACGACCAAGGCGGCCAAACCAGACGTCCTCACCAAAGCCAAGGGGTTGATGAAATCTGTGGATGCGGAGGAGCAACAATACCAGAACTTCATTTCCTCAGTGAGCCGCAAGGAGGTTTGAGTGAGGGCGTCTTGGGTAGTATTGGGGCTATGTCCTTTGCGTTATTGCTGCCCCATGGGTGGGTTGGCTGTTTACAGGGGACTTCATGGGCGGGTCATCGTTCCTGCAAGGCTTGGGGGGGTTTACATTGCTCTTTCATTATTTTCTCTCAGGCGGGTTGCGTAAAGGGACGGTAGCAGGCTCGGTGAAGTCGGCTGGCTGGCTGGGCAAAGACATTGCGGTTGGAGTTTGTGCCGGCGTTTTGGGTTTTAGCTTTATCCCTTTTTTTATTTGTCTTCCTTGCTATTTCTTATCCCGATTTCCATCAACATACCCGGGTTGCTTTGGTAATTTAGTCTGATGAAATAGAAACAAGTTTTCTCACCTACATACTGCAGCTTGTTCTTGCGGTGCAGTTGTGTTTCGGGACAGAGCATCACGTTCACAATTCTAACATAAGACTTTTGATGGAACCGCGACTCTTTACTATGCTAGCAACGCCGTAGGTTCATGCGCCATTCCCTGTTCGATCCCCAATCAGTTCCCAGCCTCCTCCTTCGAGATGCAATCCACGCCAATATCCCCCTGAATATTCTCGCACACAATCTGAGGCTCACCCTTCGGACTCGTGATATCAATCCGCTCCAAATGAATCCCACTGCACGTCGCCCCCGGCGAGCACGTCAAGTCGGCCACAACCCTTCCTTCCAACCCACTGCTTGACCCATGCACATTAATAAACTTCACATCCGTAATATCCACCTTACTCGGATACTGCGCGCACTGCTCCGCGTCAATATCGAAATAACACTGATCCAGCACAATCGGGTGGTCGGTATTCTCCACGTGGATATCCTCGTACGTGATATTCGAGATGTACCCGTACCCTACCCCGGGACCGGCCCACGCCTTGAGACGCGCGCCGTTCTGGCCGTTGAGGAGCGTGATGTTTTGCAGGTAGGCGTTGGAGATGTAGTCTTTGACTCCCGGGTACTGGCCGATGCTGCCCATGCTCACGCCGTGGGTGCCGTTGCACCAGAGATTGCGGACGAGAATGTCTGTGGTGTTGGGTTTCGGGGAGAAACAGTCGTCGCCCACGTTGACGCGGGTGTTGAGCACGGTGAGGCCGGCTACGTTGAGGGAGTCGAAGCCGTCGGTGTTTTTGGGGAGGCTCTGCGATGGGGGTTTGGATTGTGAGCTTCAGTATTGAATGAAGGGGAAAGGGGTGTGTGCGTGGGAGGGCTTACGGAAACGTTGGTGGACACGGCGGAGATGTAGACGTCGTCGAACACGACGTTGTTGGAACGGACGAAAAAGTTGGTCCAGCACGGTGAATCCTTGAGATGCAAGCCCTTGACCTCGATGTTGGTGGCGTTGTCTGTCAGGAAGAGAATGGGACGGTAGTACGTGTTGTTTGGGTCGAGGATCTCGGCGCCCGAGAAACCGTCCCACCACGCCTGGCCGTTTCCGTTGAGGGTCCCCGATCCGTAGATCTTGATGTCCCTGGGATGTGTAAGTGAACGGCCTAAGGGGTACAACAACGGGTTGCATGGACAGTGCTTACTTTCCACCCCACACCCAAAAGGTGATGCTCTTTTGGAAGTCATAGTAGAAGTTGTTGCTTTGCCAGTACTCGATGTCGTTGGTGAACTATAGCTGTTAGTGTTGTTATCATCATGCTGTGGGGGGATTGTATTGAACCATACCTTCAACTCCCCGTCAATCTTAACATACACGTCATTCAAGAAGCTCAAGTCCAACTTCTTCCCAATGACATACTTCTTCCCCTTTTCCAGGTGCAACAAACCCCCATTGTTGGCTTCCTTGATGGCCCACAAGAAGTCCTCACTGATGTCGTCGTTGTCATCCTTGGACGCACGGATCGTGATCTTGGTGCGGTCGCCCTCAACAGCGTTGCCCCAATCGTCCGTTTTGCTGCATTTCTTCAGCTTGGGGGCACGCTGTTTGAGAACTTCGAACCGTGACGGTGTGATTGAGGCGCCGGCTGGGATGAGGCCGGTGTCAACAGCCAAGGCAGACACCGAGGCCAGGGAGCCCGCGAGCGAGAGGAGGGCGGCGAGTGACTTCATGGTGGGTGATGTCGAACTACAAAGACAATCTTCCTGGGACAAAACGGCCCCGGTTCGAAGCCGGGGACCTGGGCGTATTTAACATTCACAATCATGATTTCCGCACCAACCTCGCAACGGTCTTATTCCCTGCTACGCATGGATCGTTCTGCGGGGAAGGGTACATCACGCCGTTGGCATTAGCGACGAAGAATTTCTCCGTGACCCTAGGATTGTGACGAAGTTATTCTTCCGTTCCTTGGAGAAGCTAACCCCAAGAAACCCCAACGAGTCGGGTCATGGCACCGCGAAGTTTATTTCATGGCAGAAAGGTACGCGAAAACGGCGAGTTGGGGTAATGTTGACCGGGGTTGTTTTCGCGAGAGACCCCTCACCATGTCTGCATTCGCGTTGGAGGCGACGTCTTGGTTCGTGGGATGATAAACACGGAGACTTGGGCTATTTATCCGCGAATGGCGTGTCGCTGGGGATGGCCTTCTTCCGCGTCCTTGCACATCGCTGTTTTTGGTCCTTGTTGGTGGTTATCATCCGATTTCACCCAGGGCAACGGTTGAGATGATGTTGATGTCCGATAAAATACCACACGTATACTGTACCCTATAAGTAAGTTGACAGCCACTCGAAGATCGAGTTGGTTGGGCGACAAAGTACACGAATGGCTCGTAGCGGAGATGAACAATCCGCGTTCATCAATCGTGTTGCTGGGACTTTACCTTGAGCATGAGAACCTTGGCTGAGGGGCAGCGGTTTTGTTTCCTCGCAGCTTTTTATGTCGTGGGCGTTGGTGGCAGCCAAGAATGAACAATGGCATGAGACCACGATTATTTTACATAGGTCCTTAAGCTGTTGGCCTCCCTCGTCAATCTTACTTCCAGCGACGGCCTGGAGTTTTGTGTGCTTAATTTGCCTGATATGACGCACGATGACGGGAGTGCAATCATGATTGTCATAGTTCCGAGACAATATTTGGCGTCTTTGTTAGGTAGCTTGAGCTTGAACACTAAGTCAGGAATTCTTCTAGGTTGACAAGAATTAAGCCTACAGATAGGAATTCTAGCCGTATAATGACTTCATGGGCAAAAAGTCTCGCGCTTTATCATTTTATCCCCGAAAAGCGTAAACCGAGAAGTTCTGGGTAAGAGTTTGGCAATGAGAGTTACATATCTGGCCTGCCAAACAAGCCTTCTCAAAACAACTGCAAGGATGGCTTCGTTTCGTTTCCTGTGTACGGAGTACAGCAGTCCTGAAGGGTAAAGGTGAAAATGTCAGATAAGAAACTGGTTTTCAGGCGTGGAGGATAATTGCGATCCATAACCCGGCAACCCCTCGATTGTCTGGCTCTCGCGGTATCAATTGAGCAACAATTCACCACTATTGCTCAAGCCGGGACATGAACCTTAGAACATTTGGTTCCCGACAAAACTTCTTAAAAATCGCTAAAAGTGGGTCTACCGGGGAAAACCTTGTCCAAAAAGAGTTTAGCTCCCCAGGCGCGCCGTGCAGCTCTCCTGGCATCTCGCAGCCTCGACAACTTTAAAAACGTTGCCTTTGTCTTCGCCTTCGCGAACCGACCGACCATTTCCCCATTACCATCATCTCGCATCTCGATAGGATTCATCTCTTGGTCCTCCGCTATTCAACTTCCACAAACCAGCGGATCTCGCGATCCACGCTGCCAACATGGCGTCCAACGCCCCGTTTCAATTCGCGGGCGATTCCGACTCGGACGACGAGAACTTCAATCCCGCCCCCGCCGAAGCCTCTGACGATGAGGATGCCGGAGTCGCTCGGAATGCAAGCCGCAATGATGACCGACGCGCGAGCAGCCCCGCCGCTGATGATGACGATGACGAGGACGAGGTGCGCCCCTCGAAAAGCGCATCGAAGCGTTCTCGCGGTGCCGACGATGAAGACGACGAGGGAGAGGAGGAGGAGGAAGAGGAGGATACCGGTGCGAACAAAAACGGCTACGATGATGACGAAGAAGAGGAGGACGAGGACGATGATGACGACGATGACGTTCAGCATGTGAGTCCACCTGCTCTACTCACCTCGATTGGACCTCGCGAAAACCGCGCTTGGTTTCCCGCAGGCTGATGACTGACACGAATTCATAGCGCCACCGACGCAAGCGCCGCAAGGACCACCGCGCTGCCTTTTTCGATATCGAAGCCGAAGTCGAGGACGAGGACGAAGCTGAAGACGAGGAGAAAGATGGCGAAGAAATTGAAGACTTCATCGACAATGCCCACCCCGACGATATTGCCGAGAGCGGCCACCTCGATGATGATAGGAGACATCGCCAGCTGGACCGCATCCGTGAGCTCGAGGATAGTATGGATGCCGAGAAGCAGGCCGAGATCCTGCAGTTGCGATACGGCAAGCGTGCCCCGGCCCGTGGCTACGGAGAGATGGCTGTTGTGCCCAAGCGCCTGCTTCTCCCTAGTGTGGATGACCCAGGTATTTGGGCCGTCAGGTGCAAGGAAGGCAAGGAGCGTGACGTGGTGTTTTCGATCATGCGACGGATCGAGGAGCGCGCCGGCGGTAAGGACGAGGTGCCCATCACGGCTGCTTTCGAGCGTGGTGGCCCGAACTCGGTCATGAAGGGCTACATCTACGTCGAGGCCCGTCGCCAGAACGACATCATGATTGCGCTGGATGGTGTTCTCGACGTGTACCCGCGGAGCAAGATGATACTGGTGGAGCTTAAGGATATGCCCGATTTGCTCCGTGTTGTCAAGACTCCCAACTTGGAGCCCGGTGCGTGGGTGCGATTGAAGAAGCCGGCGAAGCACGCTGGTGATCTTGCCCAGGTTGTCGATGTGACTGAGAACGGCCTGGAAGCCCGCGTGCGCTTCATTCCGCGTCTGGATTATGGTGTCCGCGACGATTCCATCACCGCTGACGGCAAGCGCAAGAGACCCGGGATGCCGGGCCCACGCCCTCCCCAACGCCTGTTCAGCGAGATCGAAGCGAGGAAACGACAGCCCCGTTACATCCAGGGTAACCCGCAAACCAACACCTGGACCTACATGGGCGAAGACTTTGAGAACGGGTTTCAGGTCAAAGACATCAAGATCCAGCAATTGGACGTCAAAGACGTAAACCCAACTCTGGAAGAGGTCACCAAGTTTGCCAGCGGCTCGGAGGATGGCACCGAGAATCTCGATCTCAAGGCTCTGGCGGCGAGCCTGAAGGACAGCAACACCAACGTCGCTTATGTACCTGGGGACGTTATTGAGGTCTACGAGGGCGAGCAGCGTGGTGTTGTTGGCAAAGCCATCAATGTGCAGGGCGACATTGTGACGCTCCGTGTCTCGGAAGGTGACCTCGCCGGTCAGACGATTGAGGTTCCCAACAAGGGTCTTCGCAAGCGCTTCCGCGAAGGTGATCACGTCAAGGTCATTGGCGGCAGCCGTTTCCGCGATGAAGTCGGCATGATTGTCAAGATTGTGGAGGACCGGGTCACTCTCCTGACTGACCAAACCCACACCGAAGTCACCGTCTTCAGCAAAGATCTCCGCGAGGCGAGCGATATTGGTGGCCAAGGTTCGCTCGGCCAGTACTCGTTGCTCGACTTGGTTCAGCTTGACCCGACCACAGTCGCATGCATTGTCAAGGTCGACCGCGAGTCGATGGTGGTGCTGGACCAGAACGGCGATACCAGACAGGTAATGCCTTCGCAGATTGCCAACAAGTTGCCCAAGCGCCGGACTGCCGTGGCCGCGGATCGCAACGGCTCAGAGATCCGCCTCGACGATGTGGTTCGCGAGTATGGTGGACAGCAGCGTCAGGGCAAGATTATCCACATTCACCGGTCGTACATTTTCCTGCACAGCAATGCCACGACCGAGAACGCCGGTGTGTTTGTCACCAGGGCTGGCAACGTCAACACCATTGCGGCAAAGGGAGGCCGTGTGACCAACCAGAATACCGGACCCGATCTGACGGCCATGAACCCGGCCCTCAAGCGCAACCCGGCCCAGAACCAGATGCCGCCTCCCAAGACGTTCGGCCGCGACCGCGCTCTTGGCCAGACCGTCAGCATCCGCCGCGGTGGGTACAAGGGCCTTATGGGCATCGTCAAGGATACCACGGACACCAGCGCACGTGTTGAGCTCCACGGCAAGAACAAGATCATCAACATTCCCAAGAACGATCTTATTTTCAAGGACAAGATCACCGGAAAGACGATAGACATTTACAGCCGTGGTGGACGTGGTGGCTTTGGTGGCCCGGGTCGCGGCGGGTTCAGTGGAGATCGCATGGGAGGCAGCAGGACGCCTATGGGTGCCGCTGGTGGAGAGCGTACTCCGGCTTGGGGCGCTTCCAAATGTAAGTGTTGGAATGTTCACATCATAATGTCACCTCACACCCGTGCTAACCATTCACTAGCGACTGCTCGCACTCCCGCCTGGGGTCGCGCCGAAGCCTCTGGCTCGCGCACTCCCGCCTGGGGCGATGGTTCCCGCACCGTCAACCCCTACGACGGCAACCGGACCGCATACGGCGATGGCAATCGCACCGCCTACGGAGGCGCCACATCCTACGGCGGCGGTTCCCGCACCCCAGCCTGGTCCTCCAGCGCCAAAACACCCGCCCACGACGGCTTCGGCCACGGCTCCAAGACCCCCGCCTACGGCTCCGGCGGCAGCAGCGATCCCTGGGGCTCCAAAACACCTGCTTACGGCGTATCAGCACCAACCCCCGGTGCTACCGGTGGTGGCAGCGCCGACAGCTGGGGCTACACGCCGGGCCCGATCGACGCGCCCACCCCTGGTGCCGGGCTCAGCGCACCCACGCCTGCGGCTCTCAACGCTCCCACTCCTGGTGCATACTCCGCGCCGACCCCGGCAGCGGTCAGTGCGCCTACCCCGGGTGCTTGGCAGGGCGGCTGGGGTGCGGATGCCGCGACGCCGGCTGTGGGCGCTCCGACACCTGCTGCGAGTGGTGGGTACTACGGTGCTCCGACTCCGGCTGCGTATGGTGGAGCTCCGGAGACCCCGGCTGCGTCGGGAGAGATTCGGTATGCCGATGATGATTGAGGATTGCCCAGCGCAAAGAGTTTAAGGGGGGAGGGTGGCGAAGGGGATAAAATGGGATGGGTTGGGAAAGCGGTGATTGTAATGGAGACTGGGACGCGGAAGAATGATGGCGTTTAGGATCAGAGGGGAATGAATTCTTCTTGTAATGAGTCGTACTAGCTAGCGCACATTTTGCTTCGCCAAGGTTGTCTTATCTGCAGAGATAGTTTGAGCCAGACCAGATTCGGTTATAGACATGCCTCATTACGTTTTCTGGTTCGTGTTGTTGTGATGAATGGGTTATCATTGTACGAGATACAGAAAAGTGATGCGCTATAATACAGCCAGGGCGCCGTGCCCGTCGCACTTATTTCCTCGTTGACGTTCATTTTCTTGTCCCTATTACCCTTTATCTGCGCTCGCCCGTCCACGCATTCTCAAAAACATACATGACCTCACCTCGCAGGCGTGTTGACACAAGTTCTTGAGACTTGATTAGATGTTCAACGTCTCTCAATTGACTTATACCCTTCTCCGAGAGATAGATCCCTACCCACTTACCTTGATCCTCCGATACCCGTGCATTACTATAGCCGTGAGCACTGCTCACTCGCCTCATTACTTACCTTACCTTACCTCACCTCTCAAATCGATCCGCTAATTAGTACACACACTTACCTCCCCAGTCCCCAACCAACCCACCACACCCACAGCCAATACCCCCTAAACCAGTCCCTCCCAGCCCAGGACGACAATCCCGCAGCGAGCAGACCCTAGTTACCTTCAAAGACCCAGATTAAGCATGCTCCAAACAAACCAAAAACCGCCACGACCTTGACCGCGCACAGTCCTCGTCAATCTGGAAATCGGGACACACAATGCCCTTGAGCTTGGCATACTCGCAGAACTGCAGGGTATCGGCTGCGGGCCAGGCACACCCGCAGGTGAAGTGGTTGTAGCCTGTTGTGCACATTTTGTGGGGGGTTAATTATGGGTGTGTAAGGGGGTTTATGGGGTAATGGTGATTATTGCTAGTGTTGGTTAAGAAGGGAATTATTAATGAGTGGGTGGTATGCTTCGAGATTTCGGTCCGTGGTTAAGTTGATTCTTGCTCCGATGCTTGGAGATATTAAGGGGTGATCGTGATTAATAGGCGGTCTCGCGGCCTGTTGTGTTGTCAGTTTAGAGAGACTGGGATCGCTTACCTTTCGTGGACCTGCCTTGCCTGAAGGAGGAGTGTTGCAAGAAAACAAAAACGACAATGGGGTTGTGAGAAATGGTTGGTAAAAGTGGGTTGGATTGTGATGGCTGAGAGTGTGGAGGAGGCGTGGGCCAGGCTGGGTTTTATAGCCCGATTAGGACTTATATTTGTGGTCTGAGGTAAGTATTGAATCTCTAGAACCCCCCTAGGCACAAAGAGCCGACCTCGATAATGCCATTGTTTAGCTCCTTGTATCATCGAGTGGCCTGAATCAATAGGTACACAGTCAAGGGCGGCAATGGTCCTTTGTTGATGAATACACAGTCACTCTACACCAAGTCTAAAAATAGGAGGGATTGTTGGGTTCATTGTTGGGTTTACAGGCGGTAAGATAATCTATCCAACGTGGTTTGGGCAAGGCCTTGGCTAAGATTGAGCTATGTACAGTAACCAGTTGAATTGTTCCACTTTTCTAATTGCTTAGCAAGTGTCAACCGCAGGCCCAGCAGGAGTGTAGCTGGTGGGCACGGGGTAGTAGATGTTGATCAGGATACCAGGGTCAGTCGCCTTGTAAGCACCAGGGAACGAGACCTTGTTCTTGGGGCTCCACGAGCCGCTGCCACCAGTGACTATTCACGATTGTTAGCAGCTAGTTCTAAACACGAGCGTAGAGATGGGAGAGAAACATACCCGAAAGCTGAGCACATGAGAGGTAAAACTGCGCGCCACCGACGCTGCCCGCGCTGTGCAGAGCAATGTGCTCCGCCCGCAACAGGTACTCGCCGTTCTGCAGACAGCGAGGGATGGTCACGGACACCGATTGGGCGTTCATGGTAGGCCACGTCAGGCCACCGTTAAAGCTGGGGCCATCCTGGTAGATCTTGGACCACACCGCGCCCGAGGCGTCCCAGTTGGCCGCGGTCTTGCCCGACGGAACCTGGGCAATGTAGAAGGCCATGGGACCCGGGTGGGAGATGGACGACTTGGCGTGGTAGGCGAGCTGGCTGCCAGCGGTCACGTTGTAGGTGCTGGGGGCGCCGGTGCCCGGGTTCCGCTCGTAGCAGCGGATCTGGTCGGAGCTGACATCGGTCACAGGGCCGTTGCTCTGGTAGTTGGTGGTGGTGCGGACGACTTGCCAGTCGGCAGTGTTGGCCACGCTAGGGAAAGTGTCTGAGTGCGAGTTAGGATCACTGTTCACGAGGTGAAGAACAAGAAAAGTGAGGTTGGCTTACAGTGCGCCTTGGCAAAGGCCGATGCAAGCACCGTGAGGGCAAGGCTGAACTTCATGGTGTTTGGTTCAAGGGACGATTCTTGACAGTGAGGAACACAAGCTGGCTTCGCTGGGTAAACCGGGAATTCAACCAACACCTGAATGTGGCCAGCCAGGAGACATTATATACTCCCAGATAATACACCTCCACTTGTACCGTCAGGGCCTCAACCCGGCATCGACCTCCAATCTATTCTTGTTAACCTGGGGGGGCCTGGGTGCCCAGGCCAACCCCGTGGCGCCAAGCATTACCATCGCATCGAAACGGATAAAGACGAACTGGCGGTTAAAATGCCCCCCAGAGACACCCACCAGTGGGGATTTAGTTCGATATTAGGCCTCGACCTTTCGTCAAATCGCGTCCAAGCCTTGGTAAATCTTTCGCGGGGGAGAGGAAAGAACCGACAGCGGAGGGAAACCTGGGGTGCAGACATCGAAGCCGGGTTTGTCAGCCGGAATCGCAATATCAGAGGTCATGGGCTGCATGACCAAAGCCATGCCCAATACCACCCACGATGGTGTTTTTACGCTTCCTCGTGCCGTGAAGTGGATTCGACAAGAAGCCAAGACGGATGAGCAACGAGCGAAACCGGGTCGGCGGCTACCGCAGCACGATGCAAAAGCCACCCGCCTGCCCAAATGGGGTGTGGAATCGCGGGAGATTGTCCCAACTCCCGTGAGTTTCGTCCGCGAACGGTTAGGCTACGAGTCGGTGTTTTGAAAGCGGCAAGGTTGGGCGGGTCGGAAGGGCGAACCGGGAAGGACAGCTTAAATCTGGGATTGGGGCAAGACGAGGTCTAGACTCGAGTCCCGATAGACGAATGTTAGTCAAACGCAATGCACGCGAGGAGAAGATGTTACGGTGATGTTAGACTTCTTTTTTTTCGGAGGGTTGGAGTTGCTGCGCAAGATGGAGCTGGGGTGGCGCACAACGAAGCGTCTGTCTCATCGGGCCGAGGGGGCGGCTGGTCGTGCTCCGTGGCGGAAGGAGCGATTCGGGCAAGGCGGAATACCAAGTTGCCAAAGGTCTTATCTTGACTGGTTTTGAAAGATTTTCTTGACATTGAATTAGAAAATAAGTTCCAGAGTAGGTATCGTCTCACTTTCATAAACAAAAGGACTTCAGCGTGGGAGCGAACAAAAGTTACAAAGTTGGTTGTTGGACTAGCGGGCAAGATCACACGGGGGGTCTCAACCACACAACAGGAGGGAAGGAACTTCCCGAAGTTCGGTTTGGCGCAACAAAGTAGGCACGGGAGGGTTACCCTTCGGCATAGCTACAGTGATTTTGAACCCACAACGTCCAATCAACTGTTTTCTTGCCCCTTCACCCCCACGGCCCGGGCGTCATCCCCCTACTATCGAGCTGCCCGTCGTCCCTTCATCCGGTGCTCCGAAGACATGATTTTGCCCCCATAGTTCCATCAGGTGCTCAGTAATCCAGAGCTGGGACTGCGGCTTCATCCTCGCTAAGGACATTGCCAACCAACAGAAGTAACGAATCGTTCTTGGACAACATGTACGGCGACTCAAACCGCGCCTCTAACTGCCAGTCTGGCTCTGACACAGCTCCTCAGCGCTGCTCCCGACACCAGCCATTTGCTCACTGCATGGAGGACCAGATCAACAACCAGCATTGGGCTCGGAGGAATGAAGTTTACTCTGACTGCGAGTAGGAACCACATGTGACCGTTCTGAATCAGTTTACCACACACAATCATCGGGAATTCGGCCTTTTTTTCCCTAAAGGCACGGCAATCGTCAAGCTCGACTGCGCAGTGGCAACTGTGGTCGATTTGGTCGATGAATCAGAGCATGGCCATAAACACGGCTAAACCATCAAATACCCATACTCAGTCGAAGCTAACCGGATGTACAAAAGGTCCAACGTTAATTCCAGTCACCGTCCCACTTATCGGGCTGCCCAAGTGTCGACAGATAGCTTGCCCACCATAGCGTCTCAAACCATTTGACTCTCGAGGGAATATCGGTCCCCCTCGGTCAGCTTGTCACCCTTCAGCCTTTGAAGCAGACTCCGTATGACCGCCTTGCAATAATGCACAACGTAGCTTCGCGCGGATCCCGCGACCGCAGTACTGGTGGCTACCGCGAGGGAAGCGCACGATAACCCCCTTACAACCAACTCGCTCCTGTCCCAGGTGGCGCTAACAATGAGGGTCCTAAACGACATGGCTGTCAGTCTGCATCCTCTGTAACATATGCGGAGACACGTTGCCGTGTTGCGGGCCGCAAGAAAGAGAGGGGGTTGAACACACAGGCATGCGACGATGCAGTAAAGGGTCGGTAGTCCCTTGGCCGCATTGGGGTATAGGAGATCTAAGAGCCGGCTGATAAGGTCGAGGTGTTGCAGTAGGCCATCACGAGCGACCTTGAATTGCCAGAACTCTGGCGGTGCCGAGCCCCAATCTCTCTGGGCTTGGGAACGGTAGACAGTCGTTAGCAACCAAGCCGGACCTTTGGGGCGGAATTACGTACTAAGATTCAGCGGTGCGGAAGCGGGTTTCAATTTTCGCCATTTATCGTGACGATCAATGTAGCGGTGGAGATGGCGAATGGCCGAGGTTTTCTCCGTCTCGAAATGGAGCCAGATCTGCCCGCCAGTGAGGTCGGAAATGTCGATGTCCCTGAGCGGTTGCGCGATACCGTTGTTGTCGGCTCCACCACGGCGGATGCGATCCGATGGGAGGGGCGCTTCGATCTCTACGCGGTCGCTGTATTTGAATTCAAAAACCTCGTCTCGTTCCATTGTTGGTGGAACCAAGCGGCGTCTGGGGATGTGAAAGGCGGGAGGTTGGGGGTGCTATGTTGTTGCCATCGGTCCTTTTTAAGTTGGCTTATTGTATCAGACATCGCACCAACACCAAATACCCTTGAGTACACAGCATTTTCTTTCAGCCCCGGAATCATTGAACGGTTTCGCACGTAACGGTGCACCACACGCGGCCCTTCAAACAGCCAGCATTCCAGTCTCCCTCATCGCTCCACCGGTGGCTCATAGGCTCATCTTCCTTTGTCTCTAGCTTGTTAGCCAGCCACGACAAGTTTCTAAGCCCGCAAGCCTGCGGCGATTTACACATGGAACTCAGATCAAGTGGTCGAACTGAGCGCGAGCGCTTCCGTCCTTCCTCACCTTTACTGCATCCCCCCTCCCGCCTCCATCCCACTTAAGAATGAAGTTACCTCTCCACCCCGAATCTTTGTCGCAGGCAAACAAAACCCCCAGTAAGCAACAAAGAATGTTCAGCACGGCCATGAACACCCCGCTTCAGGAAAGGCTGCTGCCGACAAGGTCCAACGTACTGTCGGGAACTCTAGCGAAGCCAAGACGCATTCAATAATAAGGCCCCTTCCAGGGATGATAGGTGTGAGGATGGCAATAGCTGTGGAAAGCTGCCTGACAGCCACGCCCACTGTAAAATCTATTACACGAAAAGACAAGATACTAGATCGTGGCCAGAGCAACGAGTTCTTAACTGTAATTAATTATGTGTTAAATCACAGTAGTGTTAATACCGCCAATGTCTAGCAAAGCCCGAGACACTTGACTTCACTTGTCCTACCCGACTTCCGTTTCCAGTAATGACACTCGATTTGCGGACAATTCCAAAGGCACCTATCAAATCACGGGAGACAGCGGTTGAATATACAGCTTTACTCCGGGAACTTCCCCGCATCTTATTCGCCAAATGAAGGGCACGGCAACGATCCCTCTCGGAATGAGCCGTAACACCGCGTTGCACCTTGGCTAAAGTCTAAAGTTAGGAGCCGAAGATTACCAAGAGCCCCCAAGTACCGGGATACCAGATAAATATTACTGTTATTTGCCGCCTTCTTTCCGTATCTGCCACCTATGAACCACCATGCCCAACATGGCGAAAATAACAACCCCCCATCTCGCCCTGCTTTGCGCAGCTCTAGCACCCACCATCCACGCAGCCGTCACATTCGCCATCCCCAGCAAATCCGGCGACGGAGACCTTTCCTACGCATCCCTCGACCCGGCTCCCATTGGCATATCGTTCGAGTTTTTCGCCTTCCCTGCATACTTCACCAACGTCACTGCAACGCACCAATGTCTTTCGAACTGGAAAGATCTGACGGGAGTGTGGCCGCCCATACGAATTGGCGGGACAACACAGGACCGGGCGTCGTTTGATGCGGCGTCTTCGGACTATGTCACGTACTCGGTGGCCAGTCCGGCAGACGCGCCGATGACGTTGACGTTTGGGCCCCGGTTTATGACCCTCGCTGGCGAGTATGAGGGGAGTGTGGTGGTTGGGTTGAATAGGGGGAAGAATGATATTGAGAATACCATTGCCGCTGCTAAAGTGGCTGTGGATGAGGTGACGAATCTGCTGGCTATTGAGCTGGGTAACGAGCCTGAGTGTAAGTTCGCATCACTAGCATGTAAGAAAAGAAACAAACAACTCACAAAGCCCGCTTACACACGACCAGATTATCCCAAAGACGGCCAACCCATTGCCCAAGGTGCCTGGGACCCTTTCACCGACGCCACATCGCAAATCGACTGGAGCACCCGCGTCAGCAGCGCGATCGGCCGGGACAACATCATCCAAGCCGGCAACTGGAATCAGGCACCGCCCGACTGGGGTGCCGCGCAACTCATCGCCCAACAGACACCCGAATCCGAAAAGGCGATCCGGCATTACGCCCATCACAACTACCCCGGCGGTGACGTCCAGAAACTCCAGACCCATTCCCAGACCGCAAGCAACATCCGAAGCATGTTTGCAGACGACACAGCTGCGGTCCAGAAACAGACTGGGAAAGAATACGTCCTGGGAGAAACCAACTCAGGTAAGCCCTCGGTTCTTCGTTCTCCCCAAACCAACCCCACCACCCATAACACAACACACCCGGCCATAACTAACCAAACTCAACCCCCACAGTCTCCGGCGGGGGCGCAGCCAACGTCTCCCCGACCTTCGGCGCCGCCCTCTGGACCCTCGACTACGCGCTCCGCGCAGCCTCATCCCCGACCCGCATCGCCCGCATCTACTTCCACCACGGCACAGTCGGCAACTGCCAGTACTGTTTCTGGGGCCGCTACTCGATGGGCGCGCCCTACTACGGCGCGACCGCCGCGGTGGCTTTCACTTCGGGCGCTACGACGCTGGCTGCGTTGGATCCGGAGGGGGGGAGTAATTATGGGGGGTACGTTGTTTTTGATGGAGGGGATGGTGCAGAGGGTGACGAAGGGGGGAAGCCGGTGAGGGTGTTGTTGTTGAATTCGGATTATTATACGGGGAGTGGGGAGAGGGGGGTGCAGGAGTTTGTTTTGACGGGGTTGGATGGTGGAGAGGTGGGAGGGACGGTCAAGGCGAAGAGGTTGACAGGGGCGAGTTCGTTGGCGAGGGTTGATCGAGGGGATAAGGTGTCGTTTGGGGGGCAGACGTTTACGGATGGGACGTGTGTGGTAAGTGGGGAGGAGGTGTGGGAGGAGACTGCGGTGGTGGATGGACGGGCGACGTTTGAGGTGAAGGCTGCTGAGGTGTTGGTGGTGTATTTGTAGGGGTGTTTTATTTGATGGAAGTTGGTTTTAGGTACAGACAGGTCCGTAGATTTACACAAATGGAGTAATTACAACATACAAAACACCAATTCAATTGGCTTTAACCAGAATTTGAAGAACGCAAAAAAGCAAGCACCCAAAAGGTACCGTCACCTGCAGGATTCGAACCTACGCTCCCGAGGGAACTGCCTAACGTGCTAACTGTCTATTAGCAGGGCAGCGCGTTAACCACTCCGCCAAAGTGACTATTGAGCGAGAATTGCTGCGTAAATTCGCACCAACATTGACCGGTCCCAGCCGACAGGGCCAAAATTGTGGTTTGAACAATGAAGTCAGCACTCTTCTTGTCAATCAAAGGTACAGCCGGAGCTAGCTCAATCTTGTCAAGCAATATTATTTTCGGACGGGCTAAATAATTATTGTGTGTAATTATGCATCCTTTCACGTAGTTTCGTGTTTCCTCATTTTTGGCAATTGCGGAGGGTTGGAAACCCATAAAATGTATTTCACATTAACTATAGTTATATCGGGCACGAATATTCTTATAACTAGCCTGCTAATCCCCATGGCAAATCGAGATTCGCGGTAACTTAACCGTCAACGGTGAGCTCTGCTCGACTGAAAACCCACCATTTCCGGTCTCTGTTCGAGAGGAATAAAGGTGCAAGGTGATATCATAAGCGCGTCTCAACTCCGAGTCACAACGTATCCGATATGGTCAAATGGCGAGTCCCTACCCCGCCCCCATAACCGCAGAGCTCCCTTTAGATGTGTCGCGACGGTTCCTTTCGATTAGTTAAGAGGAGAACGAAGCCGTCGCGATATCGGGTTCATGCAAGCACCCGATCTAGCCCGTCAGGCGTGTTCTTAGGCCCAGAACCGCCCGGCAAGGCCAATTCCGCTTGTGCCCGAGGTAAGAACGCGTGGCTCCCTAATTGATGTCCTATTCACCAACTACCCAGAAACTTGGGCAGATATCAGTCTCCATGACAAGCTCACGACCCATCCCAACTCTTTCCCGTGTCTCTCCTCGCACACATCGCCCCGGACCGCTCTGCAGTCACTACGACAAGACAATGCAGCAGCAACAGCCAAATTGTCCGCTCCCACCCCGTCGGCCATCTCAGCCATGCATTCCTCCTTTCCCTACCATCGATGGGCGTGTGGCCCTGTTCGGGCTCACCTTGTTGAGCTGCGCCGACCAAGTCCAACCCCAGTGAGGGTGAAGAAGGGCTGGGCCTCTCCGTGTGATTCGCAACCAACCCAGCCCCAATAGTCCCAAACCCAGCGGTATTCGCAGACCCCGACCCAGATCGTGATCCAGCCAGAGACGCAGACCTTTCACCATCTTCCGTCTGGTTCTCTCCTGGACCAGGACCGTGCCAATGCCCATGCGTCGCCCACTGCAAATCACCCGCCGCCAAACCAACCACAACGGCCACAACCCACCACGCTGCACTATACGGCCAGCATACGGCCGAGAGTGACAGCACCTTTGCCGCGAATAGCGTAAGGCGTATGGACATCGCCTGTGCTGTCAACCAGCGCTGCACACGACGCCCCGCCATCACAACAGATAGACGTATGCTCTCGGTACGCGTCAGTGGTGGGGGCATGAGAAGCGGCGTGTTGATAGAAGGTGGTGTTGTTGCGGCCGTGGCAGCACTCGATGGAGATAAAGTGTTGGCGTGGGTAGGGGTTCGGTGAGGGGAATGAGCCGGGCTGCGGCCTCGGCTGGGACTGCTTGGGTGACTGGGTAAAGTGTGGCTGCGGCTGCTGCGTGTGAGGGTCATGGCGTGGGATGTTGGGCGGTGGCGTGGAGATGATGACTGGGGATTCAAACGTCGGGCTAAAAGGTTGCTGCTGGGTGGCTGGGTCGCGGGCTGGGGAGATTGGTTCGGGAGATCTTCATCGGTCGTGCTATTGACACGCGCGTGCTTGGTAGGATCTGTTGAGGTATTCGAGTAAGTGGACTATGTAGATCGGTCATGCGGTCATGAAGACAAACCTGGAACTGGGGTGCTGGGAGCCATGGGAGAGTCGAGGTTCTGAATCCTTTGCCCTGCTAGACCCAGAAGTGGGCTGGTGTTCCTAGAACCCCTCATCATACTGTCCAGGCTGGACTCGCCCCCCATAGCACCCAACACCTCGCTTGCTGTCGGCCGTTCTGCCGGGCTGACGGCCAAAAGCCTACTGAGTAGATGGTAGAGCTTGATAGGCAAATCCGGACGCGCCCTCCTCTCTTCCTGAAACCCTTTCCAGTCGGATATTTCGGCGCGCAGCCGGTCAACATCCTCCAACTCCTCGTTGACGCTGTTTGCATTGAGATAGGGCAAGCGCCCAAAGCAAATGAAGTACAGGATCATGCCCAGAGAAAAGATATCCGATTTTGTGGTGAAATTGCCATATCTCCCGGTTGCATCCCTCTTAAGAACTTCCGGTGCACAGTACGAAATTGTGCCCGTCGATCCGCTTGATTTGCGGACCGCATTTTCTGGCTGGACCTCGCCGAAGTCGCTAATCAAGCATTTTAGCTGATTCCCGTCGCGATGGAGCAGACAATTGCTGGGTTTGAGGTCTCGGTGAATGTAGTTTGCTGCGTGTAGATAAGACAAACCGGATGTGATATCCTTGAAGAGCGAGTAAATCTCCTCTGGAGGAAGCCGTTTCTGGACTTGCGGACGCTCCGTCGTCTGGCCCTTGGACCTGCGCCGCATTTTGGCCTTGAGCTCCTCCTTGGTCGTTTCTTTCGGCTTGTCGCCAATGACGTACTGCAACAAGTCGCCTCCGTTGCAGTATTGTTGTAGGATAAACGCACATGCCACACTTGGCCCGAACCGAGTGAGCTGGACATCTTCAAGCCAGACGTGGCGATAGGACACCAGGTTTGGGTGGGTCAGGTTGGCTAACAACTCTACTTCGACTAGGACCTTTTCCAGCCAAGCATGGTCGTCGCCAACAGGTACCCGCTTGCAGGCAAAGTGCCCAAGATTGCACCCATCAATCTCATGGCGTACCAGCAGCACCACACCCTTTCCGCCCCGGCCAAGTTCTTTCTCCTCAATGAAAAAGGTGCTGAAATAATGCGGGCTAAATGCCTCTCGTTTTATGCGACCACCACTCTGAGGCGCAGGCGAGCTGCTAACAAATTCGGCGTCCTCTTCGTCATGGACAACGGCTGGGAGGGGCTCGGCCAGGCGGCGGATTGGGCTGGGCGGGGTCCGAGCTGGGGAAGCGTGCCGTGTATTGTGGCCGGCTCGCAGCATGCGAAAGTAGTTGGGGGCGACATAGCTATCCCCATGGTGCGTGTTTTCGTAGTGGCGGTCGGGAGAGGCCGAGCGCAGCGGTTGGTGGCAGGTCGGGCACTCGTGCAGCTGGAGACCCCGGATTTCGAGTCGCTGGGACGATGGGTCACGGACGACAATGGCATTATGGTGGCGCCTTGCAGACAAACATGTCAGCAGTAAGACTCAATCTCTATGCCGTAGGACAAGGTGCTGCAGGAAAAGAAGCAAGTGGAAGGGCAGAGAGGGAAAGATTAATTCCAACCGGTGACGATTTCAAGGGAGGCTTCGGAAATGCAAAGCGAAACAACGATGACGTACAGCACGATCTCGCGCCCCTCACGGGGATGGTAAGGGACCAGAGACATAATGAGTCAAATTGCCTTTTTCAAGGTGCGCGCTCTATATTGACCGCTTCCATGCTTGGTGTCGGCGTTGTTAACGGTCTCCGTTTCGACAGATTTGAGAATGCAGCCTCTTTGTTGATGGATAGTGACAGGGTTTCAGTGGTTGCCCGGTTGAAGTTGGCGGGTTGACGGGGAAAGATCCACTGATGTGCACAGACGTCATCGCCTGTGCAATGCTTGGCGCGGAGGGATCTTTCCGTCAGGGTCCAGCACTTCCAGGTTCCACGCTTTGACTTTGACACACTTCTTTCATCCGCACCCGGACCTCAAAGCTGCGGCCCGAGTGAGATTGTCCTGTGTCAACTTTTCACATTCCATCCGTTTCCAATTCGCAGGATGAAGCTTAAACCAGAATCAAGGCAGGATCATTGATCCCGTCGATCGACCCCCAAACGGCAAACAAAGGCGACCAATTGGCCAATCGCTTGGATCCATGCCAACTGGACGGCCATTGGAATGAACGGCAAGACGCGTCGCGACGCAGATGTTACAAGGCGTAATTCTTAAGAATACGCGACTTGGGATGACGAAGGCACAACTCTCATACACTCTGAGGTTCACCCCAAGATTGATCTTCCTCGTAGCTAAGAGAGGAACTTCGAACTAGTTACATTTAATTATGCTAGCCTATCTGACGGATCTGATTCTGAATCTTGTGTTCGAAAGTGAGTACCCAGCCCACTTGACAGCAGAGACCTCGCATGTATCCCTAAACATAATAGTAGATCTTGCGGCAGCTATGGAAGGCGAGGCCAGCGCCGTTGGCCTTGTTGTCCTTGTAACCGTCGAAGCTTCGGAAATCGTTCCACCCGCCCCTAATTTGTGTGAAGACATAGTCAGCCCCAGCATCACACCCGGGCGTAAAGAAACTAAAACTCACCCGACCGAAGAAAAGTCTGGCTTCGACTGAGCATTTGCAGGAATGTTCCACCCAAAGGTAATGCCGGTTGGAAATGTACAGTTCTGCGGACCGCCCTCCCAAGTGTGAAACGAATCGGGGGTGGTCGAGGTCGACACGATGCACCTGTCGTTGGAAGGGATCACATATCCCAAAGAGCTGCAATCGGCGTCATTTTCGCAATACTTGAAAGGAGAGAGTAAAGGTTAGTGGTTGAACGGTACGGGGAAGAATGAATTGGGACGACTTGATACGCACAGCAACTAGCGAATACCAAATCCTCGTGTTGCCCGCGGCGCCAAACGGGCTACAGTTTAGAAGATGAATACCTTCACCCAAGACGCCATGGGTTAGGACAACAGCGGCGGCGATGACCTTGGCAACGAACATATTGAGTAACCTAGCCAGGGTGAGAGTAGGAAGGCTTGAGGGGCGAAAGGACTGTCGAAAGCCGAGATATTCAACTCCACCGACATAGTGCGGTAGTTATATACATAATCTTTTCACGATGCTTGCCATCTATGGGAGACGATGCCTCGCCAAGAATTGTCTCCGAGTAACCTCACCATCATCGTCAGATGGGCACGCCTCCATGCCAAGAGATCACGGGTAGACTGCGCGGTTGGACTCGCTCGACCATCACCAATTGTACATCCCCTAGGCCGGAAAGTGATCTACACCGCGTACTTGGTGTAAGGCAGCGACACCAAACGCTTGGCTATCTGAGTAAGATGGAACTGTGTCGGTTATGAGCGGTTACGGGTGCAGGGCGCTTACTCACGTTCCATCAATGCCGAGAATTGAATGATCTGGAATTGACAACCGGATAGACAGCCAGGCTCAGCATGAGGCATCTTGTGATGCCCAAAATATGACGACGAAGAACTCTCTCAAAAGTCACGGGGCGATTTTGAGGGCGGACCGTAGAAGAGGGTTGCAAATCGGGACCAAAACGCAACTCGCAGCTCGACATGGTTTATCTAGATTTTCTGCCACTCATGGTACTGTAGCCAGCGGACGGAGATGTCCTCCAAGTCGTGTGTTAGCACGACAGACGATATATTGGGGGTTAACTGGGAAAGATCTACTCCTTTTATTCCTTACCAAACTCACCAAAATATGAGTTGTGGCCTAATTAAATTCAAAATAACAGTGAATGTGGATATTATTAGATACCCTGAGGAAACAGAAGTCTAGATCAAACCTCGAAGCCATCGTTGGTCGAAAAAAGTTAGCGGAGAGACAAATTGTTCACCTTCTGTCTCTTTTTCTTGGGCAAAGCATTTTTGCCAAGTCTCGCTAGCAAAAAAGAAAAGAAAGAGAAAAAGAAAAAGAATTGTCCATGGGGTCTGTAATTATTGCTGAGATCTTAGGAAAAGGAAAATAGTGGGAATGAGTTCACCGGGTCGGAAAGCACAAGTAGTTTGACCAAAATAGCAGCAACTGGAATATGTTCAAGATACATAGTTAGTTAATTTCGATGTTTAGAAGAAGCAACGGGCTTGTGCTCATGAACCCCTGCGGCCCATGCATCAAAGTCGTTCCTGAATGGAGGGAAAAAGAAACCCCGAAGACCCACTGGTGTATTTGGTCTGTGCACGGTCCATCTTCATGGGCCTGCAGCTGCCCCACCTTAAAATTTCCGTTCGCGTTTGGTGATAGAATCTCGCGCAGCCAGCGACCCTGGATTGTACTTGAGCGGACGCGCCAGCGATTGTCCCGCTGACGGTGAGTACGAGTGAGACACCGGCCCCTTGAGGCATGGAATTAATACTTTGCGTAGAGATATCATAGGATATACCGGTCCCGCATGCCCGCCCCTGAACCACGAATCGTGTCGTCCTCGTAGCCAGCTCCCCCTCAATTCAGCAATCCGAATAGCATGTCCTGGCTCAGGCCTTCTCTCCCTTTCTTGGGGCCCGGTGCCCGTTGTCTTTTCCCGAGAACCCCGATGGTTTACGCAGCAGAGAGAATACCGGCTGTAGCAGTCTCACAAATACCAACAGCCACCCGCTCCTTTAGTAGCCAACGGGCAGGGCACAAACCTGGCAACCCCCCAAGGTTTCAACCCTCGGAAGCGTCGCGGGCGAGACCACCGAACACAATGGGCGACCATCCGGGGGAGGAATATCCAGATGGGTTTCGCCCCAGACCCCAACCGGCACGGAAACCAATAGACACCAATAGCAAGGAGTATAAACGGGCTGCGAGACGGTATATGCGGTTTGTTGTCGGGATGCCGTTCTTTATCGTACTAAGTTATCACATCTACAACCAAAGTAAGTGCCAGCTCAACTTCTTCTATGGACTGGCTTTAACGAAACCGCGCAGTCGATGAGGACGGACGGCTCCCGCCACTCTTCCCCCGAGAACCACCTGGTCCGCCGCAACCGGAATGGAACAAGTAGCAGCGTGGCTTCTAGTCGGTTACTTGAATACTGCTCCTAGCCTCGACTCCGTGCTCCCTGTTTACGAGTTCAAAGGATACCTAGTCCTTGTAGGGAGAGTACGATGAGGAGGGCAATCGAAAAAAGACCCCAAGTTGTGACTTCAATGCTCTCGCTGTCGATGGCGCCGCAGGAGGCCGCCCGACATTTAGCCATCTGATCCAGGAAACACCGTCAGTTTCCTGTCGACGAAGCAACAGCACAATGATACCAGACTCGAAACGACTCGCCACTGGACCAACTGCCGCACCCACCTTGTGGATCCAAGCGTCGTGGTCTGACTGAGTGGTCCGCAATATTCGTGGTTTGAAGCTTGCAACTGGGACGCGACGATCCTTTTGCTTTGTAGACCTCTAAATCTCGTTAGCTTTCTTCCTGCGGACTTAGAAGTAAACGCCGACACCAAACATAGAACAGCAGGCTCGCCAAGTCTTGCGTTTCGAGGGCCGTTGCCTGTCGTCCTGTATTCACCTTGCCTCATGAGACACGCCTTTCCAAATTAGTCTCCACACAAAGAGGAGGATGAACAATAATACCGCTGGGAAACAGCCTTAGCCAGCTCGAGCTGCAGGGCGAGTCCGCACCGATGAGACGAAAAAGCGGCTCAAATGGGCGGCACGCACCCAGGAAGTGGAGAATCTCCCGACGCCGTGTCAATTGCCGTTCGATAAACGAAAACCCGGTGACATCAGCCACCCTTGGACTCGTCTGTTCTGGCCACCATTACAATCGGCCCCTTGGCAAAGGCCCACACTCCCACGCCGTCTCTTCAGATCACTTTTCACCGGCGTTGAACCGGTCACAGGACAGCATGGCTGGTCCACTCTCCAGCATGTATCTTCACACTAGGGATGGCTGGAACGCTCTGCTAGTTGTAGCACAGCCGCAACAGGAACCGGTCGACCCGCCCTTTTCTGCTTTCTAAGGCATGACAACTGCTCGGTTGAAGACCCACCGAAATCCGAAGTCGTCCTAACGGCGAGCGGTTTCGGTACCCACCAGACGCAGTGGAACATGTCTTGAGAGGGGTCAGGGCTTCCGCAGATTTTCCAGAACGCGGGACGTTCGAATGCCTGTCTCACTGCGGCATTAAGCTTTATTATTGTTGATTAACTACTATGTACAGTCCTGTCGGCCTCGCTCCAATTCCCCGACGACCCTGACGATGGCCAACTGTCACCTCGACCTTCGCAATAGGAACTAGTTTGTAAGGTACGAGGTGAAGTCCTCGTGGGTCACGAGTGACACATCCGACTCCACGAATGCCCCCAGAATTTCATCCCCTTGCTGGCTCGTTGCCCAGGAATCCCCAGCTCCATCTCCGCATTTTCCAGGAGGGATCTGGTGGGGTTCGTGGGGTTGTCCATTGCCCGTCGTTGTTCCCGAATCCCGACTTCAGGCTGGACAAGGATGCTTGCGGGGTTCCTGGCAAGCTGATTGGGCCTTCCCCAGGCCGGTTCACAACTCGGCCGGCCATGGAACCATTGACGAATCGCGGAGCCCACGGTGTTCCATTCGCATTCTTGAAGATGGCGAATCGAAATGCCGCGAGTTGCTTGCCATGACCGAATCGCCGAGCCATGGGGCACACCCACCCACCAGTGTCACCCACGAATGCGATTCTTTCCATTCTTCGACAAGTTCAACGCTGCCCGCCACGAGGCAGCCAGGGAACCTAGAGCTGTTTGGTTTAGCGCGGCGGAATATGCCACGATTAACCTGCTATGAAAGGGGTGGAGTGGATGCTGGCGTCGTCGTTCGAACTCCAGAACCCCGGGTTTTGTGTTCTTGGCGGTCGGAGACAACTGCCAAGTGTGGAACCCCCCATGACGGCGTCGTCGGAGTCGAGGCGTCGTTCGTCGAATCGTCGTCAATTGGAAATAATTGTTCTTCCTGGTGGACCACGAGGCCAGCAATTAACCCGGCTCCCTGTCCTAGCAGAGGCGTGTCCAAGAGCGGGCCTCGGTATGTAACAAGCAAACATCGTCTAGTGGAGAGGGAGGGGGGCGTTCCACGGACGATGATTGCTTACGCGAGCTCCGCGAGAGCTTGCTTGTCACCCCCCGGCGGAGCGGGAGGAAAGGGAACCTTGCACGACACCGTGACAATGTTGCTCCGTCTTTCGGCACGGCTGCTATCTGCAGCGGCTACGGGATCTGGATTTAACAAATCCGAGTCCGCTCCCGTGTGACCACCGCATGGTCGGATTCCCGCGCTTTTAGCATTGCGTTTGTTTCGGCCTTGTCTTTTTTCTTTCTGCTATGCTGTAATCCCCCCTGCTCGCGCTGTCGATGTTGGTCTCATGAATTACACCTGATAGACACGTGAGAACCCCGGTCTATACATACCTCACGGCTAGCAATTAGATGTCCGCAGACCCGAATTGGCTCGTTTTTCCCTCGCCGTCATGACGACACCAACAGCATTGACTTCCGCCGGCGGGAAGCGGAGGTCCCGCTCAGAAGGGGAAAGCGACAGGGCAAGCTCAGTACAGCCGAGCAGTCCCGGTGGCTCGTCCTCACGATCAAGCGCCAAGCAGCAAATACGGCACCGGGCGTCGGTTGCGTGTGCTTCGTGCCGCGAGCGGAGGATACGGTGTGTTGTAAGCGAGGGCGAGTCCGAATGCACCCAATGCAGACGGACAGGGGCGACGTGCATCATCAAAGATGATGATGAACGGAGGAGGTAGGCTGCGCTGCCTTTCTCTATTTAATAGTGATCTAGCAGGTTTGAGGCGAATTGGTCTGACAGTTTGCACATTAGACCCATCTCGAAGGCGTACATGTCATCCCTATCGACCCGGATCAGTTTGCTTGAGGGAATGCTGAAAGATCGCGGAGTGGTTCCTCCTCCAGCGATACACCCACCGAAGACGAGACAGGAGGCACAAGCGCGGCAACACGAGGACCAAAGCCAAGACGGACACCACTATCAACACCAGCAGACCAACCATGAGCCATTCGTGAGCTTAGAGCCACTACTGAGCCCAGGCACGAAAGCAACACCCCCAATGTTCCATCACCCTCCCACTCCACCAGGCTCCGGCGACGAAGACGCACTCACAGCCGAGCCAGACTACGCTACAGGCATCTCGACAACCGAACCGACCAACTTCACCGCCCTTATCGACCCTGTTCTCCTCCAAGAACCACCAGAACCGCAACCCACGCCAAAACAAGCCCCACCCCCTCAAGAAACCAGCATCCGCCATATCCTCGCCTCCCGAGGAAGCCTAATCACCGACCCATCGACCCATCAAACCCGCTACTTCGGCCCGACGGCCAACAGCCACGTCTACGCACCACCATTACCTTCACATTCAACCCTCATTCCCACGCAGCCAGACCCCGCTTCGCAACAACACACCCGCCGCGCGGAACAACTCCTATACTCTCTCCCGCCATCGATACACGACCACCTGCTAGGCCGGTTCTGGGAGTACTACAATGCCTGGCAGCAGGTGGTTCACCAAACAGCCTTTGAGACAGGGCGGGCGACACGGGACGGGCGGTTTTATTCGGTATTTCTGCACCTGACCATGCTGGCGGTGGGGTTCCGGTTTGCGGACTGGGAGAGGGAGGACGTGAAGAGGTTGGCGGTGGACGGGCGGGAGAGTGTGATGCACCGAGTGGCGAGGGGGTTGGTGTTGGGAGAGCTGGGGCGATTGGGGGGGTTGGAAGGGGGGACGCAGATGGGGAGTGTGCCGGGGGTGCAGGGGTTGTTGATGCTGGCTGCGGCGGAGTGTGGAATTGGGAGGGATGCGGCGGGGTGGATGTATTGTGGTGAGTTTCTTGTTGTTTCTAGGTTTTGTTGTGTTGGCCCCGATTCCTCTACAAAATGGGGTCTATGTGGGAGCATCACGTGAATATGCTAACAAACACAGGAATGGCGGGCCGATTGGCGTTTGATATCGGGTTGCACGTTAGCTGCGCAACGGTACCGGGCATGTCAGAACTCGAAAAGCAGACCCGACGACAAGCAATGACGGCGTGTGTCATGCTGGACCGCAAGTGGGCGCTCTTTCTTGGGCGTCCCACTGCGATCAAGACCCACGACATCGCTCACGACGTGCTCCCCAGGGCTGGCTACCACCCAGGCCTCGGCATACCCACGACTACCAGCCGCGTCACCGACATCCACCGACACCTCTTCGAGCTGCTCGACCTTGCCGGGAAAGTTGCTGACTTCCAAAACACGACCTACGGCGCGGCCCACGAATTCCCAACCAAGGACCTCGAAGACCGCGCTTACCTGCGCTTTGTAGCGCTAGAACGCCTCTTCCACACTTGGTACCGTCGCCTGCCTGAGTATCTGACCTGGACGCCCACCAACGTTGAATCGGCGCCGGTGGGCTTTTTCATGCTACACCAGCACTTCCACGAGTGCATGGTTCTGCTGCACCGGCCATGGGCCAAATACGGGCCGTTGTCCCTCGATGGCTATTCCTCAACCAGCGCCGCCCGGTATCCCAGCCCAGAATCACCATCCAACCAAACCCACGGCCACAAGGGTCCAACCGGGATGAACGACCTCCCCCCATGGATGACCACGGCCTTCTCCCCCCAGCCACAGCCCGACAACCGCGCTTCGCTCTCCCGCAGCATGTGCACCCAACACGCGATCCGCATCGTGCGCGTCTTTGCGCACTACCGCCAGCGTTTCGACGGGCGACGTGTGGTGCTCTGCGCAGTCCAACACGCGGGAACGGCCGCGTTAGCGCTGATGGCGGCACTAGCGCACAAGAGCGCGGAGCTGGACCACCATAGTAATTTACGGTACCTGCAGGTGCTGTCGACTGCGATTTATGATCTCAGCCATTTGTATGCGCCAGGCGCGAGGATGTATCAATTGTTGAAGCGGATGTTGGTCGAGATTCGGGAGGAGATGGCCAAAAATGGAGGTTGGGGGATTGGTGCGCTCGTAGGGGGCCGCTATCAGAGTCAGACCGGTAGCGGCAACGAGAATGGTGGTGCAATGCTGGGGTTGGGAGGCAGCCGTCCCGGGTACTGGCCTCCTGGCAATGAGAACGAGAACGAGAATTCCCTCCGCGGCCAAGTCGACCGACTAGAGATCATCCAAGAGGAAGAGCCCGAGTACGCCCGCACACACAAACGCCGGCGGCTATCAAGCCTGTCCTCAGCCGGCGTAGCCACCATCTCGCCGTCCTTCCTCACCAACAATACCTTCCAAAGTTGCCCTACGCCTCCAGCAACACTCGGTCAGTCCCCATCTGAACCGGGGACGTTTGATCTCGACTCGGTCCACGCCTCGTTCGTGGACTTTATCAACCGCGGCGGCGAAGGCGAGGGCATCGATTCCTGGCCGCCGGCTGCTCTGGAGGGTGGTCCGCTGGGTGTTTCGATTCCGACTGCTTCTGAAGAGTTGTCAGCTTCTGTTATGGATCCCAACCGTACGGCGGAACGCGGTGGCACCGATGCGAACGCTAATGCTGATGCCCATGTCTCGGTACCCGCGCAGGCGCAAACGCCCAAGACAAATTCCCCAGACGACGAAACATCAGCAGCCAAAACAATCGAGGACTGGCTCGCCGAGCCAAGCAAGATACCGACCCCTGCCGTTTCAAAAGCAATATCCTACTCTTCCGCTCTCCAAGCCCGAAAAAGCCTTTCCCACGCCACTGCCGACGGTACGCCCATCTTGCGAGATCCGCACGTCGTGTTCTTGGAGACGCACCTTGGCGGGGTCGACTTTGATCTCGGTCCTGATTCGGGATTGGGACTGGGAGTGTTTGAGGCGGAGGGTAGATCTGGATCTGGTGACATTGTGATGAAGGACGGCGCTGTTCTTTCTGGGAGTCGAAACACCGGTTCTGGTTCTATCCAAACAGCCCAAGAAACTGAAAGCAATACAGACATCGACACGATACACGTCGCAGTAGACAAAATGGACTGGGCCATCCCCAACGTGGCTACGGCCGCGACCGCAACTGCCGCCGCGCCTCATCTGGCAAGCACACCCGGCCCAACTAGTCCTTCCCTTCCAACAAACCTTTCAATTTCAGGCCTTGGGGTGGTCACCCCACGGCCGGTGGACATCCCGCCCTCGTCCACAACCCCCATCACGCTGGATGAGCTGGCGCAGAGTGTGGAAGAGGCGGTTGGGTCTGCGAGGGCGAGGGCTAAGGCAAGGGCGGAGGCTGCTGCTGCTGCTGTTGCTGCTGCTCCTACTACTACTCCCTCCCATAGCAATGAACTAGAGACTGGGGATGCTTTTACGGGGATGAGCCCTATTGAGGATACCGGAGCGCCTACAGCGAGTTCTGAGAAAGATGGTGTTGAGAGTAGAATGGCTACGGGTGGGGTGGTGGGCGAGGGTATTGGGGGTCCGGGGGCGGTGGAGGTTGGATCACCGGTTAGAGCGGGGAGTGAATTGGACTTTTTGGAACTGTGAGTCATTGGATGGACGGTCTTGGGTGATGGGATCGGGTTGAAACGGAAGATTCATGAGGGCTTGATGGCTGGTACATATGCATCCCAGCGCTGGGAGAAGATTCTGGTGCGAGGGCTTGATAGTTTATATGCATCCCAGCGCTGGGAGGAAGATTCTAGAGGGCTTAATATCTCGCATGTATCCCAGCGCTGAGAGAAGATTCTGGTGGTTGAGAAGCAAGTATAATCACTTATCTGTTGAGATGCCGCAGCGGGTTACCAGTGCCTCATCAAGACTTGTCTTCTCGGGTCTTCTGTTGCAGCAGGCCGGTGCGACAGAAGTTGCATAGAACCGGGGACAAGCGAGTGCACGGGGAGTGAGAGTTCGGTTTGTTTCGGGAAAGTAGAGAAATCCCGGGAAACAAACGGCATGGGTCGGGGATGGGAAGTGACAATGCGTACATATGCAGTGAGATATCAGTTTTATTTCTGACATGCAGAGAAATCCAAGGAAAGGAACGGTATGGAGAGAAGATAAGAAACGACAATGCGTGCATACTGCATCGACAGAGCGTTATGGGTTTCTTGGGACATTCTGCATTTGGACAATTTGCACGAATCCAGCCAATCAAAACTCGTGACCCCGGACAGTCAGGAGTGTGGCCAATCAAATCACACCGTTTCAGGAGTGATTCTTGTCAGAATTTGGCATTTGGCGTGGCATCCATTTTGGAATGGCATTTTGTACTGGTGCAGCAGTCTCAGTTCATTATCTCCCGTTTAATTTAATAGGAATAAGTTCCTGTGTGGGCAATAAGTCGGTCCATGGAAGGGTCTTGAGGTGTGGTGGTGATTTACTGTGGCTGTTGTCTGCCATAATTAAATATACCAAAGTGTCAAGGGCTCAGGCCTAGGGCCATGCCCCCGCAAGGCCCTTGGCCATGAGCAGTAGCGTTGGATCGTGGCCGATGGCCTTGGGTTGGCGTGGCGGGGCTGTTCCTCTTCCAA